TTACGACATGGTGGAGATGGGACACTAAACACAGTTACGACATGGTGGAGATGGGACCTTAAACACAGTTACGTCATGGTGGAGATGTGACCCTAAACACAGTTACGACATGGTGGAGATGGGACCTTAAACACAGTTACGACATGGTGGAGATGGGACACTAAACACAGTTACAACATGGTGGAGATGTGACCCTAAACACAGTTACGACATGGTGGAGATGGGACCTTAAACACAGTTAGGACATGGTGGAGATGGGACCCTAAACACAGTTACGACATGGTGGAGATGGGACACTAAACACAGTTACGACATGGTGGAGATGGGACACTAAACACAGTTACGTCATGGTGGAGATGGGACACTAAACACAGTTACGACATGGTGGAGATGGGACCGTAAACACAGTTACGACATGGTGGAGACTGGACACTAAACACAGTTACGACATGGTGGAGATGTGACCCTGAACACAGATACGACATGGTGGAGATGGGACCCTGAACACAGTTACGTCATGGTGGAGATGTGAACCTGAACACAGTTACGTCATGGTGGAGATGGGACACTAAACACAGTTACGACATGGTGGAGATGGGACACTAAACACAGTTACGACATGGTGGTGATGGGACACTAAACACAGTTACGACATGGTGGAGATGGGACACTAACCACAGTTACGACATGGTGGAGATGGGACCCTAAACACAGTTACGTCATGGTGGAGATGGGACACTAAACACAGTTACGACATGGAGGAGATGGGACGCTAAACACAGTTACGACATGGAGGAGATGGGACCCTAAACACAGTTACGTCATGGTGGAGATGGGACACTAAACACAGTTACGACATGGTGGAGATGGGACACTTAACACAGTAACGACATGGAGGAGATGGGACACTAAACACAGTTACGACATGGAGGAGATGGGACACTAAACACAGTTACGACATGGTGGAGATGGGACACTAACCACAGGTACGACATGGTGGAGATGGGACCCTGAACACAGTTACGACATGGAGGAGATGGGACCCTAAACACAGTTACGACATGGTGGAGATGGGACACTAACCACAGTTACGACATGGTGGAGATGGGACCCTTAACACAGTTACGACATGGTGGAGATGGGACACTAAACACAGTTACGACATGGAGGAGATGGGACCCTTAACACAGTTACGACATGGTGGAGATGGGACCCTTAACACAGTTACGACATGGTGGAGATGGGACACTAAACACAGTTACAACATGGTGGAGATGGGACACTAAACACAGTTACGACATGGTGGAGATGTGACCCTAAACACAGTTAGGACATGGTGGAGATGGGACCTTAAACACAGTTAGGACATGGTGGAGATGGGACCCTAAACACAGTTACGACATGGTGGAGATGGGACACTAAACACAGTTACAACATGGTGGAGATGGGACACTAAACACAGTTACGTCATGGTGGAGATGGGACACTAAACACAGTTACGACATGGTGGAGATGGGACCGTAAACACAGTTACGACATGGTGGAGATGGGACACTAAACACAGTTACGACATGGTGGAGATGTGACCCTGAACACAGATACGACATGGTGGAGATGGGACCCTGAACACAGTTACGTCATGGTGGAGATGTGAACCTGAACACAGTTACGTCATGGTGGAGATGGGACACTAAACACAGTTACGACATGGTGGAGATGGGACACTAAACACAGTTACGACATGGTGGTGATGGGACACTAAACACAGTTACGACATGGTGGAGATGGGACACTAACCACAGTTACGACATGGTGGAGATGGGACCCTAAACACAGTTACGTCATGGTGGAGATGGGACACTAAACACAGTTACGACATGGAGGAGATGGGACGCTAAACACAGTTACGACATGGAGGAGATGGGACCCTAAACACAGTTACGTCATGGTGGAGATGGGACACTAAACACAGTTACGACATGGTGGAGATGGGACACTTAACACAGTAACGACATGGAGGAGATGGGACACTAAACACAGTTACGACATGGAGGAGATGGGACACTAAACACAGTTACGACATGGTGGAGATGGGACACTAACCACAGGTACGACATGGTGGAGATGGGACCCTGAACACAGTTACGACATGGTGGAGATGGGACCCTAAACACAGTTACGACATGGTGGAGATGGGACACTAACCACAGTTACGACATGGTGGAGATGGGACCCTTAACACAGTTACGACATGGTGGAGATGGGACACTAAACACAGTTACGACATGGAGGAGATGGGACCCTTAACACAGTTACGACATGGTGGAGATGGGACCCTTAACACAGTTACGACATGGTGGAGAAGGGACACTAAACACAGTTACAACATGGTGGAGATGGGACCCTTAACACAGTTACGACATGGTGGAGATGGGACACTAAACACAGTTACGACATGGTGGAGATGGGACCCTAAACACAGTTACGACATGGAGGAGATGGGACCCTAAACACAGTTACGACATGGAGGAGATGGGACCCTAAACACAGTTACGACATGGTGGAGATGGGACCCTAAACACAGTTACGACATGGTGGAGATGGGACCCTAAACACAGTTACGACATGGTGGAGATGGGACACTAAACACAGTTACGACATGGAGGAGATGGGACCCTAAACACAGTTACGACATGGTGGAGATGGGACCCTAAACACAGTTACGACATGGAGGAGATGGGACCCTAAACACAGTTACGACATGGTGGAGATGGGACACTTAACACAGTAACGACATGGTGGAGATGGGACACTAAACACAGTTACGACATGGTGGAGATGGGACCCTGAACACAGTTACAACATGGTGGAGATGGGACACTTAACACAGTTACGACATGGAGGAGATGGGACCCTAAACACAGTAACGACATGGAGGAGATGGAACCCTAAACACAGTAACGACATGGTGGAGATGGGACACTAAACACAGTTACGACATGGTGGAGATGGGACACTAAACACAGTTACGACATGGTGGATATGGGACCCTTAACACAGTTACAACATGGTGGAGATGGGACACTAAACACAGTTACGTCATGGTGGAGATGGGACCCTAAACACAGTTACGACATGGTGGAGATGGAACCTAAAACGCAGATACAACATGGTGGAGATGGGACACTAAACACAGTTACGACATGGTGGAGATGGGACCCTGAACACAGTTACGTCATGGTGGAGATGGGACACTAAACACAGTTACGACATGGTGGAGATGGGACCCTAAACACAGTAACGACATGGTGGAGATGGGACACTAAACACAGTTACGACATGGTGGAGATGGGACACTAAACACAGTTACGACATGGAGGAGATGGGACCCTAAACACAGTAACGACATGGTGGAGATGGAACCTAAACATAGTTACGACATGGTGGAGATGGGACACTAAACACAGTTACGACATGGTGGAGATGGGACACTAAACACAGTTACGACATGGTGGAGATGGAACCTAAAACGCAGTTACAACATGGTGGAGATGGGACACTAAACACAGTTACGACATGGTGGAGATGGGACCCTGAACACAGTTACGTCATGGTGGAGATGGGACACTAAACACAGTTACGACATGGTGGAGATGGGACACTAAACACAGTTACGACATGGTGGAGATGGGACACTAAACACAGTTACAACATGGTGGAGATGGGACACTAAACACAGTTACGACATGGTGGAGATGGGACACTAAACACAGTAACGACATGGTGGAGATGGGACACTAAACACAGTTACGACATGGTGGAGATGGGACCCTAAACACAGTTACGTCATGGTGGAGATGGGACCCTAAACACAGTTACGACATGGTGGAGATGGGACACTAAACACAGTTACAACATGGTGGAGATTGGACACTAAACACAGTTACGACATGGAGGAGATGGGACCCTAAACACAGTAACGACATGGTGGAGATGGAACCTAAAACGCAGTTACAACATGGTGGAGATGGGACACTAAACACAGTTACGACATGGAGGAGATGGGACACTAAACACAGTTACGACATGGTGGAGATGGGACCCTAAACATAGTTACGTCATGGTGGAGATGGGACCCTAAACACAGTTACGACATGGTGGAGATGGGACCCTAAACACAGTTACGACATGGTGGAGATGGGACACTAAACACAGTAACGACATGGTGGAGATGGGACACTAAACACAGTTACGACATGGTGGAGATGGGACCCTAAACACTGTTACGACATGGTGGAGATGGGACCCTAAACACAGTTACGACATGGTGGAGATGGGACACTAACCACAGTTACGACATGGTGGATATGGGACCCTTAACACAGTTACGACATGGTGGAGATGGGACACTAAACACAGTTACGACATGGTGGAGATGGGACCCTAAACACTGTTACGACATGGTGGAGATGGGACACTAAACACAGTTACGACATGGTGGAGATGGGACCCTAAACACAGTTACGACATGGTGGAGATGGGACACTAAACACAGTTACGACATGGTGGAGATGGGACACTAAACACAGCTACGTCATGGTGAAGATGGGACCCTAAACACAGTTACGTCATGGTGGAGATGGGACCCTAAACACAGTTACGTCATGGTGGAGATGGGACCCTAAACACAGTTACGACATGGTGGAGATGGGACACTAAACACAGTTACGACATGGTGGAGATGGGACACTAAACACAGTTACGACATGGTGGAGATGGGACCCTTAACACAGTTACGACATGGTGGAGATGGGACCCTAAACACAGTTACGACATGGTGGAGATGGGACCTAAAACACAGTTACGACATGGTGGAGATGGGACCCTTAACACAGTTACGACATGGTGGAGATGTGACCCTGAACACAGATACGACATGGTGGAGATGGGACCCCAAATAATTAACGACAATAATCAAGTAAATAGAAAAAAACCGCATAGAAATGTATGTTGTTTTTATTACTGGCTTTACTTTTATCCCACTTGACACCAAGCCTTGTCTAACAATGTCCACACGTCTTAGGGCAAGTCTGATGTGCGAAGTCCACGTCGTCGCAGATGTTGGCAGTGGTGCAGGGGAAGGTAGGGTCGTCTATGCAAGGGACGTTGATCGTAACGGCCGGGTTCGTAGAGAGCTCGGGGCTGGTGTTACCTGTAACAGTGAGTGAGTATGGTTTTACGCCGCTTTTAGCAATATTCCAGCAATATCACGGCGGGGGGACACCACAAATGGGCTTCTCACATTGTACCCATGTCGGGAATCGGACCCGGGTCTTCGGTGTGACGAGCGAACGCTTTAACCACTAGGCTACCCGACCGCCCCTTTACCTGTAACAGATATTCCAATTAGAGTCAGATTTTGGGGATTTTGTATTGAGACTGGATATGCTTTCTGCTACTGATGCCGAAAGGAGATGTATTGATAAATTGTGTAGCCCAGTTTATTATTTGTGGCCAACACTTATTTTCGAACAGTCTGAAGAACATTTTCGATAAAACCCGAGAACACCCCCGAGTTTCGCGAATCACGATCCGATGCATACTACGACAAGGAACCATATGGATATTTTTGCCTCAACGCAAATGTCAGATTTTAGATTTGCGTCAACTTTGACATGTTTGTCTGAATGTTAAAATGTCAAGCAATTAGCCTTTACTTCCTTATACTTTAATGATTTGGATATCTGACTTGGTATAATACATACGTAAAGGAAAAAGGTCTAATTGCGATGGTTACGAAAATATTCGTGAGCCAAGATGAACTTTGTACCTTTGTACCTGTTTGTATTGTTTGACTTACATCATGTGAAAGACTTGCTCATGTACACCAGTGCATTAAGTGCTAAAAGATCCCAGAACATACTTTTTTTAAAAATAAATAATTATAATTCTTATACATATGAACACATCCGATAACTTCGTAATGATTTGTAAAGGTTTTCAAGGGCAGTTCCAGCATTTTAAAAAAAGAGGGGTCCAAGATATCAAAATCCTCTCTAAGATAAGTTTACTTCCTACTTCCTGATTTTAAAAATGGGTGGGAGGGGTGGGGTTGAGGATAGGGGTGGGACTCCAAATTGTGACAAAAGCTTCGTGTTGCACGTGACTTTGATTTGGCATCGATTCGGGACTTGCAAATAATGACGACTCACTCTTTAAGATAATCTTTTGTCAATCCGCTTTCTCGGAGGGTTTGTAAATCCAACATGCGTGTCACGGACACCCCCCACAGCGGGAATACGTACACCCCCCACAGCCGGAATACGTACGTGTCGTGAAGGCCATGGTGGACCCCCCACAGTGTCCGCACGTGCTGGGGCAGGTCTGGCGCGAGAAGTCTGGGTCACCACAGACTGAGGCGGCTGACTGGACACACGGGAAGGTCGGGTCATCCTTACAGTCCGCCGGGACGGTCAATACGGGCACTGCTGTCGGCTTGCCTGTCAGTGACACCATCAAATAATAGTGAGTGAGTATGGTTTTACGCCGCTTTTAGCAATATTTTAAAGCAATATCACGGCAGGGGACACCAGAAATGGGCTTCACACACTGTACCCATGTGGTGAATCGAACGCCTTAACCACTAGGCTACCCCACCACCCCCATCAAATAATATTGAACGTACCTTCACGACTTGACACACTATTTCAGTCATATAACGGGGTGTCAGCTTGATGTTGGAGGAAAATTAGAAATGATGCATGTCTCAGATGTTTGCCACTTCAATGAATAACAAACCCAGAAATATGATGAGGGTAAACCTGGATTGGTTTGTTTGTTTGTTGTTTAACGCCGCACCAGCAGTCTTCCAGCTAAATGACGGCGGCCTGTAAATAATCGAGTCTGAACCAGAAGTCCAGTGATTGACATCATGAGCATCGATCAACGTAATTGGGATACGATAACACGCATCAACTATTTACGTTACGACCGTGTCAGGTGTATTCTATTCATCTAACGGATATGTCAAGTATATGCTACTTGCCTAACGACTGTATGAAACGTATACACTACTTGCCTAACGACTGTGTGTAAAGTATACACTACTTGCCTAACGACTGTATGTAAAGTATACACTATTTGCCTAACGACTGTGTGAAAAGAATACAATACTTGCCTAACGACTGTGTGTAAAGTATACACTACTTGCCCAACGACTGTGTGTAAAGTATACACTACTTGCCCAACGACTGTGTAAAGTATACACTACTTGCCTAACGAACGGTGTGTAAAGTATACACTACTTGCCTAACGACAGTGTGTAAAGTATACACCACTAAGATGTATGTCACGTGTATACCAGTTACCTAATGACAGTACGAAGTGTAAACTACTCACCTAACGACTGTGTTACGTTATACTACTTACTTAAGGACTGCCTGACACAGTCTCCAGTAAAACAGCAGGTTTGACATGGCTGGGTGCTGTTATCAAGGCAGTCGGTCACAGGGTTACCGGCATTGCACTGAAAATGACATTAATCTGAAGCTTGTTGCATACCATGTATTGACGGTGTGTTTACTTCACCAGTTAATCCGATCACATTACAATCAGCTATTTCACTCTGATGCGACACCGCTATCAGTCCCGTCAGGTGAACGTTCTAATCGGCCTTTAAGCGTCACGGCTTCTAAATTTCTTTGTACGAGTGAGCGAATCATTCCGGACCAGCATATCATATTTCTGTGACTTGAAAATGAATCAACAACTTCCGAATGAAAATAAGTAAGGCGGTGGATATTTCACACACCTTGTCGTTTCTGAGCGCCATGGCACCTACACCCAAAACGGTGTACCATCGAAGGAACATTTGTGTCCTGTGTTGGTTTTCATTTGTACAAATCGAAATTTCAGAATCGAGATGGTAAAGAAATTAAGCTGAACCGAATAGAAAGCTGGCATCTGATTGGCTCAAGAGCATACTATTCCTTCATTTAGATTCAGATGTCAAAGTTCAATGGGGGTGACCTCGGGTCTCAAAGCAGAGAGGTGTCGTACCACAGTAAAATATTTTATTCTTATAAGATTGCATTTAGTTCATGTTTATACTTACATAGGTGTCTCTTTGATTATTTGTTGTGTAATGAAAAAAAATTAAACGAAAGAGTAGGTGCGTTCAAACTATAAGGGGTGGGAGTGGAGCATGAAAAAATTAATTTTTTTTAAATTTGGATATAATTTGAGACTCACCAAGCTTTGATCCGAGTTACACTCTGCGGAGTAACGGCCATTAGTTTTGCTGATACGGCAATTCTGAAACACAACATTAAATTAGAAAGCTTGATATTTCAATGAAATCACGACTTGTCAGATAATTGTCAGAATGACGCAGATCACGGTTATGGTGCTCAAAAACCATTGATCCAATCTTGGATTCGAACACATGATTAGCGACTCCTTGCAGGGTCAACTGTTGCGACACTGCACGGAGAATTGCCACGCCTTACACGACCGTGCCCCGCAAGTAAGATCTTTAATTTACTTGACAAAGACTGTGTATGCAAATCTTCCCGAGGCAAGTGAGTTACCTGACCATAAAAGTACAGTTTCCACCCTTGCCGAACCAGGCTGGAATTCCGGAGTTACATTTTGGCTGGACAAACGAGTCTATGCATAGTCCAATCAAAATCGCGTTACGAAATAGACATCCGGTTCGTAAACAACATAGATTTGAACGTGCAGATTTCGGCCGCCTACAGGATTTGAAAAACATGTGTACTGTCAACTGGGCGTTTGGCCAATCTTTTCATGTTTTTAATCAAGGTACAGGGAGAGACCCGTTTTATTACAATATAGATCTTGATTATCGATCAGATCGTCTTAACTGGGAGCAGCCATTTTGTCTGAAGCAAATGTAAGAGACATGAGAGATGGAATCTGATTGGCCAATAGGAGGGACATAGAAGGTGGTGGCCCTACGATCGAGCTTGGAAATTTCAGCCTAATCCGGCAAGGATGAAAACTGGACTTTTATAGTCAGTTAACTCCCTTGCCTCGGAATAATGGTGTAAACCACGCTCATTGGTATGTCCTATCTGTAATCTTGGTAGAAAAAACAATCACTAGTCTGTATCCATACAATCTAAGTTCGAGTCCTCTACACCAGACAATCATAATCTCATTAAATTCCCGGGCGGTCGGGTAGCCTAGTGGCTAAAGCGTTCGCTCGTCAAGCCGAAGACCCATACGCCAGCTTACCGTTACGACTGGGGTAAGTCTATGATGGAACATCGGAGTTACGACCGACGTAGCGCTAAGATCGCTTTGTGCTAGTGGACCCTGAGTCCCGTTTCAGAAGCGATCACCGTAACGATAAGTACCGATACTTCAACAAAGACGGTCCTTGCACTGAGGTCGCTTTGAGGAACGGGGCCTTGTTTAAAAGCTATGCATTTCTCATGTAACTCCTATGCATCTTGAAGAACATTTCTAAATTTCACTGTGGTCTCATTTTGATAAATGTCTATGACACCACCGGTACCTGCTAAAAGTGAGTGAGTGAGTGTGGTTTTACGCCGCTTTTAGCAATATTCCAGCAATATCACGGCGGGGGACACCCGAAATGGGCTTCACACATTGTACCCATGTCGGGAATCGAACCCGGGTCTTCGGCGTGACGAGCTAACGTTTTAACCACTAGGCTACCCGACTGCCCCTAATAAGCAGGGGAAGTAAAAAGGGAAGGCAATCAACTATTGACATAGAACAGTGAAACATGACAACCGAGAGTCGATGTCGGTTTTTTTCTTTACGAACATGACATATTGTGATAAAAACCAAATGTGTTTTTTTAATTCAGCCTACATTCTAAAAAATGCCGATAAAGTATGTAACGATACAGTATTATATAAGCGGTGCTTAACTTTTTTCCAGGTGTATATGTAGGAGAAAACTTACAATGGCCGACGGTAGACAAGCTTCCGAGTAATCGAGGCACAGTTGGGGATCAGCTTCATCTCTACAGCTAGGGCAGTGCAGGACGCTGGGGATGCTCTCAAGACCTGGCAGGTGAATTGGAATTGTTATTCTTTGTTTGATTGTTTGTTTGTTGTGTACTCCAGCTATACATAACCGACTTACGGACAGACACACCAGGAGTTGATGATTTGAACAACGTTCCACGCCGTCGGGGTACGATGATTGGCAACCAACCCAGTGACCGAGCCTGACCGTCCGATCCATCAAGTCGTCCCGTCCGATCCATCAAGTCGTCCCGTCCGATCCATCAAGTCGTCCCGTCCGATCCATCAAGTCGTCCCTCCCGACCAGCATCTGTTGCTGGCGCCCTATTCTTACCTGGACTTCGGGATAATTCCTCAGCGTCACATGGATGACGTATGCGACCGACATCGACGAATAAAGGTATGCTTTACAGTGAGTGATCGCGTGTTGTTTTTAACCGCAGTCAGCAATATTCCAGTTATATCACATCAGTTTGTAATAATATGTCAAGGACAACTAGTGGTTGACAGCATGAGCAGCTGATGTCGCAGGTCACACATCGTGAACACCTGATTGTCTCATTTGTAGACATAACCCGTGAAGATCCTGGGTAGAAAAGGTCTTCAGCAACCCATGCTTGCCGTAAAAGGCGACTAAGCTTGTCGTTAGAGGCGACCAACGGGATCGGATGATCAGGTGAGTGAGTGAGTGAGTGAGTATTGTTTTACGCCGCCTTTAGCAATAAGGCAGCAATATCACGGCGGGGAACACCAGAAATGGGCTTCACATATTGTACCCATGTGGGGAATCGAACCCGGGTCTTCGGCTTGACGAGCGAACGCTTTAACCACTGCGCTACCCCACCCCTCATGATGCTCATCAATTACTGGATTGTCTGGTCCAGACTCGATTATTTACAGACCGCCGTCATATAGCTGAAATATTGCTGAGTGCGGCGTTAAACAATAAGAAAAACAAACAAACAAACTGAACCCTGTGTTCTTTTTACAATCAAATATTTTACTCTGATCCGATACCTCTCACCTCTGCTTTGAGACCTGAGGTCCAATGAGGTCACGTTAGGTGAACCTAGGGCGAACTTTGAGATTTAAAACTTTAGTCGACCTCCTCAAGCATGGGACGCAGGGCAACCTATTTCATCCGGGTTCTTCACGGTGCGCATGCTCATTAGTCATGCCTTGCATTACGACACTCGTTACTGATTGGTTACTGAATGGATAACTTCTACCATGTCCCTCGCTGACATATCAGGTACAAATTTCATATACCCCACTAGAAACGTCTTACCAATTCGAATACAATACTATGATAATACTATCTCTTAAATCTATCAACATAGGGGCACGGGTGGCCCAGTCGATTAAGGTTCCGCAAGTCGCTGTGCAGAGTTGTGTCCCTTGGGCACACCAGAAACCTATGATCGCGGGGTTCGCCCTGATTATGTTTCTAGGTCTGTCAGCACCATACTTGTGAAATGAGACTTGCATCACTTCGGGCTTTGCTCCCAGATCAAGCATGTCGTCATACAATTGGAATACTTTTTTTAAAGCAGTGTTAAACCCAACTCGCTCACTCCCATTAATATGTTTGGTGTGTGTTTGAACCACACAATCCCCTCCCCGCCAACATATTTTATGAAAAGATAGACACAATTTTATGGATAACAACTTCTTTAATACTGTAAAAAGCGACGTTTCGGTATAGATCCTTATACCGTTGTCAAGCAAGACTGAATGAGGGACATAGTGCAGAATATATATAGCAAGTGGAGGATCAACAGTAGAGGATTAACAGTAACAACAAGGGCATACATGAGTGGGATAACACAGGTAGGTGTGACAACAAGGATGATGCTATCACAACACGATGGACAGAAAACACATAGCTAGAAGCCAATGGGGCATGAAGCCAATAAACAGGTGATTATTGTTTGATGAGTTCATAGTAGGCGGATGGGATGAAATAGCCTCAAGTTGTTATCCATAAAATTGTGTCTATCTTGTCATCCGCCAACTTCTAAGTAATGCCTATCAAACAAGTTATTTTATGAAAGTACTCACTTTTCTCAATAAGGTTTAAGTCCTGTTTGCATTGATCCCCCGTGCAGCAGACATGGCACTTGTCGGTGGGGCCGTATGCACGACCGCCGGTGCAGTTGGTGGAGCTCCGGTGTGTTTGTTGGAATTCGCAGTACTGCAAGTAGGGGAGTCACATTACAGTCACTCACTCACTCACCCAACAATTCTCATCCTGCCGCTCTCATTTGTTTTAAAATAAAAAGAAATCTGTTCATTTTAATTTCGACCTCAGATCAAAGGTTTTGTGAATTTTGTTTTCCGTTAACCAATTTTTAAAAGGATCCCATGTATCAGTCTCATTAAAATGTGTTCCCTATGAGATTTGCCAGGACATGACCCTGCCTTGGTTTGGGAGCATCCTGCGGTGATCCGCCACTCCTTCATCGTCACCATGCACACCTGCAACAACGACATGGTGGTTTCTTTCACGTTGTAAACATGTCCTTTCATGCATTGCCAGCACAGGGTGCATATTTATAGCATTCTCTTTATGAAATAGTTTTTTATGGACATTACACCTGCACAAATATTGGCTTATTGACAGTGGAAGAACTATCACATTGTTATCAATGTAAACACCTCTATCTGTCAACCTTGCCTTTCTGGTTGTAACGACAGTGCGTCAAGTGAATATACCTCGACCTGTGGCCCCTGATCCAGTACCGCCACGGGCTCTTTATGATATGCCAGTACCGTCACGGGCTAGTTATCATGCGTCAGTACCGCCACGGGCTCTTTATCATATGCCAGTACCGTCACGGGCTAGTTATCATATGCCAGTACCGTCACGGGCTAGTTATCATATGCCAGTACCGTCATGGGGTTGTTTTCATCTGTCCGTACCGTCAAGGGCTAGTTATCATCTGTCAGTACCGTCAGGGCTAGTTATCATGTGTCAGTACCGTCAAGGGCTAGTTATCATTTGTCAGTACCGTCACGGGCTAGGTATCATGCGTCAGCACCGTCAGGGCTAGTTATCATCTGTCAGTACCGTCAAGAGCTAGTTATCATCTGTCAGTACCGTCAAGGGCTAGGTATCATGCGTCAGTACCGTCAGGGCTAGTTATCATCTGTCAGTACCGTCAAGAGCTAGTTATCATCTGTCAGTACCGTCACGGGCTAGTTATCATGTGTCAGTACCGTCAGGGCTAGTTATCATTTGTCAGTACCGTCACGGGCTAGTTATCATGTGCCAGTACCGTCAAGGGCTAGTTATCATGCGTCAAGGGCTAGTTATCATGTGTCAGTACAGTCAAGGGCTAGTTATCATGTGTCAGTACCGTCATGGGCTAGTTATCATGTGTCAGCGCCGTCATGGGCTAGTTATCATGTGTCAGTACAGTCAAGGGCTAGTTATCATGTGTCAGTACCGTCATGGGCTAGTTATCATGCGTCAGTACCGTCAAGGGCTAGTTATCATGCGTCAGTACCACCACGGGCTCTTTATCATATGCCAGTACCGTCACGGGCTAGTTATCATATGCCAGTACCGTCACGGGCTAGTTATCATCTGTCAGTACCGTCAAGAGCTAGTTATCATCTGTCAGTACCGTCACGGGCTAGTTATCATATGCCAGTACCGTCACGGGCTAGTTATCATATGCCAGTACCGTCAAGGGCTAGTTATCATCTGTCAGTACCGGCAAGAGCTAGTTATCATCTGTCAGTACCGTCAAGGGCTAGTTATCATGTGTCAGTACCGTCACGGGCTAATTATCATGTGTCAGTACCGTCACGGGCTAATTATCATGTGTCAGTACCGTCAAGAGCTAGTTATCATCTGTCAGTACAGTCAAGGGCTAGTTATCATGTGTCAGTACCGTCACGGGCTAATTATCATGTGTCAGTACCGTCAAGAGCTAGTTATCATCTGTCAGTACCGTCACGGGCTAGTTATCATTTGTCAGTACCGTCAGGGCTAGTTATCATGTGTCAGTACCGTCACGGGCTAGTTATCATCTGTCAGTACCGTCACGGGCTAGTTATCATGTGTCAGTACCGTCAGGGCTAGTTATCATTTGTCAGTACCGTCAAGGGCTGGTTATCATGCGTCAAGGGCTAGTTATCATGTGTCAGTACAGTCAAGGGCTAGTTATCATGTGTCAGTACAGTCACGGGCTAGTTATCATGTGTCAGTACCGTCACGGGCTAGTTATCATGTGTCAGTACCGTCATGGGCTAGTTATCATGTGTCAGTGCCGTCAAGGGCTAGTTATCATGCGTAAATACCGTCAAGGGCTAGTTATCATGTGTCAGTACCGTCACGGGCTAGTTATCATGCGTCAGTACCGTCAAGGGCTAGTTATCATGTGTCAGTACCGTCACGGGCTAGTTATCATGCGTCAGTACCGCCACGGGCTAATTAACGTGTGTCAGTACCGTCACGGGCTAATTATCATGTGTCAGTACAGTCAAGGGCTAGTTATCATGTGTCAGTACCGTCACGGGCTAGTTATCATGTGTCAGTACCGTCACGGGCTAGTTATCATGCGTCAGTACCGTCACGGGCTAGTTATCATGTGCCAGTACCGTCACGGGCTAATTATCATGTGTCAGTACCGTCACGGGCTAATTATCATGTGTCAGTACCGTCAAGGGCTAGTTACCATTTGTCAGTACCGTCACGGGCTAGTTATCATTTGTCAGTACCGTCAAGGGCTAGTTATCATGTGTCAGTACCGTCATGGGCTAGTTATCATGTGTCAGTACCGTCACGGGCTAGTTATCATGTGTCAGTACCGTTAAGGGCTAGTTATCATGCGTCAGTACCGTCACGGGCTAGTTATCATGTGTCAGTACCGTCACGGGCTAGTTGTCATTTGTCAGTACCGTCACGGGCTAGTTATCATGTGTCAGTACCGTCACGGGCTAGTTATCATGTGTCAAGGGCTAGTTATCATGCGTCAGTACAGTCAAGGGCTAGTTATCATGTGTCAGTACCGCCATGGGCTAGTTATCATGTGTCAGTACCGTCACGGGCTAGTTATCATGTGTCAGTACCGTCAAGGGCTAGTTATCATGCGTCAGTACCGTCACGGGCTACTTATAATGTGTCAGTACCGTCACGGGCTAGTTATCATGTGTCAGTACCGTCACGGGCTAGTTATCATGTGTCAGTACCGTCACGGGCTAGTTATCATTTGTCAGTACCGTCAAGGGCTAGTTATCATGTTTCAAGGGCTAGTTATCATGTGTCAGTACAGTCAAGGGCTAGTTATCATGTGTCAGTACCGTCAAGGGCTAGTTATCATGTTTCAAGGGCTAGTTATCATGCGTCAGTACCGTCAAGGGCTAGTTATCATGTGTCAGTACCGTCAAGGGCTAGTTATCATGTGTCAGTACAGTCAAGGGCTAGTTATCATGTGTCAAGGGCTAGTTATCATGCGTCAGTACCGTCACGGGCTAATTATCATGTGTCAGTACCGTCACGGGCTAGTAATCATTTGTCAGTACCGTCACGGGCTAGTTATCATGTGTCAGTACCGTCAAGGGCTAGTTATCATGTGTCAAGGGCTAGTTATCATGCGTCAGTACAGTCAGGGCTAGTTATCATGTGTCAGTACCGTCAAGGGCTAGTTATCATGTGTCAGTACAGTCAAGGGCTAGTTATCATGTGTCAAGGGCTAGTTATCATGTGTCAGTACCGTCAAGGGCTAGTTATCATGTGTCAAGGGCTAGTTATCATGTGTCAGTACCGTCAAGGGCTAGTTATCATGTGTCAGTACAGTCAAGGGCTAGTTATCATGTGTCAAGGGCTAGTTATCATGTATCAGTACAGTCATGGGCTAGTTATCATGTGTCAGTACCGTCACGGGCTAGTTATCATGTGTCAAGGGCTAGTTATCATGTGTCAGTACAGTCAAGGACTAGTTATCATGTGTCAGTACCGTCACGGGCTAGTTATCATGCGTCATTACCGTCAAGGGCTAGCTATCATGTGTCAGTACCGTCATGGGCTAGTTATCATTTGTCAGTACCGTCAAGGGCTAGTTATCATGTGTCAGTACCGTCAAGGGCTAGTTATCATGCGTCAGTACCGTCAAGGGCTAGTTATCATGTGTCAGTACCGTCAAGGGCTAGTTATCATGCGTCAGTACCGTCATGGGCTAGTTATCATGCGTCAGTACCGTCATGGGCTAGTTATCATGTGTCAGTACCGTCAAGGGCTAGTTATCATGTGTCAGTACCGTCAAGGGCTAGTTATCATGCGTCAGTACCGTCAAGGGCTAGTTATCATGCGTCAGTACCGTCATGGGCTAGTTATCATGTGTCAGTACCGTCAAGGGCTAGTTATCATTTGTCAGTACAGTCAAGGGCTAGTTATCATGTGTCAGTACCGTCACGGGCTAGTTATCATGTGTCAAGGGCTAGTTATCATGTGTCAGTACCGTCACGGGCTAGTTATCATGTGTCAGTACCGTCACGGGCTAGTTATCATGTGTCAGTACCGTCACGGGCTAGTTATCATGTGTCAGTACCGTCACGGGCTAGTTATCATGTGTCAGTACAGTCAAGGGCTAGTTATCATGTGTCAGTACCGTCAAGGGCTAGTTATCATGCGTCAGTACCGTCAAGGGCTAGTTATCATGCGTCAGTACCGTCATGGGCTAGTTATCATTTGTCAGTACCGTCAAGGGCTAGTTATCATGTGTCAGTATCGTCAAGGGCTAGTTATCATGTGCCAGTACCGTCAGGGGCTAGTTATCATGTGTCAGTACCGTCATGGGCTAGTTATCATGTGTCAGTACCGTCACGGGCTAGTTATCATGTGTCAGTACCGTCAAGGGCTAGTTATCATTTGTCAGTATCGTCACGGGCTAGTTATCATGTGCCAGTGCCGTCACGGGCTAGTTATCATGTGTCAGTACCGTCACGGGCTAGTTATCATGTGTCAGTACCGTCAAGGGCTAGTTATCATGTGTCAGTACCGTCACGGGCTAGTTATCATGTGTCAGTACCGTCACGGGCTAGTTATCATGTGTCAGTACCGTCACGGGTTAGTTATCATGTGTCAGTACCGTCAAGGGCTAGTTATCATGCGTCAGTACCGTCAAGGGCTAGTTATCATGTGTCAGTACCGTCACGGGCTAGTTATCATGTGTCAGTACCGTCAAGGGTTAGTTATCATGTGTCAGTACCGTCAGGGGCTAGTTATCATGTGTCAGTACCGTCACGGGCTAGTTATCATGTGTCAGTACCGTCAAGGGCTAGTTATCATGCGTCAGTACCGTCACGGGCTAGTTATCATGTGTCAGTACCGTCACGGGCTAGTTATCATGTGCCAGTACCGTCAAGGGCTAGTTATCATGCGTCTGTACCGTCATGGGCTAGTTATGATGTGTCAGTATCGTCAAGGGCTAGTTATCATGTGTCAGTACTGTCACAGGCTAGTTATCATGTGATTGTACCGTCACGGGCTAGTTATCATGCGCAGGTACAGTCAAGGGCTGGTTATCATGTGTCAGTACCGTCACGGGGTACAAATTAATTATTGATACCTATCATGGGATTGATAAGATGCACCGGTATCCACGGTATTTGAAATAAGAAGAATGATCAGATAAAATCACTATTTACATCTTGATGGCTGGTGCAGGCACGTGTCTGACCCAGACACTCGTGGGCGTTGCCGGCGTTGTTACAGACTGGACACATCAGGCTGGGCTGGCTGGGCACAACTGACCACGATGACCACACAACAGTTAGCAATACATTTGTCACATCAGATAGAAATGTTTGTTTGTTTGTTTAACACCGCACTCAGCAATGTTCCAGCTATATGACGACAATCTATAAATAATCGAGTCTGGACCAGACAATCCAGTGATTGACAGCATGACCCACGCAACTGGAATACGATGACATGCATCAACCAAGTCAGCGAGCCTGACCACCCGATCCCGTTAGTCGTTTCTTACGACAAACATAGTCGCCTCTTACCGCAAGCAAGGGTTGCTGAAGACCTACTCTACCACGGATCTTTACGGGTCGCGATGGAAATGTGCATGTATCCGACGTTGATACCTACAGTTATCCCTTTGTTGATGCAGCACTGCCAGTTGCATCTTATGAAGTGAGTGAGTAAACAAGTAGGGTGAGTGAGTGAGTGAGTGTTTAGCGTCGTATCGGCATTATTTCAGCCAGGAAGCGACGAGAACAAGTTGGTATATACTCAAGTGACTCATGAATACAAAGTTTTATATTTAACAACAAGTTTGTCAAACATATTTTCGAGGTCCAGAAACACACGGAGTTATCTGTAGTTGCACGGAATGTCGATGGTGTCAAAACAATTTCTGAAGGAAGCTACATCGTGTTGATCGAATTTGAGTAAACTTACTTTCATTGTACTTTTAAAAAACTGTCCATGGCATTGTACTTTCTCTCAGCAAACATGCATTCATATAAACAATATTCTTTTAAAAAAGGCATTCGTCTGTACGTGAGTGATAACCTAATTAAAATCAGATATTTTTCTAATCAAACTTTCTAATTGGGCAATCTAAATGCTCGATACGACTTGGCGTGGCATTCACAAACAAGTATACCTCGTCTCGAAAACAAATATGATCGGGAAGTTCCGAATGTAAGAAAATAAACCCATGATTTATTGTTGTGGATATGTCATACAACCTGTTTCTGAGCGCCACGGGATCTACTCCAAATGATGTCTTTAGTACATTTGTTCTTTGGCGGTTTTCGTTTGCTGAGATCGAAATTTCCAAATGGATATGTTGTAGAAATGAAGCCGGATCGGTGTAGAAATCTGACATGTGATAGGTTCAAGAAGCCACATCCTTCATGTAGAGAGGGTGGTTAACGTTAACTCAGGGTTCCGACCTTCTCTTGCTCTATTGTCAGAGATATTGCGTCGGAGTAAGAGATCTGATTTTAATGAGATTGCGTAAATGCATACTTGATGTTTTGCGAGAATAGGCACCAGTATAAGGCATCGCCCGGACTTACCTCCTGTTACCGGTGACCCCGTAACCACAGGTGAGGTGGCTGGTGACGTCATGTCCGTTCCCGCTGAATCAGTGGCATTGGCAGAATGTAATTTTACACATTTTAATTATTTTCAAATTAGTAATCTGCATCTTAAATAACTTGCGTTAACGAGTTATGATCAGCATTATGTTATTCTATGCATTGTAGGTGAGGTGAGGTGAAATGGGGTTTTACGTCGCGTCCAGGCTTATTGCACTTATATAGCGACGTGCATGCACGTGTGTGTGTGTGTGTGTGTGTGTGTGTGTGTGTGTGTGTTTGGCTGCTTGTACTAGTCCGGACTGATGCCGATTAATAGTGCTAGCACACTAAGATACCATGCCGAGGTCTAACATGAATACCCCACTCAGACACAGTATACTGACTCCGAGCCGACAAGTCCTTGTTTTAGCCCCTTAATGCCGAGCGCCAGACAGGGTAACAACAAGTACCATATTTTAACGTCTTTTGGTATGACGCGGCTGGGGATCGAACCCCGGACCTTTCGCTCTCCGGGCGGACGCGGAGGCGGTCTCTATGCATTGTACGTATGTTTGCTATGGTAGCTTTTCGTTCAAAGAAACGAACAGATAGAAAATAAAATAAACATCACATATTCAATAAGTATAATTAACTACATAAAACTAGTAGTTCTTTAAAAGATGGATACAAACTGATTATGAATGTTTAGCACGTACTCAATGATGAAGGGAGGTTAGGTATGTTTGCCAGTGTAAAACAAGACTTTGATGGTTTCTGATATCAGCAAACATATCCCTGATCAAGGTAAGAGTAATCTTTCTTTTTTTCTAACTGATTAAACCTCTACGATAGACCACCTACTGGTCTAATTAACAAACATTTTCCAACTGGTTACTAAAGTCTACTGACATTTTGGTGCCCGAGTGGAAAGTGAAATTCACTAAGTTAAACTGTACTGTTTCTGTCAGTGTACGGGGGCACGGGTGGCCCAGTCGTCTAAGGCGCCGCGATTCGCTGTGCAGAGTTGCGTCCCTTGGGCACGCCAGAAACCTATGATTGTGGGTTCGAATCCCGGTTCGCCCCGATTATGTTTCTAGGTTTGTCAGCACCATACCCGTGCTCGTGGGTTTCACCGAAGTGGTAAACGTCTTAGACCTGCATCACTTCGGGCCTTCCTCCCACATTAAGCTGACACGCCGTGATATAACTGGAATAATGTTAAAAGCGGCGTTAAACCCAACTCACTCACTCACTCTGTCAGTGTACAGTTCTAGTTCAATGTAAATAACGCCTTCAATCGCACAATACACATAAAATGTCAGGTGTTTTTTTTGTTATACCACATAGTAACCATTTGAAAATTGGATTGTACCACACAATTAACAACGATACTAGGCTGAAATAGTCGCCTGTTGTGAGATATTCATTGATTTCATGCATGAGTTGGGTTTAACGCCGCTTTTAACAGTATTCCAGTTATATCACGGCGTGTCAGCTTAATGTGGGAGGAAAGCCCGAAGTGATGCAGGTCTCAGATGTTTGCCACTTCGGTGAAACCCACGAGCACGGGTATGGTGCTGACAAACCTAGAAACATAATCGGGGCGAACCGGGATTCGAACCCACAATCTTAGGTTTCTGGCGTGCCCAAGGGACACAACTCTGCACAGGGAATCCCGGCGCCTTCGACGACTGGGCCACCCGTGCCCCCTGATGCATGTAAAGCTTATGATACCCGTAACCAAATACCTCAGCATCAAATAACCATTTCTTGTTTGTTTCATTGTTCGCCATCAAACATGGGTGCATCATTTTTATTGCCGGCAGTTTATAACAAGTTGACACTCAAACAAGGGACGGGACGATGCGTGAAAAGTTTACAGGGAAGTAAGAAGCTCACCATCACACTTGCCACATGTTACAGGGAAGTAAGAAGCTCACCATCACACGTGCCACATGTTACAGGGAAGTAAGAAGCTCACCATCACACGTGCCACATGTTACAGGGAAGTAAGAAGCTCACCATCACACGTGCCACATGTTACAGGGAAGTAAGAAGCTCACCATCACACGTGCCACATGTTACAGGGAAGTAAGAAGTTCACCATCACATGTGCCACATGTTACAGGGAAGTAAGAAGCTCACCATCACACGTGCCACATGTTACAGGGAAGTAAGAAGCTCACCATCACACGTGCCACATGTTACAGGGAAGTAAGAAGCTAACCATCACACGTGCCACATGTTACAGGGAAGTAAGAAGCTCACCATCACACGTGCCACATGTTACAGGGAAGTAAGAAGCTCACCATCACATTTGCCACGTGTTATAGGGAAGTAAGAAGCTCACCATCACACGTGCCACATGTTACAGGGAAGTAAGAAGCTCACCATCACACTTTCCACATGTTACAGGGAAGTAATAAGCTCACCATCACACGTGCCACATGTTACAGGGAAGTAAGAAGCTCACCATCACACGTGCCACATGTTACAGGGAAGCACGAAGCTCACCATCACACGTGCCACATGTTACAGGGAAGTAAGAAGTTCACCATCACATGTGCCACATGTTACAGGGAAGTAATAAGCTCACCATCACATGTGCCACATGTTACAGGGAAGTAATAAGCTCACCATCACACATGTTATAGGGAAGTAAGAAGCTCACCATCACACGTGCCACATGTTACAGGGAAGTAATAAGCTCACCATCACATGTGCCACATGTTACAGGGAAGTAAGAAGCTCACCATCACACATGTTATAGGGAAGTAAGAAGCTCACCATCACATGTGCCACATGTTACAGGGAAGTAATAAGCTCACCATCACATGTGCCACAAGTTACAGGGAAGTAAGAAGCTCACCATCACACGTGCCACATGTTACAGGGAAGTAAGAAGCTCACCATCACACGTGCCACATGTTACAGGGAAGTAAGAAGCTCACCATCACACATGTTACAGGGAAGTAAGAAGCTCACCATCACACGTGCCACATGTTATAGGGAAGTAAGAAGCTCACCATCACACATGTTACAGGGAAGTAAGAAGCTCACCATCACACGTGCCACATGTTATAGGGAAGTAAGAAGCTCACCATCACACATGTTACAGGGAAGTAAGAAGCTCACCATCACACGTGCCACATGTTATAGGGAAGTAAGAAGCTCACCATCACACATGTTACAGGGAAGTAAGAAGCTCACCATCACACGTGCCACATGTTATAGGGAAGTAAGAAGCTCACCATCACACATGTTACAGGGAAGTAAGAAGCTCACCATCACACGTGCCACATGCTATAGGGAAGTAAGAAGCTCACCATCACATGTGCCACATGTTACAGGGAAGTAATAAGCTCACCATCACATGTGCCACATGTTACAGGGAAGTAATAAGCTCACCATCACACATGTTATAGGGAAGTAAGAAGCTCACCATCACACATGTTATAGGGAAGTAAGAAGCTCACCATCACACGTGCCACATGTTACAGGGGAGTAAGAAGCTCACCATCACACGTGCCACATGTTACAGGGAAGTAAGAAGCTCACCATCACACGTGCCACATGTTATAGGGAAGTAAGAAGCTCACCATCACACGTGCCACATGTTACAGGGAAGTAAGAAGCTCACCATCACACTTGCCACATGTTATAGGGAAGTAAGAAGCTCACCATCACACGTGCCACATGTTACAGGGGAGTAAGAAGCTCACCATCACACGTGCCACATGTTATAGGGAAGTAAGAAGCTCACCATCACACGTGCCACATGTTACAGGGAAGTAAGAAGCTCACCATCACACGTGCCACATGTTATAGGGAAGTAAGAAGCTCACCATCACACGTGCCACATGTTATAGGGAAGTAAGAAGCTCACCATCACATGTGCCACATGTTACAGGGAAATAAGAAGCTCACCATCACACGTGCCACATGTTACAGGGAAGTAAGAAGCTCACCATCACACGTGCCACATGTTACAGGGAAGTAAGAAGCTCACCATCACACGTGCCACATGTTACAGGGAAGTAATAAGCTCACCATCACACGTGCCACATGTTACAGGGAAGTAAGAAGCTCACCATCACATGTGCCACATGTTACAGGGAAGTAAGAAGCTCACCATCACACGTGCCACATGTTACAGGGAAATAAGAAGCTCACCATTACACGTGCCACATGTTACAGGGAAATAAGAAGCTCACCATCACACGTGCCACATGTTACAGGGAAGTAAGAAGCTCACCATCACACGTGCCACATGTTACAGGGAAGTAAGAAGCTCACCATCACACTTGCCACATGTTACAGGGAAGTAAGAAGCTCACCATCACACGTGCCACATGTTACAGGGAAGTAAGAAGCTCACCATCACACGTGCCACATGTTACAGGGCAGCACGAAGCTCACCATCACACGTGCCACATGTTACAGGGAAGTAAGAAGCTCACCATCACACTTGCCACATGTTACAGGGAAGTAAGAAGCTCACCATCACACGTGCCACATGTTACAGGGAAGTAAGAAGCTCACCATCACACGTGCCACATGTTACAGGGCAGCACGAAGCTCACCATCACACGTGCCACATGTTACAGGGCAGCACGAAGCTCACCATCACACGTGCCACATGTTACAGGTCAGTATGAATCTTATCATCACACATGCCTCATGTTACAGGTCAGTATGAATCTTATCATCACACATGCCACGTGTTACAAGGCAGTATGAATCTTATCATCACATTGGCCACATGTTACAGGTCAGTATGAATCTTATCATCACACGTGCCACATGTTACAGGTCAGTATGAAGCTCACCAGCACACATGCCACGTGTTACAGTGCAGTACGAAACTCACCTCCACACGTTCCTCGTCTGACCAAGCAGTACGAAACTCACCTCCACACGTTCCTCGTCTGACCAAGAAGTACGAAACTCACCTTCACACGTGCCACGTGTGACCAAGCAGTTCGAAGCTCACCATTTCACGTGACCAAGCAGTACGAAGCTCGCCATTACACGTGCCACGTGTGACCAAGCAGTTCGAAGCTCACCATTACACGTGACCAAGCAGTACGAAGCTCACCTTCTCACGTGCCACACGTAACAGGGCAGTACGAGGTTCACCATCACACGTGACATATGTTACAGGGCGTACAAGGCGGTACGAAGCTCACCATCCCAGATCCCGCACGTTACAGTTCAGTAAGAAGCTCGCCATCACACGTGCCGCATGTTACCAAGCAGTACGAAGCTCACCTTCACACAGGTCGCATGTAACAGGGCAGTACGAGGTTCACCATCACACTCGACATATGCTACAGGGCGTACAAGGCAGTACTAAGCTCACCATCACAAATACCGCACGTTACAGTTCATTAAGAAGCTCACCATTACACGTGCCGCATGTTACCAAGCAGTACGAAGCTCACCTTCACACAGGCCGCATGTTACCAAGCAGTACGAAGCTCACCTTCACACAGGCCGCATGTTACCAAGCAGTACGAAGCTCACCTTCACACAGGCCGCATGTTAAAGGACAGAAGAGTAGGGCCAGGTCGGGATCTGGGCAGGTGCTTGCGATGTTCAGGAGGCAGGGGTACAGAGTGGAGTCCCTACACATCCCCTTCGGGACGCGTGTGGTGGCGGCTGCCGTGGTAGGCACATCTGTCACTAGAATAATCAGATAATCAAACGAATTAATTATCTCATTGTGGATAATCTTACACAATCATGACGAACTTGAGTTCTACATCACCCTTACTAAAGTTGCCATAAATAAGTAATTGTTGTTTACGTGCACGTTTACAGCATTTTATTAAATACTTTTCACTTTACAGTCTGTGGTTCATGAGACTATTTGAGTGGTGTAGTATTCTGGTGGTTCCAAAGGCCCGGGTTCGATTCCCCGCATGTACGTCATTCAATGTGCAGCCTTTTTCCGGCGTCTGCCGGCATGACATTGCTGGAATATTGCTAGAAGCGGCTTTCAACCCTATTCACACACCTACTCACTTAATTGGTTGGCACAGTTTAAGATGCACTTATGTCCAAGATATTATGTGCGTGGAATTTTGCACGTCATGGTGTTTACAGAGGGCATAAATTACCGCCCATTCCTATCGGGGGTATTACATCTCCGTTGCATGACAAAGACCATGGGCCCATTTCGCCACCAAAAGCGGAAGTGACGTCACCATCTCAATCTCTCATAAACCTGTTTCATCAAAGGATATCTCCTGGTCAGAGTGTAAATCGAATGGACGACCTTTTGTAGAGTTCTGTCACTCGAATGAGGCTCAAAACGAATCTAAGTGGTTGGGTCCGGGGCGGTCATAGCATAATGGGAATATAATACCCTGTTATATCGAGGATGGGTGTCTTGGTGGAATCTAAACACTATCCATTTACTCATAGGACACGGGGCCCGGTTGGCCGGATGGTCTAAAGCTCTGTAATTTGCAGCTGCGTGTCTTAGGCTTGCCATGATTCTATCGTAGGTTCTAACACTAGATTCACCCTGGTTATGTTTCCAGGTTTGTTAGCACCATACCCTTGCTCGTTGGCTTTACTAAAGGGATACGTCGTCGTGGACACGGGTGGCCCAGTCGTCTAAGGCGCCGCAACTCGCTGTGCAGAGTCGGGTCCCCAGGGCACGCCAGAAACCTATGAATGTGGGTTCGAATCCCGGTTCGCTCCGATTATGTATAAAAGCACCATTCCCTTGCTCGTTGGTTTTACTAAAGGGATACGTCATCGTGAACTGGGGACACGGGTGGCCCAGTCGCTGTGCAGAGTTCCGTCCCTTGGGCACCCCAGAAACCTATGGCTGTGGGTTCGAATCCCAATAATGTCTCTAGGTTTACAATCACCATGTCTTTGGTGGTGGGTTCCACCAACGTTGTAGAAATCTCGTCTCGCTTTGGGCTTTCCTCCCAAATCACATCAATTTGACACTCTGTGGTATAACTGGGCTTCTGCTCAAAGCCTTGTTAAACCAATGTCTTTTGTTGGTCTCTTACTTTTGCATTAATGTCCCCTTATTCTAAAAAATAAATCGAAGCGATTTGACGAAAAATTCCCGAAAAACAGCCTCACCTTTGCAGACACCACAGGTGAGAGGGCAAAATTCGCTGGCAAAGGCGGCATCTCCGCATGCGGTGGCACTAGCAGAAACCTGGCAAGGGAACAGGTCTTTGTCTTTACATGTAGTGACTGCTGTCGGCGTAGTCGCCACGGCCGCTGGAGTGGATGACGCAGGAGCCATTGCTGTTGACCCTGATGCGGTTGTCTGTGGAAGGGGCGTGGTCTGCAAGCTTAATGTCCGATTGACACATGCGTAGTCATGGCAACAGGTCGTACATTTCCCAGTGTTGCTGTCGCAGTCTGCCACGCCGGGGTGTCGGTTGAAGTCATGGAGACACTAAACAGAGCGATAAAATCATTAATGATGTTAACATGGTGAGTTTGGTTTTACGCCAGTTTTAGCAATATTCAAGCAATATCACCGCGGGACACCAGAAATGTCTCAAATCGGCGTGACGAGCGAACGCTTTAACCACTAGGCTACCCGACCGCCCCTGATGTAAATATAGAAATACTGATGATGAAAACATTTAGAGAATAAACTACATTTATTTACTATTTAACACCGCAGACAGCATTATTTAGGCTACATGACGGTGGCTGTAAATAATCGAGCCTGGCAAAGACAAACCAGTGATTTATCTTGTTAGCGGCGTACCTCGCCTAAGGCTATAATAACATATTCGACTCAGTCTGACCACCCGATCAAGTTAGTGCTTCTTAGACAAGTATATAGGTCTCTGTGAGGGGGCACGGCTGGCCCAGTCGTAGAAGGCGTCGCGATTCGCTGTGTAGAGTTGCGTCCCTTGGACACGCCGGAAACCTATGATTGTGGGTTCGAGTTCCGGTTCGCCACGATTATGTTTCTAGGTTTGTCGCCACCATACCCGTGCTCGTGGGTTTCACCGAAGTGGTAAACGTCTAAGACTTCGGGCTTACCTCCCACATTAAGCTGACACGCTGCGATATAACTGAATACTGTTAAAAGCGGCGTTAAACCCAACTCACTGGAGAATAAACTAGAAAATGTCATTGCACAATTACATTACATATAAAGTATGTAACAACTTGCGTGTTCATTGCTCTCGCATTTGGCAGAAAACAAGCCATGCTCCAGAGTCAGCTCGCACGTCTGAAACCGTAAAGAACAAGGAATTAATTACAACATGCCATCACATCGTTCGGGAAACACTTCGCGGCGTTTATGACCCGCAGAGTACTCTATGACTTGTTAATTTTGTTGAACCTAGAATAGGGACTGGTCATTTATTGTAAGTTGAAGTTGGGGGTGGGTGGGGGCGGTGAGATGGGTTTTGGAACTGTATGAAATTGCCTCCCCCAGCCACCCCCATTTTACGTAGCATGTATTCAGGACACAATCCCCCCTAAATAAATAATGACCCTCTGGCCATAATAAGTGAGACTTTTCTTTTGAAGCATCTTTTTGGTACCCCCCCCCCCCCCCCCCTCAGCGCTGTGTCATTTTTGCGCATGGTACCCTGGATCTCACCGGTCCCGACCCACCTCCACCCCCTATCCGTGATGTATGCCAAGTTGTACCACGGCGGTGGTATTATCAACTTACCCCATGATGACTATCGCACGGTTCAAAGGTGTCAATACATTTCTGAGGATCGCTTTCGTGCTTACAGTGCGGGCAGTGGAGGACATTCGGAATAGCGTCAAACCCTGAAACAGAAACGGACTTTAACAATCGGCTCAACACAAACGACCTTTCAGAATTGTGAGGGCAGAGAGTAGTCTAGCGGGGATCCTATGGCTCGCAGCGTCTACGACCCGGTCCAATGGTGTACATACATGGGAATTAGGTTGAATACATGACTATAATTGTCACGCATTGCTTCTGAACATATTATATTCCCACAACAGTATTATACAACACATTTGTCTCAGAAACATTCTTAATTTTGAGCAAATCAAATTATTTTATTATTATTCCAGTGTTTCTGGAACGAATTTATTTTCGCAATACCAGCAACCCCCTCCTTCTCGCCCTAAACCAGAATGTCAAATATCGTTTCCTGAACAAACAAATAGTAAAATTAAGTGATCACCTTTTTGAATTTGCATCAATGAGGTGCGACACTCGTCGCCGGTACAACACACAGTACATCTATCGGAAGGGCCGAACTGGACACCGCCCGTGCAGTTGATGCTGGAACGGATGCTCTCAGAACTGCAATCCTTAAAGGGAAAATATACTATTATATATAAACTGCCTATTTGTCCGACATGACGCTCCACGTGGCGCTACGTAACGATTTGTATGACACTGTATGACAATGCAAAACGCGTCATATGATGCTGCAAATGGTTTAAGATGACACTGTATGACAATGCAAAACGCGTCACATGATGCTGCAAATGGCTTAAGATGACACTGTATGACAACGCAAAACGCGTCACATGATACTGCAAATGGTTTAAGATGACACTGTATGACAACGCAAAACGCGTCACTTGACACTGCAAATGGTTTAAGATGACACTGTATGACAACGCAAAACGCGTCACATGATACTGCAAATGGTTTAAGATTACACTGTATGACAATGCAAAACGCGTCACGTGACACTGCAAATGGTTTAAGATGACATTGTATGACAATGCAAAACGCGTCACGTGATACTGCAAATGGCTTAAGATGACACTGTATGACAACGCAAAACGCGTCACATGATACTGCAAATGGTTTAAGATGACACTGTATGACAACGCAAAACGCGTCACTTGACACTGCAAATGGTTTAAGATGACACTGTATGACAACGCAAAACGCGTCACATGATACTGCAAATGGTTTAAGATGACACAAGGCCATGAGTTCCCACCGCTCCATGAGTTTTGTAAACGGCGACTCAAGTGGTTGGGGTTATCTGTGACTTTGTTGATTGATATCTAACTGGGATCTGTCGGTTATGAACAGTGACCGTATTGATCGTGTGCCATGCTCAATAACAAACCACTAAATAACGTTATACTGCATGCCTCTTGGCAGAATTCTCACATAACACTTAACGTTGTCCTGTGGTTGCTTACATACCACTTCCTGACACTTTGCTGGATGTTTACATGACGCTGTGGGGGCACGGGTGGTCAGGTCGTTTAAGGCGCCGTAATTCGCTGTGCAGAGTTGCGTCCCTTGGGCACGCCAGAAACCTATGATTGTGGGTTCGAATCCCGGTTTGCCCCGATTATGTTTCTAGGTTTGTCAGCAGCATACCCGTGCTCGTGGGTTTCACCGAAGTGGTAAACGTCTTAGACCTGCATCACTTGGGGCTTTCCTCCCACATTAAGCTGACACGCCGTGATCTAACTGGAGTACTGTTAAAGAGGCGTTAAACCCAACTCACTCACTCACATGACGCTGTGCGGGATGTTCACATAACACTGCGTGACGCATGATAATGATATGGTAACGGGTGGTTGAACTCCCCAAAACCTCACATCCGTATACCATTATTGGAACAACCGTATGATCAAAAGCACTCATTCAAGAAAACAACCAGGTGGTCAATGTCAATTCTTCCTTGAGAGGACAACTAATACATCGCCTTTAAACCTTGATTTCTTAATGATGTACAGGCAAAACGTTAAAACATTAAGACCCCTCATTTTCTCAAAGGGAAGAACATAACTTCGAACAATGTCGTCCGGGCAGCGTACACCATTCAAATTGCCATTACCAATGATTCTCCCATGAGTTGTGATGCCACCCCATACTATTACACTGACAACGTTGAGTATCGCACGTTCACGTTCTCCCGGACGACTGTAGAGCCGGACTAGACCATCAGAGCTGTCAAGATGAAACCTGGACTCATCTGTGAACAGTATACTGTCCTAATCTTGTCGTCGGAAATTCAGATGCTGTCTACACCAGGCTAGGCGTACCTGACAGTGACGTAGAGGTCAAATTTGGCGTATTGCTGGACTTTCGGTCGGGATGGTGTGCTCCCTCAACCGGTTACGTACGGTTCTGCCACTGATTGATTTCAACCAAGGAATTGTCTGAGTTGTTAATGTGGCAGTTTGGTATCGATTCCGTAGATCCACCAACCGAATATGGTTGTCTTGGTGACGTGACGTCACACGTGGACGACAGGTCCGTGACAAGTGATGAGTGTCGACCTACTGTGGATGACGTCTCCAAAGAGATGATGTTGTGTTTCGAGGAACATTAAAATGTCTTGCAACTTCGTTTTGCGCCATTCCTGTTTGCAGTATTCCAAACGCGCGTAAGCGTTGATTTTCAACAAGCCGTGGCTTTGCGCCAACGATGTGCACAGTTAAACAGAATTGCGTGGTGTTCACATTAAAAATAACACGTGTACGAGTGTCATGCTCCCAACAAACATCCACACTGTGCGCCGTGCATTATCATGCACGTGCAAATTGTTAATCACGACCTCACAGAGGAGGAAATTGAAATATGCATTTATTTTTTACTGATTTTTATATGAAGCACATTTACTTTTTACCATCAGTATATAACCTTGAAGTACATCAACCTTGACCTCTTAGTGAAACTAATCTACCTCACTCATCCCTCACTAACGAATGTCAATCTCACTGGTCCAAGTTACTTGGCTGCCCAATTGATTAACTATTATTTAGAAAAATATATATAAATAAATGTATAATAGTTTTCTTTGATGCACAGAATGCATGCTTCCCGAGGCAAGTCCCGTGCTGTAAATACTACTGTTCATGTTTACTCCATCTCATAGACGGACGTGGTATGGTTGAAGATGATCATGAGGGCTGAGTATCACCTGGTATCTTTCGATACGATTCGTATCACCATACAGACTAACGTTAATACTACTGGTATCACGATACACCACATCAAATAGCAAGAAATGATAAAATCACTGAATTACATCTCGAAAACCTCCTTCTCCATACATTTATTTATCTCAACAACTTTAACAGAGAAAAACACTACAACAACACAGTTTTAAGTGAAGAGATGGTTATTAAATGTAACAGTTAGCCGGCGCGTCCTCAGCTACCAGACCCGTGAAGATTCCGGGGTGGAATAGGTCTTCAGCATCCCATGCTTGCCGTAAAAGGCGACTATGCTTGTCGTAAGAGGCGACTAACAGGATCGGGTGGTCAGGCTCGCTGACTTGGTTGATACATGTCATCGATCCCAATTGCGTGGATAGATGATCATGATATCAATCACTGGATTGTCTGGTCCAGACTCGATTATTTACAGACCGCCGTCATATAGCTGGAATATTGCTGAGTGCGGCGTTAAACAGCAGGCCAAAAGCCAACCAACTCAGCTACCACATCCTTGTGTTCTGCCATGCTTGCAGGTGGCGCTATGCTACTTCGGCCATTATGGGAGGTAACTCTATTAGCTCCTCATCTATTTATAGCGTGTCGCGAACTCACAAACTGCCGATTCAAGTATCGTGTGCACCTAAGGTATCGGTGAATCGTTACAGCCCTCATGATCATCGACCGCTCATAATCCCAAACAGAGGCGTACATCACTGTGCTAGTGAAGCGCCACTGTGATTGTGTTCAGAAAGAGAATTACATTGTGACGTCAATTAGTTTTTAGGTCACGAGTTTGGTCTTTCAGCCTTGGGCATCGCCCGTGACTTCGTATTATAGTGAGTGAGTAAGTATGGTTTTACGCCGCTTTTAGCAATATTCCAGCAATATCACGGCGGGGGACACCAGAAATGGGCTTCACACATTGTACCCATGTCGGGAATCGAACCAGGGTCTTCGGCGTGACGAGCTAACGCTTTAACCACAAGGCTACCCGACCGCACCACTTCGTATTATAACGCTCGTAAGAAGGTGTAATTGCTAGTACATGTACATACGAAAGCAGCTTTACATTCCGACTTGATGTGCCATTTAGAAACTGAAATCTTGCAAATCTGAAACAAAGAAGGACATATTTAAAAAAAAAAGATGTCAAAAGGTTCGAGACAGTAGTTTAAGTCCATATCGACCTCGGCGACCCCTTAGGTTGGGGTCGAGGAGGCGTGATCAAACTAGCACAGATACTGACCTATTTACGATCCAATATGTCTGAAAAAGTTCCGAAAATTTGTCAAATAAAGAGCCATAACACATACTGCAGTGATTTCCCCCCAAATGTTTAACATTCCCGTCACATTTATCAAAATATGCATTCCATAGAGATCTTGAATACTTTAATCCTATATCCCACCGATCCTATATTCTTACAAGGAAACCAATACTTGAAGAGTCTAACTATATTTTTACCTTTACATGGACCAACGACCAAAGGTTTTGAGAAAATATATCCCAGCTGCCTAAAGAAACGTGCAATGTGTAAACAAAGGAATTTTTTAAAACATATTTACGTCGTTGCTGTGGTGACAGGTTGTTGTTTTGGTGAGGCAGTCGTGGATGTTGCCAACATGGTCACAGGAAGGACACTGAAGAGGTTGTGGGGCTGAAAGTTAAGCAGATGATCTGTCTGAATGGTCCCTGTCGAGTTGGCGGTGCTCTGTACTGTTTCGTGAATATCTAAGCTAAATATATTTGCTTATTTAAAGTTTACACGATACACAGCGTCTCCATTGCACGAGACGCTGATCAGTTGATCACGAGACCGTATTCTAGAGAGAACAAAACACTATCGGTCTACTTCCACACTCACGTAAGCCCCTGGGATTTCCCCAGTATAGAAGGATACATATTCGTTGTTTATCATCACGTGGTCACTTTAATCTGACTCTAATTTTTTACACACATTTGAAAATGTGAAAAGATTAAGACAGCATTTGGGAATTTCTCACACGGCATTGTGACGACAATTTGGGTGTGGTGTGCGTGAAAAGTTGTTGGATAACTCGCTGGAATAAGCATACCCTGACACAGAGGAATTACACGAGGTTAGTATGAAGAAAACTATCGTCACTTTAGCATCCAGCATAGTCTATTTAACTGAATATATGAAGACCGTGAATAATACTTGTACTTTTCGTGCGCAGACAGGTGAAATAAATAACGCTAAACTGAATGAACTGTTAGAAATGATAAGAGGTGGAACTCGACCTTAAAGACACAACTAACCAATCAGGCAGAATTAGTGAACTGAAACAGAAGACTGATCAAGGGGAAACCTACACAAGAAGGCATAACCTACTCTTCTTTGGTATTGATATCAGACCTCATGACGACCAAGGTGAAAGGGATCTAGTAAGGGGATTTTCATAGGAGACGCTTGATATTACAAACCCTCGTGAAATTCAGTTTGATGGGTATAGACTAAGATCCAGACATGGAAGGCCCTCAATTATTGCAAAGTTTCTCAGCAGTGAAGACAAATCCCGATTTATGTTCAACCGAAAGAGACACTGTGGCAGAAAACAGAGGTTGTAGTGTCTGAGGATCACACATCAAGGGTCAGAGAAAGAGGGATGAAGTTGGAACAATTTCTGAAACCGCTAGATACGAGGAAAAGCAAGCTTATCTGAAAGGCGAGGATGAAGTTGGAACAATTTCTGAAACCGCTAGATACGAGGAAAAGCAAGCTTATCTGAAAGGCGAGGAAGAAGTTGGAACAATTTCTGAAACAGCTAGATACGAGGAAAGCAAGCTTATCTGAAAGGCGAGGAAGAAGTTGGAACAATTTCTGAAACCGCTAGATACGAGGAAAAGCAAGCTTATCTGAAAGGCGAGGAAGAAGTTGGAACAATTTCTGAAACCGCTAGATACGAGGAAAAGCAAGCTTATCTGAAAGGCGAGGAAGAAGTTGGAACAATTTCTGAAACCGCTAGATACGAGGAAAAGCAAGCTTATCTGAAAGGCGAGGAAGAAGTTGGAACAATTTCTGAAACCGCTAGATACAAGGAAAAGCAAGCTTATCTGAAAGGCGAGGATGAAGTTGGAACAATTTCTGAAACCGCTAGATACGAGGAAAAGCAAGCTTATCTGAAAGGCGACCATCTTCCCATTGACAAAGAAATTTTCTACTACGATGAAGCTACCGAGCAACCGGGAAAAGTGAAAACAGACAGTTACAGCTGAGGTTCAATGGCACACCTGTAATTGACAACATAAACAAATGGCAGGCTAGCCATGACCCAGTTTCTGTAAGTGACATTGTGACCTGCAGTGATCAACTCGTGGCCTCAGCTTTGTGGCCTCAGGAATTTCATTGACAAATTTGAACCTCAATGGTTTTTACTCTCAGCTGGATTTGGAAAACACTATCGGTGAGATAGCACTATTCTGAAACTGTTCATGTATCCTTAATAAGATCTTGGGATGTTTCATTTCAACCTAGCTTTTACAACATACTTACATTCATTTATCATATGTTCGGTGAATAATATGTGATGTGAACCGGATATAATTTAAGAAGAACGTGTATGGTCGGATTTAGGGTTTAGATAGAAAACTTCCATTCAAAAATGAAAGGTACGTCTGTATTTTGTAAGACAAAACAAAATAAATATGTTTCCTCGCAGTCGACTGTGATGATCAAATGGTGAATGAACTCGTACATTCTCCTCTCCGTCTCGATGACGACATTCTACTTTTTCATTGAGTAGCTATATCAAGAGATCGAGGACTGATTCATTCTTTCACAATTGGGTGATATTCCGTTTAGTATACATCTAAAGGTATCTACCCTGACTACATTCCACATAGCTAGCATTCCTAAAGAATTCCAAATAGCTGGCATTCCTAAAGAATTTCTCAACTATGACATTTTAACAAAGGCAGCATTCTTCACATTCTTAACATGCATGCATAATGGCGCCGTTCTCATTGTGACGTCATGCATGTCTATTAGCATAACACTAGGCTCATAAATATTCATAGGGCGCCTTCCACGGAAGGCGTCGACCTCCACATTATATACTACTTACACCTTATTACATCTGTACACCTGATTACATTTGTACACCTGATTACATTTGTACACCTGATTACATTTGTACACCTGATTACATTTGTCCACCTTATTACACCTGTACACCTTATTACATTTGTACACCTGATTACATTTGTACACCTGATTACATTTGTACACTTGTTTACATTTGTACACCTGATTACATTTGTACACCTGATTACATTTGTACACATTATTACATCTGTACACCTTATTACATTTGTACACCTGATGACATTTGTACACCTGATTACGTTTGTACACCTGATTACATTTGTACACCTTGTTACATCTGTACACCTGATTACATTTGTACACCTGATTACATTTGTACACCTGATTACATTTGTACACCTTATTACATCTGTACACCTTATTACATTTGTACACCTGATTACATTTGTACACCTTATAACATCTGTACCCCTTATTACATTTGTACACCTTATTACATTTGTACACCTGATTACATTTGTACACCTGATTACATTTGTACACCTGATTACATTTGAACACCTTATTACATTTGTACACCTGATTACATTTGAACACCTTATTACATTTGTACACCTGATTACATTTGTACACCTGATTACATTTGTACACCTGATTACATTTGTACATCTTATTACATTTGTACACCTGATTACATTTGTACACCTTGTTACATTTGTACACCTTATTACATTTGTACACCTTATTACATTTGTACACCTTATTACATTTGTACACCTGATTACATTTGTACACCTGATTACATTTGTACATCTTATTACATTTGTACACCTGATTACATTTGTACACCTTTTTTCATTTGTACACCTTATTACATTTGTATATCCGAAACTTCGTACCCTCACATTAAAAAGTTCGAAGTTTTATCGTTTACTGAATCAGATCATCTTCAAATTTCTATGCCAGTAAAAGATATAATCAAAATGGCAGTACCATCATTGACACCTGATTATGCACAATGTAAAAGGAGAACAAGCTGTAGATGGATAAACGAACGAGAGCAGGATTACAAGGCTAAATAGAGTGATAGCTCAGTGACTGGTATGCTGAAGACATTTGAAGATTTTGTCCCACCACACACAAATATTAATCCAGCAACTTCGACCCTACAACAAGCTATGCAGATATGTGGTGAAAGGAAGCTAGTTACAAACAATAACAGACCATGACAACGATTAGACTGGTTTGACAAGGTTGGTTGGTTGGTTTGTTGTTTAACGCCGCACTCAGCAATATTCTAGCTATATGACGGCGGTCTGTAAATAATCGAGTCTGGACCAGACAATCCAGTGATTAATATCATGAGCATCGATCCACGCAATTGGGATCGATCACATGCATCAACCAAGTCAGCGAGCCTGACCACCCGATCCCGTTAGTCGCCTCTTACGACAAGCATAGTCACCTTTTACGGCAAGCATGGGTTGCTGAAGACCTATTCTACCCCGGATCTTCACGGGTCGGTTTGACAAGGAATGTGAAGGTAGCAAACCACAAATACAACATGCTGAACACCTTAAGATATCAGGCATAAGAGCCACTAACAAGGATGGACGCAAGGTCATTATGTAACACCTTATGTCAAGGCAGTCAGGTAGATAACATCAATTAGAAAGCTGTATCATACATAAATAAAGCAGCTAATAAAAGATGCTGTACAATGGTATGGAAACTGATAAAGAAGTATTTGAGTAAAGGTGCTAAAGAAACCAGCTGATTTTCATATTCTTGAATGACTAACTTCAAACAACTATTAGTGAGTGAGTGGGTTGGGTTTAACGCCGCTTTTAACAGTATTCCAGTTATATTACGGCGTGTCAGCTTAATGTGGGAGGAAAGCCCGAAGTAATGCAGGTCTAAGACGTTTACCACTTTAGTGAAACCTACGTGCATGGGTATGGTGCTGACAAACCTAGAAACATAATCGTGGCGAACCGGGATACGAACCCACAATCATAGGTTTCTGGCGTGTCCAAGGGACGCAACCCTGCACAGCGAATCGCGGCGCCTTCGACGACTGGGCCACCCTCTTAGCTAGAGGGTTTAGGGACAAGACTCCATCTATAACCCCAACTCAGGTAAATCGCCAGGTGAATATGGAGATGGAGTTTTTAAAGTCAGCTGAACCTTTATTCTCTTCCTTATCTTGTGATTCTTTTTAATTACAAATTAAACTCTAGACACTTTCCACAATCATGGAAAGAACCTTTCAACAGTGGACAGTATCTATATATTACAAAGTGTCATCCGAAAGTCATCACCAGAAAAAAAAGGAAAAGTTTGATGTGGATTTATAGATTCCATAAAGGTATTTGATATGGTTAAGCTCCTATACTCCATGCTGCAGAATGGAATTCATGACAAACATTTTAAGATTATAAAGAATATGTATAAAAATGTCCAATCAACTGTACCGGTGGAAAGAAACTAAATTTATCGAGAGTGCCTGTGGTGTAAGACAAGGAAGTGCTCTTAGCCCTATATTATTCTCCTTGTTCAACAATGAAATCACTACCCATTTTAATAGTTCATTTCAGGGCCAGGTATTTATATATAAGGGGGGGGGGGGGGGGGGAGGAAATGTTTAACATGATTTTAGTGCTTTTTGCAGATCATCTGGTTTTGGTGGCTGATACAGTTGTCAATCTACAACGAAGAATAAATAAGCCTCAAGACGCTTCTGTAATGTGGTGTATGGACATCAATTTAGAAAAAAATTAAGTAGTTGTTTTTAAAAAAGATAGATTAATGAGTAAATTTAAAAAGTGGTCATACATTGACAAACCAATTACAGTTGTCAACGTGTATAGATGTCTGGGTCATGACTCCAATGTCAGTATGGATAAAGGCCTACAAACAACCCAGTAAAGCACATTTTCCTATAAAATATCGTAAAGGAAATACGATATATCGGTTCCGATTGCTTTTCAGATGTTTGATAAGAAGATTGTACCTATTGTGACATATGTTTTGGAAATTTGGGGATTTACTGTTATGAAAATATTGAAATTGTAAATAGAAAACATTGTTAATTTATCTTGGCTGTAGGCAAAAAAAACCCAAACTGTGTTACATATTGGGAAACTGGTAGATATCCTCTATTTATTATATATTTGGAAAACAATGTAATAGTTACTGGCTTCGTCTATGGATAATGGCACATCAGAGGTACCGATAGCAATGCTACAGGGTGTTAGTAAGTATAATTGATAGAAAATCTCAAATTGTGCTTCCAAGATATCTATAATTCCAACATGGTTTAGGTATGTGCGGATACTTCTGTCTACATTAAAGCAGAGAATGAAAGACCACACAGCTCTGCTTTGCTTCACAATGCACATCACCTTTTATTCCATTCTAGACTGTGAATATTATTTATTAGATATAGAATCATTTAGTTAAAGAAGAATTTATCCAAATTTAGTAGGGGATGCAATAGCTCAGGCACCCGGAACTATACGAGTTAAATAATGATGATGCATTATGTAAAATATGTAAATGCCCGAAGATGAAAACCACATTTTAAGGGCAGCATGGGGGATGTGTTACTCCCAAAAAGAAAAGGCAACATGGATCACTGAATTATATCTATTTGTCCAATCTCATTTCAAATCACATTCTCTTATTAAACTTGCCAAATATCTCACATGTGTATCTAATATACTGGAAGAATTGTAAACTGTTTGTAACTCTCACTAGACAACATGTGTAACTACATTTGTACTATGGCTCTTTAATCCTCGACTACGAATACACTCATCTGTTTGACTTTTTTTGTCAGACGTACGTCTTGGTGTAGTTGTAGTTGTAGTTGCCGCGTCTGTGGTTGCCGCCTGTGTCATTGCCGAGATTGTTGTTGCCGCGTCTGTAGCGGTAGCCAGTTTTGTTGCCGCCTCTGAAGTTAACGCCTGTGTCGTTGCCGTAGGAGGCATCGTTACAGCAGATGTAGGTGCCGCTGAAACACAAGAAAATCGATACCACACTCTGCCATTTGAACTTAACGCAGATTTAAACAGTCAGTCAGTCAGTTTTATCACGGCGTATCAGCTTCACCTGTATGCTATATGCACGGTTTAATATGTGATGTGAAATCAACTACAATCCTAAATAAATCCACCATTGATCATTCAGTGTAAAACAAGTGAACTGATGAAGCTTAAATTCACATGCTTGTTCCAACCAATGATGACACCGGAATTTGCGAACAGGTGCGAACACCATTTTCAATATGGCCGCCCCAACAGCCATATTGAATTACCTATTATGGCCATTACTTAGCTCGACTTCAAAATGTAATGCAGTTTGGTATGTGTGTGTTAAGTTGTGGGGATGTACATGTGTGTGTTTTGCGATGTTTGCAATTTTTGACTTGACATTTGCACTTTGACAACGTTACTAAATTCTCCCGAAATGCGCTCTACGCTCTGTGAGCATTTCCAAAGAAGCCTAGACACCTCACTTTCTTGTTGAAGAGGTTCATGTCAGATTTTAAATATGGCCGCCTCAGCTACTATGTAGAAAGCCTGCTTATGGCCACTGCTAAGCCAATTCTGCTAAAAATGTAATGCAGTGCTCTTAAATTCTTTCAAATTCAAATGCAGTTTTGGCTCTATAAACATCTTCTCCTTTGAAAAATTGCCTGTGGCATTGAACTTTCGCATGTATGTGTTTCTTTATGATGATGGGCGGTCGGGTAGCCTGGTGGTTAAAGCGTTCGCTCGTCACGCCGAAGACCCGGGTTCAATTCCCGACATGGGTACAATGTGTGCAGCCCATTTCTGGTGTACCTCGCCGTGATATTGTTGGAATATTGCTAAAAGCGGCGTAAAACCATACTCACTCACTCACTCCTTATGATGATATATTTTGTTCAAATCGTTAGGATTTGATTGCTTTTTGTGAAACAGTTGTAATGTTATGACACTACCTGTTAAGATTCTACATTTGTCGATAGTATAAATATTTGACTATATATCATGTAGTTACAAATACATGTACTATTGTGTTTTTTTCAGAATATCCAGCAACTTTTTTTTGTGTGTTTAAAAAGTTGAACCTGGGAAAAACAAGGAACAAACGAATTATTTTCTCAAACACACCTGTCCCCCTTCATGCGCACGCATCTATTCTCTTGGGCCTCATATTATATACCTCATCGTATACAACGATAAGCAGGTAGATCGAAAAAATATTTATTGTAATATTTCGATTACCCAACCAATACAACCTAATTTCTCAAATAATACCAAATGAAAACAGTGTTACACAGATATTCCTCGTTTACAAATTAACAGACGGCATTGCTTGTCGTGTGTTGGGGTAACATCAATAAGTGCAACTGCGGAAATGATCACGTACCTTGGCAGGCTCCACAGGAACGGGGGCAGAACTTAACGGAGATGTCGGGGTCGGTACAGGCGGCACCTACTGCAGTATGACACGGGAACAGAGTGTCGTCCCGACACGTCGTTAACGGTGGCTCCGTCAGTGGATTGGACGATGCTGTAGGTGTGGGTGTGGTAGAGTTGTGTCCTCCTGGCACAATCCCCGGGGTAATGAATGGCGAGGTCGGAGGCACCCCCAGGATGTACTCCAGGCAGGAGAAGTCGTTGCAGCACACGCTGCAGAGGCGGGGGTCGTGGAGACAGTCAGGGGTGCCGGGGTGCCTCTTGTGGTCGTGCATACACTGTAACAGACGATGACGTGACAACAATGGTCCTAATTAGAGTGAGAGAGTGAGTATGGTTTTACGCCGCTTTAAGCAATATTGTTTAATGCTCATACCGTGCTGTTTACCGCTGTGGACGTGCTGTTTACTACTCATACCGTGCTGTTTACTGCACATACCATGCTGTTAAATGCTGTGGACGTGGTGTTTACTACTCATACAATGCTGTTTACTGCACATACCATCCTGTTTACTGCTCATACCGTGCTGTTTACTGCTCATGCCGTGCTGTTTACTACTCACACTGTTCTGTTTACTGCACAAACCGTGCTGTTTACTGCTGTGGACGTACTGTTTACTGCTCATACCGTGCTGTTTACTGCACATACCGTGCTGTTTACTGCTCGTACCATGCTGTTTACTGCTCATACCGTGCTGTTTACTGCTCATACCACGCTGTTTACTGCTCATACCATGAAGTTTATGGCTCATACCGTGCTGTTTACTGCTCATACCGTGCTGTGGACGTGCTGTTTACTGCTGTGGACGTGCTGTTTACTGCTGTGGACGTGTTGTTTACTGCTCTAACCGTGCTGTTTACTGCTCATACCATGCTGTTTACTGCTCATACCATACTATTTACTGCTGTGGACGTGTTGTTTACTGCTCATACCATGCTGTTTACTGCTGTGGACGTGTTGTTTACTGCTCTAACCGTGCTGTTTACTGCTCATACCATGCTGTTTACTGCTCATACCGTGCTGTTTACTGCTGTGGACGTGTTGTTTACTGCTCTAACCGTGCTGTTTACTGCTCATACCATGCTGTTAACTGCTCATACCATGCTGTTTACAGCTGTGGACGTGTTGTTTACTGCTCTTACCTTGCTGTTTACTGCTCATACCATGCTGTTTACTGCTGTGGACGTGCTGTTTACTGCTCATACCGTGCTGTTTACTGCTCATACCATACTGTTTGCTGCTGTGGACGTGTTGTTTACTGCTCATACCATGCTGTTTACTGCTGTGGACGTGCTGTTTACTGCTCATACCGTGCTGTTTACTGCTCATACCATGCTGTTTACTGCTCATACCATGCTGTTTGCTGCTGTGGACGTGTTATTTACTGCTCTTACCGTGCTGTTTACTGCTGTGGACGTGTTGTTTACTGCTCTTACCGTGCTGTTTACTGCTCATACCATGCTGTTTACTGCTCTTACCGTGCTGTTTACTGCTATGGACGTGTTGTTTACTGCTCATACCGTGCTGTTTACGGCTGTGGACGTGCTGTTTACTGCTGTGGACGTGTTGTTTACTGCTTATACCGTGCTGTTTACGGCTGTGGACGTGCTGTTTACTGCTCATACCGTGCTGTTTACTGCTCATTACGTCCTGTTTACTGCTTATACCGTGCTGTTTACTGCTCATACCATGCTGTTTACTGCTACGGACGTGCTGTTTACAGCTGTGGGCGTGCTGTTTACTGCTGTGGACGTGCTGCTTACTGCTGTGGACGTGCTGTTTACTGCTTAATACCATGCTGTTTACTGCTCAAACCATGCTGTTTACTGCTGATACCGTGCCGTTTAACGCTCTAAAGGTGCTGTTTACTGCTCTTACCTTGCTGTTTACTGCTCTTACCGTGCTGTTTACTGCTCTTACCGTGCTGTTGACTGCACATTTCGAAGAGTACCGCCCCCTTTGCTTGACTACTTCACATGTCTGTAAGAAGAAACATGTTGCCAGTTATGCTCCAGTGGCTATTTGTCTTAAATGTTTCCAAAATGACGACTTTACCTCAAGCCAATACTTCACGACATTACATACGACCACCTGATGAAGTCGCAACTTATAACCAAACAAACGAGCGATGGCCTGGTTTCCGAGAGAGACAAATGAGCGGTCAGTACACACCGTACAAACGGCAATGGTGCGTTATTGATATCGTGCTCTGCACACTGCTTCAGACAGTACCAGGGAATTAGCATGGCAGGGTTGTATATTGTCTGGACGGTACCAGGGAATTAGCATGGCACGGTTGTATATTATCTGGACAGTACAAAGGAATTAACATAGCAGGGTTGTATATTATCTGGACAGTACCAGGGAATTAGCATGGCAGGGTTGTCTATCATCTCGACAGTACCAGGGAATTAGCATGGCAGGGTTGTATAATTTTATCTAGACAGTACCAGAGAATTAGCATGGCATGGTTGTATATTATCTAGACAGTACCAGGGAATTAACATGGCAGGGTTGTATATCATCTGGACAGTACAAGGGAATTAGCATGGCAGGGTTGTATATTATCTAGACAGTACCAGGGAATTAACATGGCAGGGTTGTATATTATCCAGACAGTACCAGGGCATTAGCATGGCAGGGTTCTAAATTATCCAGACAGTACCAGGGAATTAGCATGGCAGGGTTGTATATTATCCAGACAGTACCAGGGCATTAGCATGGTAGGGTTCTAAATTATCCAGACAGAACCAGGGAATTAGCATGGCAGGGTTGTATATTGTCTGGACAGTGCCAGGGAATTAGCATGGCAGGGTTGTATAATTTTAGCTAGACAGTACCAGGGAATTAGCATGGCAGGGTTGTATATTGTCTGGACAGTACCAGGATATTAACATGGCAGGGTTGTATATTATCTAGACAGTACCAGGGAATTAGCATGGCAGGGTTGTATAATTTTAGCTAGACAGTACCAGGGAAGTAGCATGGCAGGGTTGTATATTATCTAGACAGTACCAGGGAATTAACATGGCAGGGTTGTATAATTTTATCTTGACAGTACCAGGGAATTAGCATCGCAGGGTTGTATAATTTTATCTAGACAGTACCAGGGAATTAACATGGCAGGGTTGTATATTATCCAGACAGTACCAGGGAATTAACATGGCAGGGTTGTATATTATCTAGACAGTACCAGGCAATTAGCATGGAAGGGTTGTATATTATCTGGACAGTACCAGGTAATTAGCATGGCAGGGTTGTATATTATCTGGACAGTACCAGGGAAGTAGCATGGCAGGGTTGAATATTATCCAGACAGTACCAGGGCATTAGCATGGCAGGGTTGTATATTATCTAGACAGTACCAGGGAATTAGCACGGTAGGGTTGTATAATTTTATCTAGACAGTACCAGGGCATTAGCATGGCAGGGTTGTATATTATCTAGACAGTACCAGGGAATTAACATAGGAGGGTTGTATATCATCTGGACAGTACCGGGGAATTAGCATGGCAGGGTTGTCTATCATCTCGACAGTACCAGGGAATTAGCACGGTAGGGTTGTATAATTTTATCTAGACAGTACCAGGGCATTAGCATGGCAGGGTTGTATATTATCTAGACAGTACCAGGGAATTAACATAGGAGGGTTGTATATCATCTGGACAGTACCAGGGAATTAGCATGGCAGGGTTGTATATTATCCAGACAGTACCAGGCAATTAGCATGGCAGGGTTGTATATTATCCAGACAGTACCAGGGCATTAGCATGGCAGGGTTGTATCTTATCCAGACAGTACCAGGGCATTAGCATGGCAGGGTTGTAAATTATCCAGACAGTACCAGGGAATTAACATGGCAGGCTTCTATAATTTTAGCAAGACAGTACCAGGGAATTAACATGGCAGGGTTGTATAATTTTAGCTAGACAGTACCAGGGAATTAGCATGGCAGGGTTGTATATTGTCTAGACAGTACCAGGGAAGTAGCATGGCAGTGTTGTATATTATCTAGACAGTACCAGGGAATTAGCATGGCAGGGTTGTACAATTTTATCTAGACAGTACCAGGGAATTAACATGGGAGGGTTGTATATTATCCAGACAGTACCATGTATTTAGCATGGCAGGGTTGTATATTATCTGGGCAGTACCAGGGAATTAACATGGCAGGGTTGTATATTATCCAGACAGTACCATGTATTTAGCATGGCAGGGTTGTACATTGTCTGGACAGTGCCAGGGAATTAGCATGGCAGGGTTGTATAATTTTAGCTAGACAGTACCAGGGAATTAGCATGACAGGGTTGTATATTGTCTGGACAGTACCAGGGAAGTAGCATGGCAGGGTTGTATATTATCTAGACAGTACCATGTATTTAGCATGGCAGGGTTGTATATTATCCAGACAGTACCAGGGCATTAGCATGGCAGGGTTGTATATTATCCAGACAGTACCAGGGCATTAGCATGGCACGGTTGTAAATTATCCAGACAGTACCAGGGAATTAGCATGGCAGGGTTGTATAATTTTAGCAAGACAGTACCAGGGAATTAACATGGCAGGGTTGTATATTGTCTGGACAGTGCCAGGGAATTGGCATGGCAGGGTTGTATATTATCCAGACAGTACCATGTATTTAGCATGGCAGGGTTGTATATTATCTAGGCAGTACCAGGGAATTAACATGGCAGGGTTGTATATTATCCAGACAGTACCATGTATTTAGCATGGCAGGGTTGTATATTGTCTGGACAGTGCCAGGGAATTAGCATGGCAGGGTTGTATAATTTTAGCTAGACAGTACCAGGGAATTAGCATGGCAGGGTTGTATATTGTCTGGACAGTACCAGGGAAGTAGCATGGCAGGGTTGTATATTATCTAGACAGTACCAGGCAATTAGCATGGCAGGGTTGTATAATTTTAGCTAGACAGTACAAGGGAATTAACATGGCAGGGTTGTATATTGGCTGGACAGTACCATGTATTTAGCATGGCAGGGTTGTATTTTATCTAGACAGTACCAGGGAATTAGCATGGCAGGGTTGTACAATTTTATCTAGACAGTACCAGGGAATTAACATAGCAGGGTTGTATATCATCTGGACAGTACCAGGGAATTAGCATGGCAGGGTTGTATATTATCCAGACAGTACCAGGGAATTAGCATGGCAGGGTTGTATATTATCCAGACAGTACCAGGGCATTAGCATGGCAGGGTTGTATATTATCCAGACAGTACCAGGGCATTAGCATGGCAGGGTTGTAAATTATCCAGACAGTACCAGGGAATTAGCATGGCAGGGTTGTATAATTTTAGCAAGACAGTACCAGGGAATTAACATGGCAGGGTTGTATATTGTCTGGACAGTGCCAGGGAATTAGCATGGCAGGGTTGTACAATTTTATCTAGACAGTACCAGGGAATTAACATGGCAGGGTTGTATATTATCCAGACAGTACCATGTATTTAGCATGGCAGGGTTGTATATTATCTGGGCAGTACCAGGGAATTAACATGGCAGGGTTGTATATTATCCAGACAGTACCATGTATTTAGCATGGCAGGGTTGTCTATTATCTAGACAGTACCAGGGAATTAGCATGGCAGGGTTGTATAATTTTAGCAAGACAGTACCAGGGAATTAACATGGCAGGGTTGTATATTGTCTGGACAGTGCCAGGGATTTAGCATGGCAGGGTTGTATAATTTTAGGAAGACAGTACCAGGGAATTAGCATGGCAGGGTTGTATTTTGTCTGGACAGTACCAGGGAAGTAGCATGGCAGGGTTGTATATTATCTAGACAGTACCAGGGAATTAGCATGGCAGGGTTGTACAATTTTATCTAGAGAGTACCAGGGAATTAACATGGCAGGGTTGTATATTATCTGGACAGTACCATGTATTTAGCATGGCAGGGTTGTATATTATCTAGACAGTACCAGGGAATTAACATGGCAGGGTTGTATATTATCTGGACAGTACCATGTATTTAGCATGGCAGGGTTGTATATTATCTAGACAGTACCAGGGAATTAGCATGGCAGGGTTGTATAATTTTATCTAGACAGTACCAGGGAATTAACATGGCAGGGTTGTATATTATCTAGACAGTACCATGTATTTAGCATGGCAGGGTTGAATATTATCTAGACAGCAACAGGTAATTAGCATGGCAGGGTTGTATATTATCTGGACAGTACCAGGGAATTAGCATGGCAGGGTTGTATATTATCTGGACAGTGCCAGGTAATTAGCATGGCAGGGTTGTTTATTATCTGGACAGTACCAGGGAAGTAGCATGGCAGGGTTGTATATTATCTAGACAGTACCAGGCAATTAGCATGGCAGGGTTGTATATTATCTGGGCAGTACCAGGCAATTAGCACGGTTGGGTTGCATATCATCTGGACAGTACCAGGGAATTAACATGGCAGGGTTGTATATTATCTATACAGCGCCAGGGAATTAGCACGGCAGGGTTGTATATTATCTAGACAGTACCAGGGAAGTAGCATGGCAGGGTTGTATATTATCTTGACAGTACCAGGGAATTAACGTGGCAGGGTTGTATATTATCTGGACAGTACCAGGGAATTAGCATGGAAGGGTTGTATATTATCTGGGCAGTACCAGGTAATTAGCATGGCAGGGTTGTATATTATCCAGACAGTACCAGGGAATTAGCATGGCAGGGTTATTTATTATCTAGACAGTACCAGGGAAGTAGCGTGGCAGGGTTGTATATTATCAAGACAGTTCTGGGGATCCGCCTCGTCATTGCAAATTGGACAGTGAAGGACCTTGGGCACCAGGTCGAGTGCTGAAACAAGAGTAAGTGACTGGGTGAGTGGTGAGTGACTGGGTGAGTGGTGAGTGGTGAGTGAGTGGTGCATTGTTTGGAGGATCCATCAAATGTACATTTCCATTACTTTTTGATGTATAGATTCATAATTTTTTTAAGGCCATCCATATTATATTTTGTGTTTCTCATCTCCATGCCTTAGACGTAGCAGTCGGTCGGGAAAAAAAGGAAACTAAATGACATTGTTATATGTGTTGAGCTAATCGTTTTTGATATATTTGTGGTGCCACAATTTCTGTATCAGTGTTGAGAGTTTAAAACACAAGATGTTAAACAAAATTGCAGGCATGGTTACTTCCCGTCTTTGTTTATACTTTATCAACACGCAGAAGATTTTTTTTTTTAAACGGGAAATGGTTTCAGAGAGCTGGATGCCACACATTTGGCCTGGAGGATGGAAGGATATAGTCCTTTATTAATTGTTTTCACGGACGGACTCATGAATATAATAGTTCGTACGCTGGTTTGGTCTTTAAAAATATGATTCGTCCCACATGGAATTTATGTTTATTTGCTTTTTGGTCTTTAAAACAAAGTATGTCGTCCTTCACCTTTCTGTACGTGGTCGAGCCGCTGGAAGCACGTGTCCCCCGTGCAGCACACGACGCATTTGTCACTTGCCCCTAGAGCCTTGGTGCCCCGACAGTCCACATTGGCCTGGAGAGCTTCATAAGCGCACCTCTGAAACAATGACCATGTTTTAAATATGAGTGGGTGGTTGAGTGGATCAATGAGTGGGTGAGTGGATTTAGAGTGGGTAAGTGGATGTGTTAGCGGGTGGGTGGATTGGTGAGTAGATGTATGAGTGGGTGAGTGGATGTGTTAGCAGGGGAGTGGATGGGTGAGTAGATGTATGAGGGGGTGAGTGGATGTGTTAGCGGGTGAGTGGATGGGTGAGTGGATGGATGAGTGGGTGAGTGGATGTGTTAGCAGGTGAGTGGATGGGTGAGTAGATGTATGAGTGGGTGAGTGGATGTGTTAGCGGGTGAGTGGATGGATGAGTGGGTGAGTGGATGTGTTAGCGGGTGACTGGATGGGTGAGTGGATGGATGAGTGGGTGAGTGGATGTGTTAACAGGTGAGTGGATGGGTGAGTAGATGTATGAGTGGGTGAGTGGATGTGTTAGCGGGTGAGTGGATGGATGAGTGGGTGAGTGGATGTGTTAGCGGGTGAGTGGATGGGTGAGTGGATGGATGAGTGGGTGAGTGGATGTATTAGCGGGTGAGTGGATGGGTGAGTGGATGGATGAGTGGGTGAGTGGATGTGTTAGCGGGTGAGTGGATGGATGACAGGATGGATGAGTGGGTGAGTGGATGTATTAGCGGGTGAGTGGATGGGTGAGTGGATGGATGAGTGGGTGAGTGGATGTGTTAGCGGGTGAGTGGATGGATGAGTGGGTGAGTGGATGTGTGAGCGGATGGGTGAGAGGATGGATGAATGGGTGAGTGGATGTGTTAGCGGGTGAGTGGATGGGTGAGTGGATGTGTTAGCGGGTGAGTGCATGGGTGAGAGGATGGATGAGTGGGTGAGTGGATGTGTTAGCGGGTGAGTGGATGGGTGAGTGGATGTGTTAGCGGGTGAGTGCATGGGTGAGAGGATGGATGAGTGGATGGATGAGTAGGTGAGTGGATGTATTAGCGGGTGAGTGGATAGGTGAGAGGATGGATGAGTGGGTGAGGGGATGTATTAGTGGGTGAGTGGATGTATGAGTGGGTAAGTGCATGGGTGAGTGGGTGGATGAGTGAGTGAGTGGTTGGATGAGTGGGTGAGTGGCTTTGCTCATGATATTAATCACTGGTGGGGTCTGGCCATGGATTCGACTGCTTTCAGACAAACACGATGTGGATTGCTTTCGTTTGTATGTTCATAGATAGTTTGTCTAAGGACAATATATATAGAGAGAGAATTTTGAATTTTGTGCATAGCATTTTTCAAGTTTTGTATGTTTGGTGCTGGCACGTGGTCTTATGCACAGTGCATAGGTCACAAATCAGGCGAATTAAAGCAACGTCGGTCGCGGAGAGGCTTCCGGGGCTTCGTTCCTCTCCCAACTAAAGCACATGTAACACACGTGGTGACTTGGGCAAGTGACTTTGTTCGAAATGTGCCTCTGTTCACCCAGCAGTGAATGGGTACCCGGTAGGATGAGATGACAATGTGGTTGTTAACTTTCTAGCGCCGCAGCTAGGCAGCTAGGGTTGTATACTCTCCAGGAAGCTGAGAATTATTGTTGAATACACATTGATCCAGTGACCGGGGTAATAGTAGCGCTTTGAGCATGCCGCTGTGTGGTGTGGCAATATGCGCAATATTAATGACCTATGTTTATTTTCAGATTAACTGATCAACCTACCTTTGCTGTTCCGCATCCCATAGTGATCTTCCACTCGTCCACTCTGCCGATACACTCCTGCAATGGGAGAACAACACAACCGGCCGGCCCGTCAATCAATACTTGTAAGAACGGACTTCAATATTTCTCAGAGTGTATATCTCGTCGCTATATGGCTGAAATAATGCCGATGCGACGTTAAACTTTAACTCACTCACTCAGGGTTTATGGCGTTATGAACGCAAAACTCGGGGTGCACACTTTGCGTACATCTGAACCACAATATTGTATTCTGACTTTATTCGTTAATGATTATTTTATAAGAGAATTTATGGATGTTAACTTCTTTATTATGAGCACAACAACGTTTCGGAGTACATGCTTACTCCTTTATCAGGTAAATGAATGTTACTTACTTACTTACTTACTTACTTACTTACTTACTTACTTACTTACTTACTTACTTACTTACTTACTTACTTACTTACTTACTTTGGAGATTTAACGTGCGCTTTCCGACTGATGCGTATTTCGCACACGGGCCCGGCCAGGCCATTTAATGTGTTTCCGAAAGGGGCGAAAGTGGTCTGTGCAACCCAAGAGGGGGGTTTATGGGTTGCTTATATAGAATTTGGGAATTTTGAGATTTGGAATAGATGCCGATGGGGTTGGGGAGGAGAACTAAGGGAGCTGGGTATGGTGGATGTTTGTTTGTTTATGTGATTTTGATTTGGTAGGTTATTGTGTTTTTAGATGCGTTTTATTAGTTCCGTTTTTATTAAGAATACGCCTAAGGCCTTGAAGTTTTCTAGTTTATTTTGTGGGTTTAGTATTGCTTCTAGAGTGAGAGCCTTGTTTAGATTGAGGGTGGTTTGTAATGCGGTTCGATGTGTTAGGTAGTGTGTGCAGTGGATGAGTGCGTGTTCTGGGGTTTCTGGTTGTTTGCAGTGTGGGCAGTTACCTGTAGTGTGTTTTTAAAAAAAAAAAATTAGGTGGTTATTTAGGTTGGTGTGTCCTGTTTGGAGTTTAGTGATCACTCTGTTTTTTGGTTTTTGGTTTTGGTTTGGTTAGTGGTTTGCTGAGCACTTTTTTGATTTGGCTATTTGAGTTTAGATATAGGTTATGCCATTTTTTTGTGATTTTTTGCTTGTTTACACTTTTAATTTCTGATTTTGAGATGGGTAAGTTTAAGCTTATTTCTGGGATTTTGAGGGATAGTTTAGCTGCTTTATCGGCGTTTTCATTACCGTATATTCCTACGTGGGCGGGTATCCACAAGAAGGTTATTTTTTTGCCTGCCTTAGTTAGGTCGTTGGAGCTTTTAAGTATTTGATTTATTAATTTAGGTCGGTTTTGGGTATTTTTGTTTTGGAGGGCTTGCAGTCCACTTAGGGAGTCGGTAAGTATTAGGATTTTTTTGTGGTTTTTGGATTCTTGATTATGGAGGGCTGAGGCCATGCCCATTAGTTCTGCCGTGAATATTGATTGGTTGTTTGGGAGTCGGAAGGATTGTGTGGTTTTAGTTGGTTGTGTGGTATGGACTCCGAAACCTGTGTGTTTGGAGGTCGGATCTGAGGATCCGTCCATGTAAATGTGACACCAATTTGGCCAATTTTCGTGTATGTATGCTAGTGTGGTAGTTTTAGCTATGTTTGGGTCGGTTTGTTTATTTATTTGGCTAGCTAGTGTTGTGTCTATTTTGGGTATTTTAAGTTTAGGGGTGAAGATATTTGATTGTTTGCAGTTTTGTTTAAGATTTTTAATTTGGTGTTCATTTAGGTAGTTCGTTATTCTTTGGGATATTGGGGTAAGTAAGGGGTGTTTACGAGCTAGAGCTTGGTTTTTGGGGCTGATGTTTTGGTTTATTAAGTTTTGGATGAGAGGGTTTGATTGGGACGCGGCCCAGAAATTTAAGCTTAGCTGTTCCCTGCGTAGACTTAGTGGCATTTCTCCTGTTAAGGCCTGAAGTGAGGTGTAGGACGTGCCATGTTGGGTGCGTGTAATTAGTTTGAGAGCCTGATATTGTATTGAGTCAAGTTTTTTAGATAGAGAGTTGTTTAGGGTGTTGTATATGGCGCAGTCGTAGTCTAGTTTTGATCTAATTAGTGATATGTAGAGAGAGAGGAGGGTATCTTTGGAGGCTCCCCAGTTAGAGCCAGTTAGGCATCTTAGGGTGTTTAGGTCTTTACTGCATTTAGTTGTTAGGTTTTGGATGTGAGCATCCCAGGTGAGATGTTCATCGAAAATAAGTCCTAAGAATTTGGTTTGTTTTTGAAATTTGATTGTTTGATTGTTTAGCTGGAGGATTGGGGAGGCGGGTTTCATGTTTTTATGTTTGAATACTATTCCTGTTGTTTTTTCTGAGTTAAGGGAGAAGCCCCATTTGTCAGCCCATTGTTGTATTTTATTAAGAGATTTTTGGAGTACATTTTGGACCATTTTCATGCAATTTTCAATGAATGTTATGAGACAGAGAGTCTATATATGTACATGTTAGAACAACAAAAGTAATAAGATAACAAAAGGTGGAAACCTAACAAGAGAAGCCAACAGATGATTTGCGCTGATAGGTGATGAACAATAGACAATGGAAGCCAACACTTAACAGTCATTAGCGCTGATGGTATGGACAACTGGAAGCCAGGACTAAATTATCACTGATTGGTAATTGAAATTGGACAATGGGCAAACGGGAAGCCGTGGATAATTAGCACTGATAGGTAAAAACAATAGAAATAGCAAAGGGCAAATGGAAGCCAGCGACAGAATTGACACCGACAAGAATCAAAGCAATAAGCCGCCATTAAGACGTAAGCATAATTATACTCCGAAACGTTGTGTTCCTCACAATAAAGTTGATATCCATAAAATATCTTCCTTATGTGTATAACTTCTAAATGCCTGTGACAGACTTTAAGGATGATAGTGTAAGCCGAGGCGTGATATATGGTTGTACAGATATATAAGCGGCCCTCTTGGGTTGCACAGACCACCTTCGCCCCTTTCGGAAACACATTAAATGGCCTGGCCGGGCCCGTGTGCGAAATACGCATCAGTCGGAAAGCGCACGTTAAATCTCCAAAGTAAGTAAGTAAGTAAGTAAGTAAGTATAAGCGGCTACTTACGTCTTCAAAGTTACTGCAGGTCTCATTATGGAGCACACATTCATTGGTGTTGCGTGCAAAATGACATTTCGGACACTCCAAACAATAGCCTGTGCAATGAAACAACGTGAAGCGTGATGACACTGTAATTGTGCTGGGGGTTTCCCTTGACTAAGTATGTACGAGTAAGTGAGTGTGGTTTTACGACGCTTTCGGCAGCTCGGGTTTTCAGCGTGACTAGCCAACGCTGTAACCAGCAGTCTCCCCGCCAACATCTGTATTTAGTAAGAAGGACGATTTAGTTTGGAGTCGGATGTTTCATTGTATGCCTAAACTGTGAAACCTCCTGACTGACAGTGTCCAGAATAACGGGGTCCCGACTAACAAGGTTTCATTGTATGGTCTGAACTGTGAAACCTCCTGACTGGCAGTGTCCAGTATAACGAGGTCAAGACTAACAAGGTTTCATTGTATGACCTGAACTGTGAAACCTCCTGACTGATAGTGTCCAGTATAACGTGGTCCAGACTAACAAGGTTTCATTGTATGGCCTGAACTGTGAAACCTCCTGACTGACAGTGTCAAGTATAACTAGGTCCAGACTAACAAGGTTTCATGGTATGACCTGAACTGTGAAACCTCCTGACTGACAGTGTCCAGTATAACGTGGTCCAGACTAACAAGGTTTCATTGTATGGTCTGAACTGTGAAACCTCCTGACTGACAGTGTCCAGTATAACGAGGTCCAGACTGACAAGGTTTCATTGTATGACCTGAACTGTGAAACCTCCTGACTGATAGTGTCCAGTATAACGAGAACCAGACTAACAAGGTTTCATTGTATGACCTGAACTGTGAAACCTCCTGACTGACAGTGTCCAGTATAACGGGGTCCAGACTAACAAGGTTTCAATGTATGACCTGAACTGTGAAACTTCCTGACTGGCAGTGTCCAGTATAACGAGGTCCAGACTAACAAGGTTTCATTGTATGGCCTGAACAGTGAAACCTCCTGACTGACAGTGTCCAGAATAACGAGGTCCAGACTAACAAGGTTTCATTGTATGGCTTGAACTGTGAAACCTCCGACTGGTACTTGTTCAACCAAGATTCCGGGGTAGAATAGGTCTTCAGCAACCCACGCTTGCCGTAAAAGGCGACTATGCTTGTCGTAAGAGGCGACTAACGGGATCGGGTGGTCAGGCTCGCTGACTTGGTTCAGTGGACCGTTCAATGACAATTTAGAACTCATTAACTTGGATGGGGTAATCTATGAGTATCTTCTTCACATGCCATCACCCATATGACATCACCCATATGACATCACCCGTGTAGCATGACATCATCCGTATGGCATGACATCACCAATAAGCCAGGATATCATCAGTTACGCAGGACGCCGTCAGTAAGGTGATATCACAATAACAAGTGATGATATCAGTATGCCATGACAGTGAGCCTTGTCATGATCACTAAGGCATGACACAACCAGTCGGCCATGACATCAGACAGCCATGACATCAGACAGCCATGACATCAGACAGCCATGACATCGTTAGTCGGTGTCTGTAAGTACCATCAGCATACCTTCTGAGAGCGGCCGGGTAGCCTAGTGGTTAAAGCGTTCGCTCGTCACGCCGAAGACCCGGGTTCGATTCCCCACATGGATACAATGTGTGAAGCCCATTTCTGATGTCCCCCGCCGTGATATTGCTAAAAGGGGCGTAAAACATACTCACTCACTCACTACATACCTTCTGAAAATAAAAGAAGCAATGTCCAAAAAGTAAATTTTTCGGACATTGCCATTAGTTTCATATAAACGTTAAATCGTTTCATTTCAGCAAAAGGATTGCTACGCACACTATAACAGTCAGACTTACCAGCCGTACCTAACTACAAAAATGACATTGTGTTGGAAGCGTAACCATGCCAACACATTATTGTTTGTCACACACGTCAACATAAACAGACCTGAAGTGTCAAAATACTAACACCAAAGACAACCATCCACTGTTCAGCAAAGGTCACGTTTAAGACAGATGCACCCGCATTTCCAATGGGTTGGTTCGTCATCATGACATGGTATCTGACCTGGCTTAGAAAAGTTCAAACCGACGGTACGTCAGAATCGCGGCGTTTAGGCTCAGTTCGCTATAGCTCCAGAATATCCCTGCTCTTCTAAATTGTACACATTAGCATAAGTAGGACATACGTCTCTTGGTATGCTTGCTGTGCTGAAATATTTCTTCCCGGATTCAAAATTCTTATTCTCCTAATTCAATCGCAAGGCCGAAAACCCGGCTTGTCTCAAAACGTAAGAAATTAAATTTTTGTACACAATCCGATCCTATATTAGTAAACATGGTTTAATAGTCAGTATAAGATAGCCACGCGATACACAACTTGTGGTCGTTGTTTATCGTACAATAGAACACTCCAGGGATTAAACACCACTCCCGCTGCCCTCCTCGTGGTTTATTAACTCTGTTATCACGAATGAAGCAAAATGTCGGCCTGTTTTCTGAAAAAAGTCGAACTATGCCCCATATGATAACACACTCCCAGATCTTTTCATACCAAGCTGTGCCCGCATCGATTTGTTCTTAAACATATTTGACATATTGTGTCACGGCACTTACATTGGTAGATTGAAACACTTATGTCGTGTATAGTCCATAGTGGTCAGCCCTTGTCACAGTGGTACGATAACAACGTACAGTTGTTTACTTAATGAATGGGATTTTGCATGGGGACTGGTTAGTTTATAAGATGTATATATTTCATTAATTAAAACTACGAGCCAAAATATTTGATAAAAACCATATTGCAACAATGTCTATGGCAGACAATTTTTTTTATCAACAATCTGAAGCATCACGAGTCATCAATCAGGAATGACACCGGGTCAGTACCCATGTTAAGGACAGATCAGTCTGTGGGCCAGCCACATTTCACACAATATCGATAATATAACCGCTCCGACTCGGCAGGACGCCCGATTGTATGTTGTTTAACGCCGTACTCAGCAGTATTGCAGCTATATGACGGCGGTCTGTAAATATTCGAGTCTGGACCAGACAATCCATTGATTGACATCATGAGCATCGATCTACGCAATTGGGATACGATGACATCCATCAACCAAGTCGGCGTGCCTGACCACCCGATCCCGTTAGTCGCCTCTTACGTCAAGCATAGTCGCCTTTTACAGCCAGCCTGGTTTGCTGGAGACCTATTCTAACCCGGACCTTCACCGGTCGCCTTTTACTGCCAGGTTGGGTTGCTGAAGACCTATTCTAACCCGGACCTTCACGAGTCGCCTTTTACAGCCAGCCTGGGTTGCTGAAGACCTATTCTAACCCGGACCTTCACCGGTCGCCTTTTACAGCCAGCCTGGGTTGCTGAAGACCTATTCTAACCCGGACCTTCACGGGTCGCCTTTTACAGCCAGCCTGGTTTGCTGAAGACCTATTCTAACCCGGACCTTCACGGATCGCCTTTTACAGCAGCCTGGTTTGCTGGAGACCTATTCTAACCCGGACCTTCACGGATCGCCTTTTACAGCCAGCCTGGTTTGCTGAAGACCTATTCTAACCCGGACCTTCACGGATCGCCTTTTACAGCCAGCCTGGTTTGCTGAAGACCTATTCTAACCCGGACCTTCACGGGTCGCCTTTTACAGCCAGCCTGGTTTGCTGAAGACCTATTCTAACCCGGACCTTCACGGGTCGCCTTTTACAGCCAGCCTGGTTTGCTGAAGACCTATTCTAACCCGGACCTTCACGGGTCGCCTTTTACAGCCAGCCTGGTTCACTTGAGACCTATTCTAACCCGGACCTTCACGGGTCGCCTTTTACAGCCAGCCTGGTTTGCTGAAGACCTATTCTAACCCGGACCTTCACGGGTCGCCTTTTACAGCCAGCCTGGTTTGCTGAAGACCTATTCTAACCCGGACCTTCACGGATCGCCTTTTACAGCCAGCCTGGTTTGCTGGAGACCTATTCTAACCCGGACCTTCACGGATCGCCTTTTACAGCCAGCCTGGTTTGCTGAAGACCTATTCTAACCCGGACCTTCACGGATCGCCTTTTACAGCCAGCCTGGTTTGCTGAAGACCTATTCTAACCCGGACCTTCACGGGTCGCCTTTTACAGCCAACCTGGTTTGCTGAAGACCTATTCTAACCCGGACCTTCACGGATCGCCTTTTACAGCCAGCCTGGTTTGCTGAAGACCTATTCTAACCCGGACCTTCACGGGTCGCCTTTTACAGCCAGCCTGGTTTCACTTGAGACCTATTCTAACCCGGACCTTCACGGGTCGCCTTTTACAGCCAGCCTGGTTTGCTGGAGACCTATTCTAACCCGGACCTTCACGGATCGCCTTTTACAGCCAGCCTGGGTTGCTGAAGACCTATTCTAACCCGGACCTGTGATACGAAGGACGCGCCCATTGATGACTCGAAAAATGCTGCGTCTACATCAAATTTCAGCCAGAGGAGGATGTACGCTGTTAAAACACACCCTTGACTTCATACTAGTGTTTGAGCACTCCAGGGATGGACAGTTGGTTGTGTTCTCTGCGGGTGGTGCACGTGCTCCACAGCGAGCTGATCTTTAAATGCACGTTATACGTCGCTTTAGCATGTTCTGTCAACTTTGGAGTAGGAACGTGTTTTAAGAGGGACATATCCACATAACTCCCCATTCCTTGAAACTCCTCAATTATATTCAAGGAATGGGGAGAAACGAGGAATTCGGCGCTACATATTCACTCTCGGTGACAATTTATATTTCACAACTGCAGTCATTGGGTCCATCTAAAGGGTCCGTGCCAGTAAGTGCGCTGAGACTGATTGATACCTTTGAGTCACTGTCGGGGGTTACCATGCAGGTCGACAGAGGAGAACACAGCACACAAAACCTCTCATATTTGGACTGTCAATATTGTATAGGTGAGCTCCAACATTATTCCATTCCCGTTTCAGTCAGAGTTAATAATTCACAGGCGTGTATACACTACATGTCCCCATAAACCATCAGGCCAACGTGCGGTGTAATAGCGAGAGAATCGGTCACACATTGCTTGTTTGACGCCGCGCTCATCAGTATTCCAGCGATATGACGGCGGGGGACACCAGAAATGGGCTTCACACATAGTACCCATGTGGAGAGTCGAACCCGGGTCTTCATCGTTGACGAACGAACGTTTTAACCACTCGACCAGCCTACCGCCCCTCGCGAGTAAGACGTAGGAGGTACAACCGCTTGTGGCTTGCTGTGTTCACGTGTGTCCAATAATCAAACAACATGCCTGTTATAACTCAATGAACGTTAATTATTAAACACCATGCAATCAGAATTAACCAAGCCAAATCGATACTTACCCACAGCGATGAATACAAGTGTAAAAAAAATACCGAATCCCATAGTGAACGGAAGCAGAAAGACGAATAAGGCACGTGGACGATTGTCAAGTAGAGGTTAAATGGCCGTGGGAACGACCATGTTTGAAAAGATAGCATTGGAATTTTAGAACTGATATACACTAATGTACATTATAGTACGTCAGGCGAGATTATATCACTGTGTTATACGTCAGACGAGGGTATATCACTGTTTTGTACGCCAGGCGAGGGTATATCACTGTGTTGTACGACAGACGAGGGTATATCACTGTGTTATACGTCAGGCGAGGGTATATCACTGTTTTGTACGCCAGGCGAGGGTATATCACTCTGTTGTACGACAGACGAGGGTATATCACTGTGTTATACGTCAGGCGAGGGTATATCACTGTTTTGTACGCCAGGCGAGGGTATATCACTCTGTTGTACGACAGACGAGGGTATATCACTGTGTTATACGTCAGGCGAGGGTATATCACTAGTGTTATACGTCAGGCGAGGGTATATCACTAGTGTTATACATCAGACGAGGGTATATCACTGTTTTGTACGCCAGGCGAGGGTATATCACTCTGTTGTACGACAGACGAGGGTATATCACTGTGTTATACGTCAGGCGAGGGTATATCACTGTTTTGTACGCCAGGCGAGGGTATATCACTCTGTTGTACGACAGACGAGGGTATATCACTGTGTTATACGTCAGGCGAGGGTATATCACTAGTGTTATACGTCAGGCGAGGGTATATCACTGTGTTATACGTCAGGCGAGGTTATTTGACTGTGTTATACGTCGGGCGAGGGTATATCACTGTGTTATACGTCAGGCGAGGGTATATCACTAGCGTTATACGTCAGGCGAGGGTATATCACTGTGTTATACGTCAGGCGAGGTTATTTGACTGTGTTATACGTCGGGCGAGGGTATATCTCTGTGTTTTATTACCCACGTGGTGAAGATACAGATGGTAATATACTAAATCCGTACGTCACACGTGTGTTGTTCAAGGTTGACCTTGTTTTATCCGTTTTGATTGGATAACCGTGACCTCTGTCACACCGGGACTACTTTTTTCATTCATAAAAAAATCGCGAGACGTCATTCATTTTGAAACTACAAGGCAGAACTGAAGAAATAAATGAGAACGAGAGATATTTACAAACACTTTATTAAACCAAACAAAATAGTCACACGCATCAAATTCGGTTTGCATTATATATAAGTTATGCATGGAGCTTCTACAGACATTATATAATCGAGCTATATCCATTTACACTGTACGACTACCGATCAATAGAGCGAGGGTCCCCATGAGCGTGACGCACCCGACAACTTTCGCAACTTTCAATTTGATTTAACGTAAAAGGATAAGCGTGGTGAAATGAAGTCTGTTTAAACTATCTGGACAGATATTTAGACTTACTTGGGATGGTCCGGTTGTGCCACCAGTGTCCCCTTCGAAGGGTATTTTGTGGCGCTGTTACGGGAGGTGTTGTTCATGAATGAACGTACACGACTGCACGACCAAGATCATTAAAAGTGAACAGTTCTGATACAAATAATTCGAAAACTACGTGGAAGTGTGCCTGACTTCTGATTTTGTGGCCCCAAACATCCCAAATGTGAACAATAACATTCCCTATTTCTAACTAAAACGCTGTGAGTAGGCCTAGATCACGGTTGTCTTTTCTTATTCCGGTGGTGACCTTGCCCTTCGATCGGTCGAAGCTGTCACTGACATGCAAGCAGACTTGAGTTTGTTGATTTTCACGTCTTCAGTACAGTTAACATGAATGTCTTAGGCGAACACTCGGATATCCCTCTTCCAAAATGGTACGAACATGATATAAATTCAGCTAATAGATCAAGGAAACCGAACCATTTTGATTGCACAGACGGGACACCGGCAGTGCGAGTGACCGACTGTTAATCCGATATTCATATCGCGGCGCTAATGTGACTTTTCAAATTTTCATATAGGTGTCCTTCGTACTAGCAACATGGCCCTTGAATTACCGTAGTTGAAGAATGTCTTCCAAAAGGATCTTGAGCGTCGGTGTTGTTTTGTTTGCAAACACAACTGCAGGCGCATGTTGTTAATGCGTATGCATAGAAATGTCAACAATGCCCATATTTGGGCATATATCAATATTCATGCGCAACCAGATTTTGCAACCGGTTTCAGTTTGGTCTGTCAACGAACGAAAGTTGTTATTTATTTACACTTGAATATATATTTAACGTAGGTAATAAATAAAATACCACACTCATTCTCGTTAGATACCATTTTTACATAACTCGTGAACTTTCTATGTTATCTGACCTCGCTTTCGCTCGGTCAGATACCATAGAAAGTCCACTCGTTTCGTAAAAATGGTATCTAACGAGAATGAGTGTAGTATTCTCTATATACGTCAGGCGAGGGTATATGACTGTGTTATACGTCAGGCGAGGTTATATGACTGTGTTATACGTCAGGCGAGGGTATATCACTAGTGTTATACGTCAGGCGAGGGTATATGACTGTGTTATACGTCAGGCGAGGTTATATGACTGTCTTATACGTCAGGCGAGGGTATATCACTAGTGTTATACGTCAGGCGAGGGTATATCACTAGTGTTATACGTCAGGCGAGGGTATATCACTGTGTTATACGTCAGGCGAGGTTATATGACTGTGTTATACGTCAGGCGAGGGTATATCACTAGTGTTATACGTCAGGCGAGGGTATATCACTAGTGTTATACGTCAGGCGAGGGTATATCACTGTGTTATACGTCAGGCGAGGGTATATCACTCTGTTGTACGACAGGCGAGGGTATATCACTGTGTTATACGTCAGGCGAGGTTATATGACTGTGTTATACGTCAGGCGAGGGTATATCACTCTGTTGTACGTCAGGCGAGGGTATATCACTAGTGTTATACGTCAGGCGAGGGTATATCACTAGTGTTATACGTCAGGCGAGGGTATATCACTGTGTTATACGTCAGGCGAGGTTATATGACTGTGTTATACGTCAGGCGAGGGTATATCACTAGTGTTATACGTCAGGCGAGGGTATATCACTAGTGTTATACGTCAGGCGAGGGTATATCACTGTGTTATACGCCAGGCGAGGGTATATCACTCTGTTGTACGACAGGCGAGGGTATATCACTGTGTTATACGTCAGGCGAGGTTATATGACTGTGTTATACGTCAGGCGAGGGTATATCACTAGTGTTATACGTCAGGCGAGGGTATATCACTAGTGTTATACGTCAGGCGAGGGTATATCACTGTGTTATACGTCAGGCGAGGTTATATGACTGTTTTATACGTCAGGCGAGGGTATATCACTAGTGTTATACGTCAGGCGAGGGTATATCACTAGTGTTATACGTCAGGCGAGGGTATATCACTGTGTTATACGTCAGGCGAGGTTATATGACTGTTTTATACGTCAGGCGAGGGTATATCACTGTGTTGTACGACAGACGAGGGTATATCACTGTGTTATACGTCCGACGAGGGTATATCACTGTTATATACGACAGACGAGGGTATATCACTGTTATATACGTCAGGCGAGGGTATATCACTGTGTTGTTCGACAGACGAGGGTATATTACTGTTTTGTACGACAGACGAGGGTATATCACTGTGTTAAACAGCAGACGAGGGTATATCACTGTTTTGTACGGCAGACGAGGGTATATCACTGTTTTGTACGACAGACGAGGGTATATCACTGTGTTATACGTCAGGGTAGGGTATATCACTGTGTTGTACGGCAGACGAGGGTATATCACTGTGTTGTACCTCAGACGAGGGTATATCACTCTTTTGTACGTCAGACGAGGGTATATCACTATGTTATACATGTACGACAGACAAGGGTATATCACTGTTTTGTACGCCAGGCGAGGGTATATCACTGTGTTATACGTAAGGCGAGGGTATATCACTGTGTTATACGTCAGGCGAGGGTATATCACTGTGTTATACGTCAGGCGAGGGTATATCACTAGTGTTATACGTCAGGCGAGAGTATATGACTGTGTTATACGTCAGGGTAGGGTATATCACTGTGTTATACGTCAGGGTAGGGTATATCACTGTGTTGTACGGCAGACAAGGGTATATCACTGTGTTGTACGGCAGACGAGTGTATATTACTCTTTTGTACGTCAGACGAGGGTATATCACTATGTTATACATGTACGACAGACGAGGGTATATCACTGTTTTGTACGCCAGGCGAGGGTATATCACTGTGTTATACGTCAGGCGAGGGTATATCACTGTGTTATACGTCAGGCGAGGGTATATCACTAGTGTTATACGTCAGGCGAGGGTGTATCACTGTGTTATACGTCAGGCGAGGGTATATCACTAGTGTTATACGTCAGGCGAGGGTATATCACTGTGTTATACGTCAGGCGAGGGTATATCACTAGTGTTATACGTCAGGCGAGGGTATATCACTGTGTTATACGTCAGGCGAGGGTATATCACTGTGTTGTACGTCAGGCGAGGGTGTATCAGTGTGTTATACGTCAGGCGAGGGTATATCACTGTGTTGTACGACAGGCTAGGGTATATCACTGCGTTATACGGCAGACGAGGGTGTATCAGTGTGTTGTACTACATACGAGGGTATATCACTGTTTTGTACTCCAGTCGAGGGTATATCCCTGTGTTGAACGGCAGGCGAGGGTATATCACTGTTGTACAACAGCCGAGGGTATATCACTGTATTGTACGACAGACGAGGGTATATCACTGCGTTGTACGACAGACGAGGGTATATTAGTGTGTTATACGTCAGGCGAGGGTATATCACTGTGTTATACGTCAGGCGAGGGTATATCACTGTGTTATACGTCAGGCGAGGGTATATCACTGTGTTATACGTCAGGCGAGGGTATATCACTGTGTTGTACGACAGACGAGGGTATATCACTGTGTTGCACGACAGGCGAGGGTATATTACTGTGTTATACGACAGGCGAGGGTATATCACTGTGTTGCACGACAGGCGAGGGTATATCACTGTGTTGCACGACAGGCGAGGGTATATCACTGTGTTGCACGACAGGCGAGGGTATATCACTGTATTGTACGACAGACGAGGGTATATCACTGTGTTGGACGACAGGCGAGGGTAGTCCGACAATCAATGAGTGACGATACCAGGTGTTTGGAAAAGGTAAGCATATCCTGCCCAATCTGTTGCACCCGTCAGAGACACCCGAGGACATAAGGTACAAGTCAAACTGGGTAACTGGACGCTTTTTGTCACCTGATGCATTAAATGTTCTCCACATGTCTGACATCAAACATTTTGAAAACATTACTTTGGCCTTGAATGCCGGATCCCTGGTTAAACAACTTTGGGGCAAAAGTCGTATGGCGCTTTTAGAATTCTTCGTAAAAAGAGTATTCTCGATTGAACCTCAAAATGTTGTGAATGTAGATACCAAAGGTTGAGACTGCTTGGATAGTGCTCGACATAAAGCGTAAGTTGACTGAAGTATAAGTCATCCCTCCTGTCATACAGGCCTCATCTTCCCGAGGCAAGAGAGTTAACTGACTTTAAAAGTCCAGTTTCCACCCTTGCCGAACTAGGCTGGAATTACTGGGCTCGATCGTAGCGCCACCAGTGGCTATTACCAGTTATGTCCCTTCTAAGCCTCTACTATGGACCAATCAGATTCCACCTCTCGTATCAAAATGGTGGCGCCGAGTCAGGACGATCTGATCGATAATCAAGATCTATATTGTGATAAAACCGGGTCTTACATCGCGAAATACATCAAATCACGTGAGCACCTTGATTAAAAAGATGAAAAGATTTGGAATAATATCTGTTGACAACGAGTTGGCGGTGCACATGCTTTGCAAATACTGCAGTCGAGCGAAATCTGCACGACAGTTTACGAACCGGATTTCGATTTCGGTTGATTGGACTATGCATAGACTCGTTAGTCCAGCCAAACTCCATAATACCAGCCTAGTTCGACAAGGGTGGAAACTGGACTTTTATAGTCAGATAACTCCTTTGCCTCGGGAAGATGATTTATCTATAGGGGCTGCTAACAAGACGTCCAAGTCAATATCAAGATGTTTTGTTTGTTTGTTATTTAACGCTGCAATGTTCCAGCTACGGTTATAACGAACACGCTTATAACGAACTGACGGATATAACGAACTAACTTTTTAGTCCCGACTATTTGCTGTAGTTATGCAGTATATATGCTTATAACGAACTACGGTTATAACGAACTAAAAATAGTAGTCCCTTTGAGTTCGTTATAACCGTAGTTTACTGTAAATAACCAGGTCGGAACCAGTGGTTGACAAAATGAGCATCGATCCACGCAATTGCGATACGATGTTATGGAATTAGTCACGTCACCGAGCCTGACCACCTGACCCATGAAGCCCAGTTCTGATATGTTTGGGTCAATTACGGGCTAACAAGCCCCCCAGGTAAATTCCAAGATGACGAGTTATGTTTAATTGTGAATGCGGTTGAATTTGCACAGTTTTCGCACCATCCATCTGGAGAAGAACCGACAACGGCCTTTTTGTGTCAATCTCTGTGAAGGAAATAAATGTCTTCGCTTCATCCACATCAATGGCTGTTATCTGTTTCCCAATAAAATCTACCAGAAATCCTATATAGAAAGTCCATTGTGTATTTCTTTTCTTCGCAGGAGCCGGATCACTAATGAATTGGTAATCTTTTCCTTCTGCGAACGTTCTTCTGTGTTGCATTGCCTTCGCAGACATCGCTATTTTCCCGAATTTATCCAATGTTAGGGAGATGGAGCAACTATGTTTGTCATATTGAATTAATTTTCTAATGTTATTATTGATACTGATGTGAGGTTTGTGAGAAAAAACGACAGTGAGGAGCTTGCCGGGGGTCCGTGTGGGTATTGTCGTGGCGAGAACCCAGTACAGCGGTTGTGGCCCAGTCAGTTCCTTGTTTGCCATGACACATTTGCGGTAGGGAAGAGGGTGCTTTGCTAGCCGTGTACGCCTGTACGATTGTTTTACCACCCCATTGTCATCCACAACGATTCCATAGCTGACAGCGTTGAAGTCAAAAGAGAAATCAGCCCCTGAAAAAAATTCACATATCTGTAATTAATGAAACTGAAATTATGTAGATACTATTGTACCTGCTTTCATTTACTTAATGCAGGCTCAGTCTCGACGTCATATACACTTTATCAAGAAATCTCGATGCTGTGTTTTCAATATTGAAATGACCGAATGTTAATAAAGTGAGTGAGTGAGTACGGTTTTACGCCGCTTTTAGCAATATTCCAGCAATATCACGGCGGGGAACACCAGAAATGGGCTTCACACATTGTACCCTTGTCGGGAATCGAACCCGGGTCTTCGGCGTGACTAATTTTAATAAAGAATAAGGACCTATTGGTATTCTTTGTGTTGATGAGCACAGCCAAGTAATGAACCACGCACAGATGATACTTGTTTGACATCAAACATGAGATATCTGCCGGGTATTCGGTGAGATGCATTTTATTTAAACACTGCAGTAAGCAACGCTGCTGTTTTGTTGAACCACTTGTTTCTCATCAAGAGGTTGATATTATGAGTAACAACCCACGCCGTCGGGAAACTTTGGCACTCAGACGACCACGTCTCCGAGCCCGACCACCCAATCATCTCTTAAGACAAGCATGACTTGCTGGGACACACTTCTTTCCTGGTATATCATGTCCACAAATGTGCTAAACCAATCTTTAAATCAATCAGTGCTACGTTCCACCTACGTCTGTAGTGAGGTCTCAGTTCCTGTTCCTCTGTTCCACGTTGCTCTTTTGTTTCATTGTGTTTCTGTTTCGGAACTGACGCTTCACAATATGAAAAGGAAACAATAATGTTGGTTTCGAGAGGCCTCTTCACATTCAAATGTTCATAAAAAGATATCACCCCCTCTTTGATAATTGCAAAAAGGGAATAGAAATGGAATGTTTATTTATACTTGCATCATGAGGTGAAACCCCGGAGATCAGTATATCATGGAGGATCATCTTTGTCTGGGATGCCACATTTGTCGATACTGCTTTGGTAATTCGGGATAAGAAGTGGTCCTCAGCAACCTATGCCTCAATACTGAATCAATATATCATTGATCCAATTCCGACGCCACATAAATATAATATAAATATTTTGGTTGGACAAGAATTGTACAGGGACACAGCATCAGGGTTGCATCCCTCATTTACTGGGGATACTTCATCGTGGGCACTACTTTACTGGGATACTCCATCGTGGACACTACTTTACTGGGATACTTCATCACGGACACTACTTTACTGGGATACTCCATCGTGGGCACTACTTTACTGGGATACTCCATCGTGGACACTACTTTACTGGGATACTTCATCGTGGACACTACTTTACTGGGATACTTCATCGTGGACACTACTTTACTGGGGATACTCCATCGTGGACACTACTTTACTGGGATACCCCATCGTGGGCACTACTTTACTGGGATACTCCATCGTGGACTCTACTTTACAGGGATACTTCATCACGGACACTACTTTACTGGGATACTCCATCGTGGACACTACTTTACTGGGATATTTCATCGTGGACTACTTTACTGGGATACTCCATCGTGGACACTACTTTACAGGGATACTTCATCGTGGACACTACTTTACAGGGATACTTCATCGTGGGCACTACTTTACTGGGATACTTCATCACGGACACTACTTTACAGGGATACTTCATCACGGACACTACTTTACTGGGATACTTCATCGTGGACATTACTTTACTGAGATACTCCATCGTGGGCACTACTTTACTGGGATACTCCATCGTGGACTCTACTTTACTGGGATACTTCATCACGGACACTACTTTACTGGGATACTTCATCGTGGACACTACTTTACTGGGATACTCCATCGTGGGCACTACTTTACTGGGATACTCCATCGTGGACTCTACTTTACTGGGATACTTCATCGTGGAAACTACTTTACTGGGATACTTCATCACGGACACTACTTTACTGGGATACTCCATCGTGGACACTACTTAACTGGGATAGTTAATCGTGGACACTACTTTACGGGATTACTCCATCGTGGACACTACTTTACTGGGATATTTCATCGTGGACTACTTTACTGGGATACTCCATCGTGGACACTACTTTACAGGGATACTTCATCGTGGACACTACTTTACAGGGATACTTCATCACGGACACTACTTTACTGGGATACTTCATCAGGGACACTACTTTACTGGGATACTTCATCGTGGACACTACTTTACTGGGATACTTCATCGTGGACACTACTTTACTGGGATAGTCCATCGTGGACTCTACTTTACTGGGATACTTCATCACGGACACTACTTTACTGGGATACTTCATCGTGGACACTACTTTACTGGGATACTCCATCGTGGGCACTACTTTACTGGGATACTCCATCGTGGACTCTACTTTACTGGGATACTTCATCGTGGACACTACTTTACTGGGATACTTCATCACGGACACTACTTTACAGGGATACTCCATCGTGGACACTACTTTACTGGGATAGTTAATCGTGGACACTACTTTACTGGAATACTCCATCGTGGACACTACTTTACTGGGATATTTCATCGTGGACTACTTTACTGGCATACTCCATTGTGGACACTACTTTACTGGGATACTCCATCGTGGACACTACTTTACTGGGATACTCCATCGTGGGCACTACTTTACTGGGATACTCCATCGTGGACTCTACTTTACTGGGATACTTCATCACGGACACTACTTTACTGGGATACTTCATCGTGGACACTACTTTACTGGGATACTCCATCGTGGACACTACTTTACTGGAATACTTCATCACGGACACTACTTTACTGGGATACTTCATCGTGGACACTACTTTACTGGGATACTTCATCGTGGACACTACTTTACTGGGATAGTCCATCGTGGACTCTACTTTACTGGGATACTTCATCACGGACACTACTTTACTGGGATACTTCATCGTGGACACTACTTTACTGGGATACTCCATCGTGGGCACTACTTTACTGGGATACTCCATCGTGGACTCTACTTTACTGGGATACTTCATCGTGGACACTACTTTACTGGGATACTTCATCACGGACACTACTTTACAGGGATACTCCATCGTGGACACTACTTTACTGGGATAGTTAATCGTGGACACTACTTTACTGGAATACTCCATCGTCGACACTACTTTACTGGGATATTTCATCGTGGACTACTTTACTGGCATACTCCATTGTGGACACTACTTTACTGGGATACTCCATCGTGGACACTACTTTACTGGGATACTCCATCGTGGGCACTACTTTACTGGGATACTCCATCGTGGACTCTACTTTACTGGGATACTTCATCACGGACACTACTTTACTGGGATACTTCATCGTGGACACTACTTTACTGGGATACTCCATCGTGGACACTACTTTACTGGAATACTTCATCACGGACACTACTTTACTGGGATACTTCATCGTGGAGACTACTTTACTGGGATACTCTATCGTGGGCACTACTTTACTGGGATACTCCATCGTGGACACTACTTTACTGGAATACCTCATCATGGACACTACTTTACTGGAATACTTCATCACGGACACTACTTTACGGGAATACTCCATCGTGGACACTACTTTACTGGGATAGTTCATCGTGGACACTACTTTACGGGAATACTCCATCGTAGACACTACTTTACTGGGATATTTCATCGTGGACTACTTTCCTGGGATACTCCATCGTGGACACTACTTTACAGGGATACTTCATCGTGGACACTACTTTACAGGGATACTTCATCGAGGACACTACTTTACTGGGATACTCCATCGTGTACACTACTTTACTGGAATACTCCATCGTGGACACTACTTTACTGGGATACTTCATCGTGGACACTACTTTACTGGGGATACTCCATCGTGGACACTACTTTACTGGGATACTTCATCATGGACACTACTTTACTGGGGATACTCCATCGTGGACACTACATTACTCGGATACTCCATCGTTGACACAACTTTACTGGGATACTCCATCGTGGACACTACTTTACTGGGATACTTCATCGTGGACACTACTTTACTGGAATACCTCATCACGGACACTACTTTACTCAGATACTCCATTGTTGACACAACTTTACTTGGATACTCCATCGTGGACACTACTTTACTGGGATACTCCATCGTGGACACTACTTTAGTGTGATACATCATCGTGGACACTACTTTACTGGGACACTTCATCACAGACACTACTTTACTGGGATACTCCATCGTGGACACTACTTTACTGGGATACTTAATCGTGGACACTACTTTACTGAGATACTTCATCACGGACACTACTTTAGTGAGTACTCCAACGTGGACACTACTTTACTGGGATACTCCATCGTGGACACTACTTTACTGGGATACTCCATCGTGGACACAACTTTACTGGGATACTCCATCGTGGACACAACTTTACTGGGATACTTCATCGTGGACACTACTTTACTAGGATACTTCATCGTGGACACTACTTTACTGAGATACTTCATCACGGACACTACTTTACTGGGATACTTAATCGTGGACACTACTTTAGTGGGATACTTCATCGTGGACACTACTTTACTGGGATACTTCATCGTGGACACAACTTTACTGGGATACTTCATCGTGGACACTACTTTACTAGGATACTTCATCGTGGACACTACTTTACCGAGATACTTCATCACGGACACTACTTTACTGGGATACTTAATCGTGGACACTACTTTACTAGGATACTTCATCGTGGACACTACTTTAGTGGGATACTTCATCGTGGACACTACTTTACAGCGACACTTCATCACGGACACTACTTTACTGGGATACTCCATCGTGGACACTACTTTACTGGGATACTTCATCAAGGACACTAATTTACTGAGATACTTCATCATGGACACTACTTTACTGGGACACTTCATCACGGACACTACTTTACTGAGATACTTCATCGTGGACACTACTTTACTGGGACACTTCATCACGGACACTACTTTACTGAGATACTTCATCGTGGACACTACTTTACAGGGATACTTCATCAAGGACACTAATTTACTTGGATACTCCATCGTGGACACTACTTTACTGGGATACTTCATCGTGGACACTACTTTAGTGGGATACTTCATCGTGGACACTACTTTACTGGGATACTCCATCGTGGACACTACTTTACTGGGATACTCCATCGTGGACACTATTTTACTGGGATACTTCATCGTGGGTACTTCTTTACTGGGATACTTCATCGTGGGCACTACTTTACGGAGATACTTCATCGTGGACACTACTTTACTGGGATACTTCATCACGGACACTACTTTACTCTGATACTCCATCGTAGACAATACTTTACGGAGATACTCCATCGTAGACACTAATTTACTGCGATACTTCATCGTGGACACTACTTTACTGGGATACTTCATCGTGGACACTTCTTTACTGCGATACTTCATCGTGGACACTACTTTACTGGGATACTCCATCGTGGACACTACTTTACTGGAATACTTCATCGTGGACACTACTTTACTGGAATACTCCATCGTGGACACTACTTTACTGGGATAATCCGTGGACACCACATTACTGGGATACCCCATCGTGGACACTACTTTACTGGGATACCCCATCGTGGACACCACATTACTGGGATACTTCATCGTGGCCACTCCTTTACTGGGATACCCCATCGCGGACACTACTTTACTGGGATAATCCGTGGACACCACATTACTGGGATACCCCATCGTGGACACTAGTTTGCTTTGAATCTCCATTGTGTAGATATGCTTATAAAAGAAATGCATTGAAGAAAAACATTCTCGAAATTGAATGTATCATGCTGCGTGTGGAGAGTATGTAAGAAGGTATTCCAGTTATTATGTTGGCGCTTGATTGGTAAGTATCAATTGTTTCCATTTACAATATTGCGCTTATCAATGTCCAGTTTTGTCGTTTTAGGGTCCGAAGTCTAACGCCGTATTTCAGCTGGTCCGGCAGCATGCAAATAATCCAGTCTGAGCCAGACAAAACAGGGATTGATATTGATATAAACAGCGTATGAAACACCCAATCAACGCTTTCCATGATTAGCCAAGAAATAAAATGTATTAAATGAAATCAAACTAACAAATGACCGAATTTGAAAATAGATAAGTTAGGCAGCACTGCATACAACTCGTGATAAACAACGACTTCACTCCTAACAAATACAAACAGCGGTACCCTAGCTCACCTTATGTAGGTTACATATTTTAGATTTTGTAGGGAATCAATGTTGGACTATTTGTACGGCCACGGCTTCAAAATATACAACTGTGTTCGGATCCACAGCGTATGTTCCACACATTCAAAGGACAACCCCTGGAGCATGTTGTTCTTGGGCAATATCTTATTTGGGTATTTTCCTGGAAGAAAAGATTTTTGAATTTGTTTTTCAATTTCATCCAATTCCTTGCACTAATATTCATATCAAGGAAGTATTCTGTGTGATTATCATCACGGGTCATGGTAAGATATGATCAGTAGCCATCTATAACACGCCTTTGTTGAGCAGTGGTGAGTGAGTGAGTGTGTGAGTTGGGTTTAACGCCGCTTTGAACAGTATTCCAGTTATATCGCGGCGTCTCAGCTTAATGTGGAAGGAAAGCCTGAAGTGATGCAGGTCTCAGACGTTTACCACTTCGGTGAAACCCACGAGCACGGGTATGGTGCTGACAAACCTAGAAACATAATCGGGGCGAACCGGGATTCGAACCCACAATCATAGGTTTCTGGCGTGCCCAAGGGACGCAACTCTGCACAGCGAATCGCGGCGCCTTAGACGACTGGGCCACCCGTGCCCCCTGAGCAATGGTGAATGTACTTCAAATTGTGTTCGAACGTCCTGATGAGGAATACCATTCAACTATATACAAGCATTTGTCTTTGTTTGTATTACCGATGAAGTATGTTGCCATGGTATGCATGGTCTCCAGATCCCGGTATGATACACACCGTCTATGTTTACTCGTATTTGATATATAATTCATCATTTAGAAAACGATCTGGCTGAAGTGAGAAAAGAAGTCGACAGAAGCCAGTTCAAACATGTTTCTGGTTTTCATTACTTTTTTCAAAGGTGAATATGTCGCGAGGGTAGGTTACAATTCAATAGAAGTAAATTTGACTCTCTATATATTTGGACATTTTTTAAGAAAATATTTTCAAAGAATATTGAAGTCAGCTCATATGAATTAGAAAACCAACAATAATAACTTCACACGCAGCTTTTTTTAATCATTAACAAAGAAAATGTAGACAGCGGAACAGTAAGACAATAAAATCGACAAAACCTTTTCCATGTCCATAAGAAATCTCTAAAAGCAGATTGGATTGTACGATTCCGCCTATATGCTGATTATGTGTTTATGAATCACTATCAAATAGTTATGATACAAGGCTTCTCGATTATAGGCCATTAGTGGGCGTGGCCTAATTTTGTTGCTTAACCATCCAATCAAAGGCTAGACTGGAAACTTAATATATTCAGCCAGTATCCCTGCGACTTGAAGAATGATAATATCCATGGTAACCAAGGCTAGGGTCACCTGTGAATCTGACACACTATCATATTTAACTATACGTAAAATCGCGTGTACAAAATAGTAGAGTCATATCCCTGGAATCCGTGACCACTTTGTTCCTACCTTTTTTTAACGATAGACCTGTTTAACTGGCATGTTTAACTAAAAAATTAGCCCCCTATGACCCTCTGGAAAATGACGGCTAACTCTGCCAGAACGCAAAATTCAAAATGGCCGTCGGCGCCATTTTAAATAGCATGAAATAGTCTATCTCTGGAAGAATATCAGCCACAGACACATATAAGGTGTCTAATTCCACTAATTTGAACATGATAAATCCATTGGAATCGTTATTATTTACATTAGAAGCAATTCTGATCTTGAATTCCAAGATGGCCGCCAGCTGCCATCATGAAAAACAGAACATATCATATCTCGAATACTAGATGGGCTACAAGAACAGATGAGGTGTCTTATCTAACTAATTTTAACATGATACAACTATTGGAATGGTTAATTTTATCCTCGGGATCATATTTATCTCAATATTCAAAATGGTCACCAACAATGCAGGATATAAGGTATACTCAACTACAAAAGAAACGCACATGCCGGATAAGTTTGAAGGGTTATATCTTGGAAACTATATGAGCTTAAAAGATATTTTTGTAGGTGATAAAAGCTTAAATGTTGAATTTAACAAATCTATTAGTAACGACCAAAGTGGATCATGCTAAAGTATTAAACATTAATTGTGCGGGTTTTTTTAGTAATGCGTGTCTTTAGCAGTTGGGTATAGTATTGTCATACCTTAAGTAATGATTAACCGATTGTAATGATCTTAATATGAATTTTAATGCACATAATTGTATATGCCCTATCTATCTGTCATCTTCATCCAATACCCGCGTTATGTGATATTGGTCAATATCTAAGGATTGGGGGAAATTATCTGTTTGACCTCAACAATTTGTTTGAAGCGCAACATCAATGACCTAAAACTGATTTTGAATGTTAGAGCAAATAACTTAATGCTAATAAATTCTGCAAAGGATATATTATTTTCAGATGCCAAGGAACATTTTGCTATATTTGATTCGGTATCAGGTGCCTATTAGTCACTGCATTGTAGTAATAGATCTAAATAAAGCTTCAGTAGTGCTAATAGTGACCATAAGGATACCACTGATGAAAGCGCTCAGCATCTTCAGCAGGTGAACCTCTGAGAAGCACAGAGTATTTTCTTCAATCATGTCCATCAAGTAATGTTCAAAGATCATGAATTCCTTACCGTACAAAGTCTCCTGAATGATTACAAAGGCATCATCTCAAATTTTGGGCATAGTTCAAGAGTTAAATCAAGCTACTTCAAGAACTTCTGATCAAAGAATTTGGTGAAAGCATCGGGTTTCGTCAACGCAATCAGAAGAACTGGTCTATGATCACACCACAGCAGGAGGAACATATGTTGAGGCTGCAATATATTCACTTGGTGTCAGCAATGATCAGCTAGCTATGAATGTTGCAGCACGACTCAAGGAGCAAGTCATGAGCATTAACACTGACCCCTGGCCTGCATACATCCATGAATTGGAGAGAGAAGAAGCATCCAAAGATGGCTGTCATTGATGATTGTCCAACTGTCCGTTCAATTGCTTCTGTCATCACAAGTTACATCACCAGAAAACACACTGCATTTGAGACGAATATGTCAGTCAAGCTACATGGACTGACAAAAAGTAGGGAGATCGTTGATGTAATGCACAAAGGTTTGTACATCAGCTACAATGATGTTCTTATGCTGCGGGATTTCTGGGTAGCGACTGACCTAAAGCATTCATTGAATTGTCCTTTCGAGCTTTCTTAAGGCAAACCTGCTGTGGCTATCGTAGACAATGATGACTTCAAGAGTGACACACTCACTGGTGCTGATCAACCTCACTGCACTAACGTGTTGTTTGTTCAACCAGAATCTTTTGATTCGGAACCGTTTGAGAGTCATGAAACCCGTCCAGTTCCCAGTGCAAAACTGGCCTCATCTCTCTCTGCCTCTCTCAAGGAACTTGGAAGATTGATCCATACAAGACAGTTAAGCGTGACGAGCCACCCATAAGGACCGAGACAGAAAACAACAGTATTCTTTTGGACACATCTACTCAGAGGACACGTGGTGTTATTCATGCACTGTCCAGGGCCCAAGATGACCTCTCAAGACCAAAGCCAGAAGAACAGCAAGTGCCTGGTTAAAAAGGGTTTCATGCTAACATGTCACAACCATGTCAAGAGCCGCGCAATATACCACATGACATATTCTGACCCTCCTAGTATGACCATCCTCTATGATGTGATGTGCAAACGTCAATTAATGAAAAAAGATGCCTTTCGCAATAATTGTAGGTGATTATCCGGTCTACTTGCTCTTGCTGGAGTTGAAAATTGAGCAGGCGGTTCAGTTCAGCAAAATTTTGCCATTCATGTCACCCTTTCACATCCAAATGTCATTCATCTATGCAATTTACAAGAGGTTTAAGGGTTCAGGTATTTCTGATGTGTTAGTGGCAGCAGGTGTATTTGCAGAAGGGTCTGTAGATCAAGCACTCCGAGGAAAACACTTTACCTTAATTCCTTTATTTTCGAAAGATTGGTTTAATAAACTGGAGAAGCCTGTGAGTAAGTGATGGTCATTCAATGTGTTCATAGTTTATTTAATTCAATTGGATTAACATACAATAGTGGTATAAAGGGGGGTATAAAAGTTGGTATTTTATACTGACTGACATTCTCATCGCGAGTTTGAAACGAAAACGCCATGCTTACGATGCTGAATTCAAACTGCGAGTCTTCGCTCTGGCTGATATATTTTCTCACGGGATCATAATTCTAGATACACCGATTCACAAAATGGCGCTTCGTTGTTGATGGCAACATATAACGATCATTATGAGATTAAAAAAAGACAAGAGAAACAGCTTCCCACATTATGAAAGTGGATGACTGGTTTGTTAAATCTTTATTAGAAATAATAATGACTTTTTCAATATAATTACAACGTTTTTCATCTGATATATTTGAATATCTGCGAGTACCGGCACATGTCTTGCAGTCCGACTTCGCAGTGTTTTTTGCCTTTCATTTCCTGGTTCATTATCTGTGGGTCATATCATTTTCTTTCGTATTTCAATGGTCAAGTTAACACCTCGGCTTATCTACGGGATCGGCTTATCCGCGGTCATATACGGTAAGCGTGGTGTACAATGTCTGTACCTCTTCTATGAAACAATGGTCCATATGTTGCTAAAAAAAACAACTGATGTGTATCAAAAAGAAACACCAACTGATCTCTGCTTGATGCTTGTGTGACGAGGAAAAGGCAGAATGCATTATACCAATTCATGTGCTTACTGGACGTGACCATAACTCTGGTTTCTATGGGATTGGCAAGAAGAGTATTGTACATCGCACCCAGCATCCTGAAGAAGCACAGAGCCTGCTAACAAGTTGTGGTAGAGAACTTCCTGTCACACAAGATAAGAACTTGGAACGATTTGTAATTCGTTATGTCTATTGTGATTCCAAAAGTGCAAGTTTGGGAGACGTCAGGGCATCCAAGTGGAGAGAACAAAAGAAAAAAACACCACCAGACTTGCACGTGATTCGGACAGTCTCCGCCATCACTTGGAACGGGCAAACTACTTGGCATATTTGCACCCCTCTCCAATAGGTCATGGTTGGCATTGTGATCCTGGGCTTTACCTGCCTGATCGTCACACACCCCGCTTTACCTTCAACAATTACCTTTCCTGCAATCTCACCAGCAGACGATAATGACAGTGATCTATCTAGTGATTCTGATGACGGCAGTGATGAGAGCTCATGCAATGACTCATGTAGTGAATAAGTGTAAGGAGTTTCCAAAGCATCTTTTTACTTGTGTTCTGTAGTTCTTAGTACAGTATTACCTACTCATATAATTATAAGTATTTCAAACACCCAAATAATTTCATGTATGGTGACCATTTTGAATATTGAGATAAATATGATCCCGAGGATAAAATTAACCATTCCAATAGTTGTATCATGTTAAAATTAGTTAGATAAGACACCTCATCTGTTCTTGTAGCCCATCTAGTATTCGAGATATGATATGTTCTGTTTTTCATGATGGCAGCCGGCGGCCATCTTGGAATTCAAGGTCAGAATTGCTTCTAATATAAATAATAACGATTCCAATGGATTTATCATGTTCAAATTAGTGGAATTAGACACCTTATATGTGTCTGTGGCTGATATTCTTCCAGAGATAGACTATTTCATGCTATTAAAAATGGCGCCGACGGCCATTTTGAATTTTGCGTTCTGGCAGAGTTAGCCGTCTTTTTCCAGAGGGTCATAGGGGGCTAATTTTTTAGTTAAACATGCCAGTTAAACAGGTCCATCGTAAAAAAAGGTAGGAACAAGGTGGTCACGGATTCCAGGGATATGACTCTACTAAAAGGAGGAAATCGACGAAAAAACAAAACATGCTCAAAAAAGGTCGTTTCATAACAGTTCTTAAACTTGTCGGGGCAATGTGTGAGACGTGTTGGTCATGACAGACAGGGACTGTATTTCAACAAGTCTAACCTTGCGTCCACGAATGCGTTGCGGTCGAGCCTTCCTCCACCTTGTTTGAGCTGTATGCCGTTCTTCTAGCGATACACACACTTCGTTTGAGATGAAATGCAAGTTGAGATAATGTCTTCTCTCCCGAGTTTAGCGCAAGGGGCAACAGGGTTGACAAAGAAGTCAAGTTTGACGCTGTCATATTCCCACAGATGATGTTTGTAACTATGACAACATGGTTCAGAATCATCCTGAATATAAAACAAATCTGTGCTAAGGAAATATTTTTAGGTGAGTTAGATGAGTAACAATTGTTTTACACTCTTTAAAAAGTGAAACGCACTGGTAGATTTTTAGTAAATTTATTGTACCTAAGAAAGTCGATATGTTTATTTAATATCATAGATACAAATATGAAATTTGAAGCTCGATAGTCTCATGTTGTCGTTGTACAATGGCATTGAAAACTGTTCATTGTCATGTTGGGTTCGATCCCCGGCCGCGTCATACCAAAAGACGTTAAAAGAGGGTACATTGTCATGTCAGATAAGGCCACAAGGTTGCGCTGAACTCAGTATCTCGTGTGACCGCCCCGGGCAGCAATCACGGCTCTGCATCTCCTCGGCACTGACTGGATAAGTGTACGAATACTGTCCTGCGGAATTCTGCGCCATTCTGCTTGTAACGCGTTGGACATTTAAGGGAGTGTTCTGACGTTGAGGGGTTCGATTGGGTTGAGATCTGGGGATCTCGACGGCCAGGGCAAGCCGTTGATAGTGGAATTATGAAGGTAGTCTACCGTGACACGAGCTGTGTGTGGTTGAGCGTTGTCCTGTTGAAACAGCTCCCTCTGGTGGTCAATGATTGGAAGAAGGTGAGGTTGAAGAATTTGGTTCATATAGGATATGGCCCCCACACCATGACACTAACGCCACCGAAATTGTCGAATTCACGTACACAATGTGGGACAAAAGGCTCATTTCGACGACGATAAACACGTTTTCTTCCATCCCCCCGCTGAAGAAAAAATGGTGATTCATCGCTAAACCACAATCGTCTCCAGTTTCTCAAATTCCAAGGATGTAAGGTATGGCACCAACGCAAGCGTCGCTGTCGATGGATCTGTTGCATAACAAGGAAAATAACTAGTCTTCTGGGTCAGATTCCAGCCCCGTGGAGATGTTTCTGACATTGTGGTCCGACATCCTCCTCAAACCAGGGAAGCGTCCTGCAGTCTGCGTAGCTGTGGCACTGCAGTGACGTAGGTGGAACAGTGGAGAGTAACGATCCTGTGCAGGGGGGGTAACTCTTGGTCGGTCGGTTTTTGGACGGTCTGCAGTGGAACTGAGCTCTGTGTATCCGTCCCAAAGGCGGCAAATGGTGCTGTAGTGCTTATGTTTTCCTCCATGACATTTTTTAAGAAGTCTGAAAACAATGCCGTTCAGACATTGCAAATCGACAACAGCTGCGTTTTGACGCACCGTTTGTCAAATATCAGGCCACCAACATTTTCTAATAACATATATCCAATTTTGTGCAGTCAGGTTCAGTGAACTAAATACTACCTGTGCGTTTCTCTTTTTGAAGAGCATAAAACGTGTGATAGTCGCAGATTAAATACACGCTTAAACAGTCATGATACTTAGTTATGCGAGCTAACCAAGTTATTAAATGAATCAATAAAGGAAGAGGTGGACATTATTTTGTGGGTTCCTACCTTTCCCAGTGAGTGAGTGAGTGAGTGAGTGAGTGAGTGAGTCAGGCTTTACGGCGCCTTTACCAATATTTCAGCAATATCACAGCGTGGACATCCGAAATGTACATTGTACCCTTCTTGGGAATCGAACCCGGGGCATCGGCGTGGCGAGCGAACATTTTAACCGCTAGGCTACCCCACATGTTTACAGTATGTGTGTGGCTATAACATCTCCGACAAATGTCTATAACTCACTTGCTATATTCTGCAATTAGCGTCGTCCACTGTGGTGACTTTTCTTCTGAAGTGCAACACAATCCCACTCAACGGAAGCGCAGGCCAACAGATAAAGATGTCGATGAGATCTAGACTTGCTGTATCCTCAAATGGTTAGCCGGGCAAGGGAGCAGGTACTGTTGGTATTGAGTGATCATATGATGAGGGGATTGGGTGGTAAATGCATGGGGAATGATATTGAGTAGTTCAATATTTATTGCCTACGTTATTAATGATTCACCGTCACATACACAAATACATACAATGGTGAAACTCAATATTGCTAAGAATAATGTTTATCCGTGTATATCACAGTAACCCGTGTATACAAAACATGGAAGTACACGAATGTCTTGACATTAATCTACGTACCTTGGTGTCTTTTACATTACACGGATATGTTCAGCTCTCTGGTAACCTGTCTGTCGTTCGTTGTCAAACTGACCCGTGAAGATCAGCAACCCATGTTTGCCGTAAAAACGCGACCATGCTTGTCCAAAGAGGTGTTCACGTTCACGTTCAGTGAGTTCATATGTAACGTAACAATATTTCAGCTATATCGTGACGACATTTACGTTAAGACCTACCTGTGCATATATTAATCATACAACCTGCGTTATAGATTTTGTATTGGTAAAGTGTATAGACGTTAATCAATTATATGAAGACCAAAGTGAACAATAGCATTATAGTAATACGCACCTGTTCACGCCGGACCAGGCAGCTGAGTGATGCATATTGTGATCAACGATCCCACGACGTTGTGGTCAGACGCCACGCCAAGAACCAAGCCTGATATCCGATCCAGAAAGTCGCCTCGTAGGACCAGGTCCAACCCGGAATAACTACGAAGTCACAATAGTATTGTTGTATTTAGCTCTGCTTCGGAAATGAATTACATTTAAAATGTCATTATCATGGAAACGACCAGAAAATTTAAAATATCCAAATATAGAAAACACTTCATTGTTTCTGTACGTTCAGCAAAACGTGACATTCTAGTTTGAAGTCCGATGCAATCCCTTATTTTTGACTTCTACCCTATGGTTCCCGTGTTTCTTCAGGTGAACAATTGACTTGCCGTTGCATGTGTTCACTTGGTATCATCACTATTTGATAGTGATTCATAAACACTTGCCATGGTATAGTCGGAATTGAACATTCAACTCTGCTTTTAGCAGAGATTTCTTATGAATATGGAACGGGTTTTGTTGCTTTGTGTCTACTTGTCGCAATTTTTCATGTACAATCGAGCATGCTCTTTTAAAGAAGATTAAAAAGAGCGCCATACAACTGTTCTTCAAAAGTTGTTTGATCAGGGTTACAAATTTATAGCCTTAGAAAAGCTTTCAAAGTGTTGTATGGTAGTCACATTTCTACATTTAAAGACTGAGTGGCAAAAAATATGTTTGATGCAATTCTCTATATTGATTTGTGAACCATTTGTTCCCATTTCCTGTTCAGGTGAAGCACCGGGGGATTTCATGCTTTTGTGACGGGTTCCACCGGTGGGGACACTCTCACAGTATTCGCGAACACCTGGTGTCATCACTATTTCAAAGCGATTCATATAGTCGGAATCGGAATCGTACTATGGACTCAGATTTTAGCAGATAGTTCTTTGGATTTTAGGATCAATAATGGAATACCTTTTGTCGCTTTTATTCTTTATATTATAGTGCACAGTCTCCATCAGTAATATGCCAGCGGTTTGACGGCGGCATGTAACTAATCGAGAGTGGACGCCATGAACAACGTTACGAAGCCTGACCCCCGATCTATTAAGTTGCACGTTACGACCAGAATGGATGGTTTGGCAGATATTCTACCCCGGAATCCCCCGAAGGGCCAATGTTAACGGATGGCAACTTACCGTACATGCCATATTCAATATTGCCCACATGCTGGAACGCATATTCTGCGTATCTTAACTGCGTTTAGAAAGTTTCGGAGCCGCGTTATGATCAGCTTGTATATTATGGTGAGGTGAGGTGGAATTGGGTTTAACGTCGTTTCCAAGATTATTGCATTTATATAGCGACGTGCATGCACGTGAATGTGTGTGTGTGTGGCTGCTTGTACTAGTCAGGACTGATGCCGATTTATAGTGCTAGCACACTGAGATACCATGCCGCAGTTTAACATGAATACCCCACTCAGACACAGTATACTGACTCCGAGCCGACCAGTCCTTGTTTTAGCCCCTTACCCTTAATGCCGAGCGCCAGACAGGGTAACAACAAGTACAATCTTTTAACGTCTTTTGGTATGACGCGGCTGGGGATCGAACCCGGACCTTCCGCTCTCCGGGCGGACGCTCTACCATTTGACCGGTCAGCTTGTATATTTAGAACTGAGAATATAATTTGTATGCACATTGTATCAATGTCATGCCAGAGAACATACAATTAGGGGCAAAATAAAGTATACTGAGTTTGTTTTTTATGTGATTGAATTTGAAAGAACTGTTATTAAATTTGATTATGTCCATTTAACCATCACTGATTTCTGCAACAGTTTGTATAACGTCATCTGTGTCTGGGTGATATTGTGTAAATATACATTGGTTCCATGAAGACGGGGTAAGACATAGATTTCTAACTACGTGACCCCTACCATGATTGAAATGTAAAATATTGCCGAAAAAGTTATTGATTTTCATAGACGTCTAAAAATTACGTTTTAAAGGTTTTATTCATCGTATCCCAATTGCGTAAAAAATCGAGATACGATGACATGCATCGACTAAGTCAGCGAGCCTGACCACCCGATCCCGTTAGTCCGTTCTTACCACAAGCATCGTTACCTGTTACGGCAAGCATAGGTTGCTGAAGACCTATGTTACCATGGATCTTCAGGGGCGAAATATTCTTGAATCTCTAGATGCTTGATTTACAGGTATCTTGCCAACTTTCAGACGAACCTCTTGAATCTCTAGACGCTTGATTTACAGGTATCTTGCCAACTTTCAGACGAACCCCTTGAATCTCTAGACGCCTGATTTACAGGTACATGTATCTTGCCAACTTTCAGACGAGTCCATTGACTCTCTGGACGCATATAATTTACAGGTATCTTGCCAACTTTCAGACGAACCCCTTGAATCTCTGGACACCTGATTTACAGGTATCTTGCCAACTTTCAGACGAACCCATTGACTGTCTTGGCGCCTAAGTCTTTAGTTGGTGTTGATATATTTTGGACTATGGGACTTATTGGTAATTGAATGAGAAATACTAGCATTGTGAGTTCAAAATGTCTTATCATTCAGTTTAACGTGAAATGTGTTGCCTAAATGTGTGAGAAATATCAAGTACATTGTTAAAGACATCTTGAATTTCGGCATTTCTGTGTGACATATCGCCATAGTAATACGAGTGAGACATATATTCCAACAGTTACGTCTGGCGTTAAGGTTACGTACGCTTCAGCGACTATTGTAAACGGGGGTTAACATTCATCAAATGTTGTATAACCACCAGTCAAATTTCGTTAATTTCCAATTAGTGGTTCAGAAGAAGAAGTCGGTTGAAAAAAACGTTGCCGTACGGACGACGGACGACGGACGCCACGGTATGGCATAAGCTCACCTTGGTCCTTTGGACCAGGTGAGCTTAAAAGTGAGATATCACACGTGAAAGTGGCGCATACAAAATATATAATCTTTAATCAACTGCCGCCCGGGGCGGTCGGGTAGCCTTTGGTTAAAGCATTCGGTCGTCACGCCGAAGATCCCGGTTCAATTCCCGCCATGGGTACAATGTGTGAAGCCCATTTCTGGTGTGATACTGCTGGAATATTGCTAAAAGTGGCGTAAAACCATACTCACTCACTCAACTGTCGCCTTGATATTCAGAAGCTATTGGCAAATAATTAAATTTTCGTTATGTTCATTGTAATTCCTGCATTCTGATCAGCTGAACTGGTCACGTGCTTTTGCATTCATTTCAGAATGTATGTAAAAAATCAAGCCACGCCCACACAAGCGGACTCCTTTTACTTTAATTGATTGTCGGGGAATTCCCATTCTGCTCACGTGTATCGTCATGCACAGGACATTAAGCGAAATTCATGCATATTCATTGTCTAAACTACCCTTTGCGACCGAAGGCCGAGAAGGAATGAAACAGCAAACGTGCAGGCTCGCCCGCCTGGGATTCACAACTTTCATGTCTTCAGGTTTCATTTCTAACCCGCATATTTCCAACTGTGTCTTCCCCTTCTCAGGGAACTAATGTTTGAATCTGGCGGTAACTGACCATATCATTTGAAACAGCCGTCTTCTCCCTGAAATATTTATTCCGGTTCGTTGCAGTCTGACTGTTGCAGTTCTTCTGTTGCCGTGATTGACGGGTCATATGAACTTTGTTTTGATCCTACTCTCCGTTGATTGGCTACTGACTTTGTGGGCGTGTCAAGTTATGTGCATAAATTAAACAATCACCTGATTCATGTCACGCCACAGTATCACTCTCCTACCCAGAGTTCCATGCGGCCGGCAGCCAGCTAGCATAGTACCTCTGCCACAGGCCAGCGCCATGTGACGATTCGTCACGTCTTTCACAGTCCATTCAAGATATTGCATATGCTTTTCATCCGTTTCATGTTTGACAAGTCTACACATTTTCATAAGCAAATGTCAAAGTATGGTTAACTTTCATTGAGAAAGTATGCAAATACGTAAAAATCTACTTGTTTTTGCGTAGTTATCCTATGTTTACATTGGTTGTACGGCTCCAGGTGCTGTCATCGAAGCGCAACGGAGAGCTAGCGACACGGTCACTTTGATGCATAAATATATATTGTCATGCAACTCACTGTAGCAGTTGTAGTAGCATATCTATATAGTTATGCAAAACAATATGTAAAGCGCCCCCAAATACTTGCATTAGTCCGTTCTATACTGATTTCTGAAAAAGCGCGTTTGTTTACAAACAAGAGAAAAGTCCGGTCACGTGATATGCAAATTAGCCTGTGGCAGTGGTGTTATGCTGAGTCATCACTGCGACGGAGTATGGCCACAGTATGTATTCCTACACCTGAAATGTTTATCAATGTCGTCATTGATGTCTTCTTTGATATAAGGAACTGTTTTTGATTAAACCTTTGTAGACAATGCATGTTTTTGTTGTCGAATTTAATAATATGGATTGAATGTGGATTTTAATCGGTTCATTGGGGTATGAATCGAAAAACCTACATGCAAACGCGGATTCATACAGTTTGCTGTTTGTTCAGACTGCTGGGGTAACCTTGGTTACCATTGTACTCAAACGCCTCAGCTTACTTAAAACATTACTGATATGTGGATCTAATCAGATCCATGGATTGCGGACACCCTGGTCTTCGTTGTGGATACATGAAAAAACAATATCTGCCTTGCATTAACGTTTGTTTATTTCAAGTCTGCTGGGAATTTCGTTTATCCGATTATCGTGAGTGGTTCTCTGAAACAGGAATAAATGACCAATGCACTTGTGTTTGTGTGTTGTTTAACGCCCACTCAGCAATATTCGAGCTATATGACGTCTGTCTTTATGTTATCAAGTCTGGACCAGACAATCTAGTGATGGACATTATGAGTATCGATCTACGCAATTGCGGGGGACCTATGTTCTTTCCCGCAACCCCCAATGATGAGCCCATATGAGTCGGTGGTATTGTTTACAGTTGTTGTGAAACATTCGGGTGGGTTTGTTGTTTGACACCCCACTCAACAGTATTCCAGTTAAATGATGGCATCCTCTAGATAATCGAGTCTTGACCAGACAATCCAGTGAATGTACGCCGTCGGGTATGGTGATACACGTCAGTGAGCCTGACCACCCGACCTACTGAGTCGCTTCTCACAAGCATGGAGTGGGTGGGAACCTACGCCCTAACCAGGACTCTAAGGGGGCTGTACCTACGTTTTCTTGCAGATGAAATACTGACGCATGGACCAGCTCAAAACAGTTCTCGGCGTGTTTTGCATTATCGGGTTGTCCTGGTGCCCAGTTGGTGAAGTCCAAGTTCAGTTTACTGTGTGACCACATCCAGTTGGCCTCGCTCAGGAGATCATTTCCTCCGAGCCATACAGCCCGCACGGACACTGTTATACAAATAAATTTACATAACATTAGCATGCGTATTACATTGCTATGCGTATAACATTGGTATGTGTTTTACGTTGGTATGTGTATTACATTGGTATGTGTATTACATTGGTATGTGTATTACGTTGGTATGTGTATAACATTGGTATGCGCATTACATTGGTATGTGTATTACATTGGTATGTGTATTACATTGGTATGCGCATTACATTGGTATGTATATTACATTGGTATGTGTATTACATTGGTATGCGTATTACATTGGTATGTGTATTACGTTGGTATGTGTATTACATTGGTATGTGTATTACATTGGTATGTGTATTACGTTGGTATGTGTATAACATTGGTATGTGCATTACATTGGTATGTGTATTACATTGGTATGTGTATTACATTGGTATGCGCATTACATTGGTATGTGTATTACATTGGTATGTGTATTACATTGGTATGTGTATTACGTTGGTATGTGTATAACATTGGTATGCGCATTACATTGGTATGTGTATTACATTGGTATGTGTATTACATTGGTATGCGTATTAGACTGTTATGCGTACTAAATTGATATGTGTATTACATTGGTTTGCGTATTACGTTGGTATGTGTATTACGTTGGTATGTGTATAACATTGGTATGCGCATTACATTGGTATGTGTATTACATTGGTATGCGCATTACATTGGTATGCGCATTACATTGGTATGTGTATTACATTGGTATAGGTATTACATTGGTATGCGTATTAGACTGCTATGCGTACTAAATTGATATGTGTATTACATTGGTATGTGTATTACGTTGGTATGTGTATTACGTTGGTATGTGTATTGCATTGGTATGTGTATTACATTGGTATGTGTATTACAATGGTATACGTATGACATTGGTATGCGTATTTGGTATGTGTATTACATTGGTATGTGTATTACATTGGTATGCGTATTACATTGGTATACGTATTACATTGGTATGTGTATTACGTTGGTATGTGTATTACATTGGTATGTGTATTACATTGGTATGCGTACTACATTGGTATGTGTATTACATTGGTATCTGTATTACACTGGTATGCGTATTACATTGGTATGCGTATTACATTGGCATCTGTATTACATTGGTATGTGTATTACACTTGTATACGTATTACATTGGTATGTGTATTACACTGGTATGCGTATTACATTGGTATACGTATTACATTGGTATGTGTATTACATTGGTATGCGTATTACATTGGTATGTGTATTACATTGGTATGTGTATTACATTGGTATGTGTATTACATTGGTATACGTATTACGTTGGTATGTGTATTACGTTGGTATGTGTATTACATTGGTATGCGTATTACATTGGTATACGTATTACATTGGTATGCGTATTACATTGGTATGTGTATTACATTGGTATGTGTATTACACTTGTATACGTATTACATTGGTATGTGTATTACATTGGTATGCGTATTACATTGGTATACATATTACATTGGTATGTGTATTACATTGGTATGCGTATTACATTGGTATGTGTATTACATTGGTATGTGTATTACATTGGTATACGTATTACATTGGTATGCGTATTACATTGGTATGTGTATTACATTGGTATGTGTATTACATTGGTATGTGTATTACATTGGTATACGTATTACATTGGTATGTGTATTACGTTGGTATGTGTATTACATTGGTATACGTATTACATTGGTATGCGTATTACATTGGTATGTGTATTACATTGGTATGTGTATTACATTGCTATACGTATTACATTGGTATGTGTATTACATTGGTATACGTATTACATTGGAATGTGTATTACATTGGTATGCGTATTACATTGGTATGTGTATTACATTGGTATGTGTATTACATTGGTATACGTATTACATTGGTATGCGTATTACATTGGTATGTGTATGACATTGGTATGTGTATTACATTGGTATGTGTATTACATTGGTATACGTATTACATTGGTATGTGTATTACATTGGTATACGTATTACATTGGTATGTGTATTACATTGGTATGTGTATTACACTTGTATACGTATTACATTGATATGTGTATTACATTGGTATGCGTATTACATTGGTATACGTATTACATTGGTATGTGTATTACATTGGTATGCGTATTACATTGGTATGTGTATTACATTGGTATGCGCATTACATTGGTATGTGTATTAAATTGGTATGCGTATTACGTTGGTATGTGTATTACATTGCTATGCGTAGTACGTTGGTATGTGTATTACACTTGTATACGTATTACATTGGTATGTGTATTACATTGGTATGCGTATTACATTGGTATACGTATTACATTGGTATGCGTATTACATTGGTATGTGTATTACATTGGTATGTGTATTACATTGGTATGTGTATTACATTGGTATACGTATTACATTGGTATACGTATTACATTGGTATGCGTATTACATTGGTATGTGTATTACATTGGTATGTGTATTAAATTGGTATGTGTATTACATTGGTATACGTATTACATTGGTATGTGTATTACATTGGTATACGTATTACATTGGTATGTGTATTACATTGGTATGTGTATTACACTTGTATACGTATTACATTGGTATGTGTATTACATTGGTATGCGTATTACATTGGTATACGTATTACATTGGTATGTGTATTACATTGGTATGCGTATTACATTGGTATGTGTATTACATTGGTATGCGCATTACATTGGTATGTGTATTAAATTGGTATGCGTATTACGTTGGTATGCGTATTACATTGCTATGCGTAGTACGTTGGTATGTGTATTACACTTGTATACGTATTACATTGGTATGTGTATTACATTGGTATGCGTATTACATTGGTATACGTATTACATTGGTATGTGTATTACATTGGTATGCGTATTACATTGGTATGTGTATTACATTGGTATGCGTATTACATTGGTATACGTATTACATTGGTATGTGTATTACATTGGTATGCGTATAACATTGGTATGTGTATTACATTGGTATGTGTATTACATTGGTATGCGCATTCCATTGGTATGTGTATTACATTGGTATGTGTATTACGTTGGTATGCGTATTACATTGCTATGCGTAGTACGTTGGTATGTGTTTTACATTGGTATGCGTATTACATTGCTATGCGTATTACATTGCTATGCGTATTGATGAGCTCAAAGGTTGGTTCAGCTGGCCTACAAAACTATTTGTGTGCTGTTCAACCGCACTCAATATTCTAACTATACGAAGATCGCCTTGACCAGACAAGCCAGTGATTGCTATTGTGATCAAAGCCCCACACTGTTAGGGTACAGTGACACGCAAAGAATAGCTTCATGGAGCCCGACCACCGTTATAAATATTTTTAGTCGCCTCTTACGACGAGTTAAGGTTACCCGAGACCTATAATTTCTTATCCTGATAGCTGGCTGTTGAGTGTAATGGCCGCATGTCCCGAGACCACAAATATTCCAGTGATATTTATTTATGAGTTGTTTGATAGGCATTACTTAAAAGTTGACGGAAGACGAAGTAGAGACGATTTATGGATAACAACTTCTTTATTTACTGCAAAGGCGATGTTTGATATACTTGTAGATCCTTATACCGTTGTCAGGCTAGGCACCTTGCTTGACAACGGTACAAAGGATCTGTACCGAAACGTCGCCTTTACACTAAACAAAGAAGTTGTTATCCATAAGTCGTCTCTAAGAAATCCTAAGAAGGAACAGTCATGACACAAATACAATTTGGCACAGCAACCGAGTTTTTACAAAGGTAATTTAATAAACATAAAATCTCTTCCTCCTATCCTATACCTCTCTGCCTTAAGATCCTAAGACACGGCAAATCAGAACTTTTACTCCAATACGATACCTCTCTGCCTTCAGATCCTAAGACACGGCAAATCAGAACTTTAACACCAATACGATACCTCTCTGCCTTAAGATCCTAAGACACGGCAAATCAGAACTTTTACACCAATACGATACCTCTCTGCCTTAAGATCCTAAGACACGGCAAATCAGAACTTTTACTCCAATACGATACCTCTCTGCCTTAAGATCCTAAGACACGGCAAATCAGAACTTTTACACCAATACGATACCTCTCTGCCTTAAGATCCTAAGACACGGCAAATCGGAACTTTTACTCCAATACGATACCCCTCTGCCTTAAGATCCTAAGACACGGCAAATCAGAACTTTTACACCAATACGATACCTCTCTGCCTTAAGATCCTAAGACACGGCACATCAGAGCTTTTACTCCAATACGATACCTCTCTGCCTGAAGATCCTAAGACACGGCAAATCAGAACTTTTACTCCAATACGATACCTCTCTGCCTTCAGATCCTAAGACACGGCAAATCAGAACTTTAACACCAATACGATACCTCTCTGCCTTAAGATCCTAAGACACGGCAAATCAGAACTTTTACACCAATACGATACCTCTCTGCCTTAAGATCCTAAGACACGGCAAATCAGAACTTTTACTCCAATACGATACCTCTCTGCCTTAAGATCCTAAGACACGGCAAATCAGAACTTTTACACCAATACGATACCTCTCTGCCTTAAGATCCTAAGACACGGCAAATCGGAACTTTTACTCCAATACGATACCCCTCTGCCTTAAGATCCTAAGACACGGCAAATCAGAACTTTTACACCAATACGATACCTCTCTGCCTTAAGATCCTAAGACACGGCACATCAGAGCTTTTACTCCAATACGATACCTCTCTGCCTGAAGATCCTAAGACACGGCAAATCAGAACTTTTACTCCAATACGATACCTCTCTGCCTTCAGATCCTAAGACACGGCAAATCAGAACTTTTACTCAAATAAGATACCTCTCTGCCTTCAGATCCTAAGACACGGCAAATCAGAACTTTTACACCAATACGATACCTCTCTGCCTTAAGATCCTCAGACACCGCAAATCAGAACTTTTATTCCAATGCGATACCTCTCTGCCTTAAGATCCTAAGACACGGCAAATCAGAACTTTTACACCAATACGATACCTCTCTGCCTTCAGATCCTAAGACACGGCAAATCAGAACTTTTACTCCAATACGATACCTCTCTGCCTTAAGATCCTAAGACACGGCAAATCAGAACTTTTACTCCAATACGATACCTCTCTGCCTGAAGATCCTAAGACACGGCAAATCAGAACTTTTACTCCAATACGATACCTCTCTGCCTTCAGATCCTAAGACACGGCAAATCAGAACTTTTACTCCAATACGATACCTCTCTGCCTTCAGATCCTAAGACACGGCAAATCAGAACTTTTACTCCGATACGATACCTCTCTGCCTTCAGATCCTAAGACACGGCAAATCAGAACTTTTACTCTAATACGATACATCTCTGCCTTAAGATCCTAAGACACGGCAAATCAGAACTTTTACTCCAATACGATACCTCTCTGCCTTAAGATCCTAAGACACGGCAAATCAGAACTTTTACTCAAATAAGATACCTCTCTGCCTTCAGATCCTAAGACACGGCAAATCAGAACTTTTACACCAATACGATACCTCTCTGCTTTAAGATCCTCAGACACCGCAAATCAGAACTTTTATTCCAATGCGATACCTCTCTGCCTTAAGATCCTAAGACACGGCAAATCAGAACTTTTACTCCAATACGATACCTCTCTGCCTTAAGATCCTAAGACACGGCAAATCAGAACTTTTATTCCAATGCGATACCTCTCTGCCTTCAGATCCTAAGACACGGCACATCAGAACTTTTACACCAATACGATACCTCTCTGCCTTCAGATCCTAAGACACGGCAAATCAGAACTTTTACTCCGATACGATACCTCTCTGCCTTAAGATCCTAAGACACGGCAAATCAGAACTGTTATTCCAATGCGATACCTCTCTGCCTTCAGATCCTAAGACACGGCAAATCAGAACTTTTACTCCAATACGATACCTCTCTGCCTTCAGATCCTAAGACACGGCAAATCAGAACTTTTACTCCGATACGATACCTCTCTGCCTTCAGATCCTAAGACACGGCAAATCAGAACTTTTACTCTAATACGATACATCTCTGCCTTAAGATCCTAAGACACGGCAAATCAGAACTTTTACTCCAATACGATACCTCTCTGCCTTAAGATCCTAAGACACGGCAAATCAGAACTTTTACTCAAATAAGATACCTCTCTGCCTTCAGATCCTAAGACACGGCAAATCAGAACTTTTACACCAATACGATACCTCTCTGCTTTAAGATCCTCAGACACCGCAAATCAGAACTTTTATTCCAATGCGATACCTCTCTGCCTTAAGATCCTAAGACACGGCAAATCAGAACTTTTACTCCAATACGATACCTCTCTGCCTTAAGATCCTAAGACACGGCAAATCAGAACTTTTATTCCAATGCGATACCTCTCTGCCTTCAGATCCTAAGACACGGCACATCAGAACTTTTACACCAATACGATACCTCTCTGCCTTAAGATCCTAAGACACGGCAAATCAGAACTTTTACACCAATACGATACATCTCTGCCTTAAGATCCTAAGACACCGCAAATCAGAACTTTTACTCCAATACGATACCTCTCTGCCTGAAGATCCTAAGACACGGCAAATCAGAACTTTTACTCCAATACGATACCTCTCTGCCTTCAGATCCTAAGACACGGCAAATCAGAACTTTTACTCCAATACGATACCTCTCTGCCTGAAGATCCTAAGACACGGCAAATCAGAACTTTTACTCCGATACGATACCTCTCTGCCTTCAGATCCTAAGACACGGCAAATCAGAACTTTTACTCCGATACGATACCTCTCTGCCTTCAGATCCTAAGACACGGCAAATCAGAACTTTTATTCCAATGCGATACCTCTCTGCCTTAAGATCCTAAGACACCGCAAATCAGAACTTTTACTCCAATACGATACCTCTCTGCCTTAAGATCCTAAGACACCGCAAATCAGAACTTTTATTCCAATGCGATACCTCTCTGTCTTCAGATCCTAAGACACGGCAAATCAGAACTTTTACTCCAATACGATACCTCTCTGCCTTAAGATCCTAAGACACGGCAAATCAGAACTTTTACACCAATACGATACCTCTCTGCCTTAAGATCCTAAGACACGGCAAATCAGAACTTTTACTCCAATACGATACCTCTCTGCCTGAAGATCCTAAGACACGGCAAATCAGAACTTTTACACCAATACGATACCTCTCTGCCTTAAGATCCTAAGACACCGCAAATCAGAACTTTTACTCCAATACGATACCTCTCTGCCTTCAGATCCTAAGACACGGCAAATCAGAACTTTTATTCCAATGCGATACCTCTCTGCCTTCAGATCCTAAGACACGGCAAATCAGAACTTTTACTCCAATACGATACCTCTCTGCCTTAAGATCCTAAGACACGGCAAATCAGAACTTTTACACCAATACGATACCTCTCTGCCTTGAGATCCTAAGACACGGCAAATCAGAACTTTTACACCAATACGATTTGAAGACACCTCCACAGAAGATCGCGTCAGGTAACCTTCAACGAACTTTTTTGCTATAATTATCCTTTACCCTTCTTCGAATTTCGATCTTGTCAAAAGAAAACTGCCGCAGAACACAAATATACTCTTGATAGTACATTATTGTGGGTGTGGGTGTAGGTGGCGCTCAGAAACGAGAGAGTGTATACAATATCATCAACAAAATAATAGCGCGGTGTTTTTTTTAATTTGCATGATCATTGTCGAAACCGAACAGAAGTTGTTGATTAATGGACATTATCAATTAGGTTTGGTTTGATTTGGTTTGTTGTTTTACGCCGCACTCAGCAATATCCCATATGACGGCGGTCTGTAAATAATCGAGTCTGGACCAGACAATCCAGTGATTTACATCACGAACATCGATCCACGCCATTGGGATCGATGACATGAATCAACCAAGTCAGCGATCCTGACCACCCGATCCCGTTAGTCGCCTTTTACGACAAGCATAGTCGCCTTTTACGGCAATTGGTTGCTGAAGACCTATTTTACCCCGGATCTTCATGGGTCTATCAATTAGGCGTTTCATTTTAACATGATAGCTGATATAAATCATTGTATTTAAACTAACTGTGCAAATGTTTACAACGAGGTTGCATGTCAAAGTATTCTCAGGCAAACTACTCACAGCCTTTGTTCTTAACAAAACTTTTGATGAAATTATTTTCTCCCGAGCTGCTGATCTCCACCAGAAAGCCATCGAAGTCTTTGCATATTTCCTGTAATAGATGAGAGTGTGAGAGTGAGTTAAAACGCCGCTGCTAACAGTATTCCAGTTATTTGACGACCTTGGATTCGTTACCGCGGAATAAACTTAACAGATATAGATGATTTTAAATTAGATTAAAATAGGTAATAGATCAATAGTGAGGTGGCTTTGCACAAAATTTTGCCATTATTGTTACACGGTGGATAAAAAGCACCAAACTTTGCATGTAGCAGATTCACCCCTGGAGGGGCCACATCTGACCATGACCAGACACTACCACGAAGTTACGCTCTTGGCTCTTTTCAGCCTGCAGAATGAAGCTTTCCTTCTTTCGGGAAGATCAGGTGAAGAAGGTTTTGTTTGTTTGTTGTTTAACGCCGCACTCAGCAATATTCCAGCTATATGGCGGCTGTCTGTAAATAATCGAGTCTGGACCAGACAATCCAGTGATTGATTTCATGAGCATCGATCCATGCATTTGGGATCGATGGCATGCATCAACCAAGTCAGCGAGCCTGACCACCCGATCCCGTTAGTCGCCTTTTACGACAAGCATAGTCACCCTTTACGGCAAGCATGGGTTGCTGAAGACCTATTCTACCACAGAATCTTCACGGGTGAAGATGGTACTCTGTAATCTTGGAAAGACGGGATGTGGCAAAGGTGTCCTACATTTAAGTATCGTAACCTCACCGTGCAACTTTAACTCACTCACTCACTGGAACTCAAGTTCTTCTTGTTCATCCTGGCTCACAGAGAAAGAAATTCAGCTGACACCTATGTTCTGAGCCCTCGACCACACTCATTGTGCGCCCATATAAGAGACATGATAGCCTAAGAAGAAGTCGGAGTTTGAGAAGAATTACCAGTGGTAATTCAAAATGATATACACATTTTCTCATGAGCAGAGAACAAGCAAGTCAAGGCTTCAGGTGGTGCAACTTGATAAACAGAAAACTCCATTTGCTTTCAAATGCCGGATGCCTTCAGGGACTGACAGGTAGATTAGTCAAACAGTTTGAAAATGTGTATATTCTAGATGATAATCCAGATCTTCCAGTAACTTCGAACACCATGAGCGAGGGCTTCCGAACAAGAAACATTATGAAAGCCGGCCAAGAGCCTTTCAGCTCTCCCAAATTTACAAAGTAGCCAAAGGTCTTTCCCATTCCATAGGCAACCCATATATCTGCTTAGGATTGTAATGCAATCAGCTGGTCATGACATTTTTCAGTAAGGATGAACAAAACATCTGTATCCACTGCACGCATCTGCAGTGAAGTCACACCATGCACAGAATGAATGACAATCCTTGTGTCTGCTTCCTCGTGATTGTAATTTGTCAAGAAGGTGAGAGAATCCTTGCCCTTCAATGTCACAGCTGCTCCAGATGTCCTATAGACAGTTTGGGCTTCTGGCCATGGCTTTTCTCCAACATGTGGAGCTAAGAGCTGACATAATTCTTCCCAAGTGATTTGGCCATATTGGATTTTTGTGGAAGCTACAAATATATTTCAAGTTGGCTCCTATACTCAGTATTCAGTATGGGTGGATGTATCATTGTGCCAAATTGGATGCTGTTATCCTCCTTTTTACAATAATTTGGTTAAGCCCTTTGACTTTCACTGAAAATAAACCATGACACCAGGTGTCCGCAGATTGGGTAAGCATGTCCTTCTCTACCGGCAGCACCCGCCACACAATTTGTTTTAAAAAAAGTGTTTGTTTGTTTGTTGCCAAATGCCGCACCCATCAAAACTCCAGTCATACGATAGTGGCCCGTAATATGCCATATGAATTGGTCATTGTTGATGACATTATACTTCAAACTTAATGACCAACATGGCCAGGGACTGGTTCTGAATGACAACATATACTTGTAGCTATAAACTAAGTTCAACTTCAGGTAATCAATAAGCAGACACGACGCGTTCTATTCGCTGTGCAGAGTCCCGCCCAATAGCGGTATCAGAAACCTCTGGTCCTGGGTTCGAATCCCACATTTGACATTATTATGGTTTGTCAGCACCATACCCATGTTCGTTGGTTTAAGCCAAAATGTAAACTTCCGACTTTCCACGCACGTCAAGCCGAAATATTACTGAAATACTTTTCAAAGCGGCGTTAAAACAAACTCTCTCACTCACTCACAGTGGCGCACACACGAAAGCATTTCTGGTGCGAATGGAGCACTCGAACAAACATTCCTCTGTTTTAAAAAAAATCAATAGAAGACAGGTTCGAGGTTATTCACAGTCACTGGAACTATGTTGTGAAGATCTCACCTCTGCTTCGGCCCACGTTGACGGGTTTTGTATGAGAGTGTAGCAAGATCCTTCAAAGGAAGTCCAGTAGTTGGGACACGAGCAGTGTGCTTTAAATACAGGAGGAAACAGTGAGTCAGTGTGTTTGATTCCACAGTCAGCACAATTACAGAAAACTCAAAAGCAGTTAATGAACACACGATTACTTTATAGTGAGTGAGTGAGTATGGTTTTACGCCGCTTTTAGCTGTATTCCACATGGGCTTCCCACATTGTACCCATGTCGAGAATCGAACCCGGGTCTTCAGCGTGGCGAGCTAACGCTTTAACCACTAGGCTACCCGACCGCCCTGATTACTTTATATGTCTACCGTTAATCTGTCAGATTCACTAAAGTCAAATAACAACATGGCATGACAGATTAACCTAAGTCGTATGAAAAAATCGTGTGTTCTGTAACGTCTTTGGACATTCTGTCGGGTAACAATAGCAGACATGTCAAGTGTTATGTGACAGTGTATTTTATTGTTGAACAGTGATTGTAACTGTGTTACATTGTTTCTGCTGAGATTCGGTAGACGCTTATTGCATTGTGTTTGGAAAGTGAGCAGTCGTCAGGAAGTTACTATATTTAGATGCTTAGTGTGGTATGTAAATTGACAGTGACAGTATGTTATAGAAAGTTCTGTAATGAACAAGTGCTGCTAGACTGGTGAGGGCCCTGTATAGAACTTTCCAGTAGCTGGTTAGTGTGTGAGTATGGTGTTACCGCGCTTTTAGCTGTATTCAAGCAATATCACGGCGGGGGACACCAGTAATGGGCATCACATATTGTTCCCATGTGGGGAATCGAACCTGGGACGATCGGACGCTTTAACCACAAGGCTACCCAACCGCCCCCTGCAGCTGGTTAGACTATATAAATTGACAATAGCGTGTTTACGTATATCTCACGTATTACCATCACATCGGAACCACCTTTCATGTGAGGATCGCTCAGCATCCCTGATTTCCTGCCTAGCCCATCTCGGAGGTTTGACCACTGTCGCCGCTGGGTGAATATATATTATTATCATTGACTTTGCTATCACCACTATATTTGTGTATTTTATACTGACCACTGATATCATATTATATCTTGCCACTGAATATTGTACTACCACTGCCATTGTATTGTTTACTGCCATTGTAATTGCTGTGCAGTAATTTGTATTGGTTTATAAAACTGGTGAATGTTTGTAATACATTTGTTGATTGTATACCATTTGTTGGTTGTTTGTGGGTTTCACACTAGGTTCTTTTACGTAAAGATTTATGGGTTAACATATCGTTTCAATTTGGGAATCGAGACGATACGCAAGTCATTCACAATCCTTTGAATAAAATGACACGGGTGGTCCAGTCGTCCAAACCAACGAGGGTCGGTGTGCAGAGCGTATGTTCAAATCGTATTATGATCCTGGTTTGCTTGCACCATTCTCGTGGGTAAACCGGTTCACACCGATCATGTTTCTAGGTTTGTCAGTACCACACCCGTGCTCAAAGGTTTCACCAAAATGGTCAACGTCTGAGACCTGCATCACCGGGCTTTTCTCCCACGTTAAGCAGACACGCCTTTATATATCTGGAATACTGTTAAAAGCGGCGTTAAACCAAACTCAGTCCCTAGTTGGTCACTTGTGGATTTGTATTCAAATCGCATTATTTTCAAATTTAACAAACTAACTCTAAGGTCCAAGAATATGTTTGTTGAAATCTCAATATCATCTACAAAGTTTGTGTTATTAAAATCACGCTTCTATATAGATAGGAGACGAGATCGTGTTTTTTGGTTTGATTCTTAACATCAAATCCGACGGCGGTCTGTAAAAAGTCGACAAACTAGTGACTGATAGTATGAGCAACGTGTCACGTCACCGAGCCTGACCACCCGATTCACTCTGTCGCCTCCTACAACAATCAGAGTTTGCCTGGGACCATAGCGAACCGGGTACTGGATGTCTGATCTGAACTGCTGGCAAAAGAAAGTATACATCCATGGTTGATGGTCGCTAAAAATGAAGCAATCAAGAAATGGTTATTCGATGGTGATGTATTTCATACGGGTATCATAGTTGTGCTTTGAACCTTACGTTGCAGTGTTTCGGAGAACGTGTTCAGCCTAGTAACGTTTTGATAACATCGAATCCAAGTTTCAAGTGTATACTTTCTTCTTCCCGTCACTAAAGTATAACAAGACGGGGACTCCGGTTGGAGTAGGTCGCCATGATCCTCTGAGTGTCGTACTTAAGAGGCGGTAAATGGATATAGTGATCTGCGTCGATCGATGTTCAGTATGTCAATCACTGGATCTACTGATCCAGAAGCAATTATTTACAGATCGCCGTCATGTAGCTGGGATTCTGCTGAGCGCTGTGTTAGCAACAAACAGGGAAAAACAACAAAGAAGATTGTTTTTGTACATTCATGTCTGATGAAAAAGCATGTCCTCAATATGGACATAAGATTATGCCCTTGTAGCACGGTGGTGGGTCTCGCTATCGGAAACACCTGGCAGAGTCACTCATAATTATAGGTCTGTGTTCGCGAGGAGAAATTAAAAAACAACTTTCGCGATAAGCATGTTGTTCACATGTGTTGTTCTAACGTAACATGCCTAGTCTATTTGTTTTTTTAGCGTAAATTTCAAGGATTTAAATACTTTTTATACATTTTTCGATGCTTCAGAATTGTATGACCTGCCACTACTGCTGACCTATGTTCAGGGCAGCATGACTACATGTTTCTGAGATATAACTGACACGCTGTGATATAACTGGAATACTGATCAAAGCGACGTTTAACCAAACTCACTCACTCACTCTTCTACACTTCTCATACTACAGTCTAGAGGTACGTGACATAATTTCGTAATTTCGTAACGGTATCTCAGCTTATGTAATCATCGATAACTCTGGCCCCAAACAGATTTAGTCTTATTCCCACTTACCAAGTAGTTAAAAGGGATTAACTACAGCTTATAAAAAGTGTGAGCAATAAAAATCTGGTACAACGTGAATATAAATAGCATAGGCATTGTCAGCATATAGTAACGAGATCAAAGAATAAAGCAGCATGTCACACACCATACACAGCAACTTATAGAGATAAGCAATTTATCAAACATATTTGAGCAGAGCAATAACATTTAACATTTGTTAACACCGCCATGGCTTGGCCACGTTAAGTTAAAATTGCAGCAGTACGCAAGATTATCATAACTTAACTCTCTGGATCTGTTCAGATCCGGGGTAGAATAGGTCTTCAGCAACCCATGCTTGCTGCAAAAGGCGACTGGTTGTCGTAAGTGGCGACTAACAAGATCTAACAGTCAGACTCGCAGCCTTGATTGATGCATGTCATCATTATCCCAATTGTGTAGATCGATGTTCATGATCTCAGTCACCGGAATGTCTGGACCAGTTCGATTTACAGACCGTCGTAATGTAGCTGGAATAGTGTTGAGTGCGGCGTTAAGCAACAAACAAACAAACATTCTGAAGTCTAAGCCCGACATCTATCAGGACGGTTCAATATTTAAGGAAGAAAAACAAGCAACAAAGAACTGCATTGTATTGAAAGATACATACGAGTAGAAGGATGTACTCACCACATGCAAGAAGCATGCATGTTGTCAGAATACGACATATCTGCAAAATTTTTGCTTCGGAAATGAAAACAAGTGGGTCAGGACAATGCTGATAGCGGCTTGTATCCAACATGCATGTACTCGTCCGGCAACACAACCAGGTGATTCATGTCCTGCCCTTGTGCCAGGCATTTAGCAACGTCACCGACGGAAGTTATACGATGTTGTTTGTTTGTTTGTTGTTTAACGTCGCACTCAGCAGTATTCCAGCTATATGACGGTGGTCTGTAAATAATCGAGTCTGGACCAGACAATCCAGTGATTGACATCATGCGCATCGGTCTACATAATTGGGATACGATTACATCAAGTCAGCGAGTCTGCCCATCCGATCCCGTGTTTGGGTATTAAATGTTATAAACCTTTTCACACAAAAATAGTGCGCAGGATTACATTGATAGCCTACATATTGATTCATAAAAAGTGGCTGCCTATCGATCACCCATGTGAACTGTAAAACATATCTATGTTTCCTCTGTTACTCACTGGGTCTCTAATACAAGCCAGGTCTCTAATACAAGCCAGGTCTCTAATACACACGGATCTATGGCTCTGGCGAAATTAATAGACGACCTAGTGTCTAATAGAGGAAATACGGTAGTTTGATATCGGATGTTTTGGACGACGATATGACGTTCTAGGCCGTAACCCTGACTGCCTCGATGATGAGATTACAAGACTTTACGAAGGCATATCTCTTCCATACAAATGAAATGTTTATGAAACTGCTAGGGACATGTTTGGTGGCGAACAGACTCGGAACAGGCAATTTCGTCATTGAAACAACCGACAATGAAAGTAAAATATAACATTATAAAAATGTGTGTGAAGAAGCTTTATTTAGACAACATATTCATTGTCATCCTCGACAACCACGGACTTGGTAGGTGGGGATTTTAAAGTCCATCAAAAAACAATCCTCCCTTGGAAACTCCATGAAAACAATTCTCAATGGCTCATAGAGTAAATATACATGTTAATGTTGAACCACATCATAGATCGGGCTTGTCATCTTGCTTTGTGTATCTTGTCTGAGGTTTAGGTAAACAACAACATTGTCAGCCATTGACAGTTATGAGGTGTGAGTAACCGTGAGTTAGGTCAAGTTCGGGGTCGAGACACATTTATTTTGATTATTTTTTAATTATTTACTGGTGGTAATTACTGGCTAACTAATAAGACTTACACATGTAAAATAAATAGTAGAATGTTAATTCAGAAAGTTTGTTAGAGAAATATGTTCGTTTGCATTTCTACAACCTGTCACCCCTACACTGGACATGGCATATTCGATTTCCAAGAAATGACGTCTCGCGCAGATTTCCAAGAAATGACTTGGTGAGTCCAAACTACACGGCAGGTTGTTATGATATTAAAACATCTATCTCTGGACTATGTTTGGAGGTTTATTTGTCAACTTCCTTTTGAAATACTATGTGTTTTGAACACTTAGTTTGAACTACTCAAGATTATGGGTATTTTAATGTTGAACTTTAGTTATATTTGTTACATATATTACTACCTGTGACCACTTTTCAGAATGTTCTAAGATTGCAGACCTTTGTACCCTGTGTTGTTACGCGTTGCAAGAAAGCACCTTTTTCACAGCGTTGTTGCATTCATGGTAGAATGGAGATAAACCTACTGTGTCTTGAAATTTAATGTAGTCCCCAGTAGAGTAGATACCGCAGTCTTATTTTAATGTGGAACCGAGGGCTCTAGCGCTAGGTTTGAAACGTATAAATAAGAGGTATCTACTCTACACTGGGACTACATCAAATTTCAAAACACAGTAGGTTTATCTCCTAATTAATCAACACGTTACATGACGCTTGTGTTACGATCCGTCACATTTGGATGTTCTGACACCTTTGATAATATTTACACAAATCACAGAGATATGAATGCACTCAAAGCAGAGCAAAGCTTAGAGTTCAATAAAACGTAAACATCCGTGCCATCATGTCTTTGGAACAAAAGAGCAACTCAAATCTTGTTCTTCTTTGCAGGGGTCTGTGATCAGCTCATTTCCACGTCTCGCCACCTCCATCCATCCAGATGTATCACTATCCTTGCCACACAGTGTATGTTCACAGATCGACAATGGACATATTCCATTGCCTTTCAATGGTCGACTAACTATTGCTCTAGGGGTTCTGAAGTTGTGACAGCACGGAATCCGCTTCTCCAAGTCTCGTACTGTATACTGCCACTAAGACAATGTTGACCACTACCGACACGGCACTCATGACTAAGTCAATAGCTGGTAAGGACGTGCAGCTGCAAGTCTTGCCCTTCTCCTCTGTGGCCTCCTTGTATTTGTGGACACACAGCAGAACGACGCTCAGCACAATGACACTAAGTCCATGGGTAACGACTGACACCATATAATTCCCTGAAAGGACAACGTGAATAAGGGAGAGAGTGAGTAGGGTTTTACGCCGCTTTTAGCAATGTTCCAGCAATATCACGCTCGGACACCAGTAATGGGCATCACACAATGTACCCATGTGGGGAATCGAACCCGGGTCTTCGAGCGAACCCTTTAACCACTAGGCCCCCGTGAAAGTAAAGAATAACAGCTGTATTCTCCATTAACATACAACAGTAATATAGTTTCTGATTGACATCCACAAACGGTACTTTGGCAGGGCTTCAAACCTATCTTTAATGTATTAATACAGGTACACCTTCACATCACTGAGAGGAGCGATGGGGGTAGCCTTGTGGTTAAAGCGTTCGATCGTCATGTAGAAGGCGAGGGCTCGATTCCCCACATGGGTATCATGTGTGAAGCCCATTTCTGGTGTCCCCAGCAGTGATATTGCTGGAATATTGCTAAAAGCGGCGTAAAATCAAACTCACTCACTCACAGTGGTAAAATGAGAAAACAACATAAAGAGTGTTCACGAAAGCTTAATTTCGTAGACAATGTTTTTCATGAAATAGATAGTTTACTCATTCAGTCATCTGTCATGCCTCAGACTGGAGGCGTGTTATGCATGCTATTTGTCAGTGACATACATTTCGTCCTGCATCTAAGCTCAGATTCGACATCGGTACAATGTCACTAACATAGTTCTCAACAGAAGTGAAGGATTGATGCCGATTTATAGTGCTAGCTCACTGAGATACCATGTCACAATTTAACATGAATACCCCACTCAGACACAGTATACTGACTCCGAGCCGACCAGTCCTTGTGTTAGCCCCTTAATGCCGAGCGCCAGACAGGGTAACACCAAATACAATCTTTTGCTATGACGCGGCCGGGGATCGAAACCCGGACCTTCCGCTGTCCGGGCGGACGCTCTACCACAAGACCACGGAGGCGTTAGTTGGGTTTAATGCCGATGTGAACAGTTTTCAGTTTACTGCGTGTTGTTATAAGCCACACTCAACAATATTCAAGCTATATTACAGATGCCTGTAAATAATCGAGTCTGGACCAGAAGATCCAGTGATTAATATTGTGAGAAACAATCCACGCCGTCCGGATACAATGACAAGTTATCAACAAAGTCAGCGAGCCTGATCATCAGACGCCATGAGTCATCCGGACAAACCAAGGGTCGTAATGAAACCTAAGCCACGGACATGAGATCCTGGGACACAACTCCTCACAGGAAATTGCGCCCTGGACGACCGGCCTATCCGTGTTCCCACAGTTTGCATAGTCTCCAAAAGATAAAGTTAAACTTTCAATCTGAAATATTTTGACAAGGGGCTTACCCAAATGGAAGTTATCGGAACTTGTAACCGGAGGCAGGATGCTAAAAAGAAGGACCATAAATATGCTGAGAGATACCAGCATTGCCAGCGAATACAACAGTTTGTCCGCTCTTGTGAATGGTATTAGAAACACTCCACTCAAGAGGAAGGAGAGGAAACAGAATGGCACCAGCATCAGTAAGGTATAGAAGGGCGTCTGGCGCTGAAACACAAAAGTGTAAGTCAGACTTGAGTAGTTGAATCCAAAGCCACCGGCCACACTATGCGTCTTCACTGACAAATATTTCTCCATGATGCCCCACTGCCTCTCTCCTGCGTACAGAGCCAGCGATATAGTCTTGCCCTGGGACTTCACACTTCTCAAAGTGACATCTGTCGTTGGGTGGACCCAACTTCCGATTTCCACATAACAGATCTGAATATCGTATGGGAAATACCGAATGTCGAACCCACATGCTGTTCTTGGGGCGACCCGTGGGATCCATATCACTGTACCGTCCTTTAACACCTTGAGCGGAGCACTGTCATCTTGAAGAACATTTGCGGATCCACCATTCCTATATGTGAGGGAGAAGAATACTTTCTTACAATTGTGTTTGTGCGTTTGTTTGTTGTTTAACGCCACACTCAGCAATATTCCAGCTATATGAGGGCGATCTGTATATAATCGAGTCTATGGACCAGATAATCCAGTGATTGACATCATGAGCATCGATCCCGCAATTGGATACGATAACACGCACCAATCAAGTCAGCGAGCCTGACCACCCGATCCCGTTAGTCGCCTCTTACGACAAGCATAGTTGCGTTTTACAGCAAGTCTTACAATTATTATGCTACTTTAACATATTCTATTGATATTGCAAAAGGGGAAGGTACAGTTCAGCGCACTTTTATGAGTGAGTGAGTGAGTGAGTTGGGTTTAACGCCACTTTTAACAGTATTCCAGTTATATCACGGCGTGTCAGCTTAATGTGGGAGGAAAGCCCAAAGTGAGCACTTTTATGAAAATCCCCCAACGAGTTCATAACAGGCCAACAAACAGGTGCACCTAAGACATGGACGTGAAAGTTGAAGTGTTTTTTTAATTTTTTTAATTTTTTAAAGTTGAAGTATTATAGATCGTCTGAGCACAAAAGGTTAAGAAGGAGAGATTGACATGCTATCTGGAGGGACAGGTGCGCTTGTTTAAGACATGTTTTTAGAATATGCTTTTTATAATGAAAAAACAGGATACATGGAGGTTATCATGCGAGTGAGTTTGGGGATGGTAAATATCCTGTATAAGGAATATACATTGTATTTAGCGAGCCTTGGTGAACTAAATACATAGCGTTTATTCCAAATACAGGATTTCTACCATCTCTAAACACAAGCGTCATAACCTCTTTATCATAATGTTGGAAGCTACTCTAACCCTAGTCTATCAAACGTCAAGGCCATAGTCAGACGTTGACAGTCGGCCTGTCCTGTCATAACGTTACGAAGTGCAGTCAGATGTGCAGACAGCGACAAAACGAAACAAGGTAATAATTCGAACATATTTCGGCCAAATCCAACTGTTTTAATTTGTGGAAAAGGTTCCAAGCCACGGAGGTCTACAAGCACAGATATGGAAACTGTTCCCGCTTGACTAGTGCCCTCGCAAAATTGTTTCGCAATTCATATCTCCAAAGTTGCCAATGCCTTAGCTACGTCACAGTTAGACACTGACTTTCGATATATTAGACTATTGTTTTAAAAATGACAGCAATTGACCCAGTTGTTTCTCCAGATTCCCGATTGTAAATTCTGACACGATCATCGAATGACAAGGGCGTCGCCATGTTTGTTTGTAAACAGTGAAAGATGCCCCACTTGACCTTTGATATTTGCATCTCTGTCCGCATATGACCCAGAAGGATATCCGTTTTTTCCTTTGGCTTTATCCTGCCGAGAAACCCACCCATTATATGATGAACAAGTGTTGGATGGATTGTTTGTTGTTTAACGCCGCAATATTCCAGCTATATGACGGCGGTATGTAAAATAATAGACTCTGGACCAGACAATCCATTGATTGACATCATGAGCATCGATCCACGCAATTGGGATCGATGACATGTATCAACCAAGTGCGAGCCTGACCACCCGATCCCGTTAGTCGCCTTTTACGACAAGCATAGTAACCTTTTACGGCAAGCATGGGTTGCTGAAGACCTATTCTACCCCGGAATCGTCACGGGTCCAAGTGTTTGTGTATCTGGTGTGTTTATCGGCATTGTCACCAGTATTCTTCAGAAAGCTGGTTTAACAAATTGACAGGTTCGAGTATATACAATTTGCAGTGGAATTTCATGCAATGACCCGGCAACTTAGCTGATTACGTGTCAACGTACGGTTCTTACCCCGACGGCGTGAATCGTTCAGTCAATCACAGGGTTATCTGGTCAAAGAATAGATCATTTATAGGTCGCTGTCAAACGGCGTAAAACACAGAAACAACACTATTTCTAGGGCACATATCTGTAGTGCACAAATACATAAACATACAGCATTGCACAAGGAGGACATCTTTAACCCTCTTCCTTCTTAGTTAAATACCACATAAGTATCATAGGAGGACTTACGCATTGTTGACGACCAGAGGCGGAGTCCAGACTTGATTGGCGTAAAACACCCTGTGATCGTCCGTACCATTCACACTCAAACGCGTGTCAGCCCAACTCTGAAATACATAAATATCCAATTTAGACCTCACAGAGTATTGTCCACGAGCTGTGTAGTGTATCCGGGAAATAATTTAACCCCCCAGCAACCCATATGCTGACAACTGTTTGTTTGTTGTTTAAAGACGCACCCAGCAATATTTTAGCTATATGACGGCGGTCTGTGAATAATCGAGTCTGGACAACACAATCCAGTGATTGACATCATGAACATCGATCCACGCAATTGGGATCGATGACATGCATCAACCAAGCCATCGAGCCTGACCACCCGATCCCGTCAGTCGCCTTTTACGGCAAGCATGAGTTGCTGAAGAACTTTTTGATGGGTCGGAATATTATTGCTGTTACATAACGAGGTGCATGCACGTGTCACTGTGTGTGTTCTTGTCAGGACTTATGCCGGTTTTATTGTGCTAGCTCATTGATAAACATGGCGTGAGATACAAAGTCATTAGGCGACAGGTGTCAGTATGATTTGGTTGGTTGGTTTGCTGTTTTACGCCGCACTCATCAATATCCCAGCTATATGACGGCGGTCTGTAAATAATCGAGGCTGGACCAGACAATCCAGTGATTAGTGTCATTAGCATCGATCCACGCCATTGAGATCGATGACTTGCATCAACCAAGCCATCGAGCCTGACCACCCGATCCCGTTAGTCACCTTTTGCGACAAGCGTAGTCACCTTTTACGGCAAGCATGGGTTGCTGAAGACCTATTCTACCCCGGAATCTTCACGGGTCGGTGTCAGTATGAATAAGTCAATGATTGAGCACTACCCATGGAGACATGTTTATCACGTCAATCAAATCACCCACAGCCACCACAGTTTGACGACATGGCGCATTCTGAACAGTCACCGTGAAAGTTCGTTTATATGATGTTTAACGCCGCACTCAAGCATATTCCAGCTATATAACGGCGGCCAGTAAATAATCGAATCTGTGACGCAATTGGGATAAAATGACATGCAGCAACCAAGTCAGTGAGCCTGACCACCCGGTCCCGTTAGTCACCTGTTTCGACAAACATGGGGTGGGGGTGGGAGATGGGGGATGGTTGCTGAACCCCCTTTCTATCCGAATGCAGAATGCTGTTTTTTTCAGTGGGCTTCCTTTTAAAGTGTTTGTTTTGTACAAACGGCTACGCAGTACGCACACACTATCACCCTCGGTGGCCCAGGTGGAGAAGATCTCAGCAGATCCCGCAAGTCCTGAACGGAGAACGTCGGGTTAGAAGTACTCCCAAGGAACCTATGCTAGGATCGGGTAACCTATAAATGGATTTGGTGGTCAGGCTCGAGGACGTTGTTGATGGAGTGTCATCTCGTACCCTGACGCCGTGGGACGTTGAAGCCGTGGGACGTTGTTCACTTAATCAATCACTGGATTATTACGGGACTCGATTATTTTACAGGCCGCCGACAAACAACAAACAAAAATAACGATGCAGTTCAATTGAGAGTCCTTGCAAGCTTGGTTCAAGTCATTTCACCGCAATATTTACGTTATAGAACAATCTGGTATTTAATGATTATCCTAATTAATCAGGTTCAATATTTATTACATCCTAACTAAACTGGAAATGGGCACAGAAGTTATCTCCCTTCGATAGAGTGCCGAGTGAGTGAGTGAGCTGGGTTTGATGCTGCCTTTAAGTAAACAGTATATCCGTTATATCATGGCGTGTCAGGTAACGTTGGAAAACAGCCCGAAGTGACCCATGAACCCATGTGCACGGGTATGGTGCACAAACCTAGAAACAATCAGGGTGAACCGGATTCGAACCCACAATCATGTCTGATCAAAGCATCTGTAGGCGTAGTACTAAAACATGGAAAATATGTATTTGAAATTAAAATATAATTTTGGCTATAATAATTTACACCATCCATAAGGACAATGACATATGTTTCTTAAACGTGCACGTGGAAAGATAGCCATGCTAAACGGGATTTCTTTTGTACATTTTAAACTCTACCACCGACAAATGAAATAGCATTTAAAACTCAATATTTCATTTAGCCAGTACAATCCACAACATTCACTCACTCACTCACCATGTGAAGATGAAAGGTTGTAGATAACGCCGCTTTGGAAACATCCTGAAAATAATGAAAAACATTCATGAATATACAAATATGATATGGTCATTGAATAAAATTGAAACACATCTCAAGTTTCGTTCATATCTATATTATTATGAAATATAAGATAGCTACGCGATAAATCGCAAAGAACAATGAAGAACGAAGCGTGGTTTATTTCACGACAAAACATTGTTCTATCATGACGTCATGTCTGGAGATTCGAACATGCGCTCGCAACTTGATGATTTGGTGAAGTGTCCAGTGAGTTGTCCCCCTTAGATGTAGCCGGGCAACGCAGATAAACGAAGTGGCCGAACGATCGCATCCAAAGTGGGAGAGATATGACAATCGACACTGGGAGAAAAGGTTCAGATAATCGACGTGAAATTAGAGAATATGCGGGCAAGACCACATTTAAAATCCCTGTTCATAAAATGGACTTGTCCGACATTGCCAAGGTCGGAATCTATTCAGGGAGTCATCATCATTTAAATACGGGTCAATATTTTTAAAGCTTGTACATTTTATCAACATCCTTAGAGAGCCTGTAATGTGAATATGTCATATAAGAAATATAGGACTCGTGGTCGTTGTTTAGGGAGAATAAACCACGTGGTTACGCAGCCCAGACAGCGAATGGGACTTCTCCCAGGAAGCGCTGCCTAGTCAAGCCCACTCAGAACATTTCGGAGAATGTGAAGACTCCCCAACATTGCAGCCTTCTGCATTACCCAGATTGTCAGAAGGGCTGTATTCCTGGTAGAAAACCCAGGTACTCTGTCAATGTCAGTCAGAATTGGAGGTACAAAACCTAAGGCACCGAGAACAATGGGGAGTCGGACAACTTGGTACTTGGAATGCAAGCGTGACATTTCGAAAGCGAGGTCCGCATATTTGCCACGTTTTTCCTCAATCTTGTTAATCACATTACTGTCAAAAGGGACAGAAACTTTAATGATATAAATGATTTCATTGGATTTTTGAAAAAGGACAAGATCAGGTTTTTTGGCCTGGATACGTCTGAGGCTGTATACGGGCCTATTCCAAAGAATTTTGTATTTATCATTTTCCATGACGCCCTCTACATATTCCGGGTTGTTACATGGATGGACCTCTGTGTCAAACCACCAGCAAGGCGAAGACGGTAATAAAAGGATCGAGCCATTCCATCATGTCGCTTAAGATACTGTGTTTGAGCCAAAGCGGGGCATCAACTGACAATGTGTTGGGCAGTCTCATTAAATTCATTGCATAATCTACATTTCATATTTACATTTTGATGCAAAATCACACAATGGCGGTTTCGAGGGAAGTGACTGGTCCTGAGCAGCAAACAGAAAGCCTCCTGTTTCACTCTTCAGGCCAGAGGACTTCATCCAAAGTAAGGACTCTGCAGGGTTGCTGATCCTCTCAACACACTGCACATAAACTCGATGCAGTGGTCGTTCAGATAGCCTCTTCTTGAAACACTGAGTCTAGGCCGACTTAATATGGCACTTCGCTTGGTTGACACTCATTTCTCTACCGTCAAGCAGCACAGAACCATCAACAAAATCAACACCGACTTTGAGATTATGTCCCACATCCTTGGCTCGTGTTAGAAAACTGTGGAATGCCTTGCTTTCATCATGAATCTTGACATGCCTCACAAGGGGATCATCAGACAAATAAATGTGTGCAAAAGTGCACAAAACAATTCTATCATGAAGAACCTCCACGTTAATCAAACCACGCCCTCACATTGTGATTGGTAAATATAAGCGATTGAGGGAAGAGTACGGGTGGTTGAATCTATTGTCTGACATGATTCTTCGTGTGAGGATGTCAATACCCTGAATTTCTCGTTTCGTCCAGTCAACAACACCAAAAGAATACGAAAGGACGGGCACAAGTATTTGTGGCTTTGACTTTACTGCGAGCGTTCAGCTCTGAACTCAGATTTTCTTTAGTCTAAATTTGGACTCTGCCCGAAGTTTGCCCTTGATATGGGCATTCTGGAGTTTGTCCCTGATCTGCATCCCTAAGTACGTATAGTCAATAACTCCTCCTCCAAGTAAACTGAGTGATCTTCCCTCCTCTACCTTGCCACGTTACAAATGAAGAATGTTGCATTTGTCGAGTCCAAAGGACATGCCCATATCATTAAAAAAGGACTAAACAAGCACAATCTATTTTTTAGTGTAGATCCTCCATTGGCATTAAGTTCAAGGTCATCCATGTAAAGGAGGTGAGTAAGTGGTGTTGGGGATCTGTGCTTGGGAGGCCCGGGTGATAACCTTCCTCTTTGCTGAGCAAAAAGCTTAAAGGATTTAGTGACAAACAGAAAAGCAAAGGGCTAAAAGAATCACCCTGAAATATTCCTCTTCTGATAGAAATGGGTTCCGAAGTCACCACCTGCCCCTGTGAATACATCTCAAGTTGAGTTGACCAGCAGTTCATTAAAGACTTGAGTAAAACAAGTAGTCGCTCGGGGTCAATACATTCCAGTGACCTCAAACTCCATTCGTGAGGTACGGAATCATAAGCTTTTCTGTCGTCTATCCAACACATTGAGAGGTTACGGTGGTAAGTTTTAGCCTCTCATTTTCTGAACTAGTAGTTGATCCTTACAACCCCAACATCCCTTTCTGGCTCCTTTCTGCTCCATGTAAATACTGCCATTGGATGCACAGTTAATGACACAATATCTGTAAGACATCCTGTAAATATTTTGTATTGTGTATTCAGACAAGTAATAGGGCGAAAGTTTTGAGATCAGTCAAATCACCTTTCTTTGGGAGAAGTATTGTTCGACCCTTGCACAACCAAATGGAACATCCCTTGTATCCACAAGAGAATTAAAACAGTGACGTAATGGTGTTTGGACACAAGGAAATAGGTTCCAAAACCGGTTTCGAATACCATCTGGTCCTGGCGCCATATTAGATTTGGACTTTTAGCTACATTTTTCAGGCAATCAGGTGTAATGAAACACAACAATGGTGATTATATTTTTTCGCGTACACAATCATTATATTCCTCCACCAATGGTTCTTCGAGGTTACAGATGCCGGGTATAGACCACAACTGTTTCAAAAACGTTTCACTGGAATTCATGGTGGGTCTTTTCTCATCACTGCCATTGGATGTATTTAGTTGCCTGTAAAATTGTTTTTCATTAGATTTAAATAATTTGGAACGTTATTATCCGTTATCCAGGATAAGTCTTTCCTTGTTTTATTAAGTTTAATTTGGAACCGGTTTTTCTTTGGAAGATTTTTTTTATTACCCTTTTGTGGTTCATTCTTTGGAAACTGTATGAAGTTCCTCCAATGTTCGAGCAGCAGCATACACGTGACAGTTAATGTCATGCAAAGAACAGTCCGCATTGAGAGTGACAGTAATAATTTCATTTGATTTTATTAAATTCTATATATTATTATTATTATTAATTATTACTATTATTACTATACGTACGAAGTAATTCAGTGACGTGAACACCATGGAGACGTTGATGGGGGTCGGGCCTTCATCTTTGGGCCTCTCTTCTCTCTCATAGCTCGCTGGCAGCCGCCCCGAGTATACTGCAATTATAACAGGATAGTATATATAGTGAACTTAATTCCCCCGCGCCCATGACATCCCGGAGGGCGGGGGTTGGGGGTTCGATCCCCGGCAGTGTCACTCAAAAGACGTGGAAGGACAGTACATAATACTCACTAACCTTGACCTTGAGGTTCAAGTTAGATGAGGGGCGGTCGGGTAGCCTAGTGGTTAAAGCGTTCGCTCGTCACGCCGAAGACCCGGGTTCGATTCCCGACATGGGTACAATGTGTGAAGCCCATTTGTGGTGTCCCCGCCGTGATATTGCTGGAATATTGCTAAAAGCGGCGTAAAACCATACTCACTCCCTCAAGTTAGATGAACTCTCGAGTAAACACTGGACCTCAAGGTCGAGGTTAGGGACTGTTTTACCCACTGGCTCTAGGAGAAGAAACTTTAACGTTTCATCTGTTGAACACTGATGCACGTGCAAAATAAATACCTGGGCACGTGCAGCTTCTATTGTAAGACAGGTGATTGGCAGGTATGAAAACCTGTGACAAACACGCTCGGCATTAAGGGGATAAAACAAGGACTGGTCGGCTCGGAGTCAGTATACTGTGTCTGAGTGGGGAATTCATGTTAAACTGTGGCATGGTATCTCAGTGGGCTGGTACCATAGAACCTGTATTAGACCGGACTAATACAGACACAGAGAGAGACAGGCACACGCACACACACATACATGCACGTCGCTATATAAACTTGCAATAATCTTGAACCCCATTTTACCACACACCCCCCCCCCCCCCCCCCCCCCCCCACCAGAGTGTCCTGTATTTGTATCATGAAGAGAGCCTCTCAGTTCAAAGCGTTAAAATACATCCAATCAAACATCGTTATAAATTAACTGCAGCAAAGAGCAGTCAAAGTGACAAGACAGACAAGTCCACTTACCTGATGTTATAACCATGAACGCAGAGTAACACGATATTCCCTCTCTATACATTGCAGCGGCCGTCCCTCTACCCCCACGTGCAACGGAGACTTGTGGAGGTATAACATCGAAGTCATGACGTAAGATATCTACTCACCTTTATCAATAAAATCATATCAAACCACATTCTATTGATTTGAAACGTATGAATGATACCACAGCGCACATTGCAAATACCATACCTCTCATCGATCGATACTTTTTAACGTCCAGGTTTATTAGTCAGCAGTTGTACCGTTATGAAGTGTTCCGCTCCGTCGCCAGATGGCGTTCGCTATACTCATAAGACATCAAATCGTCTTTGTTATGTATTGGTGATAAGTCACGATCCTGGAAATATGGATTATTAATGAACTGGTTCAATAAGTATTATGATAAGGGCGGATGTGCTAAAGATTGTATGAAAGCTACTGTAGACTTTGCACCTTCTGCTGATATTGCTGCAATCTCTTACGTAGTCTTGTCAATAATGACAAACACAATATGAAACGTTTATTAATTTTCATTATAGCATCGAGTGTAATTACCTTATATCGACTTTCGATTGTTTATGTTGAATCAATATGTCCTTAAGTCGCAGTTTCTATAAGTATATGGTCAAATGTTTCATGGACGAATCATCACTGTGTCATTCATGACTTGCGAGAAAATTCGATCACTGGTCAATAAGAGGTATCAAACCTAAATTAACATACCTCAAATCCAAAGAACCGTGGAAATATTTGTATGGAGAAGCTCTTCGTTCATTAAATTACTTCAAATACCAGTAATTCATATGAACGCATTTCGATGGCTAGAAATTTTGGATAAAGAATGCAGAAGTGTAACAGAAACATACATCGGCATGGAGCGATTACTGAAGTTAGTTGAGAGTCCACCTATCTCGGCGCATCCTGTAAATAATCGAGTCTTGACCATTACTTGACACTGATATACAAGCGACGAATTGATCGCAGCCCTTCACAGCTTTCAGAATAAGTCACTTGTGTCAATTCGTTCAGTGCAGTAGACAGAAATATATCATAAACTGACGATCAAAGGAAACCTCCTGGAATTCTTTTGTAAAAAATCGTTCGCCTTAGCCCGTGCGGTGACATTCCTCTTATACAGATTTATAGAGGAATGTGTCAAGATATACAGACTGCTCGGTCTTTGAGCAATGCATGTGCGTCTTTGTGTCCGTTTTCGCTTCTCTAGGTCTGTGTCTCAAATTATTCATTGTGTGTGTTAGTGCATGTGGGCGTCTGTCTGTGTGTGTTAGTGCACGTGGGCGTCTGTCACACACACACACCCTCACTCACTCACATACGGACGTACGCACACGAACAAACAGACATTTACATACATGCACGCACGCACGCACGCACGCACGCACGCACGCACGCTCACAGACAGACACATACACACACACACACACACGTGCTTTGAGGAATTTCCCATCCATTTTCTTCAGATAACAGCGAATGTGTTTATGTTTAGTGTTGCAAATACTGTTGATGTCTTGAGGTCAAACAATGTTTCCGATATTTATAATACTCCCTATCAGTGTTTAGCTTCTCAGACATGAACGTGTATCTTTATTTATTATCCTCTGAATGTCAATTGGAGTTACTGTTGTGAGTCAAATATGTAAGTTATCATACCCGAGCAATAAATGAAAAACAACGAATATTGTGTTTCCTTTCAGCTTTTCGTGTAAAAATAACAGTACCAATAACTATCCTACTAGTGTATTATATGAAAAGACCCATATATGGTCTAGTATCCCCTAACCCGAAGCAGAATGGTTTTCAGTTTTCGTTAATCGTTTCCCAGACTGTATATGGTCAATCACATCATTTTTAAATATCTCGTGGAGATGTAGAATTTGGAACAGCAATACAATACAGAGTATTTGACTCTCTATTTGTAGTAGTTGTTTATTATAGGAGAATACCCAACTATGGACTATGGATTTGTTCTTTGTCTTTGTTAATATTTTCCAGATTGTATATGGTGACATGAATATAGAAACACTACAGCATGTCTTATGGTGATAATATGAGTAAGTAAGAGAGTGAGTATGGTTTTACGCCTTTAATAGTATTCCAGCAATATCACGGCGGGGGACACCAGACATGGGCTTCACACATCATACCCATGTGGGGATTCGAGCCCGCGCCTTCAACATGACGATCGAACGCTTTAACCACAAGGCTACCTCCATCGCCCCCCATCGAACCCAGCTGGGTCTTCGCATGACGAGCGAACTACCACACTGCCCCAATATGTGAAAAACGTTGCTCGACATTTTAACAAAGTTTTGCATAACATGCAAAAATGACAACGTGAAAATTTAGTTTATGGAATTTGCATACTGGGTCATTTTTGATATATTAAAATATATTTATATATTAAAAAAATAATTTCGTAAAGTTTATATTTCACAAACCATGGCGTCTTCCAGTGATGGAATTCGAAGCTGTCGCATCGATGCCCTTTCATGCAATGCCCGGAAACTAGTAACAAAACTGTTATAATCAATCATAATTATTACACCATCACACACCCCTCCAGTGTGGTGTTTTTATCAAGAAATTGCCAATGTAGTTATGGGTGAGCATTTTACAATTTTCTGTTTCATAAACATGATACACATTGTTTGTTTGAATCTCAGCAAACTGTTCACTGTTGCTAAACAACACCAAGTTCTCAACCTTTGTATATACTGGTGCATCTTCGATGGAAGTTGATACCAGTCTGTTGCGACTGTGAATTGGGTTATTCCATTGTACAATATGTATTGACCTCTGGTGTTGACTCAGTAACTATTGTCTTACAAATGAATATAATTTTACATGTTTGGTGTGAGTGGTATAGCGATATCATTGTTATTCCTGCGTTGTTGTGATATCAGCATCTTGGGCCTAATAACGTTAGTTTTAGTATAAAATATAATTCTGATTAAATCATGATCAAGAATCACTATCGCGAAAAGGTGAGCGTATCCTGCCCCATCGGTGGTACCCGTCACAAACACATGCAAAGGCAAATCAATTATCCACCTGCAAAATACATGGGAACACATCGTACAAGTCACAATATAGACTAACATCTAGTCTCTGAAATGAACATATTTTACAGAAAAAAACAGTTGTTAAATTAAAGTTATAAAATACAATAAAAAGGAGCTCAGAGACTTTCTCCTGATACTGCAGTAATCTCAACTTGCCAGTATAGACTTGCATAGGCTGTATTGGATATATTTGTTTCAGGGTCTGTATGACAAATTCGTCAAAATAAGGATTTGCATCGGGCATCAACCTTGTCACTGATGCGTGAAATATTCTCCACCATACTACCATTAAACGATTTGAAAGTTTTACGAAGGACTTGAATGTTGTAACCCTGATCACACAACTCTTCGTAGAAAGAACTCGATTGTACCCCATGGTCAAGACCTGCTTGAATATTGCTGGGCGCAAAGAGAAAGTTCACCACTGGGAAGGTGAAATCATTCCTCTTGTCATACTGTCTTCCAGGGATTCATTTTCAAGATTGAGAAATTGAAGTGATTAATAACAAAGCTCATAAATGGTTTTCTTTGTCAAATTGAAAAATCCAGACAGCTTGTTTCAGACAGCTGAATATCAGACATTTCAAACTGGTCGGGATCGGAGTAACTTTATTCAGATCCACCCGCAAATATCTACACATACTGCCTGGGAAATATATCCCATACAGCCCAGGCAAGTCACAATATTTGGCAAATCTGTATCTGAATATGAAGAAAGTCTCTGGCCTCCTTTTTATACTTCATAACTATAATTAACGACTGTTTTTATCGGTCAAATAAGTTCATTTCAGAGACAAGACTTGAGTCTGGGAGATCCAATCCCGAACTAAGAACTGCGGCAACTGCTGTAGTGCGCATGTTCTCCGTGTTGAGACCGGGTAAAGCTTGACAGAGGTGCGTATTGTGATATTGTGAACATTGAACCAGTTGACCTAACTGTGTGCCTCCATTGCACGCTCTGGTTCACTCTGGTGTATCCCCCAGTGCTCACTGGAACTAGGGTGACAGTATTACTCTCCTAAACATTACAATATAATGTTATGATCGGTTGCCAGAAGAAAGATAAGTTTTGAAAAGAATGCCCGAGATACAACGGTTATGGAACGAAACCCGACATGCTACAAACTGGTAGAACTCAGCGAGTGGTTACCAATATGTTCAATGTGTCTCAGTCCGTAATTTGCAGACTTTGGAACAGGTTTCTGCGGACTCAAAATGTTAAGTCCAGGATCGATTATTCAGAAACCAGGCTTTACGAAATCGCCAATCAAATCGCGATTAACTTGCGCCAAGCCCTCAGGGTCCCAGTTACTGATCAGGATGCCGTTGTTTAACGCTCAGGTGATCGTAACTCCCATATCTTAACATAGACTTACAACAGTCGTAGCGCTGAGGTTTATTTGTACAACGACACCCAGGGCAATTAGACATCGTCTGCATGCAGTTTATCTTCATGCTCGGCGACCAGCTGTAATACCCACGTTAACGCTGCTGCTACACGTGTAGTTACCGTTAGCAACAACCCCCAGCAGCCAAACATCACCAGAAAACAATAACCAGCGAGGGGGCCTACCTTTTCCCCCACAGAGCACGCCGGGGACATGATCGGGTGACGTGAACTGCGACGTCAAAGGCTACCAGCTACGTCAGCCGAACTCGGTCAGGCCCTGCAAGAGGACTGGACAAGACTCCCTCAAATTGTCATTGGGAGATGATTTGGACCATACCACGCTGTGTGAACGAATGTCTGACCAATCGTTGGGGGCATGATCCATTGTGGATCACGTCATCTCAAACGTTCATTTGTTGCCTCCACATCTCTGACGTCTTTCATGGTTGTTCTGTTCTGTTGATCGTCATACTAACATCTAACCCTTCCTTTTTTCTTACCCATCTATTACCATCACTCGATACGTCTTTATATTTAATCATCAGTTAGTTTCTATTTTGGGGAGTATTTATTCATGAAGTGTAGTAAGAGGTCACAACTAGGCATGTTAGAGCTGACAGCGCAATCCGTTTGACTAACTGACCACAATTAGAAAACAAGCCACATTAAAGAGTTCATTGCGTTTATTTTTAAAAACGTCGCAATTCTAACCGATGATAGCATTACTTGAATCACTGAAACAGAAATACAAACGGATGCAGTACATGAAAAACGTCCGGCATTTCATACTTAAACTGGAAAAAGCAATGGCCACGGAGGCCCTCTCGTGAAAGGAGTCTCAATTCTCTGTGCAGAGTTGCGTCCCTTAGGTGTGCCCTGATCCTATCATTCGCCATGCTTAATGATTATTACCAGTAACCGGTTGAAGGAACTGTAAAACGACGCACTGAGGAGCATTCCCGCTGTATCGTGGTGTGTTCGTGGGGGAGGAAGGCTGACGTCGTTAATGTTAAAGGCGTTCATCTCTACAGTGAGAGCGGACAGTGACAACAACTACAAATCTTCTTCAGGACGAATCTGTGATGTGAACCCATGATATGATTATGGTACGCCTTTGGGGCGACACTCTATACACAAAATTGTGACGCCTTCGACGACGAGGAAATCCGTACCATCATATACCAAATTAAGGGTTTTATATGTATGTATACAGAATGTTATCAGGTCTTTAAGATCGGTGGTGAATGTATATTGAAAATACAGAATAACGAAAGCGAATTGTGTTTTTTGTTTCATAATCAAAAGGGGAGTGAGTTAGCATGTTTTTACGCCGCTTTGAGCAATATTCCAGCAATATCACGGCGGGGGACACCAGAAATGGGTTCCACGAATTATACCAATATGGTGAACCGGATCTAGATCTTCGGCGTGACGAGCGAACGCTTTCACCATCGCCCCCATAATTATATAAACTACGTTTATAACGAACACGGTTATAACGAAGTGACAGATATAACGAACTGTTGTTTTTGGTCCCGGCCATTTTGCAGTATGGTTTAGTTGGAACGCTATAACGGCTTGCTTTAGGTTATAACGAACAAAAAATATTGGTCCCTGTGAGTTCGTTATAACCGTAGTTTACTGTAACTGCTATGCGCAGAGTCCACGCATGCCATCGGCTATATCTCAAGTAGAAAAACATTTCAGTTGGGGGTTGTTTTTTTTAAATAATCCGCTTTACTCACGGTTGCTCACAGATGAAATACTGACGCGCTGAACATACGTTGTCATTCCACTTGAAGCCAAACCTACTTTCTATTGCCAATTCCAAACAATTCTCCGTGTTGGCCACATTGTCTGGCTGTGTTGGTGCCCAGTCCGTGAATATAACCGGCTCTTGGCTGTGTGACCACATCCAGTGGCTCTCGCTCAGTAGGTCGTTCCCTCCTAGCCACACTGCTCTTGTGCTCACTATGAAGACGAGAAAGAGTGAGTGAGTGAGTTTGGTTTAACGCCGCTTTTAACAGTATTCCAGTTATATCACGGCGTGTCAGCTTAATGTGGGAGGAAAGCCCGAAGTGATGCAGGTCTCAGACGTTTACCACTTCAGTGAAACCCACGAGCATGATAAACCTAGAAACATAATCGGGGCGAACCGGGATTCGAACCCACAATCATAGGTTTCTGGCGTGCCAAAGGGACGCAACTCTGCACAGCGAATCGCGGCGCCTTAGACGACTGGGCCACCCGTGCCCCCGAAGACGAGAAAGAACAAATCTCGAATTTAATCCGTGTCTCAAATAAATATGGTTCCATTAGGTTTGGTTGATATAAGAACGGGAGTGTGTGATTGTTACTTAACGGCGTAGTCAGCAATATTCCAGCTTTATCTCAGAGGCCTGTCATACATAATCTTAACCAGGCAAACCAGTGACTGAAATCATGAACACTTTCCCGTTTGGGTTCGAACATCACGTAGTCAAACCACCTGATCCACTCAGTCGTCTCTGTGGTGTCATTTAACTGAATGCCCTCGTGGGTTTCTTGGGAAGAATGTATCTCAGAAACAGTTGCTGATCGTCATAGGCGACCAAATGGAGCGGGTGGTCGGGCTCGGTGATTTGGTTGTACCCCGACAGTGTGAATCATTCTTCATCATATCAATCACTGGATTCTCCGACTGGCTATGGACCCGTGAAGATTCCGGGGTAGAAAAGGTCTTCAGCAACCCATGCTTACCGTAAAAGGTGACTATGCTTGTCGTAAAAGGCGACTAACGGGATCGGGTGGTCAGGCTCGCTGACTTTGTTGATGCATGTCATCGATCCCAATTGCGTGGCTCGATGCTCATGATATTTTAATCACTGGATTGTCTTGTTCAGACTCGATTATTTACAGACCGCCGTCATATAGCTAGAATATTGCTGAGTGCGGCGTTAAACAACAAATCAAGCTAAAAAACCCGACTGGTTATGTACATTATTTCACCGAGGATGTATGTCACTTCATGTGAATCTTATGTTTTTATAAAGTACTCACATTTTTTGTTTTTCAGAAAACTTATTAAGAATTCGTTTTCTGCATTAGTGTCGACCTCCACGAGAAAAGCATCAAAATCTTTGCAAATGTCCTGGAAGAAAAGTGAGTGAGTGAGTGTGCTGGGTTTAACGCCGCTTTGAAAGTAGTCCAACTATGTCACGGCGTGTGCGCTAACTGTGGAAGGACAGCCCGAAGTGATGAAGGTCTCAGACGTTTACCAAAAGAACCAACGAGCATGAGTTTGGTTCTGAGGAGGAAAAAGCGTTCAACATTTTTGTAAGACCGTATAAAACCCTAGTATAGAATCGTAGCAGTGCTTTATACGTTTTAAAACCTAAATGGACAAAGCGATATTCATTACTTGGTACTGATGAATTCTGTCGAGTGTGGAATATAAAGAACAAAGTATAAAAAGAACTCTGCTTTACCCATTATAAATGGAAAGGTGACAGAAAGATAATGGATATTCCCTTTTGTCTTACCATGATACGAAACATTTTAAGTTATCAAACGTAAACTTGATAGTTGAACACGATGAAACATGTGTTGTGGCTTATGTATGTGAAATGTAATGTAAGGACCAGTTTTGCCCACCGTAAATGAGAAAGAAAATATTGTGTTGAAAGTATTAAGTCTATGACAAATTCCCGTTTGTCTTACCATCATTTTGTAATTTGGTACTTTGGACATGACCCAGCTTCTAATAACATGCATTACAAAGAGTAGATCTTTCGAACAGTTACAGCTTTCCTCTACGTTTAGTGTTGTTTGAAGTCCCAAATGCTCAAGACCGTATGATACACTCGTAGTGGGAATCGTACACCAGATTTATAGTAGAAAATTCATATGATTACGGAAAAAAAGAAAAAAAAACCTTTTGAAAATTTCACATGAAAACATCTCATAACTTTCATGATAATACACAAAAGCGGCTTTCATTTATTAAACTATGCAGAACGGTTCAGCCAAATGGACCCATTTTATAATCCTCGTCCTCTCTTGGTGTACGTCGATCCCACCTGGGTAACAAAGTGAATTGGACAGTATAGTTGTTTGATATTTTGTACGTATCATCAGAGATATTAGGTAAAACAGATACGATTGTAATCGGAGTGTCTATTTGTCTCACGTCCGCTCCGGCCCATGTTGACGGATTCTTGATCAGCGTGTAACAGCTTGCTGCATACGATGTCCAATAGTCGGGACAGGAACCGTCGACTTGAAAGATACATATTGTTTTTAAAGCGATGTTGTCTTCATGTTATTTGTCTGTTTTGTTTGTTGTTTGACGCTGGGCGGTCGGGTAGCCTAGTGGTTAAAGCGTTCGCTCGTCACGCCGAAGACCCGGGCTCGATTCTCGACATGGGTACAATGTGTGAAGCCCATTTCTGGTGTCCACCGCCGTGATATTGCTGGAATATTGCTTAAAGCGGCGTAAAACCATACTCACTGACTGACTTTTTAACGCCGCACTCACCAATATTCCAGCTATATGACGACATTCTGTAAATAATCACGTCTGGACCAGACACTCCAGTGATTGATATCATGAACATCGATCTACGCAATTAGGACACGATGACATGCATCAACAAAGTTCCGTTAGTCGCCTCTTGCGACAAGTATAGTCGCCTTTTATGGCAAGCATGGGTTGCTGAAGACCTATTCTAGCCCGGACCTGTTAAAAATATCTTCTTTGGGAATTCAAATTGTATTACTACATAGTAGTATATGTTTTTTCCCAATACAGGATACTTAGAATTTTTAAAATATACTTTTGAGACAGGAATAGAAGCGCCGATTGAACCTCCCCCCACCCCACCCCACCCCACCCCTCTAGTAGATTCTGACAAATGATTTGCAGCCATGGTTTCTTTAAACAATAGGCAATAAGTTGTTTGAGCAAGCAGTCAGCGCATCAATCTGAAATTAGTTCCTGTTCCTGATCATTATTATCATCCTCATCACGTTTACAGAATAAGTTCGTCTTACCGATAACTATTTTAAGCCGCTTTTAGCAATAATCCAGCAATTCCAGCCCACCAGAAATGGGCTTCACACATTGTACCCATGTCGGGAATCGAACCCGGGTCTTCGGCGTGACGAGCAAACGCTTTATCCACAAGGCTACTCGACCGCCCCTTTACCTCTGTGGCACCTAAGTGCAGTTACACCTTATGGAAATACTAAACAGGTAAAGACTAGGTGTTGTTTACTTTATCTTGTCAGCATTAAAACCTTTATCAAATGTTTCATAAACACCTCCTTTAGTACAGATAAATATTTCCCAAATTTATTTCAGGGTTATATTTTGTGCGTATTTTACATTTCGTAAACAAACAAGACCTAATGTACTGAGTGATGTGGAAATAGTCACTCGCATTCAGAGGTGAAACTAAACTGGAAAGACATACCCAGAGTAAGCACAACCACAGCTGCCAACAGACGGAATAGAGCAGTAGTATACACCATGGCTGCGTCGGGTATAACCTAGATGTGGATGTGCAGCGAACAGACGTGTGTTTAAGCGATAAGTACATATGTAGAATGCTTATCTATCTTATCTGTACATAGAGTACACTTGTCCTGTACTTGTACTGAAAGTAATATATAACCTTCTTCAAATAAGCTGGGGACAAACTAGAAAAGAAACTAAACCTCTCAGTTTTTATATCATTGTTTTATTTTCAATTGAAACTATTTTAAGAAAATCCAAGAAAATGAACTGTACTGGTTCTGCCGTGACGAGAGACGACAAAAGCTACTTTCGACAACAGTTTACGTTCAACACAGTCCATGTCTTTGGCTTCAGTATCCGTATGCATGTAATGTCACCACACAAAACTGCGACTAAGGACCTTTATTCTAGTGCCACCTGGTTGACTGACATGTAGTCCACTTTTGAATGATCACACGAGCACCTGTCAGAACACATTTGTCAACAACAACAAGTGGTTTCAACCGCGAACATACTCATTTACTGTGGATAAGGTGCGGTATTTGGATATTTCTCTTCCAGTGTCCTCTGCTGTAAGTTTAGGAGTTTCTACCTGTTCCAACATAATCACGGTGCCGGTTCACGAAAGTCTCTTAGCGCTACGACCTCCTAACCGCTACGACCTAGTTTAGGATGTCCTAGCGATATGTTTTACGACCGTTTCACAAAGGCATCGTAAGCCCGTCGTAAATATTTAAGAGGTGATTAACGACGTGGTTTAGGAGGTCGTAGCGCTAAGAGGCTTTCGTGAACCGGCACCCAGTAGCCTCATCTGTATGTTCCGTGGAACGTTGACTATGATCGCGGCCTTTCTTGTAGATCATAGTATGGTTATAAGCTTAAGAGTGCCAGTAGAGGCTTATGGCCTGTAACAATTTCAAAACTTGACCATGAACATAATTATTTGTGAAATTTCTTCAATCAATAAATTACAATGTAGCCTTCGCCAACCAGTTGGTAGATCTTTCGGCAGATGTGAGGTGAAATTGGATTTAACGTCGCGTTCAAGATTGTTACACTAATATAGCGTGTGTGTGTGTGTGTGTGTGTGTGTGTGTGTGTGTGTGTGTGTGTGTGTGTGTGTGTGTGTGTGTGCGCGCTTGAACTAGTCCGGACAAATGCCCATTTTAAAGTGCCAGCTCACTGAGATATCATGCTGCAGTTTAACACGAATACCCCACTCAGACAGTGAACTGTCTCCGAGCCGACCAGTCCTTGTTTTATCCCCTTAATGCAGAGTGCCAGACAGGGTAACAACAGATACCATCTATAAAAGTCTTTTGGTATGACGCGGCTGGGGATCGAACCACCGACCTTCCGCTCTCCGGGTGGACGTTCCACCATCAGACCACGGAGGCGGTCTCTCGGCAGGTGTGAGAGTACGGGACACATGGTATGATACCCAATAGGTCAGTCTGTTCTATCAGGAAGCCCGTGTGCCAGTACGGCACCAACACCATACGATGGTGCGTGACACTGTAATAAGATGGGTTTTAAAAGATCAAAGTGAATAAGCACATCTTCTGATTGAACAAGGTTCTTAGACTTGAGAAAAGCACTTCCCTATCATTTGCCCCAGGACCACGCAACGTCTTTTCTTAGGCGATACAGTGGCTCCAAGGTGCCCGGGATAACAGGAATGAATCTGTGATGAAAGTTCAAAGCCTCAAGATATGCTGTTTGTTTGTTTGTTGTTTAACGCCGCACTCCGCAATATTCCAGCTATATGACGGCGGTCCGTAAATAATCGAGTCTGGACCATCAATTGGGATACAATGACATGCATCAACCAAGTCAGCGAGCCTGACCACCCGATCCCGTTAGTCGCCTTTTACGACAAGCATAATCGCCTTTTAGGGCAAGCATGGGTTGCTGAAGACCTATTCTACCCCGGATATTCACGAGTCTCAAGATATGCACGAAGCTCGCTCACTGTTCTTGGTTCAGGAGCATTTGTGATCGACTCAATTTTCTGGGCACTGGATGTTGCCCATTGTTATCCAACTTGTGACCCGAGCATTCCACTTCTTCAGCCATAACAAACACTTCTCACGTTTCAATGTCAAACCTGCATCAGAAAATCTTTGCATTATTTCATCCTCCAAAATCTCGATATTTTGAGGATAATGTCAGAATTGATATCCTCCAAGTATTCTGCTGAGTTTGCATTTCCTTTGAGTAATGTTTCAACGACCTGTTGAAATATTGCAGGTGCTGATGACAAACCGAGAGCAATCTGGTATATTGAAACAGACCTTTGTGAGTGTTAATACCGTATTAGACGTAATAAGCGCGAGATTTGCTAATATATTGGCTAGTTAACAATCCCAAATAGCACCCCTTCCGATCCCCATTAGCATATAATACGCACTCGTGTGATATATGCACCCTTTATTATTGGCAATTAAATTCTGGAAGAATATATCTGTCGTACATAAACATTTCAGGCTGTCAGCATAAACCACGAAATTTATCTTTCAACTCTGGATTTTTCAACAAAATAATATTCTAATAGGAGCCCCCTATTTCTAGTTTTGAGAGCGCCCTGGGCGCTTGTTACGTCGAATTCTGTAAGCACATACCTTTTGGAGTCTTCGTCTGGAACAAGTTGATGGTATGCATGATTCATGTCAAGGTCTGTAAACTGTTCACCTCTTCCAAGGTTTGAATTGGCTACTGTTCAAGTGTGGACACTTTACTCACAGTCAAATTGTATGTACCGTCAGGCTTCATGAGAGGTACTACTAGACATCCCCATTCAGAATGTTTAACTGGTTCCATTGTCTCTTCTTTCTGCGGTCTATCCAGCTCAGTCTCTCTCATCCGTCCCATAACATAAAGCACTGAACTAGGTTTGTAATACCGAGGTGTTGCATTAGGATCAACATATATCTTGGCCTTGAATCCTTCAAGTTTACGACCCGTGAAGAATCCGGGGTAGAAACGGTCTTCAGCAACCCATGCTTGCCGTAAAAGGCGATTAACGGGATTGGGCGGTCAGGCTTGCTGACTTGGTTGATGCATGCCATCGATCCCAATTGCGTGGATCGATGCTCATGATATCAATCACTGGATTGTCTGGTCCAGACTCGATTATTTACAGACCGCCGTCATATAGCTGGAATATTTCTGAGTGCGGCGTTAAACAACAAACCAACCAACCTTCAAGTTTACCCAATTTGGTTTCAAATAAATTATTCAAGGTGTGGATTGGATTCATGTTATGCAACGTTTTACTTTTCTATACATTAAAATCCAAGTTCAGCTGACTGAATGTTTCAAAACAATTGTCCAAAATACATAGTTGTACAAAAAAAGAATAATCCCTCAAAGATCGATATTTTAATTTCATCGCATATGGAACCACCCTGAAGTTGATAAATACCTTCGTGTTTTAGCATTCCCAGAGAGACATGGTTCGACAATATATCGACTTTGTTAGGTACACTAAATTTGCTAAATATCTACCTGTGCGTTTCTTTAATTGAAGAGTGTATATATTAGCTTATTGTCATATGCATTCGCTGTGCACAGTTATCTATAACTCTTGCATCGTTCGCACTTCTTTAAGTAGCTTGATTGTCACATTGACAGTTTTGTAATTATAGTTATCTGGGTTCGTCCGTACAGCTGGACACACAAGGCTCAACACGAGTCTTAATGGTAGTCAAAGTTACTTGATACGCAATTTGACAACACCTAAAAGTGCAGCATGCAGACAACCGAAGTCAATCACATGTAAAATTGAACACCCTTCCTCACCGACCTCGACAGAAGGGACAGTGTTTTGTGTGTCTTCTAAGCCGAACATTTGAAACATTTGTCAACAATTCTTGTTAATTTAACACACTTTCCACGATCCTTAGGAAACGGACGTAAAAGGTCCCTTGTTGGCGTGCATGTACTTGGATACCCCCGTGGTTTCTCAGCGCCTCCTCGGCAGCCCGGCGGCTCACTCACTCATCTTTTGATGTTGCATTATGCGGCAGTGTTCCTTAAGTTAGAATTGTAATGAGAGTTCCGTGGGTTGTGTGTGAAAACAGTAGGCTACAACACAAAACATCCATGCAGATCTTGCAGTTAAAATGTTGGTTGGTTTGTTGTTTTGCCGCACACAGCTATATGACGGCGGTCTGTATAAATCAAGTCTTGACCAGACAATCAAGTGATTGACATCATGAGCATCAATCCCCGCCATTTAGATGCGATGACAGGCATCAACCAAGTCAGTGAGCCTGACCATCCGATCCCGTTAGTCGCCTCTTACGACAAGCATAGTCACCTTTTACGGCAAGCATGGGTTGCTGAAAACCTATTCTACCCCGGATCTTCCCGGATCTCATATGACTACTTCTGTAAGAGTACAGATGACACACCAATTTGCAAAAATAAATAACCATATGAAAATTCATTTATGTATGTGTAAACGGTTTATTCACGTTTTGTACGTATGCATTTAAATTCAATACCAAGTATTTACAATTCATGACTGATATATCTTTACTTTAAAATCGATAAATAAATATGCTGTAAAATTACCAATAAAACCTGAGATTTATTACTAAAACACATGAGAGAGGTGTCGACCATTTGATAGTCTGCGAGTGGGGGGCGTTTCTATCACGACATCAAGGCACATTTCTTTATGGTTGTGCAAAAGGTGTGTAATACACTTAGGAATAATTTTGTTGAGCAGTATTATCTGGAACAATACGCTGTGCACAAATAATCCCCGCACCAAACATTGTATTAAATGGTCGGTGCCTGGTGTAGTCACTCTTATACAACTGCTATATAATTACTGATAACTTGCAGTGAAGAAGCGATGTTTTGGTCTTTAAACTAATGGCTATACATATATTTGAACTACCAAATCAAGTTAAATAATCAACCATGGAACGAATTAGTTGTCCCAAGGCACATATCAGGTAAACACAAACGTATTATCACAGTATGCTTATATATACAAAGCGCAATGTTATCATGGCAAGAAGTCGGATTTCCTATGATAAATGTCAATTTCTGTCGGTGCTAAAAGATACCCTTGACCCAGCACATATCACACGCTAATACTAATGATACTGATGTTCAGAAAGGGGGGGGGGGGGGGGGTGGTGTGTATGAGAACATAGGCGTAGGTCAAGGTCACACCACATCTGCGCTCTTCCATTGCGATTCTTTGGGACTGATGGTATTCGTAGAGTGGCCCGATATGTTAACGACGGGTTATCTTCCACCGTTAACTACTTGACACGTTTGTAGCAGGACAGGTAGATTACCACTGAATTAACTAACCACTGGGTTAGTGGTTAACACAATGGTTGCAGATAATATCAATGTCAAAATTATTCCCACAATACAACGTTTTCGTACTTCCTGAAATGCGTACGCACGTTCTTATGAATTCATACTTTATTTTTTTCTACAGAGGAGGTGAACATAAGTCATACGCATGTCATATCCAGACATACACCTGACATACACATGGCATACGCATGACATACGCATGGCATACGCATGACATACACCTGACATACACATGACATACGCATGGCATACGCATGACATACGCATGACATAACATGACATACGCATGACATACACGTCATACGCATGACATACGCATGACATATATATGACATACGCATGACATACGCATGACATACACATGACATACGCATGACATACGCATGACATACGCATGACATACACATGACATACACATGACATACGTCACGTACACGGCAAAGGTGCACTCAACTGGCCATATTGCTCCAAAGATGACCATTGGTGAAAAAGTTCCAGTGGTGAGATACATTTAACGTGAATTCAACGGGTCGTTATATTTAAGAAAACAAGCTTTTTAGAAACAAACAACCTACTAGGTTAGATTAAACGAACCGAACACTGACTTAAGGGCTTTTTATCACAGGAAATACAACTGTAATGCCACGACCAGGGACTATTTTATTTTATAACTGGGTTTACGGAATTGTGTGCCAAAACAAAACATGAAATTAAAAAATACGAATCTGAAATCTTAATCTGAAATCAATTAAATGAAAACATTTTCTCAGATTAGTTGACAGAATCGCCGGGAAGAACACAAGACTTTAAGATGTTTTCCGTAATAGGTATCCGAAAATCGAACAATTAAAATACATTTCTTGAGATGCTATTGTACAAATCAATCACAGCAAAGTGGACGGCATACAATACGCTACAGACGTCATTCGCGACGATACATCACGACTACATACCTATCTCGAAACAGACCATAATACAACGCCCCGGTACAACACCTCACGTGATTCACATGTTGTACACATTAACGCTGTCTTAAAAAGCACGCCGGTGGTAAAACGATTCCGACATTTTGCCTATGTTAAATATAATTGATAACACAATAAAATAAGCACAGATACAATCTCATATACTATTGATAGTGTACTAACTTATAATGAAAAACTGTAAATGTAGCTTGTTGAAAAATATGGAATAAATATAAATCATTCTTGTCTAGTATTTTGATACTGACCGCATAGGTCGGTGTAGACAATGGACGGAATGAACCCGCGGTCTCAATACAGTGAAACCCCGTTAATCCGGAAACTCATCATACCGGACGAATTGACTTGAAAACCTCATTATACAAATGATATTCCATTATCAAAAAATGCCCAGGATGATTTAAATAGAAACGAGGCCGTATGGATTAACGGGGTTACACTGTTCACCCAAAGGTCAGCTGCGGGCATCGTAAGGACATGGAAACTGCTCGTATAGTTCCTAAGGCTGCATTTAGGTACATGTATTTAAGGCAACTCTGCGTTTCTGAGAGTGGGGTTGTTTTTGTATCCAAATAATTACACGGTCAACATAATCTCCATACAGTGTCATGGGAGTTAGGACACTTCACGTGAATAAAACATGTATTTCGGACTTCGTGATGCCAGCACCAGTGGTTTGATAGCAGGGCTGTAGGAGACGTGACTGTATTCCACGTCTGTGAAGTCTATTAAATCCGTAATCAAACTTATTAAAAACCTTTAGTGCAGCATGTCATACTTTAATGAGCAGGGCCCTATTCCCCAAAGCGATCTTAGTGCTAAGGTGATCGTAAGTCTCATTCTTTAACATAGGCTTACGATCATCGTAGCGCTAAGATCGCTTTGGGGAATAGGGCCCAGGTCACAACTACAACTACCGTAAAACCCCGAAGTGAGGCCCAGTCAGGACGGGATTTGGTTATTTTAAGTGAGAAAGTGAATGGGTTCGGTTGAACGCCGCTTTGAACAGTATTCCAGTTGTATCACGGCATGTCAGCTTGATGCGGAAGATAAATAATGCAGGTCGTAGATATTACCATTTTGGTGACACCCACCTACATGGGTCAGTGCTGACAAACCTGGAAACATATTTAGGGCGAATCTGTGATTCAATCCAACGATCACAGGTTTCTGGCACGCCTAAGGTAGACAACTCTGGACAGCTAATTGCGACGCCTTAGAGGACTGGACACATCTGCCCATCCTGCCCACCTGTTACTTTGAAATAGCTTAGGCTGGATCCACAAAAAATATGTTATAAGACCGGCTTATAGTATAAGAACATCGGTAAAAAAAAAAGAAACTGTCCTTTTACAATTCCTTCAACAAATTCCTGTGCATATCACAATCCGCGGAAGATCATTTACTCGATGGGTTTCAAGAACACAAATTCATTTTGAGCACAACCAGCATTTTGTCATTGACATGTATTTGTTATTGCGACTGTAAAGCCTTTTTATACAAAAATAACCAAAAAAAACATGAGCAAGATTTGTGGTCATGGAAATGAATGACGGGGATCTATGTTATGTTTTGACTTCATGAAAAAAATCTGAGTGTTATAGATATAGATAAACAAAGGAAAATTGGTAATAAATTGACGTCACTTCCGGCACTGGCCGATATGAATGATGGGATGTACCCCTGCAGAGTATTGGCTTGTTGTTTAGAGTGTTGTGCTGTGTGAGGGGTGTCAGGGTTAACTCCCCTTTCCAAGAGGAAGCTGCTGTCGTTTGAAGTATCGACCAATGGAGGTGTCGTTGCCTTGCTGGTGTGTCGTTCGGGCTTTGTTTCGACGTCAACTGGACGCTGTACTGTTACGTCATTTAGACGCGACGTTCTTTCGTAGTCTTTTGTTGTCACGTATTTCTTTGTTGTGGTATCGAGATTACCTCTTGTCGTTTCCGCAGCAGATGTTGCTGTCACATCATCTGTTGCTGAAGATGTTGTTGTAGTCGTGGAGACGTTCAGGACGTTTGTGGACTTAGATGTTTGGTCAGGAAGTTCACCTTTGGCGCCAACGTCAGTTTTCACCGTCGTTGTTTCGTGGTGGATGACCTTGACCGACGTCCCGACGCGGCCCTGGACGTCCGGGGATGGGGTTGACGTCGGTGATGGGGATTGAGTTGACGTTGGCAAAGGGAATGTGAATGTTCTGGAGATTGTTTGAGCTGAAAAATCGGTGATATAGTTGTACAGTGAGTGAACTGTCTTACCCCGCTTTCCACAGTAATACAGTTATAATACGGCGTTTCAACAGCAATACAGTTATATCACGGCGTTTCAACAGTAATACAGTTATATCACGGCGTTTCAACAGCAATACAGTTCTATCACGGCGTTTCAACAGTAATACAGTTATATCACGGCGTTTCAACAGCAATACAGTTATATCACGGCGTTTCAACAGTAATACAGTTATATCACCGCGTTTCAACAGTATTACAGTTATATCACGGCGTTTCAACAGCAATACAGTTATATCACGGCGTTTCAACAGCAATACAGTTATATCACGGCGTTTCAACAGTAATACAGTTATATCACGGCGTTTCAACAGCAATACAGTTATATCACGGCGTTTCAACAGCAATACAGTTATATCACGGCGTTTCAACAGTAATACAGTTATATCACGGCGTTATAACAGCAATACAGTTATATCACGGCGTTTCAACAGCAATACAGTTATATCACGGCGTTTCAACAGTAATACAGTTATATCACGGCGTTTCAACAGCAATACAGTTATATCACGCGTTTCAACAGCAATACAGTTATATCACGGCGTTTCAACAGCAATACAGTTATATCACGCGTTTCAACAGCAATACAGTTATATCACGGCGTTTCAACAGCAATACAGTTATATCACGGCGTTTCAACAGCAATACAGTTATATCACGGCGTTTCAACAGCAATACAGTTATATCACGGCGTTTCAACAGCAATACAGTTATATCACGGCGTTTCAACAGCAATACAGTTATATCACGGCGTTTCAACAGTAATACAGTTATATCACGGCGTTTCAACAGCAATACAGTTATATCACGGCGTTTCAACAGCAATACAGTTATATCACGGCGTTTCAACAGCAATACAGTTATATCACGGCGTTTCAACAGTAATACAGTTATATCACGGCGTTTCAACAGCAATACAGTTATATCACGGCGTTTCAACAGTAATACAGTTATATCACGGCGTTTTAACTGTAATAGTTATATCACGGCGTTTCAACAGTAATACAGTTTTATCACGGCGTTTCAACAGTAATACAGTTATATCACGGCGTTTCAACAGTAATACAGTTATATCATGGCGTTTAAACAGTAACACAGTTATATCACGGCGTTTCAACAGTAATACAGTTATATCTCGGCGTTTCAACAGTAACGCAATTATATCACGGCGTTTCAACAGTAATACAGTTATATCACGGCGTTTCAACAGCAATACAGTTATATCACGGCGTTTCAACAGAAAACGTCGGTTTGGCGGGGAAGAGATAGACAGGATTCCATACACAAGGAAACGTTGTACACTTGAACTCCCTCTATAAACACGGTACACGCGAAACTCGAATATATACACAGCACGGATTCGAGAAAAGCGGAGTATGAATATTCATATCATAGTGTTGGCGCTCATTCCGAGGGACCATACGTATTTTCATAAACGACATATCGTTGTCATTGAGTTCAACAAAGATATTTTGCAAGTTTGGATACCAATGTAAAAAAACAAGTAAAGAGATAAAAAATATCGGAGACTTGTCCCTCTGAAAATACGACGTGATTTTCCCTCTGCGGCGACCGAGTCGGGGGACAAGCCATCAAGCAGGTTATTTTACCGCCATGTTTATCATTTACCTCAATTTCAAGACAAACGGATATTGGCATATCAGTCATATACGACATATTGTTTATGCTCTGGGAATCACATACATCTAAAGTCAACGTTGATGTACATCACGCGACGCCGTTTCGCTTTAAGGAGCTTGAATTGCCAAAAATACTGAGACCTGAAACATGCATTATAATCAGTTGCACACCAGTGTAGTGTCATTGACCAGTCAATATTCCAGCAATACCACGGCGAGGGACACCAGAAATGAGCTTCACACAATGTACCCATGTACAATGTATTTAAGTGAGTGAGTGAGTGAGTGAGTGGGTGGGTGGGTGAGTGAGTGAGTGAGTGAGTGAGTGAGTGAGTGAGTGAGTGAGTGAGTGAGTGAGTGAGTGAGTGAGTGAGTGAGTGAGTGAGTGAGTGAGTGAGTGAGTGAGTGAGTGAGTGAGTGAGTATGGCTTTACGCCGCTTTTAGCAATATTCCAGCAATATCACGGCGGGGGACACCAGAAATGGGCTTCACACATTGTACCCATGTCGGGAATCGAACCCGGGTCTTCGGCGTGACGAGCGAAAGCTTTAACCACTAGGCTACCCGACCGCCCCCAATGTATTTAAGATGTAAGGTAAGACATTAGGAAATACTCACGTTCGCCAACTCTCTCCAAAACAGTCATAGAGTTGTCCAACTTGTACACCATGATGGGGCCACTGTGGACGTAGACTTTCTCCCGAGGGTAGGCGGCACGCCTCCGACGGCCAGTCGTGGGTTCACCCTTCGAGCTGTTGCAGCTGCGGTCGCATTCGGCCGACAGGTCATCCAGAACGCACACGAACGCACCACAGTGCAAGAACACCTCTTGGTAGCCCACGAACGCGAAAGGCTGGTACCGGTAGCCAAAACGCGTCTGATTCAGGTTGAAGAAAGCCAACGAAGGTTCATCTCGACAGCTGAAATAAAAGACGATTGTTCATTGATTGTTTGTTGTTCAAAGCCGCATGCTGCGATATTCCAGCTATATGACGGCGGCCTGTAAATAATCGAGTCTGGACCAGACAATCCAGTGATTGACATCCACGTAGTACACATGGCTTGAAAGAACACTAGTTGTTTGGAGACTGGTTATTTTCTCAGTTCCTGCTCCAAAACATCATACGTTTATTTAAACAATTTTGCTGACAATTATCACCAAAAACTTTACAGTATCTTTTTTTGTTAAAATACATTGAACCATTGTCAGGTTCCGCCTTTATAATTAACTCAATGTTCTATTGTCAGGAACAGACATTACAGCTCAAAATACATCAAGTTTGAAATGCATATTTTGAAACATGAATAATACTGGTAAATTTATATGTCAATATCACTTTCACTTTTTCACTTAATAATTCAAATAGGTACAAAGTGCCAAAACTATACAAGCATATCTGTTTTAGACCCAAACATATTTTTGGAGACCCACAACAAGTTACTTTTTGGCATCTTCCCGAGGCAAGGGTGTTAACTGACCTTAAAAGTCCAGTTTCCGCAGTAATATTCAGTTAACGCCATTGCCTTGGGAAGATGCTTTTCAGAGAAACTAATATCCTCAGAGATCAATTTTTATATTTTTGTAAAAACTAATAATATGTTTCGATTATTTTTAGAGATTGATTATAATTCCAAGACAATTTCAGTTCGTCTAGAAAAGTGAGTGAGTGAGTATGGTTTAACGCCGCTTTTAGCAATATTCCAGCAACATCACGGCGGGGGACACCAGAAATGGGCTTCACACATATTACCCATGTCGGGAATCGAACCCGGGTCTTCGGCGTGACGAGCGAACGCTTTAACCACTAGGCTACCCGACCGCCCTCGTCTAGAAAAGGGCTATATACAGTGGAACATAGTCGATCTTCAACTAATGGTCGTGCATACCTGTTTCTGAACAGCGGGTATCTAATTGGGTTGTTGATATCATTAGTTGGGGTAGCCACACAGTCGGGTACAATCAGCTTGAGCCGTTCGTGCACGTTCTCCAGCTGTAGGGCCACATTGAGCCACTCTCCTAGAGGCAACCGTAGGGGAAGCTGCGGGTCAGGGTTGGAGAAGGTGTTGTTTCTGAAGAACGACATGGTCACAACGAACTGACCAGTGGATTTCTGAGTGACGACCTGCGTCTGAGGGTCAAGAGGTCGCGTGACCGCCGCTTGTCGTGGCATCTCGCACGTGACCTTCACCAGGTAGGTGTTGACCCTGCTGATTTGACCTTCAAGAGCGGTGTAGTCGTACTTGATGACGTTGTTGTAGAAAATGTGGGTGGCATTATACTGCAACAGAGGAAATGATACAAGTCAGTGGATACAATTATGAAAGAACTGCCGGAAACTACAGGTGTATTTATATTTGGTCACTTTGTCCATTTTCCCGAGGCAAGAGGAGTTAAATGACTGTAAGAGTCCAGTTTCCACCCTTGCCGAGCTGAGCTGGAATATCTGGGCTCGATCGCAGCGCCACCAGTGGCTATTACGAGTTATATCTATATATTGACCAATCAGATTCCACCTCTCATATCACTTGCTTTGCTACAAACAAAATGGCGTCGCTCAGCGAAGGCGATCAGATCGATAATCAAGATCTATATTGTAAAAAACAGGTCTTACTTTGCGAAGTACATCAAATCAAATGAGCATGTTGACTAAACACATGAAACGATTCGGAAAGTATCTGTTGACGCTAAGTTGACGGTACCCGTATTTTACAAATGCTGCAGTCGACCGAAGTCTGCACGGCAGTTAACGAACCGGATGTCGATTTCGTAACGCGATTTTGATGGGACCATGCACTGACTCGTTAAAGCAGCCAAAACATAATTCCAGGCTAGTTCGGCAATGGTGGAAACTGAACATTTTTACTCCGTTAACTCTCTTGCCTCGTGGGGGCGGTCGGGTAGCCTAGTGGTTAAAGCGTTCGCTCGTCACGCCGAAGACCCGGGTTCGATTCGCGACATGGGTACAATGTGTGAAGCCAATTTCTGGTGTCCCCCGCCGTGATATTGCTGGAATATTGCTAAAAGCGGCGTAAAACCTTACTCACTCATTCACTCACTCTTGCCTCGTGAAGCTGATATTTTCACCAGTGGGGACTCACGGTACGGGGAGACTGTCCCATGAGGTCCGCGGCAACCCGTGCTTGCATGAGTCGACTTAGTACATACATGTGGGGTAATCACTCTCGGTGAAGAAATAATTTTACAACTTTAAAAATACTTTATCTTTTATTTACATGTATTCATTCCCGATTCCGGATGACCAAAGGATGGGTTTGAAATAAGATATCATGGTGAGTATGAAGTCACGTGCCCCGCGATAATGTCCAGGAAATGGCGGTATTAAAAGAGCCCGGATGTCGTGTTGTACGAGCTGACTGCGGCGTGATCTGGGGTTGCACGGCTTACGCTGAATTCAAGCAATATTACTACGTCATTGTTGCCGTGTCGACCGGAGTGCACAGTCGTGCCATCAATTATACAGTTGTCTGTTTCATATCCGCAACACGTGTTCCCAATGTGTTTTGCCGTTCGTTACTATCTTTTAATCCGTTGAAATGTCCAACTGTACAAGTCAGTCGACGAAACACGAATGCGAGTTAAATGTGCGCGGTACAACCATGTGTCACCAACAGAAAACTGTCGGTTTATCCGGTAAATGCTGTCAATACGGAATATCTAGCCGGATGTAGACATCGGATATGTACGGAATATCTAGCCGGATACAGATACGGAATATGTATGGAATATCTAGCCGGATATAGATACGTAATATGTATGGATTATCTAGCCGGATATAGATACGGAATATGTAGGGATTATCTAGCCGGATATAGATACGGAATATGTTTGGAATATCTAGCCGGATATACATACGGAATATGTATTGAATATCTAGCCGGATATAAATACGGAATATGTATGGATTATCTAGCCAGATATAGATACGGAATACGTATGGTATTTCTAGCCGGATATAGATACGGAATATGTTTGGAATATCTAGCCGGATATATATACGGAATATGTATTGAATATCTAGCCGGATATAAATACGGAATATGTAGGGATTATCTAGTCGGATATAAATACGGAATATGTATGGTATATCTAGCCGGATTTACATACGGAATATGTATTGAATATCTAGCCGGATATAAATACGGAATATGTATGGTATATCTAGCCGGATATACATACGGAATATGTATTGAATATCTAGCCAGATATAGATACGGAATATGTATGGAATACCTAGCCGCATATAGATACGCAACACGTAGGGATTATCTAGCCGCATATAGATACGGAACACGTAGGGATTATCTAGCCGGATATACATACGGAATCCATCGAAGGGGACTGTGCACTCACCGTGACACTGGTCCCGCAGCCATTGAAGGGGATTCTGTGCACTCACCGTGACACTGTTCCCGCAGCCATCGAAGTGGATTCTGTGCACTCACCGTGACACCAGTCCCGCAGCCATCGAAGTGGATTCTGTGCACTCACCGTGACACCAGTCCCGCAGCCATCGAAGTGGATTATGTGCACTCACCGTGATACCAGTCCCGCAGCCATCGAAGTGGATTATGTGCACTCACCGTGACACTGGTCCCGCAGCCATCGAAGTGGATTATGTGCACTCACCGTGACACTGGTCCCGCAGCCATCGAAGTGGATTCTGTGCACTCACCCTGCCACCAGTCCCACAGCCATCGAAGTGGTTTCTGTGCACTCACCGTGACACCAGTCCCGCAGCCATCGAAGTGGATTCCGTGTACTCACCGTGACACCAGTCCCGCAGCCATCGAAGTGGATTCTGTGCACTCACCGTGACACTGGTCCCACAGTTTGTGAAGTGGATTCTGTGCACTCACCGTGACATTAGTTCCGCAGCCATCAAAGGGGATTCTGATGACGACAGTGTTGTTGTCTTGTGACTTGAGAGCGTTACAGACGCCGGTGATGGGGTTGGAGATATTCAGATGTTTCACCTCTAGGTTAGGGTCGCGGATTCTGCTGAAGGCGGCGATCAGGTATCCCTCCCGGCACTCCAGCACCGGCACCGGATCTACACACATGGAGATAGCTCTTACAACACTGCTTCACGTAGACTGTCCTCATACCTCGTGCAACATTGTTTTCAATGTTTGTGAAGGGTACAGTCGGAAAGCTATGTAATATCAATTCATAAGTCGTTAATACTTAAACATGACACCATCCATTATTATTAGACCCGTGAAGATCCGGGGTAGAATAGGTCTTCAGCAACCCATGCTTGCCATAAAAGGCGACTATGCTTGTCGTAAGAGGCGACAAACAGGATCGGGTGGTCAGGCTCGCTTACTTAGTTGATGCATGTCATCGATTCCAATTGCGTGGATCGATGCTCATGTTGTCAATCACTTGACTGTCGATTATTTACAGATCGCGGTCATATAGCTGGAATATTGCTGAGTGCGGTGTTAAACAACAAAAAAAACAAAACATCCTTTATTCATTGATCCACGCTATCCTTCATCTTATCACAAACCGTGTCAGCAAAGATGTATGCAGGTAATAGACGTTTACCAGTTTGCTGAAATTTCTGTATGTTTATTTATCATAATATTGCTTTGTTTGTTTTAACGAACAGTACCACAGTATCAGTAAATAATAACATTTTGACCAGACAAACCCGTGATCTATGTTATGTACAAGTCCCACGCTTTCGTGATACGATGACACGCCATAAACAAGTCGATGACCTTGACCGTCAGAACTATTGAGTCTCCCCGAACGACCATCATGCATCCCTCACCCGGAAACCCCAACGACGATATATCGGTGTTTTGGGCCATAAATAACAAACACATTTGAGCTTTCGGCTTTCCATTGTCTGTCCAGAAATAGACCACGAATATTTCCAAGAGAAAACAATGCACATTCTTTGCATCGTGTCAAATGGTATCAGCGTAAAGCCACCACGTTATCCTTTGCGGTGGTCTCCCGAATGCGGCATGTTAATGTGGGTGGTATTGCGACAAGGCTGTATTACAGAGCAACCTCATTAAAATCTGAACTTATAGACTGATACCATGTCTCGCCGCACACTTCTACACGCGGGGCGGTCGGGTAGCCTAGTTGTTAAAGCGTTCGCTCGTCACGCCGAAGACCCGGGTTCGATTCCCGACATGGGTACAATGTGTAAAGCCCATTTCTGGTGTCCCCCGCCGTGATATTGCTGGAATATTGCTAAAAGCGGCGTAAAACCATACTCACTCACTCAATCAATCAATCACTTCTATACGCTGCTTTCAGCATAACTCCGGATGAGATTTGACACTGGGTTTCACACATCTGGTAATAGAACCAGCGTGTTAGGCGTGTCGAGCCAACACTTTAACTGCTGGGCTACCCATTGCGAACCCAAATAACCTCCACACCCTCACTTTAACCCACCCCACAGCGAGACCCGCCTCTCAAAACGTCATCTTCGTGGGGTGGATTTCTTTTAAACAAACTCTCTTACGACATGAGAAAACGATACACGTTATAAAATTAGGAAAAGTCTTTCACTAGGAACACCACTCACCAGCGGGAGGTCTGTAAGGGAGATCCACGCACGTGACCGTGGCGACCTCCGTCGGTGCACAGTTGTGGTTCCCCCAACCATTGTTTGGACAGGATTGAATTTGAGCCTCGTTTCCAGCACACCGGACATCATCAAGTACTATTTGAGAACGAGGCAGTCCTATGGCTTCCGGTGGTGCTCCAGCACGGGCGAATGTGGTGCTGGAAAGAAAGGCGTGTATGAGTGAATGGGTTTGGTGAACGCCGAACAGTAAGTCAGTTATATCAATGTGGCAGATTGATTAGGCAAGAAACAACGAGATAATGTTGAACCTAAACGTTGGTGAAACGAGCGCAGTATGGTGGTGGTATAAACAAACTAAGAAGCCTAATATAGGGCGAATCTGGACGTCTGGATCATAGGATTCATGCCTAAGGGACGCAATCCAGTGAACTGTGGCGCTGCAGACGACATCAGTTGTTTGGAAGGACGTTTGTGTAGAAAAACCCAGTGACGATAAAAAGGCATGGAACTTTAACCTCGTTTTTGGATTGAGCCAAGGACAGCTGCTGTCTCTCTCTGCGACAGCCTTTAACAAATGGTTGAATAGAATGAACAGGCTTGGTGGATATATTGTGCTATTCGTGCTTCAACACATTAGTCAGTTTCCCCACTCGTTCTACAAGAAATTAGTAAGTTTTCCCACTCGTGCTTCAAGACATTAGTCAGTTTCCCCCTCGTGCTTCAAGATATCAGTCAGTCTCCCGACTCGTGCTTCAACACAGTCAGTTTCCCCCTCGTGCTTCAACACTTAAGTCAGTTTCCCCCTCGTGCTTCAACGCATTAGTCAGTCTCCCGACTCGTGCTTCAACACATTAGTCAGTTACCCCCTCGTGCTTCAACACATTAGTCAGTCTCCCGACTCGTGCTTCAACACATTAGTCAGTTTCCCCCTCGTGCTTCAACGCATTAGTCAGTCTCCCGACTCGTGCTTCAACACATAAGTCAGTTTCCCCCTCGTGCTTCAACACATTAGTCAGTCTCCCGACTCGTGCTTCAACACATTAGTCAGTTTCCCCCTCGTGCTTCAACACATTAGTCAGTCTCCCGACTCGTGCTTCAACACATTAGTCAGTTTCCCCCTCGTGCTTCAACACATTAGTCAGTCTCCCGACTCGTGCTTCAACACATTAGTCAGTTTCCCCCTCGTGCTTCAACACATTAGTCAGTCTCCCGACTCGTGCTTCAACACATTAGTCAGTCTCCCGACTCGTGCTTCAACACATTAGTCAGTTTCCCCCTCGTGCTTCAACACATTAGTCAGTCTCCCGACTCGTGCTTCAACACATTAGTCAGTTTCCCGACTCGTGCTTTAACGCATTAGTCAGTCTCCCGACTCGTGCTTCAACACATTAGTCAGTTTCCCCCTCGTGCTTCAACACATTAGTCAGTCTCCCGACTCGTGCTTCAACACATTAGTCAGACTCCCGACTCGTGCTTCAACACATTAGTCAGTTTCCCCCTCGTGCTTCAACACATTAGTCAGTCTCCCGACTCGTGCTTCAACACATTAGTCAGTTTCCCCCTCGTGCTTCAACACATTAGTCAGTTTCCCCCTCGTGCTTCAACACATTAGTCAGTCTCCCGACTCGTGCTTCAACACATTAGTCAGTTTCCCGACTCGTGCTTTAACGCATTAGTCAGTTTCCCCCTCGTGCTTCAACACATAAGTCAGTTTCCCCCTCGTGCTTCAACACATAAGTCAGTTTCCCCCTCGTGCTTCAACACATTAGTCAGTTTCCCCCTCGTGCTTCAACACATTAGTCAGTCTCCCAACTCGTGCTTCAACACATTAGTCAGTTTCCCCCTCGTGCTTCAACACATTAGTCAGTCTCCCGACTCGTGCTTCAACACATTAGTCAGACTCCCGACTCGTGCTTCAACACATTAGTCAGTTTCCCCCTCGTGCTTCAACACATTAGTCAGTCTCCCGACTCGTGCTTCAACACATTAGTCAGTTTCCCCCTCGTGCTTCAACACATTAGTCAGTCTCCCGACTCGTGCTTCAACACATTAGTCAGTCTCCCGACTCGTGCTTCAACACATTAGTCAGTCTCCCGACTCGTGCTTCAACACATTAGTCAGTTTCCCCCTCGTGCTTCAACACATTAGTCAGTCTCCCGACTCGTGCTTCAACACATTAGTCAGTTTCCCGACTCGTGCTTTAACGCATTAGTCAGTCTCCCGACTCGTGCTTCAACACATTAGTCAGTTTCCCCCTCGTGCTTCAACACATTAGTCAGTCTCCCGACTCGTGCTTCAACACATTAGTCAGACTCCCGACTCGTGCTTCAACACATTAGTCAGTTTCCCCCTCGTGCTTCAACACATTAGTCAGTTTCCCCCTCGTGCTTCAACACATTAGTCAGTTTCCCCATCGTGCTTCAACACATTAGTCAGTCTCCCGACTCGTGCTTCAACACATAAGTCAGTTTTCCCCTCGTGCTTCAACACATTAGTCAGTCTCCCGACTCGTGCTTCAACACATTAGTCAGTTTCCCGACTCGTGCTTCAACACATTAGTCAGTCTCCCGACTCGTGCTTCAACACATTAGTCAGTTTTCCGACTCGTGCTTCAACACAGTCAGTTTCCCCACTTACTCGAAGCAGAGGACGCCGCACACAATCTTGGCCGCGTTCTCGTCGAAGAAGTCGTCACACACGGAGCCCCAGTACGAACCGTTAGAGACCTCCACGATGCCGCGACCGGGCAGATTGTCGGCGGCCACGAGCCTCACGGGTGGGGCTGGAGCTGGAAAACACAGCAATATCATTTGTAGCTCACCTATATAACATGTTCATATGACGTTTACATAACACACGGAATGAGAACTCGGTCACATGACGCGAAACTGACGTTCATTTTAAAAATGACTTTCACTTTGTGTGAGTTCATTGGAGTATGAACTTTCAAAGTGTGAGGGCAAGACTGAATGAACGTCGGAACCTTCGGACATGACATATTTAACTATTTCCAAAAGCTACATTGACATCGGGACCAACATACTGGAGTTGTGTCTGTGTGTATATGCTACACAAGGTTAACAAACTAATCAGGTGATCACCTGTTTGCCATGTAAACATATATACTCTTACTCCGGAATGCTGCAAGTGCTCGTCAAATCACGCAGATATGTGAACTGTTGTCTAAAACCTTTGAGTTGACTGAGATATCACATAATGTATTTTTTGTGGAACATGTTGTGCAATACTTTATAACTCACATCAAGGGGCAAGATGTCTTTATATAAAAAAGTGAATACATGTGGTCTTGGGAGTCTTCCGAGAAGTCCTCGTTATAACGCACCTGTCAGCACCACTCCATATAGTTGGGGTAACGTGGGATGTATGTCCCTCTCATTCCGCCCGACATGTAAGCAGCACCAGCAGAACTAAGAATGTATTTTGTCACTGATCTCGTCGAGAGAAGCGTGTTTCAGATGTTTGAGATACAAATCTACATGAATGCGTTTGAGCTAAAGGCTGCTTACAACCCACATGTCGTCATGTGTGTACAATTCGAAATAAATCTGAGACTGTAGATTAACGTCTCTGCTTGCTTTCATTGTTTTAAAACAGAACATCGACGAGAATGTTAAAACACACACACACACACACACACACACACACACACACACACACACACACAGAGCAACCCATACTTGTCGTAAAAGGCGACTATGCTTGTCGTAAGAGGCGACTGACGGGGTCGGGTGGTCAGGCTCGCTGACTTGGTTGATGCATGTCATCGATCCCGAATGCGTGGATCGATGCTTATGATATTAATCACTGGACTGTCTAGTCCAGACTCGATTATCTACAGACCGTCGTCATATAGATGTAATATTGAGTGCGGCGTTAAACAACAAACCAACTAACGACGCGGAAAGGGATTGAACCCCGAACCTTCCGAAGTCTCACGAAGGCGGCCCGCTAGTTTGAAACTGGAGACGTACAACTTGAGAAAGGCATTTTCGGATAGGCTGATGTCGCATTCATTGGTCGGTCAAAGTTCGCGAAAGGTCGTTCGGACGTGACCTGTAATTGGATGTCCTCAGATCTTTCTTGCGCGGTAGCGAGAAATAACACCTGTTTTAAATGAAATTGGAGTTTAAGCAAATTGTGTGTTTCAAGATATTTCATTTTCTTTTAATGATAATTGGTCTTAGCGTTACGATCTTACCATGACTGAACCAATTATCTGATACCCAAAGGGAGATAAGCCATAGCATGGAGTGTTATTTTGTTTATATTGTATTAAAAAAATATATGAATTAAATTGATATTTGCGAAACGTTCAACGAACCGTTTACATTTGGACATTTATATCAATAAGGAGCATTCAATTTGTTTTAATGTCAAAATGTGTTTCATTTTTTGTGTGAGTTAGCCTTTGAATGCATGGCAAAAACGTAATGTAATGAATTGTGAGTGAGTGAGTTGTGTTTAACGCCGCTTTTAACAATATTCCAGTTATATCACGGCGTGTCAACTTAATGACGGAGGAAAGCCCGAAGTGGTGCAGGTTTCAGACATTTACCACTTCGGTGAAACCCACGAGTACGGGTATTGTGCTGACAAACCTAGAAACATAATCGGGGCGAACCAGGATTCGAACCCACAATGATAGGTTTCTGGCATGTTCAAGGGACGCAACTCTGCACAGCGAATCGCGGCGCCTTAGACGACTGGGCCACCCATGCCCCAAAACTCACCTCCAGGTCGACAGTTGCTCGGTACTGGGCCCACGGTCCGCGGTCCTTCCGTCGTTGCTGCAGGTGTAGGGTCGACGACGGGGCCGGTGGGGTCACATATTACACTAGCATCTTCACCGTGTAGACAGTTGGAGATAGTGGTCATCCGGCACTGGTCAATCCGCTCTTCGTCGCCGTCACATTTTACGTCGTCAAGATGGATGGGCCCCGTGCCCGGACCATACCTGGCCAGCCCGAAAGCTTGACCACCGTTCCTGTTGTATCACACTTTATTATACACCAAGAACCAATCATGGAGAATGAAAATACAGTAAACTACGGTTATAACGAACTCAAAGGGACCCCTTATTTAAGTTCGTGATTAAGTATGATTTTACGCCGCTTTTAGCAATATTCCAGCAATATCACGGCGGGGGACACCACAAATGGGCTTCACACATTGCACCCATGTCGGGAATCGACCCCGGGTCTTCGGCGTGACGACCGAACGCTTTAACCACTAGGGTACCAGACCGCCCCTTATTTTAGTTCGCAATAACCGTAGTTCGTTATTAGCGTATATACAACAAAAGGGCGGGACCAAAATAAACAGTTCGTTATATCCGTCAGTTCGATATAAGCGTGTTCGTTATAGCCGCAGTTTACTGTAAGTCATAACGTTTCATGAACGCTCTCTTGGATTTGATGGAATGAAAGTTCTGACAACAAATTCCCATTTAAAGAAACCATGTGAAATACACCTCACCTACACGTCCTGTCATAATCCTAGCTGTCAGTGCCTCGACGGCACACCTCTCTCTCTCTCTCTCTCGCAGTCGATGCACCCTTTCAAACTAATTACGCATGATCTCCCATGACGTCTGTGATTAATCAATCGAGAACATTTTTATCGTAATTACTGCTTAACATGGTAATGGGTAACAAGAAAATATCAAAAGACATCTATCATGATGAACGATTAACTTCCCACGTGTCTTCACCTGTAGTTCAGCATCTTGCATATAACTGCCGCATCCAGGTCATCCCATTGGTCGTCACAGACGGTCCCCCACACCCCACCGACCTGGACCTCCACCCTCCCAGAATTGGGATTGGGGCCCCCTGCAAGTCGGACGTTCTGAACGACGATCACCTGCTGTCCTGAAGTCAAACAGAAAACACTGACATGTAGATAAATATATTAGGAATGTATTTTATGTTACATGTAAAATACTAGAATAGTATTGGTCAGTGACGTTTTGATAAATGTCCATGTGCCCCGCTACAGTGGTTTACAAATGAAAAATAGATACTAAACGCGTTAGGCTCCTTGTCGCGAAAAGGCGTCGCGTAATGTATATTAACATTGACTTCAGGTGTACATGATGCACAGAGCCTAACATTGTGTTGGATCTTACATGGCAAAAAACGGTTGGATGATCTTGTGGAGACGAATGCCTCTGTGAAGGTTCTACTACACCAAATCAGAATCAGTCGTTCAACAAGCAGTTTTCTGTAGACAGCCTTTAGTGCAGACTGAATCATCTGGCAGCTGCGATTGGATGATTTTGTGGATGATTTTTATGTTTTCTAAATGTACATCCATTCAGTAATGAAGACAGGTCATGGTTTTTTTTCTAACTTTAGTGCTGTCTTTTTCAACATGATGAATGTGACCACATGTATTTTCAAGCAAGTGACATTTGGTGCGGTACTCGGGGTGGTGTGTTCAGCTTCTGTACTGGAGCTGACTTATAGTCTGGAAGGTAATTTGAGGTACCGACGTTTACTACAATATCTGAAAAACTATCGAACCTACTCCAGGATGAGTTGGTATGAGATTTTTAAACAGTCATACATAACTGGATATTTTGTTTAAACACAATCGGTGCATGAATAAAAACTCTGTCTATTTAGCTATCACTATATTTTATCAACAACCAGACCTGTTCGTCACGGTTGAACGAGCATTCATTGAAACAGCCATCTGCATAATGCTACCCCTGCGTCACAGGGCCATATGACGCAATTGAACCAATCAACTCAACTCGAAAGGGTGCACGGGAATCACGCACGTTGAGACGCCCAACGCTAACACCGTATTCGTGCGTGCATGATTCCCTAGCACCCTTTCGAGTTGAGTTGATTGGTTCAACTGTGTCATATGGCCCTGTGACGCAGGGGTAGCATTCGGTCCACCTAACTTTGACTGGAGTAGGTTCGATAGTGTTTCAGATATTGTAGTAAACGTCGGTACCTTTAATTACCTTTAATTACCTTCCAGACTAGTCATATTTTTTGTTTTTATTGCTGCTTTAAGGCCAAACTGTGCACCCACGTACAGGCTATAGCTGTTGAATGTTAAGTCATTTAAAACAATATGTAACATTAATATGCACATCTATGGGAAACATTTGGTTGAGTGTAACCTGTAGCTAAACACTAGAACACACTTCACCGACCACCTTCTCGCCAGGAAACAGATCGCAATCTCGCACCAGGATATTCAGTACCAGCTCGGTATTTCCCTGTGTCTATTTATAGCTGATGCAACGCCAGGTAACATGCTTGTGTATTACCGAATGCGTCAATTGTGCAGCATAAGTGCTTTGGAAACGGCGCATATATGTGCAGCTTGTTGTTGCAACGTGGTCGTGCTGTGCTGGGGGAATACTTCAAGTTGTTTACACCAAATGGTTAAAATTGGGTTGTTCCCCTCAAAACTATGGACTACAATTTCTACTTTTACAAAAAACGTATGCCTATCATTTAACGTTAACGTTTGTAAACATGTTGCACTAACTGACCTCGTGGAATGGTAATGGAGGGTGTCCTGGTGGTATTATATCGTGGAAAGCATCCTCAGGTAGTTGATTTTGGCACTGATACGACAGAAGGTTACAATCTATTAAACCTCCTCTGTTTTTCTACAGTTCCAGCAGCAGTGGTGGTGTCAGGTTCCGGCTTGTCGGAAGCACTATCTCTAGGTAAAACACGAACATGCTCACCGATTTCTGTGTACGGCTGCTTAAGATGATAGTACAGAGAGCAATAAGTTCAATTCGCCTATCACTTTGAAAGTCCGTGATTAAAGAGAGTGTCGGTGCACGGTGTGCGTGTGTGTGGCGGGAGGGAGGGGGTATGGGGTGTGTGTGGCGGTAGGGAGGGGTATGGGGTGTGTGTGGCGGGAGGGAGGGGGTATGGCGTGTGTGTGGCGGGAGGGAGGGGGTATGGGGTGTGTGCGGCGGTAGGGAGGGGGTATGGGGTGTGTGTGGCGGGAGGGAGGGGGTATGGGGTGTGTGTGGCGGGAGGGAGGGGGTATGGGGTGTGTGTGGCGGGAGGGAGGGGGTATGGGGTGTGTGTGGCGGTAGGGAGGGGGTATGGGGTGTGTGTGGCGGGAGGGAGGGGGTATGGGGTGTGTGTGGCGGGAGGGAGGGGGTATGGGGGGGGGTGTGGCGGGAGGGAGGGGGTATGGGGTGTGTGTGGCGGTAGGGAGGGGGTATGGGGTGTGTGTGGGGTTTGTTGTTTCATGCCAACATTATTGCAATATGACGTCGGTATAAGTTTGTTTATTTGTTGTTTTACACCGCACTCAGCAATATTCTAGCTTATGACGGCGGTCTGTAAATAATCGAGTCTGGACCAGACAATCCAGTGATTGATATCATGAGTATCGATCCACGAAACTGGGATACGATGACATGCATCAGCAAGCATGGTTTGCTGAAGCCCTATTCTAACCCGGAGCTCATGTATGTGAGTAGAGTAAACATATCTATTGAGAGTTGTAGTACTGAACAAACAATGCCATTTAGAAAGTGGTCAAATGTGACAAATGTTATATTTGGGATGACATTTTTTCTCTTATTTTTTAGGGTTGAGTCCCGTCCGGGTTTAACGGACTCAGCCACCGAGATTTCCACAAAAATGAAAGTCCGTCAACTGGTTGTCCAGATCACATAGTTTGTGTGGAAGTTTCGGTGGCAGAGTGGGTTAGATCGCTGACTTATTGTGCTGGCGATTAGGTGCCTCACTCTGGCAGTGTGGGTTCAATCCCCAAAAGTACGAGAATCTCTACTTTACAAAGAAAGTGTTATCCCAAATATAATATGTGTTACAGTTGTAGTATTGATAAAAAAATGTTTTTGTATTGATATAATTTTCTTTTTCCTTTTGCCTTATACCTTTTCCGTCTCTGTCTTATACAGCCAGTGTCACTTGACACTATTCATTAATATGAACAACAGTAATTAATGAGAAGTGTCATAGTTGCAAACCTTCTTATTAATCCTCCAAAGAAGAAAAAATATTTAATATGGCTAGTGACTGATAGTATATTTTAATAACCGGTTTTACACAAATATATTTATGATGTATATACTGTGATATATTTAAGTCTCTCGTAACCCTTAACGGGTGGCTCACTTGCATGTACTGTTATATGTATCTATGTAAATATTTTTGTGAGGTGAGACTCAATTTAAACAATCTGTCTGTGTGTCTGCAAAGCTCGTTCAGGATGGCTGATGTTCAACGTACAATACAATGGGGATTAACAATGGGATTAGCATCTTATAAGTAATGGGAATTATGTGATTCTATACATATCAAGATGGGTAAACAATGTTCTGGCTTTGCTTAATAGTTTAGACCTAAGTGTCTCTGACGGTATGCATGAACCAAATCCGACTTTACTCGTATAAAATATAAGTTATTAGCGTTAGATGAGCATAATTAGTATTCAGAATTGTGGAATGATAGAGGTTTACAAAATGAAAATAAGCTTCGTACTTATATTCACCTGATGAAGGAGTAAGCATGTACTCCGAAACGTTGTGTTCCTCATAATAAAGAAGTTGACATCCATATATATTCTCTTCCTTCGTATTTATCGATTGTTCAAACACTCGCTGTCAGCTGAACCCTATGTTACATGTATTATGAACAGGTCCCATTGTAGTATCCTAAGCAAGTGACGCTGCGGCACATTACCCTTACAAGTTGAATTTGGAAGATTCGCTAAACCTATCACGCCTTTACAGGATAGAATTTGTAAATTATGTAATAATAACGCTGTAGAATATGAGATACATTCTCTCATTATTTGTTCATTTTATTCTGACCTAAGATATGATTTATGGCGGAGAATTATAAAGTCTGGTCCCACATTTATTTCATTCTCTCCCGTGGACCAGACAGTGTTCTTAATGAACTGTAACACGTATATAAAACCTCTAGCCGCACTTATTTAAAATATGTTTGCACGTAGGCAACATTTCATTACTTAAAATTGTTATCCTTTTTTATTGGGTTTTCGCAATCCTGTAAGTTATAATTTTTTAGAATAAATAATGTTTTTCATTGTTCATTGTGTCACATAGGCCTTTTATGGCCTGATGTTGTATGTATTTTATGCAAGTTTGTTTATCTCTGATATATACACATACAACATGTGACACATAAATAACATATTTTCTTCTTTTTCTTCCTTCTTCATATACATGTCAGAGCAACACGGTAATTAGACTTTGGAATTAAATGTTCAATCAGACAAGGGTTGTCATGAATCGTCGCTATGACACGGCCATGGACCCAGTCACACTCCCCGAGTATGAAACCCTCAAAACAACTGAGGGCCAAAAGTAGGTATACCGAGTTTGTTTTTCATGTAATTGTTAATTAAAAGAACTGCTGTTAAATTTGACTAGGTTGATTTAAACATCACTCATTCCTGCAACATTTTGTAAAACGTAATCAGTGGCTGGGTGATTTTGTGTAGAAATAAATTGGTTCAATTAAGACTGGGGTAAGAAATAAATTGGTTCAATGAAGACTGGGGTAAGAAATAAATTTGCAACCACATGACCCCTACCACGTTTGAATGTTGTAAATTTGTGCTAAAGAATTTTATTTTATTGATTTTCAAAGATAACATATCTAAAATACCCATCAGCAGTTGTGTATCATGCGACGTGTTTACTTTAATTTTTAAATATTTAAATCAAATTATATTTTAAAAAACAAAAAAAACAAACATTTAGAATTATTCTTTGAGCACTGACTAAGCGCCAATACAGTTACACATTTTATGATATCGCAAACGTAAGATGTTTTAAATTGAAAATCAAACATATGATAAAATCAACCGAGAGGTCTAGTTTCTTTTGCTCCTCAGTGTATGATGGTTCATTGTTGAGCGAGCTATCTTTACTTTCACTTTTCATGTAGGCTCGAGCCAGCTCACGTTGTGCCGCGTGGGACTGTGGTCATGGTAACGCTTTATTAATCGAAATGTGCACACCACACTCCCGTTCTGCATCAGATTCGTCATCCTCCATAATTACCTAACGTACACAACATTGAAACACTTGTAAACGATATACACACTGGCAGACAGTTTTTAGAAAAAAATATGTTTGGAACTGACAGATCCCATATGGATTTCTGCACCTTGCGACAGGCTGTGTTTATAAACACGTCTACATGCACGACATACCCTGCTTGGCAACTCTGTCACAAAGCCCGGTTGCTATTAACCTTAGATCATGACCATGAATAGCCTGCAGTGTTGGATTGTTGCTGCTTGTGTAAATTGATATATTTGTCGGTGAAAACTTATGTCAGCTGTTTCAAACCAACGACGTGAGAGAGTATAGTTTTACGCCGCTTTTAGCAATATTCCAGCAACACGGCGAGGGATAAGCCTATATACATGTACGTTTAAGAGTCGACCAAACAGGTGGCACGTGATATTATCAATGTGCTTTAATATTACTGATCAAACCGAGAGACAATGACTGCGTATATATACTCAACCGTTATTGAGTGAGTGAGTGAGTAGTTTGACATATCTTCAAATACTCAGTATTTCTGTTATATAAGTGAATAAGGAACGAAAGACGGAACTAGCGCGGGTCCGAGGCGTTTATCTGTTAATACGAGAGCACATATATGCAGGGGTAGATGTTTATCGCTTAATGAAAACGACGAGTTGGGTTTTGGTCCCGACACCATGGACCATGTTTGGTTCAAATCGTGGATTCGAACCAAAGGCCGGTGTATCCTTGTACAGCTAAGGGACGTAACTCTACACAGTGATTTGCCGCACTTAGACCAAAGGACCACCTAGATCACTTAAATATTCTTTCGTCGAAGGGTCGAGGTGAGGGTCAGTGAGGGAGATGAGTTTAACAGTATTTCAAGTATCCCGACGTGGATGTTTGAGGGGAGGAAAATGATGCAGGCCTTGGCCGTGTTACAATTTGGTGCTGACAAACCTTCAAACATAATCAGGGCTTGAGCAAAAAATCAGGACAGAGGACACATACAGAAGAATGACATTTGACTCAGGTGGGAATCGAACCCTGGTCTTGATCATGATGGCAAACACATTTACCACTTGGCCCGCCTAACATAGCTTGCCTTAATAATGCGACCATTTTCATACATGATGTTATAAGCGAACGTATATTTGACATAAAGTCAGACCCCGCTAATCCGGGCGGTACTGTTTCTGAATGAGTGAGTGAGTTTGGTTTAGCACCGCTTTGAACAATATTTCAGTTATATCAGGGGGTGTCAGAAATGGGCTTCACACATTGTACCCATGTCGGGAATCGAACTCGGGTATTCGGCGTGACGAGAGAACGCTTTAACCACTAGGCTACCCGACCGCCCCGACAGACCTAAAAGCGTAATCTTTGTAAACCAGGATTCGAACACATGATCATAGGTTTCTGGTGTGTCCAAGGGACGCAACTCCGTGGTACTATTCCTGATGAAAATCCCGATAAACACCTGTCCTGATTACATATTAATGGGTGCAAGCTTACAATCCTTCAGCTCAATATACAACTCAAAAGAAGATAAAGAAACACGAATCTTTCATATCACTATAGTTATAATCTCTCACGCCATGACAGATTAACTACAGTAAACTACGGTTATAACGAACTCAAAGGGACTACTAATTTTAGTTCGTTATAACCGTAGTTCGTTATAAGTACATATACAGCATGACTATAGCAAGTAGTCGGGACCAAAAAGTAAGTTCGTTATATCCGTCAGCTCGTTATAAGCGTGTTCGTTATAACCGTAGTTTACTGTAGTCATATGAAAAAATCGGGTTTTCTTTAACTTCTTTTGAGTAGCATATAAACGCTCCCAGCAGTCATCGTCCGGATTTAATCGGTTATCGAATTAACGGGGTGCGGACATAGCTCTTGCGTCAACATCGGCGCGCCTAGGTAATGCAACTTCGCCTACGCATGTGTTTCTGACTAACACTAAACACAGGAGTCTGTTATCTAGGTATCGTCTGGGCGACCATATCCTGTTAGCTGCATTGAGATACGTGTTAGCTGACAACGCTTTGTTTAGATGCTTAGGCTAATGAAGTATTTTGGTTCATTTTAGTTGGAAGGGCATCAAGGTCTGAGAAAGCAATCATCTAGTGTGTGGGGAAAATATGCAGCGGAAAACAAACGAGGATTCCTATCTCCGCTAAATCACTCCCCACAGAAACAAGCATAGCTGCACTACCCATCAAAGGCGTGAATCATTTCTTGAGTATTAGCTGTATCGAGTTCATCTTTGGGAAGCAATGGGGATTCAATAATGTTATCACCATTGCTTTTCATCCTCAATCATTAATTGACGTATCGGATTCATAGATTCTTCGATATATGTTCTTCTCGGTAATTGGAATTTAATATATAGCTCATTTTAATATTTTCGTTTTTAACTTCAAATAAATGGAAAACCGTGATTTTATAATTCAGATATTTACATTAAGTGAATCAGCATGGTTTTACGTTGTTTTTAACAATATTTAGCAATATCACGACGGGGACACCAGAAATAGAATTACATACATGTACAGCATTTGGTGCATCATGCTGTACCAGCTGTAAATTTATAACAAACAGCCAATGGTCTAAAATGGGTGTATATGTAATCAGTATTATTTCTCCCTGAATAAACACAATTCCCTCATAAAGGTATCATAATATACCCTTTCATAAATAAAAAACCCCAGAAACATCTGAAGATGGTCATGTAAACACGTGATAAAAAAACACGTGATAAAAAAAACACGTGTGAAGGGTACATGCAGTTTCACGGGAACAACACTGAAATTGATGACAGTTTCTTTAAATAGACACAATCTGGCGATAACACCAGGAACGACCAAGATTAGCGCTGTGGTGTTGTCTTGAATGACTCACACACGCCCCCACGGGTCACGCCCCCACCGGCCACGCCCCCATGGGTCACCCTGCTCCGCCCCTCGTGATCATGCAGTTATTTTTGTATTTGACTAATATGAATCATGTTACACTTATAAACAAACAAGTGTCAATATCGTGACACTAAATGGTATATATATTACACCGTGGCGTGTAGTTAATAGAAACCAGAAAAGGTTTCAAATACAATTGTATAGAATTGAGAGTACATGTCCGTATTGTTTACTCCACTGTTAGCAATATGGGGGGCGGGGGGGGGACACATCACACATTGTCCCCACATGGAGGTCAAACCTGGTCCGTGTATAAGTGCAACAGTTTAACTTCGCTCCACCGCGGTCGCTGTTCAACTCACAGTTGGTTTGAAGTTCACGTAATATATAATACAAATTCCTGCGCAGCACACACCTGTTCAATATTCGTCTGGGGTTACTGATGTTCCTACAGTACATTCCGTACAGATGAGATGTACAAGTACAACCGTATTAGCCGGGGTTCCCTTCCCCTGAGGTGGGTGTATAAACACCGTAATTAAGTACTCTTGTGGCGTGCTGATGTAAGGCTGATACACATGTTGCTTGGTTGGTTGGTTGGTTTGTTGTTTTACGCCGCACTCAGCAATATTCCAGCTATATGACGGCGGTCTGTAAATAATCGAGCCTGGACCAGACAATCCTGTGATTAATATCATGAGCATCGATCCGCGCAATTGGGATCGATGACATGCATCAACCAAGTCAGCGAGCCTGACCACCCGATCCCGTTAGTCGCCTCTTACCACAAGCAAAGTCGCCTTTTACGGCAAGCATGGGTTGCTGAAGGCCTATTCTACCCCGCATCTTCACATGTTGCTTGGCAATACAAGGTATAGTTAATAGTGTATAAATAATAATATCTCTTCAGTCAGAAGAATATTAACATATATAATGATAAGATAAAACAGAGGTCAGTATAAAACATAAATGAAACAGTAATTGTGCTACATATCAGTGTCTGTATTAAATGTTGAATTACAACAGTTTACAAAACCATTATCAAGAATCGTCAAACATGTATTTGTTCGTGATGTTTATGCACTGTTTTACTTATTAAAACTTACCAACCAACGATAACCCCCATTCTCGAAATAGTGAGTGGGTGATTGAGTGATAGTCCCCGGCTATATTGTGCCCATGTGGGGAATCGAACCCGGGCTTTCGGTGTGACGAACGAACGCTTTATCCCTAATGCTAGTCCACTACATAGCTGGTCGTTTAAGGTGATTAACGTTGACCGTTCTCACATATACCCCCCCCCCCCCCCCCCCACACACACACACACACACATAAACCCCTACCCCCACATCAACACAGGCATGCATATGCACACCGGTGGGTTAACACGACTTTCAAGCTAGTCACAGAACCGCTTACCGCTATATATATAGATATATCATAACTCAGTCTATCTCACCTGTAATAGTGTTAAGCCAACTCGCCACCAAACACAACACCACAAGTCCGTCCATAGTGAGAATAAACCGTCAAACACTAGAATATTCCAAGTCCATCAGTTCAATGGTTCTGTAATAGATGGTAATTGTATCCAGATACTCGCGGTTAGTATCCCACTCCAGTGCGAAGGAGAGACACTTCTCTTCTCGAAAAGCGTCGCTATCTACCAGACATGCGCAGATCGCCCACAAAGCGGAAGCAAACTTTTCCTATTCCTCTTTTCCACCGCTATTTTCTTTCAAAATACAAGTGCCGAGTGCTACACATGTGCAGAGGCGCGCCCCAGTCTATCGTCCTACGTTTAAGGTCGTTGCTATGCAAAAGAAAAAGGATGGCAACCACCTGGTCCACGAATAACAGCTAACTCTTTCCGTTGCCTTAGCAACCGTCGTAAACAACTCCTCGCTGTTAGCTGTTATTGGGATTCACCTGCGCGAAGTGATAATTAGAAGAGACGCGAAGTCTCGGTGCTTAACAGAGCGTAGCTTGTCGATCATGTTCGATCAAGCTCAGACGAGAATTCCCCGCACAAACCATTCCCCATTCATATTCACGAATACCGCGCTCGCCCAGTCAGCTGTTGTCGATTTACTTGACAATATGCGGAGGTCATCGTGACGAAACGAGAGGTCACGGGCGGGGGTTGCACGCGACTGACAGAAAACACGTGAAAACTACATTTTCAAACCTCACGCTGCCGTGGTCACGGATTGTGAATTTCGTTGCGCCTCCAATTGTAAGTAACCACTACAAATAACTCAATTCTGTGTGACTGTTTGTTGATTAAATACCACGGGATTGACAGAGACATGTTACAACTCGGCTAGCGTTCCGCGGGCGGGAACGTAGCACCTAAATTTAGTCAATAAGATTACGGTGAATGTGTTGCTATAAATCAAGTTAATGTGTTTTCTATGCAGCTCTGTTGAACCTGTCTCGTTTTTGAAAAACTCTTGTGCAACGCACCCCTGTTCAATATTCGACTCGGGTGTTTAATGTTTGCGAAAAATGGACATAATGTGACCTACTTCATGACTAACACACCTGGATACGAGAAAATAATCCATGTGTGTGACAAGTGTATCGTTAATCAGACATTGTTGTATTGATTATTCCAGGCCAAGCAAGCACGTTGATCGGATTACCTCGGCCCACAGTCAACAACCGAACTCGGCCGTGTATGGATTATCTCCCCTGTAATACCACACAGGGATTGTGTCGGGTGTGGCAACTGTTTGGTCCCCCCTAAACTTGGAAGGAGGATAATGACTGATAGTCGACGATGTCGCATGTGTTGTGTGTTGCCATCGTCGTTGTCGTTGGAGTGTTGTCAGCACAAGCTCAAATAAGTAAGTTGACCCGATTCTTCAATAACCCTTTTTCAAAAATGTAAATATACGTTTAATGAAATACTCGACTAAAGTGTATACAAGGCCCCCCCCCCCCCCCCCCGAGGGTCTTATATGTGTCAGACATGTTATATATGAGACAGGTGTTACATATTAGTCAGGGGTGTTATATATGAATCAGACATCTTATATATGAGACAGGTGTTACATATTAGTCAGAGGTGTTATATTTGAGTCAGACATGTTATATACAAGACAGGTGTTACATATTAGTCAGAGGTGTTATATTTGAGTCAGACATGTTATATATGAGACAGGTATGTGACATTAGTCAGAGGTGTTTTATTTGAGTCAGACATCTTATTTATGAGACAGGTGTTACATATTAGTCAGAGGTGCAGAGGTGTTATATATGAATCAGACATGTTATATATGAGACAGGTATGTGACATTAGTCAGAGGTGTTATATGTGTCAGACATGCTATATATAAGACAGGCGTTACATATTAGTCAGAGGTGTTATATATGAATCAGACATGTTATATATGAGACAGGTATGTGACATTAGTCAGAGGTTTTTTATTTGAGCCAGACATGTTATATATGAGACAGGTGTTATATATTAGTCAGAGGTGTTATATGTGTCAGACATGCTATATATAAGACAGGTGTTACATATTAGTCAGAGGTGTTATATATGAATCAGACATGTTATATATGAGACAGGTATGTGACATTAGTCAGAGGTGTTATATGTGTCAGACATGCTATATATAAGACAGGTGTTACATATTAGTCAGAGGTGTTATATATGAATCAGACATGTTATATATGAGACAGGTATGTGACATTAGTCAGAGGTTTTTTATTTGAGCCAGACATGTTATATATGAGACAGGTGTTATATATTAGTCAGAGGTGTTATATGTGTCAGACATGCTATATATAAGACAGGTGTTACATATTAGTCAGAGGTGTTATATATGAATCAGACATGTTATATATGAGACAGGTATGTGACATTAGTCAGAGGTGTTATATGTGTCAGACATGCTATATATAAGACAGGTGTTACATATTAGTCAGAGGTGTTATATATGAATCAGACATGTTATATATGAGACAGGTATGTGACATTAGTCAGAGGTTTTTTATTTGAGCCAGACATGTTATATATGAGACAGGTGTTATATATTAGTCAGAGGTGTTATATGTGTCAGACATGCTATATATAAGACAGGTGTTACATATTAGTCAGAGGTGTTATATATGAATCAGACATGTTATATATGAGACAGGTATGTGACATTAGTCCGAGGTGTTATATATGAATCAGACATGTTATATACAAGACAGGTGTTACATATTAGTCAGAGGTGTTATATATGAATCAGACATGTTATATATGAGACAGGTATGTGACATTAGTCAGAGGTGTTTTATTTGAGTCAGACATCTTATATATGAGACAGGTGTTACATATTAGTCAGAGGTGCAGAGGTGTTATATATGAATCAGACATGTTATTTTTGAGACAGGTATGTGACATTAGTCACAGGTGTTTTATTTGAGTCAGACATCTTATATATGAGACAGGTGTTACATTTTAGTCAGAAGTGTTATATTTGAATCAGACTTAACTAAACTTTTATATAATATATATACACACACACACACACCACCACCACCACCACACCACACATACCCACGAACACACATGTACACCACGCCACAAACACACACAACACCACAGGCAGACACGCACACCACACACATACACACCACACCAGATGCACACCACACCAGACACGCACACCACACACATGCACACCACACCAGACACACATGCACACCACACCAGACACGCACACCACACACATGCACACCACACACATGCACACCACACAAGAGACGCACACCACACACATGCACACCACACCAGACACGCACACAACACACATGCACACCACACCAGACACGCACACCACTGCTGACACGCACACCACACACATGCACACCACACCAGACACGCACACCACACCAGACAGGCACACCAGACACACATGCACACCACACCAGACACACACACACTCTCACACACACCAGACACACACACACTCTCACACACACCATACACACACACACCAGACACAATATTGCCCCGAGAGTTGACTAAACAGGACGCCCGCCATGACTTGGTTGACTGTTTCCCCAACCGCGGACCGGGTGCTCATGCCATCAAACAGGCTCTGACTCCGTGTCCCTGGAGCTGTGCCTCATCGCGTTTGACAATATATCAACCGCGTCGTGTTTTACATCACGTTTCAACCTTCCCTACCCTAAAGTCAGTATTATTTGGCTTTCAAAAACATTGTTATGTCGAGCCGCCTCAAAGAGGGTGTTTAAACAGGCAATGTAAGGGCGTTCACTAGTAATGGGGTCACTGTTCACAGAAGAATACCCGTGTTCACACAGCGACCGCTTCACGTGAAGTGAATCTTGGATCGAGAGTATGAATAATACCAGGGACCAACCGAATGGTATTCCTGTGTGTGTGTGTGTGTGTGTGTGTGTGTGTGTGTGTGTGTGTGTGTGTGTGTGTGTGTGTGTGTGTGTGTGTGTGTGTGTGTGTGTGTGTGTGTGTGTGTGTGTGTGTGTTGGAGGCGTGTTTGTGTGTTATGTGGAGGTGGGTGTGTGGTTTGGGTGGGTGTGTGTTTGGGGGGGGGGGGGGGGGGGAGTGGCGGAGGTGTGTGTGTGTGTGTGTGTTTTGGGTATGATAATACAAAAGGGGAACACACACGTACATCTGGGTGTTGACTTGCCTCGCGATCGAAAGTAGTTAGTGGACTAATGGCTGTGTCAATAGATGTTCCCGCTGTTTGGGGACTCTTTCCTGACTCTTTTTGAAATTAGTGACCATCAACAACCACCACCCCCATCCCCATCCCCACCCCCACCCCATCCCCACCCCCACCCCATTAACACGTTCAAGGAAGTAAACACTTAGCGTTTCTCAACACAAGACATCGCAACACAACATCAGACATCGCAACGCAACACAACAAAACACCCGACATCAATACACCATCCAACATGGAGGACCACGTCCTGGTTGAAAACATGTTGTCTTAGCAAGGTCGCGATGACCTTCAATATCTGCAGGTGACAACAATCCCGGCGCGCCACTGGATCCAGTTACTGAAATATGTGCACAACTACTTGATCGATTCTCATCGACTGCCAAGTAGTAGGACGCCCTGTTTGTCACTGACGGCGTGTCCCGTGATGTGTGTTATCAGTCTTCAGCAAGATGTGTTCTGATCTATTTGTCGTTCATTAGTATTGATTTCAGCAGGTTAACGAGTACATGTGTGGAGTGCCATTACGTACAGGATTTGCTTTGAAATTGGAACCAGCGCGAAGCGGATCCTTGACCAGCCGTTCGTGAATTAATATATTCCTCAAATGAACTTGAGATATTGATTAAGTATAACCACATGTTTGGCATGCGTTCTGAACAAGCGACTTCGGTCAAATGAGGTCGGATTTTGGATTCGAACCTAAGATCATCAGATCCTGGCACATAAAAGTGACGCAACTCTGTGTAAGGAATTGATGTGGTTTTGACCCATCGGCTTCCATAAGTTCCCATTTAAGCAAGAACTATTGTTCGCTCATGTCAATTACTTGTATATGTGGGAAGTGCGTGTTATAGGGCCTGCTTACATAGTAAATACAATACAGTCCACAGTGTCCCTTGACGTCAAGAAGTCAAGTCAAAGAAGTTTATTGTACAAAAGGCCACCGGCCCATATACAAGAAAGAGTTACGCATGTAGATACAATCATATATGTTACACATTAGGATATACACGTTGTTTGATTAATTCATTTCTTTTGGCTAATGCATGCTTAATATAAAGAGAAAGATTTAATATATTTGATTCGTTCTTTGTCGTCAGCATAACTGTAAAGGCGTTTATCGGTGACATTGCTATTAAATAATCTTTTATATATTTCTTTCGGATTGTAAAATGGACAGACAAACACAAAATGAATTTCATTTTCTATCTCTAGCTTACACAATGGACAAATTCTTTTCATTTTTTCAACGGACAGTTTTCTTCCTTCATTTACAAATAGGTCTAGCAAACCAAGTCGATATTTAATTAACAGTTTTCTTAAGTTTTCCGTAGTGAGTACTGATAAATATATTTCTGGTTGAAGTAAAGTCTTGAAAGTTTTGTAATATTCATAACGCGAACTATCCTCTAAAGTGGAGTGCCATTCTTGGTAGAACATATTTATAGACCGATTCCGAAATTCATTAAGAAACATATTTACATTTCCAACTGACTGACATAGCCATATAAAACCAAAACCATGCGAAAATAAAAGATTTCTTATATGCGATGTCCAAGTATTCTTTCCCGTGTTATCTAAATGTAGAAGCATGTTATAGGCTAATTTGGGGAGACGTTGTTCATGCATATGAAGAATTTTAAACCCGTATTTTAAACATCTGATCTGAGAATTAATATATAATGGGTATCTACCACATTCACCATAAACCATGCAATTTGGTGTAGAAGATCCGACACAAAGAAACTTTTTACATGCTAATAAATGAACCTTCTCTAAACAGTCATAACGTTGAAATCCCCATACTTCAGAACCATACAATAAAATTGGTTGTATCTGGGTATCGAAAAGCTTAAAGAAGATATTAGGTGACATCGATCCCACTTTATGAGAAATAGACATTACACTTATTCAAGCTTTCTTTGCACGCAAGGACAAGTCAAGGGCACATTTTTTTCCAATTCATTGTGTGTGAGAACCAGATTCCTAAATATGAGTAGTGATCTACTATATTGACTAACTGACCATCGAATGACCATCTCTCTTTCGACGCTATTGGACCACCTTTTCTGAAGATCACAATTTTAGTTTTTTCCAAGTTTACGGATAATTTCCATTCTTTGGTGTACGTACTTAAAATATTTAATATTTATACGTGCACACAATACATCAGAATGAACTAGGCATTATTGTGGATGTTATTTGTTTGGGTCATTGATGGTGAGGGGTTCTAGTGATTAAGCCCATGGGTATGTGTTTGGCGGTACGATATGGCTGCGTGTCGTATCGGGATATCGCCCTCGTGTTTGTACAGCTCTAGTCTCGAGTGATAGAATCTTCTATTTAAATACGCATGTTTGTTTTGTTCTTGACTGTAAGTGGAGAGAGGTAACTAGTGGGGTGATACACTGTTGTTTTAGAGTGACTGAGTGAGGTCTAGCGGGCGAACCTCAAACACAAGGCTACACAAGCACCATCCTCGATTATTAAAGTGTTTTAAATCTATAACTTAATATTCTAAATAGCTTGGACACCGAATCGTTAAATATTGCTTTTGAGCCCGATTCAAACCACATGACGCAATAAAAAGTCACCCAAACTAACTCTTGAGCGAGTGAAATTGCATATTATTCCCGGAGTGTGTGTGTGTGTGTGTGTGTGTGTGTGTGTGTGCGTGTGCGTGTGCGTGTGTGTGTGTGTGTGTGTGTGTGTGTGTGTGTGTGTGTGTGTGTGTGCGTGCGTGCGCGTGTGCGTGTGCAGTATTGCGCATTATACAGTCCCGGGAGAGGTGTACACTGGAACGTACAAATCCAGTACAACGTAAAACGTTACGGTACGAGTTCCAACGCTGTCGTGTGGTGCAATACAAACGGCGCCTGTCTGTTTTGACCGTGGCAACCTGTCTATGTTCGACAAACGCCCTGACAAATGCATCTGTTCATGCAAACATGACCTTGTTGTGTGCGTGAGTAATCACTATCTGTGTCGGCATTAGTCACATAAATACACAGTAGTCGTCAGGGTGCTATGCTGGGTCCTATTCTGTTGTCAACCCTCTTACACTCAATGGAGTCACGGACACAAGAAAACTGCATTCAGAACGGACGTTTGTCGTTAGAATAATTTATCCATTTCTGAGTTACAAAGTAGAAGTTTAATTCAGAACCTTACAAACTAAAATGCATTTCCATATTTAATGTGATTCGTCATTATGCCGACGCCCGTCACGTTCTAGTCTCAACGTGAAGCACGAGATTGGTTTGTGGACACTTCTTTCAGAGGACCATTTAACTGCTTACGTATAACTTATTCATGTTGCGTGCGGCAGCCTGTTTGAAGTGAGAGTAAGTGTAGGGGGTCGACACACGCTGAACATATAATGTTATGTGATCAGCGATTGATCGATAGATAGCGATTGAGTGGCAGCTTTGGTTGGTAGAGTTACCTCCCTTTCATGACATACCTCTGAGTGACAACCGCCGATTTGTTTACTCGTGTAGGAATGGATTGGTATCGTAAAGATGTTTGCTTTAATTAAAGATAATGACCTCTTTATCGGTATAAGGGGATAGTTCAAAAGTTAAATGTAGGGTTTAAAAACAGGAGGAGTACACGACTTTTAACCCTTTGAGGTTTATCAACTGGTGCACGCAACTGAGTGTGACGAGAGAACTCGATCGTCTGGGCCACCGTCTGGTGGGTCAGCGGAGATAGACTCGGGCGAAATGTCGATACGCTGATTACTTAAGGACCGGCTATTTGATAGTAAGGTAGTACGGACAAAATGAAAATGTTCGCTGTTAGTACTGGATGTCGTATTCAAATGGTTTAAAAGTGGCTTCAGTTTTCAGAGATAAGGTCCCCGCCCCTCAGACACACACGCACGCGCACACACACACACATAAATATACCACCACACACGAATACACGCACACTCGCACGAAAATACACACGAATATTCGCACACACGTAAGAAAACATACAGGCGAATACACTCACACACGAAAACATACAAACACACACAAAAATACACACACGCACGAAAAAACAACACACACGATGGCACACACCGCCGTCCCACGTGCACGGAATTCTATATTACAAAGGGCGCTTGTTAATTATATTTAGCAAGAACAAACTAAAAGAGCTGCAGAAGTCCTTAAGATTTTAACATACATTTGCTCGATTGGGGAAAGTAGCTCCAATCGTTTGTTGTGCTGATATTCGATTATTTCATCAAACCACGGTCCTTGTTTACAGAGCGATGTTCTGACAGCTCGTCCGGGTGTAGCAGCAGCCAGTACTGCCTCGACAGAAACGACGGTACCGGCGTCTTGTGTGTCGGTACGTGAAGTGTATACCTTGTGTGTGTGTGTACGTAAACTGTATGTCCGTGTCTTGTGTGTGTGTACGTAAACTGTATGTCCGTGTCTTGTGTGTGGGTACGTGAAGTGTATACCTTGTGTGTGTATGTGTACGTAAACTGTATGTCCGTGTCTTGTGTGTGTGTACGTAAACTGTATGTCCGTGTCTTGTGTGTGTGTACGTAAACTGTATGTCCGTGTCTTGTGTGTGTGTACGTAAACTGTATGTCCGTGTCTTGTGTGTGTGTAGGTAAACTGTATGTCCGTGTCTTGTGTGTGTGTACGTCAACTGTATGTCCGTGTCTTGTGCGTGTGTACGTAAACTGTATGTCCGTGTCTTGTGTGTGTGTGTGTACGTGAACTGTATGTCCGTGTCTTGTGTGTGGGTACGTGAAGTGTATACCTTGTGTGTGTGTACGTGAACTGTATGTCCGTGTCTTGTGTGTGTGTACGTAAACTGTATGTCCGTGTCTTGTGTGTACGTAAACTGTATGACCGTGTCTTGTGTGTGTGTAGGTAAACTGTATGTCCGTGTCTTGTGTGTGTGTACGTAAACTGTATGACCGTGTCTTGTGTGTGTGTAGGTAAACTGTATGTCCGTGTCTTGTGTGTGTGTACGTCAATTGTATGTCCGTGTCTTGTGTGTGTGTACGTAAACTGTATGTCCGTGTCTTGTGTGTGTGTACGTAAACTGTATGACCGTGTCTTGTGTGTGTGTACGTAAACTGTATGACCGTGTCTTGTGTGTGTGTGTACGTAAACTGTATGTCCGTGTCTTGTGCGTGTGTACGTAAACTGTATGTCCGTGTCTTGTGTGTGTGTACGTAAACTGTATGTCCGTGTCTTGTGTGTGTGTACGTGAACTGTATGTCCCTGTCTTGTTACATGAATCAGTCGTATGTGCGGGTGTTTATTAACAAAATGTATTATGTTCCATTCCACAGGGTGTTCGCCCGCTTGTACTGGATGTTCGGGTCCGAATGATGACAACTGCCTCGCATGCGCCCGTGGATACCTCCGGCAAGGCTCTATCTGCAGAAGTGAGACATTTTACATTGGAATATGTATTGTATTTATGACTTAGCGCGTTGAGTGATTCTACAGTATTATTGTGGCTGGACGGTGGATAATATTTATGTCATAAAACTGGTTTCAATTTCAGTTTAACATATTACCGTTTGACACACAAATAAAATCTCATCTATCTACTGATAAAGCGCTGGATATGCTGATTGGCTGGCTATTATTTGAACTTGCTTGGAAGTTGTTTTTTTAAGTGTTCATTGGAGTGAGCCGATAACATTGAAAAACGATAATTATTTTAGTTGCTTTTGGTAGGTGGTTTTTTCGAATATTTCAACTTTTAACCTTCAGATTTTGCCAAAAATCGTTGAAAGTTGTATCCGGGGCACGGTTTTGTCCCTAGTTTATAGCCGAAAGATATTGAAAAGTTTCAATAATTCATTTATGTCGACATATTCTGTTCGGGATTTCGGCCTAAAAGTAGAACCAAATCAGTACAGTTGTAAATCATGTGAATATATTCATACTCATTGTTGACTTGGCATCGCCATAATAATGTGCCAATTTTATTTGGAATTAGGGGAATTGTCATGGAAATTGGAAGCCTGATGATGAGACACAGTATCACTTGACCATAAGAAATAATAACACTAAATCTTTAGAAATAAGTGGACACGAGCCGGCAGGTCACTGTTTTCCGGAATACTTCAAGTATATCAAGGTCATACAGACCCGTGAAGGTCCGGGGCAGAATAAGTCTTCATCAACCCATGCTTGCTGTGAGAGGTGACTATGCGTGTGGTAAGAGGCGACTAACGGGATTGAGTGGTCAGGCTCGCTGACTTGGTTGATGAATATCATCGATCCCAATTGCATGGATCGATGCTCATGATGTCAATCACTGCATTGTCTGGTCCAGACTCGATTATTTACAGCCAGCCATCATAGAGCTGGAATATTGCCGAGTGCGGCGTTAAACAACAAACAAACAAGGTCATAATGTGAGAGAGAAGGAGGTTCCAGATTATTGCACTCATACAGCGACGTGTGTGTGTGCGTGTGTGCGTGCGTGCGTGTGTGCGTGCGTGTGTGTCCCGTAGTTAAAACGGATACCCCATTGAGACACAGTATACTGACTCCGAGCCAGTCAGTCCTTGTTGTATCTCCTTAATGCTGAGCGCCAGCAGGGTACCACCCACCATCTTGTGGCGTCTTTTAGTATGACGCGGCCGGGGATCGAACTACCGTCCTTCCCCTCTCCGGGCAGGCAACCCACCTCTAGACCACGGAGACATGGATACAATGAAATACAACTCAAACCCTGAAACATATGTCGAGGTGTTGAGGTGTCGAGGTGTCTTTGTTCGAGAAACAGACAATATTATTGAATTTTCCGCTCCGTTCGGTGATTACGTGACAAGGGACACGGAACGCCTTATGTCAAAGCCATAGTACAGGCTTCTGTCAAAGCCATAGTCCAGGCTTCTGTCAAAGCCATAGTACAGGCTTCTGTCAAAGCCATAGTCCAGACTTCTGTCAAAGCCATAGTACAGGCTTCTTTCAAAGCCATAGTACAGGCTTCTGTCAAAGCCATAGTACAGGCTTCTGTCAAAGCCATAGTACAGGCTTCTGTCAAAGCCAGAGTACATGCTTCTGTCAAAGCCATAGTCCAGGCTTCTGTCAAAGCCATAGTCCAGTGATCAATATATCTCTATGTACCTACACATTCCAAAATTACCAGCTGGTCAGTGACAGAGTGAGTGAGTGAGTGAGTATGGTTTTACGCCGCTTTTAGCAATATTCCAGCAATATCACGGCGGGGGACACCCGAAATGGGCTTCACACATTGTACCCATGTCGGGAATCGAACCCGGGTCTTCGGCGTGACGAGCGAACGCTTTAACCACTAGGCTACCCGACCGCCCGTCAGTGACGGAGAAGGGGAAGCGGTGTGCAGACGGGTTGTGATGTCTTCAGCAGGTTCCCTGTCGAGGTGTCACGTGAATGGTGAAGTTAAAATCACGTGGGATCTCGCGAATCGGACGGGTAGATTAACGATATAATGCAGCGCACAAACTGATCCAGAAATCCCGACTGCCAACAATTATTACAATTAAAGTTGAGTTCCAAATGTTTGTGTTTTCTCTGTGGTGTTCATTGTTCCTCATTGTGTAATCGGACCGCCTCCATGTTCTAGTGGCAGAGCGTCCGCCCGGAGAGCGGAAGGTCCGGGGTTCGATCCCCGGCCGGGTCACACGAAAGACCTTAAAAGACGGTATTTGTTGTTACCCTGTCGGACACTCGGCATTAAGGGGCTAAAACAAGGACTTGACGGCTCGGAGTCAGTATACTGTGTCTGAGTGGGATATTCACGTTAAACTGCGGCATGGTATCTCACTTAGCTTGCACTATAAATCGGCATCAGTCCGGACTTGTACAAGCAACCACACACACACGTGCTTGCACGTCGCTATGTAATTGCAATAATCTTGGACGCGACGTCAAACCCAATTTCACGTAACCTCATTGTGTAATCAATACTAATCATGTGTATCAATATTTATGGACAAAGAAGTCAATGTATTCTCAAGAGGGTGGATTCGAACTCCAGACACGCCCCAAACCTTGCTGAGAATGCACAATACGCTTACTCGAATTCGAGTGGCACGGGTGGCTCAATTCGTTGTGTAGGGCTGCGTCCTTTGGGCACGCCAGAAACCTATGAATGTGGGTTCGAATCCCGGTTCACCCCGATTATGTTTCTAGGTTTGTCAGCACCATACCCGTGCTCGTGGGTTTCAGCGAAGTGGTGAACGTCTGAGACCTGCATCACTTCGTCCTTCTCTCCCACATTAAGCTGACACACCGTGATATAAAACTGGAATACTTTTCAAAGCTGCGTTAAACCTTCGTGAAACGTCCATGACCTGCGTCAATGTTCAAGTACTGACCAAAGCCGAGTTAAACTCAACTCATTTCTCTCCATGTAGGATGCCCCAGTTACTTGTTCGGGGTGAACTGTACGGGCACCTGTCATTGCCTCAACCAGGAACTGTGTCGAACGGACGGCTTCTGTGCGGGGTGGAAGTGTGCCCGGGGGTGGAAGGAACCCCCCTTCTGTCAAGACGGTGAGGGAGTTAAGCGTTCTCTAGGGTGGGGGTGGTTGGGTGGATTGCGGGGTTGAGAATGCTAAGGGAAATTTTGTTTGTTTCGGGTATTGCTTCATAAGGTACTTTCTTTCTCTGTAAGGAGGAACCGATCAATTATATTTTTAACAACATAGGTATTTTAAGGCAAAATAACAAAACAAAATAACCGGCTTCATGACTGGCAACTTCCCGAGGCAAGAGAGTTAACTGACTTTAAAAGTCCAGTTTCCACCCTTGTCGAACTATGCTGGTATTACTGGGCTCGATCGTTGCGCCACCAGCGGCTATTACCAATTATGTCCCTTCTAAGCCTCTCCTATGGACCAATCAGATTCCACCTCTCGTATCACTTGCGTTTGCTTCACAAAAAATGGTGGCGCCTAGTCAGGACGATCTGATCGATAATCAAGATCTATATTGTGATAAAACGGGTCTTACATCGCGAAATGCATCAAATCACGTGAGCACCTTGATTAAAAACATGAAAGGATTTGGAAAATATCTGCTGACAACGAATTGGCGATGCACATGCTTTGCAAACCCTGCAATCGATCGAAATCTGCACGACAGTTTACGAACCGGATTTTGATTTCGGTGCGCGATTTTGATTGGACTATGCATAGACTCGTTAGTCAAGACAAAACGTAACTCCATAATACCAGCCTAGTTCGGCAAGGGTGGAAACTGAACTTTTATAGTCAGTGAGCTCCTTTGCCTCGGGAAGATGTATGACTGGTTGAAAACATGTGACCGTACCCCGACTGTGACGATCGCTCATGACATCAACCACTGCTTTGCCCGGTCAAGACATCGTTAAACAACAAACAGGAAACAATAAAGTTAATGTTGTTTCTTTTCAGGATGCGACAACAACACTTTTGGCCTGGACTGCGCACTGAGTTGCAACTGCGTGGGAGATGAGTCATGTGACTCTGTCAACGGTCTGTGTCGTGATGGTCTGTGTCATCCTGACTACGGAGGACCGAGTTGCCAAATACGTACGTGCCGTAGCCTTGACGTAGCCTTGACGTAGCCTTGACGTAGCCTTAACGTACCCAACCTCGATCATCAAGTGTATCGTATCTTTATTATGATAATAAAAATATTAACGTGTGTCTGCGTGTGTGTCTGCGTGAGTGAGTGTGTGTGCGTTCGTGTGTGAGTGAGTGTGTGAGTGAGAGTGTATGTATGTGAGTGTACATGTGTACGTGCGTGTGTATGTGTGTTAGTACGTGTGTGCGTGCGTTTTTGTGTCTGTGTATGTATGTGTGTGCGTGCGTGCGCGCGTGTCTGTATGTGTCTGTGTGTGAGTGTTAGGGTGTGTGTGCGTGCGTGTCTGTATGTGAGTGTTAGGGTGTGTGGGAGTCTGGGATAGGGAGGCGGCGCACAGAGCCGCACTTCTACTAGGCAGCAGTTCGCCGTGCAGAGTTAAGTTCTTATTAGCGCCAGAAATCTGTGATCGTGGGTTCGAATCCAAGATTCTTCCTGTCATGTTTTCTTGGTTTGTTAGCACCAAACCCTTACTCATGGGTCTCACCTATGTGTCAGACATGCATCACCCTGACACATCGTGATAAAACTAAAATACTGTTAATGAAGCCGCATTCAACCCAACTCACTCACTCTATTTGAAGGCCTCCCAAAGTTGGTTAGCCCCCCATCCGCAGCCTCCGTGGGATGTCAGAGGGCAAATATCACGTGGCCGAGCTGGAACGAGGAGATTGACATTGGAGAAGGACCTATAGCGGACTACAGGTAACAGCGCACATCGAGGAACCTGATGTTTGTTTGTTGTTTAACGCTGTAAAAAGCCATATAAAGGCGACATCTGGGCACATCTGTTGATGTAGAGGATAAAACACTCGCGTCAAGTTTTGTTGAAAAAGTGAACATGAGGGAGAGAGACGCATCCGAGGGCCGAAAGTCTGAGAGTTTGTCCTGACCCCGAGAGTTTGTCCTGACCCCGAGAGTTTGTCCTGACCCCGGGGGGTTGTCCTGACCCCGATAGTTTGTCCTGACCCCGAGAGTTTGTCCTGACCCTGAGATTTTGTCCTGACCCCGAGAGTTTGTCCTGACCCCGAGAGTTTGTCCTGACCCTGAGATTTTGTCCTGACCCCGAGATTTTGTCCTGACCCCGAGAGTTTGTCCTGACCCCGAGAGTTTGTCCTGACCCCGATAGTTTGTCCTGACCCCGAGAGTTTGTCCTGACCCCGAGAGTTTGTCCTGACCCCGAGAGTTTGTCCTGACCCTGAGATTTTGTCCTGACCCCGAGATTTTGTCCTGACCCCGAGAGTTTGTCCTGACCCCGATAGTTTGTCCTGACCCCGAGGGTTTTTCCTGACCCTGAGATTTTCTCCTGACCCCGAGAGTTTGTCACGACCCTGAGATTTTCTCCTGACCCCGAGAGTTTTTCCTGACCCTGAGATTTTCTCCTGACCCTGAGATGTTGTCACGACCCTGAGATTTTGTCATGACCCTGAGATGTTGTCACGACCCTGAGATTTTGTCCTGACCCTGAGATTTTGTCACGACCCTGAGATTTTGTCATGACCCTGAGATGTTGTCACGACCCTGAGATTTTGTCATGACCCTGAGATTTTGTCACGACCCTGAGATTTTGTCACGACCCTGAGATTTTGTCATGACCCTGAGATGTTGTCATGACCCTGAGATTTTGTCATGACCCTGAGATGTTGTCACGACCCTGAGATTTTGTCATGACCCTGAGATTTTGTCACGACCCTGAGATGTTGTCATGACCCTCAGATTTTGTCATGACCCTGAGATTTTGTCATGACCCTGAGATGTTGTCACGACCCTGAGATTTTGTCACGACCCTGAGATTTTGTCATGACCCTGAGATGTTGTCACGACCCTGAGATTTTGTCACGACCCTGAGATTTTGTCACGACCCTGAGATTTTGTCACGACCCTGAGATTTTGTCATGACCCTGAGATGTTGTCATGACCCTGAGATTTTGTCATGACCCTGAGATGTTGTCACGACCCTGAGATTTTGTCACGACCCTGAGATTTTGTCATGACCCTCAGATTTTGTCATGACCCTGAGATTTTGTCATGACCCCTAGATTTTGTCATGACCCCGAGGGTTTGTGCTTGTGTTTCGAATGTTTTATCTGCCTATAACCGAAAGAAAACTAAAACAACATTTATCAACAATGTTATGTTTCCAGCGCGGTTCTTCAGACGGAAACGCACGTAAAATATCTCTTGGTGGCGTACATGTTCTTGAAAGAGAGACTGTAAACAGAAGACCTTGCTGAAGACTTATTCTATCCCGGATCTTCAATTTAATTCAATTTCTTTATTCAGTATAAAGGCCCATGTACAAATAAATATTGACTTATAGAATATACATATTGGTGCAACATTAAACAAGTATTACGAATGGGATGAACGTCATACAATAGCCTCTTTAATATATTTACAGCATTGAAGTAAATCAGTTAATTCTCAAATTCTTAATATTGATAACATTCTTCTCAGTTCTTTACAAGTGATTTTTAAAATATACGGTTCAGTAACAAATTCTGCTTTGAGTGACGAATAAAATTCTAAATGTTTATAATCATTAACTTGTGAAGCCATGTTTGTATATAACAACTATAAATCTTTGTGAAAACTCACATATAAATAAATCAGTGTGACCAACAGATTGATTTCCCATATAAAAAATAAAACCATATAAATATAAAATATTCTTAATGTTAGTAGCCCATGTAACTCCTCCTACTTGATCTAATCTATATATCATGTTATAACATTGTCTAGGATATCTTCACGGGTGAGGGGCGGTCGGGTAGCCTAGTGGTTAAAGCGTTCGCTCGTCACGCCGAAGACCCGGGTTCGATTCCCGACATGGGTACAATGTGTGAAGCCCATTTCTGGTGTCCCCCGCCGTGATATTGCTGGAATATTGCTAAAAGCGGCGTAAAACCATACTCAGTCAGTCAGTCAGTCTTCACGGGTGTAGATGTGATTGGTGACTGGTGTTGTTCCTTTGACAGGCTTTACCGCAAGTTGAACAATAGCGTTACCTGGGAGTTCGTGACGACCAGGATGAGCGAGGCAGGGCGGACGGGGTACTACCACTACATGCTTGACCTTCAGCGTGACCGGAACTACAGGTTCAGAGTGGACATCCAGAGGGACGACGGCGGCAAGGCCATGACCGCATCAGAAGGCTTCCCCTCCCCCCTCGTCTACATACTTTGTACACGTGAGTGAATGTTACACCCTACAGGTAACACAGGTACACCCTACAGGTAACACATTTACACCCTACAGGTAACACAGGTACACCCTAGAGGTAACACAGTTACACCCTAGAGGTAACACAGGTACACCCTACAGGTAACACAGGTACACCCTACAGGTGACACAGGTACACCCTACAGGTAACACAGGTACACCCTACAGGTAACACAGGTACACCCTACAGGTAGCACAGGTACACCCTACAGGTAACACAGGTACACCCTACAGGTGACACAGGTACACCCTACAGGTAACACAGGTACACCCTACAGGTAACACAGGTACACCCTACAGGTAACCAGTTACAAGCTTCAGGTAACACAGGTACACCCTACATGTAACACAGGTAAACGCTACAGATAACACAGGTAACCACGACAGGTGACACAGTTAAACCCTACAGGTAACACAGGAACACCCTACAGGTAACACAGTTACACCCTACAGGTAACACAGTTACACCCTACATGTAATACAGGTACACCCTACAGGTAACACAGGTACACCCTACAGGTAACACAGTTACACCCTACAGGTAACACAGGTACACCCTACAGATAACACAGTTACACCCTACAGGTGACACAGGTAACACAGGTACACCCTACAGGTAACACAGGTACATCCTACAGGTAACACAGTTACACCCTACAGGTAACACAGGTACATCCTACAGGTAACACAGGTACAACCTACATGTAACACAGTTACACCCTACAGGTAACCAGGTACACCATACAGATAACCAGTTACACCCTACAGGTAACACAGGTACACCCTACAGGTAACACAGGTACACCCTGCAGGTAACACAGGTACACCCTACATGTAACACAGGTACACCATACAGGTGACAGAGGTACACCATACAGGTAACACAGGTACACCCTACAGGTAACACAGTTACACCCTACAGGTAACACAATTACACCCTGCAGGTATCACAGGTTCATCCTACAGGTAACAAAGGTACACCCTACAGGTAACACAGGTACACCCTACAGGTATCACAGGTACATCCTACAGGTAACACAGGTACACCCTACAGGTAACCAGTTACACGCTTCAGGTAACACAAGTACACCCTACAGGTAACACAGGTAAACGCTACAGATAACACAGGTAACCGCGACAGGTGACACAGTTTAACCCTACAGGTAACACAGGAACACCCTACAGGTAACACAGGTACACCCTACAGGTAACACAGGTACACCCTACAGGTAACACAGGTACACCCTACAGGTAACACTGGTAACCCTCACTCCGTCAGTCTGGAAACCCTACCTCCCCGGGGGCTGTGTGGAAGGTCCAGAGTCAAGAATTATATTATTATGATAAATATTCCGATATCACTGGAAGCTGTTTTGCCCATGTTACTTTAGACAGGATCCTGTCCATGTTTTTGACTATCTTTCTTATCTCATCCACAGCGACCACAGAGCCTCCCCCGACAACGACAACAACGCGGTCTATCATTGGTACGTGCTCCTCGTTTACGATACCACTCAACGTTTGATAGGGATAACTTTTGGGTATTTACGGGGTGGATACCCCATGTTCCCTACTGTTGCAGTGGGAGTCGACAACAATGACATCGGGTGTCGTCGTGCCTAGGCGACGTTGAACGCTTCTCATGCTATCAACCTTTGGGTCTTCGGCCGAGGATCTATTTACAGTCCGCCATGATAAAGCTGACATATTGCTGATGAATGAAGCACTATTCTTCCCTCAGCTAGGATATCGATATATGTGTTGTGTGATGTTTATAATTGTTTGATAGGCATTAGTTAGAAGTTGACGGATGACAAGGTAGACACAACTTTATGGATAACATTATTAAAGAAGTTGTTATCCATAAAATTGTGTCTACGGTGTTTATTTCAGCAGGTAAATTTCGGGGTGGCTGTGTAGCCTAGTGGATAAAACCTTCGCTCGTTACGCATGAAGTCTCGTGTTCGATTCCATAAGATTTTACAAATTGTGAAGTCCATTTCAAGTATCCCCTGACTGATAGTTCCTAAAAACTATACTTACTCACTCTTTACTCATTTCTCTAATATGTTCTGTACCTGAGATATATTTGTCCAGAGCATATACACTGGAAAGAGTCATGAATTTTATGTTTCAACTATGTGTTGGGTCAGGTCTGAAGGTGTTTGACGTCGTAACCCCCGTTTTGCTGTCTGACGGTACCGTCAGGATGTCGTGGACGCTGACGGGAAACGCCACCAGCCTGAGCATCGCCTTTAACATAACGCTGTTCTACAAGGAAGTAGGGATCGGGGACTGCGCTGTCGTCGACGGTCCTATCACAAGGGTCCCGGTTACACACACTTCCGGTTCCGGTAGCGTGAACATCACTGACCTTGACCCATGGCGAGTGTACTCATTTACCCTCGAAGCCTTCGGCGAGGCGCTGAACATCAGTGACGTTTTAGACAGAAGGATATCGACCAGAGAAATAGGTAGGAAACAGGGGAAATGTATCATTATTTCAAAAAGCTAGCTAGGAGGAAATTAGGGGTAATGTTGACCCAGTCGTCTTAGGCAATTCGCTATGCAGAGTTTGGTCCCTGAAGCGTGGCAGAAATCTGTGATCGGTTGGTTGAATCCTGATTATGTTTGCTGGTACGTGATTCCATACCCGTACTCGTGGGCTTCATCAAAGAGGTAAATGTGGATTATTTAGCTATTTCCTCCAACGTAAAGCAGACATGCCGTGATATGACTGAAATACTATTTAAAGCGGCGTTGAACCACTCACTCGCTCACTCTTAGAGTTATACATATTTGTACCCCACCAGACCAGTGAAGATCCGGGGTAGAATAGGTCTTCAGCCACCCATGCTTGCCGTAAAAGGCGACTATGCTTGTCGTAAGAGACGACTAACGGGATCGGGTGGTCAGGCTCGCTGACTTGGTTGATGCATGTCATCGTATCCCAATTGCGCGGATCGATGCTCAGGATGTCAAACACTGGATTGTCTGGTCCATACTCCTTTATTTACAGACCGCCTTCATATCGCTGGATTATTGCTGAGTACGGCGTAAAACAACAAACAAACAAACATAGCTTGTACCTCACCAGCCAATAATATACGCCCATGTTTTACCGATGTGTTTTCTCCTGGTTGCACTTCCTCCCGACATCATGTCAATATTGTTGGAGAATGTACTGGGTTGGGGAGATTTAAATGCATTTCTGACTGAAAATATAACGACCAAGCTGACGATATGCCACTCGCATGCAGGAGGATGCAGTGTACAATTTAGATATGTGATATGTGATATCTGATGCTGCAACAGTACACTGCCTTAAAATATCAACAAGAATCTCGTTTTCCCTGTGCAGCTCCCAATGACACCGTCTCCAACTTTGCAACACGTGACCTGACGTCACGTACGGTGATGATCACGTGGGCAAGTGTCCCCTGTGCACAACGAGGCGGTCGGTTTGTCCAGTACAACATCATGCTCAACAGCAGCAGCAGCTTGCGCAACGACGTCAGCAACGTCACCTCCATTAACTACGACTCCCTAACACCGTACACACAGTACAACGTCACGGTGACATACCAGAACACCGTGGCGATCGGGCCGATGTCTGCAGCCTTCACCTTCACTACAGAGGAGGAAGGTACGAGGGTGTAACAATACTATGTTCGATGTAGGATGGACGAATGGACGCCGGTATATTATGCAAGACTGAACGATAATTCATGCCAGAATGAATGGTATATCGTGTAAGAATGAACTATCAATTATGCAAGAATGAAGCATATATCATGTAGGAATGGTCCACATATCTGCAAGTTTACGCAGAGAGGTTATTGTGTATTAATATGCGATCGCTGCTACGGCTTCTCACCCTTGTCCAGCCATCCACACATATTGGCCACTACCACCCAAGAATATTATCTTTTTCTTTTTCATTTTTATTGCGTTAGTCAAGCAATAATGATATATTATGTAATTATGAACGATACATCACTCGGTTAGCCACCTACTGTCTTGCCGATTGGCAATTATTACAGAAATATACTTTCTTTTTGTCGGTATTATACGACGTAATATATAATATTCGACAAAACACCTTAGTTATATTTTGTCTACGTTTATCACACGGTGGGCCCACTTACCGCCAATCAAGAAGACATAACGACCAAGTGACGTTTAACTAATATGTTATTTTCAGCCCCGGGACCAATGTTTATTTCGGGTAGGACTGTTACTGAGTCTACAATTCTTGTGACCTTCACCCCTCCATCAACCACAAATGGCGTCCTCACGGAGTACGGCCTGACTTACAGCGACAACGCCACCTTCAGCACTCAAAAGACCTTGACCTTCCCGGCTCCTCAGACCGCGGTCACTATCGACTCCCTCCGCGCTTTCACAACCTACTACTTTCGGGTATGTTATCTCGGGGAATAATAATAATAATAATAATAATAATAATAATAATGATGATAATGATGATAATAATGATAATAATCATCGACGCTTATGATGTCAGTAACAGGATTGTCTGATCCAGACTCGATTATTTACCTACCGCCGTCATACCTGCATTCAACAAGACTTCCATAGCCAATTGTGACCCCTCAAACCACTGGTCAGTTTGTGGCTTTATCTATTTCTGATTGGACTAAATATGCCCATCGCTAGCACGATTCAAATTCTCCTGATAATGTTCTAGATGAGAGCTCGCACGAAGGCTGGTTGGGGGCCCTACACAGCCGACAGCACAGTCACCACCGCACCAAACACCCCCCACGCCCCCCTGAGTCTTGCCAGCACCTACCAAAATGAGACCTGTTTGACAGTGGCGTGGCAGCCTCCCTTGCTAAGCAATGGACTTCTACAGAGCTACAGGGTAAGTCAAGGTTATAATCTGGTGGGTGGGATTGGGTGGGAGCGTCTGTCTAAGCCCCCAGCTCACAAGCCCCAAGCCCCCACCCACTCTCTTGACTCAGCCCTTCCCCCAGCCCCAACACCTACAGCTCCTTCCCCATCTCATTCCCATCCCCTCGACTCACCAACCCCCCCCCCCCCCCCCACCCCCCCCCCCCCACCCCAACCCCAACCCCCCACCACTCCCCAACCCCCTTCTCAGACAGACACCCCCAGCTCCCACATCTCATGCTCACATCACCCCGGCTCACACAACCCCAACTCACCCAACCCCCAGTTTCCATGCCCCCAGCTCACAACCCACACCCTTCTCCCCCCTAAATACCCCCCCCCCCCCCCCCCCCCACACACACACACACACATATACTTCATTCGCTCACTTCAACAACTATGTGGATTTGTTTCAGATTCGATTCCAAAAAGCCTCCGACGACGACACCCCTACCGTTGATGTTGTTGATGCCATCACAACGTCGTACACAACCTGCCGTCTTCAGCCCGGGGTAATGTACTTGTTCTTCGTGGCCGTCAGGAACACTGTAGGCTTCAGTCAGGAGGTCTCAGGAAGCTTTTGGACGGAGCACGGCGATCCTAGAACCCCACCGCCCCCTGTGTTCATCAACGCCACCTACTCTACAATGTCAGTCTACATAGAACCGGTCCTCCCAACATCCGGACCCATCACCAAGTACCAGCTTCGGGTGGAGAAGGTTGGTTCCAGGAGAAGGAGGCAGGCAGCTGGTTATATAACAGCTGAACTGGAACCCAGCCAGGTTCCACAGAGGAGGCAATTTGAGATTGGAGACGGCAGGAACTATAGTGGTGTGGTGAATAGACCTTTGGAAAGAGAGAAGTACTACAACATATACTATGTAGTCGTCAGTACACTGAACAGCGTCACCAAGACATCCTACTCACAGATGAAAGGCCCAAGACTGACTGCACCTGTGTATCTAACCACAGTGTCCCCTCCCCCTGCCGCCGCGGACAACACGGGACTCATTGTTGGGATCATCCTCGCCCTCATCCTACTTATCCTCATTATTCTTGCCATTTTGTTGTTCCTGTGGTGGAGAAGAAGAAACCGTCTTCCAGCTTATAAACCCTACGTTGATAAAGGTTATGACATGCCGGTAGTGAAGGACGATTATGATCCCCTCAAGTACTGGAACACCATATACTCAGTCCGGGAAAGTCGCTACATCGTGGCCGGTAGGGAGTACTTGCCTGACGACATGGTGACCATGAATGGCGAGGTGACAATTCCGCCTGAAGGCGAACCTGTCACGTTTAAAAACGAGTTTAAAAGTCTTAGCCATGACTTCGGAGATCCATCCCATGTTGCCAAAGACAGACGAAACAAACATAAGAATCGTTTTCCTCACCTTCTTCCATATGATAAGAGTAGAGTTGCTCTGTTTCAAGATGAAAACTCTACCAATGACTACATCAATGCAAGTTATGTGTCTGGCTTCAAGAAGCCCATGGCGTACATCGCGGCACAGAGTCCTTTTGATGAGGACTCGGTCTTAGATTTCTGGCGCCTCATCTCCCAGACGAAGGTCAGGACCATCGTTATGATCACAAACATTGTGGAGGACAATATTGTCAAGTGCACACAGTATTGGCCGGAAAATGGACGTGCGTCGTATGGTTCGTTTCTACTCGAGCTGCTGGATATTGAATACTTTGCGAGTTACGTTGTTCGAGTGGTAGCGTATCAGACCTCAGAAGGGCTTAAAGGTTCGGTGAAAATATTTGAGTTCACGGCTTGGCCAGAGCACGGCGTGCCTTTCGACCCGATCCCTATCCTAGAGATGCGACACAAAGTACGTCGAGCGCATATGAATGTGAAAACTCCCATCCTGGTACATTGCGGAACTGGGATGGGGAGAACAGGTACCTATATTGCTATAGATGCTCTGATTGAACAGTACAGTAAGGAGGGTCGGACAAGCGTACGTGCATTCATCAATAAGATCCGAAAGGACCGTCCATTCATGGTGCGGACGTTGAAGGAGTACGTGTTTATTTATGAAGCGCTGTTTGAACAGTTCCACGCCGGGCACACTGTTGTTGGATTCGACCTGAAAGAATGGTACAGCCAGCTGACAATGAGGAACAAGAAGACAGGTCATTCCTATCTCAAAGGTCAGTTCCGGTTGCTTGAGAAGTTCACTCGAAGTCCTCGACCCGAGCAATGCCACACAGCAATACTTCCGGTGAACTATAACAAGAACCGATACCCGGATGTGATACCGATGGAGAGTTTTCGGCCCGTGTTAATGACCGCGGGTGGTATTGGAAGGACTGACTACATCAATGCTACATTCCTAGACGGCTTCCGGTTGAAGAACGAGTTTATCCTCACACAGACACCGCTCCCGTCAACCATCGTAGACTTCTGGAAGTTGGTGTATGATTATGACGTCAATACCGTTGTAATGGTGGAAACGTTCAAACACGAGGACGACACATGCGCAGAGTACTGGCCTGACGTCACTATGAAGCCCTTTGAGCCCTTCTTTGTGGAGACGACGGCAACGTATCAGGAGAACAACGTCACAATCAGGAACTTCAAAATCCACAATTCCAACCAGCCGAAGGAAGCGCCCAAGTTTGTGCGTCAGTTCCAGTTTAATGGCTGGGATGAACCGAATGTTATTCCCACATCCAAGACCCTCATCCTTGACCTTCTTGACCTCGTGACGGACTGGCAGCAGGTGACCAATGAGAACACGAAGCCGATGATAGTGCACTGTAGAGACGGGGCGACGCACAGCGGGTTGTTCTGTGCAATCAAGGTCATTTGTGAGAAGATCGCCGAAGACGAGGAGGTCGACGTCCTTCACACCGTCAAACACATGAAGCGACGTCGGGCGCAGATTCTGGCGTACCCGGTAAGATTAATAACGTTTACGCGAGATAAAATAATTAGTTGAACTTATTTGTGCGATCAAAAGTCAAATGATTATGTTTATTTGTTTGTTCGTTTGTTATTTAACGATGCACTCGGCAATATTCCAGCTATACGACGTCGGCTGTGAATAATCGTGATTGACATCATGAGCATCGATCTTCTCAGTTGGGATATGATGACATGCATCACTATCTTTAATAGGCTTCTGAACATATGCACTGATATGACATCAATACACTTCTGACTCGTGAAGATCGGGGTAGAATAGATCTTCAGCAACCCATGCTTACCCTAAAAGGCGACTATGCTTGCCGTAAGAGGCGATTAACGGGATCGGATGCTCTAGCTCGCTGACTTGGTTGAACCACAGTCCCCTCCCAGGTCAATCCTTGATTATGTGGTGGGCACGGACGTAGGTAAAGACGTCGTAATTCATAGATTCCACCCAATAATAGTCCTTAGTTTGTCAGCACCATACTCCATCTTGTTTCATTTCGTTAAGTGGTAAACGTCGACGCCATGATATAATTGCTGTACTGTTGAAATAGGTTAACGGTTGCTTACTATTTACAGTTTCTGATGAGTGGCCCGATGGTTTTGGGCTCTGTGTTTCCGAGTTGCGTCCCTCAGTTGCGCAGATTCGCTTGTAGTTGGGATTACAGTAAACTACGTTTATAACGAACTCGCTAATAAGGAACTGACGGATATAACGAACTGTTTTTGGTCCCATCATTTTGCTGTATATCTACTTGATATATGCTAATAATAAACTACGGTTATTACGAATTAAAATTAGCAGTCCCTTTGAGTTCGTCATAACCGTAATTTACTGTAAATTGTAATTTGAGGTTGGAATACGTCGTCAGTACTCTGCATCACTTCGGGCTTTCCTCACACATTAAGCTGACACGTCGTGATAGAACTGGAGTACTGTTCAAAGCGGCGTTAAACCCAACTCACTCACTCACTCAATCACTCACTCAACGTACTTTTTTGTTAACTTCAGGAACAACTGAGGTTCTGCTACAAGACACTCTGGGACTACATCAACCTCAGACTCCCGGACAGCGGATTCACAGACACATATGGAACCAGCCTAGACCAGTACAACGCCGTTCCCAGTCTCAGTCTCACGTCATTTTACGATACTCTCTATTCCAACTGATTCACGTGAAAGCTCGAGATCTGTGATCTGATTTCAGAAATAAGCGGTTCTTGAAAGAAAGCTTATTTTGTTGTAAACAGAACTGTACCACCAGTGTTTTTCTTGTGGGTTGCTGTTACCGAATGCACTCGATGTCAATGTCACAAATATGCTGATTGAAATTCGTATGAGAACATATGTAAGATATGCTATGTATGTATCCCACAGAGTATTTGACAGTGGCGGTTAAAGCTTATTGCGAGTTTTACGTAGTTTTACGATAGTCGTAGCGCTACAACCGCTTTGTGGAACTCTGGGATCAATCCACACCATAGCGTCGTTTTCAGAAGCAGCTAAAATTTGATTATTAACAGTCTTCCAATTCTCTAAATGTATCCAGAGATTGCTCGAGTCAGTAATTTTGAATATAGATGTATGCCGAATTCACGTTTAGAAGAGGCATTGTCATTGGTTGTGGATTTCTATGCCGAACTCACGTTTGCAAGAGGCATTGTGATTGGTTGTTGATTTCTATGCCGAACTCACGTTTGGTCAGCTTTGTGATTGGTTGTTGATTTTATTCTCATGAGCGACTGCAACATCGTTCTAAATTAATGATTAGAGGCGTTGCAATTGTGACCATATTGCTTTGGACATACAAGGAGAGAGATGATATGGTTGGAATATAACAAGATATACATAGTCACCAACGCAACCTGAATTATCTCTGTATATTGAATCATAAACGCTTTATGTTGTCCAGTGATGGATGGTACCAAACAATGGTCATATGTCTCGTCTGTATCTATTCATGTACCATACATTGCCATGGAAACCGAAGTGAACATGTTTTCAGGTATGACTACTTTTGTACTAAATATCATTCCAAATATCCATGGTAAGGGCCCATGCACATGATGAACATGCGTATCTATGGATGGTCAGTACTTGTATCAAGCATGTTACATCGAAGTCACCACAGGTCATGTTTAGGTCTGATGCACGTTTTGTCAGTCAGATTATTCAGGCAAGTATGGACTTATTTTAAAAACAAATAATATTTAACTCTCATGTAATATCATGTACATATCTAGCTCGCCTGTGAGTATATTGATATCTCCTAAACATGCATATCTAGCTCGCCTGTAGTTACATACATATCTAGCTCGCCTGTGATTATCTAAACATATCTAGCAGGCATGTTCTAATTGTACACATCTAGGCGCATTTTGTGACAATGCATATGAAGTTATCATACGCCTTCATACATATCTAGCTTGTGATGTCGGTCATATACATATCTAGCTTGTGGTCATATACCCACACACATTCCATTCTGGCACAGGGTTATTGTTCAATTTAGCCATCTTTCCTCAACTTTGAACTGTAAACATCAATCGGTACCTGACCGATTTTAGAGCTGTGGTCATCGACCACCGATTGGTAAGCTCCGGTTGGTAAGCTCCGTTTGGTAAGCTCCGATTGGTAAGCCCCGGTTGTAAGCTCTGATTGGTAAGCTCCGATTGGTAAGCCCCGGTTGGTAAGCTCCGATCTGTAAGCCCGGGTGGTAAGCTCCGATTGGTAAGCCCCGGTTGGTAAGCTCTGATTGGTAAGCTCCGATTTGTAAGCCCCGGTTGGTAAGCTCCGATTGGTAAGCCCGGGTGGTAAGCTCCGATCTGTAAGCCCGGGTGGTAAGCTCCGATTGGTAAGCCCCGGTTGGTAAGCTCTGATTGGTAAGCTCCGATTTGTAAGCCCCGGTTGGTAAGCTCCGATTGGTAAGCCCGGGTGGTAAGCTCCGATTGGTAAGCCCGGTTGGTAAGTTCTGATGACGTAGTTAACACAAATGCATCAACACGTGTTCCGGTTTGGTTCGGTTCATTTTGTATGTAAGACGTAGAAACGTCCCATGAAAAGATTCAATCATATCTTTGAAAGTTTACACCAAAGACAAAACCTAGTATTCTCTTTTCAGTAATGTTCTTAAAAAGTCTGACAACATATGCACTTGTAGTTCTTAGAGTTTTCATCCTGAGTATTTATAGCAACATGCTCTATTGCCAAATCCTCTCAGTATTCGTAAACATAATGCAATTATAATATTTATTAAGCTTGAATTATGATGTATTGCAGATGTAGGTGCTACGTCGTGATATACTCGTGAATAGTCACGTCACCTGTACCATACGTGTGTGATATATAGTTTTTATCTCCGTCCAATACAGCTTAAACCACGAAATCCTATACATACACGTATTTTATTATTCTGAGCTCGTTTTGTTGGATTAAATATATCTCTTGTATGAAAGGTCTTTGTTTTTACCTTTTACAGGCAAGTATTTTAACAAACTCGCTCCCATCGGGTGTTGGATGTGTGAGTGACTTGGGTTCAAACAACTTTATTCCCATTACTTTAGTTATATACACCTAGAATATAATTACACCATACACCAAAGATAATATTATGCGTTTTTAGGCCTTTGGTTTCTTGTTTACATTCGCAAATCTTAGATTTTAAAATGAGCGAAAAGGAACCATCTTTAAACTTTGAAATTTAACTATGAGCAAGAGTACCCTTAGGAGGTTATTATGAAATAATAGTATTTCTCGTGTGTATGGGAAAAGAAATCCTAAAATAGCACCTGTTCATGAATATCAGGCGTCACAAAACATTTCGCACGTGACGCAACACAATTACAGCCATGAACCAATCCTCAGGCCAAGGATATGACAATGCATCGCATGACACATTTGTTTATGTAAAATATACCCCTTGGCACTCCCTGTGACATAACGTTTCCTTTCATATCCGATTTTCAAAAATATGTCTTATCTTTGTCTCCTAGAACCTCAAGCACCAGACCCCTAACCCTTAAACTAAATCCCTATGAGTGAGTGAGTTGGGTTTAACGCCGCTTTTAACTGTATTCCAGTTATATCATGGCGTGTCAGCTTAGTGTGGGAGGAAAGCCCGAAGTGATGCAGGTCTCAGACGTTTACCACTTCGGTGAAACCCACGAGCACGAGTATGATGCTGACAAACTTAAAAACAATCGGGGCGAACCGGGATTCGATCCCACAATCATAGGTTTGTGGCATGGCCAAGGGACGCAACTCAGCACAGCGAATCGCGGCGCCTTAGATGACTGGGCCACCCGTGCCCCCCAAATCCATGTAAACTAACAGCATGTCGATTTGAACCCAAATAACAACACGTGGAACATCTGTAACCCATACCTCTAGCACCTCCTTGTACCCATGATAACATGATCTCACCCATATATATCAAATTCCCACCCAAGAACCGTTTCATCCAGAGACCGCCACCGTGATGGTACCAGATGGTACTTGTTGTTACCCTGTCTGGCGCTCGGCATTAAGGGGCTAAAAAAGGACTGGGCGACTCGTAGTCAGCATACTGTGTCTGGGTAGGGTATTCGTGTAAAACTGCGGCATAGTATCTAAGTAGGCTAGCACTATAAAATCGGCTGGAACAAGCAGCCCCAACAACCCTGGAACAATGAGCACTCCAGAAACCTCTGCTTGAGAGTTCGAATCCCAGTTCCCATGTTTTAAGGTTCGTCAGCACCATACAGGTGCTAGTGGCTTTCAACAAAGTGGGAAACACCTGAGACCTGCATCAGTTCGAGCTTCCCTCACATCGTGATACACGCCGTGATATCACTAGGACACTGTTCAAAGCGGCGTCAAACCCAACTCACTCACTTATTCACTCAGTCACCTCCTCCACCCCCACAAGAGCCACCTCCATAAGAACCGCCACCGCAAGAACTTCCTCCAACAGATCCACCATCACTCCAACCTCCACCATCACTGGTATATCCACCTCCGTCATATCCACCACTACTGCCATATCCTCCGCCGTCTGTATCCCCACCTAACTCATAAATCCCTCCGCAGTCCATCTCACAGCCTTCCATCCCCATCATGTATGGGTCTCCACACTCCTCAACACTGCTGCCCCCTGGTTCCCCTCACACTGGATCCACCTCCGCATCCTCCAACACCAAGTGCATATCCTCATTGCTACCCCTCCTGCTTGTCGAGGAACGTTGTCTCAGTGTCTCCTACCTCGAGGCCCTGTCCTTCTTGTACGAGTTGACGATGTAGAAGTTTGTCCCCATAGTACACATAAACTGGTGACATCATCGCATCAGTTGAATGGATGACCCTACACGTGAACACTGGTTTTCCGTTGTTAAGGTTACTCTAACAGGAAAGAGACATTTACAAAATTCAGAAAGATGTTACGATCTATAAGGTTACGGGCAGAAATAACAAAACGGGTTTTTTTCCAGAGACATAAACCGTATTCCCTTCGTGGACAAACCAACAACTAATGATATTTCACAACGTGAAATCTACGCGTTTGAAACATCACGCTACGAGTTTGTGACGATGTGCGTGAGTGGGTGAGTCACTGAGAACAGTATTTAAGTTATGTCGCAATGTGTTAGCTTGTGAGAGGAGAGCCAAAACTGATGCAGGCCCGAGACATTTCCACTTTGGTGAAACCCACGAGCTCGGGGATGGTGTTGAAAACTTAGAAAAATATGCAGGGCGAACCGGGATTCGAACCCATGAATCTTTGGTTTCTGGTAATCCCCATTCTTCATGAACCGTAAGATAATATGACAAATTTGGTTCGAGCGCTATACAAAGTACGTTCGCGTGTGTGGCCATGTAGCAGGTCTCTGGAGCGTCTGGAACTTTGGGTAGAAGAATAGGCATTGGACCCCATATCGCGTCCCTTTCGCTTGGAAACGTCACTACTGATTTGAAACCTGCTCTTTGCAGTCTTAGAATTATGAAGCCTTTAATAGGATTTGACATAGTCCCCACGATCACTAACTGTATAGGCGAGGGATCTAGCGTCCCCGTCTCCTCTGTTGATGGGGAGTTCCCGGTCATTGCATGGATGTAATCAGAGGTGTCAAAAGCCCCTTGTCCAATACGGAACTCCTTCCTGAAGAAGCTTTTTCCACGAATTCAAATCAGTCTGAATTTCAGTATTTAACACTCATTTTTGCCTCGACCAAATCAGAACCCTCCCATTCCATTGTTTTCTTATTTGGCTAGGTTTTGGAATGAAAACTGTTCATCAAACTTTCATAGCAGGATAAACGTTATAATTTAACTGCTCTTGCTCGTTTAGGAATATTGTTGAGCTTCATAGTTGACAAATGCATCGTTGTTGATGTGAAGGGCACACTGGCTATCTTTTCATCTAACTCTTTGAACTGCGCTCTTGAAGGATCTCCTCTGAACATAGCTCCGGGAGCTTCAAATGTCTCCTGAAAAAAATCTTTATTCCTCAATGTTCTTGTCAGTTTCTCAGCTTTAGACAATTCTGTCGTGTCTCGTCTGTCATATGTACAGACGTTGTAATCGAGGAGGTTCCCCCAAATCCTTTCAGTGTCAGCTTTATAGTCAAGTGGTTCCAGAAGATGAATTTGCCATAGCAGATCAATGTCGACAGCAGGTGCTAGGACAGAGTTTGGATTCTTTTTCTTAAGGTGGACACATTTCTTGTATCTCACAAGGCTTTATGAGAGGAAGTTTTTTCCCTGTGGCGTGGGAGAGAAACTTGATAATAGAACTGCCTGTGTTCGACAGTGATGGAAACGATATCGGAAGTGATACTTGAGATGTGATGGCCATCATGCCCGGCATTAGTGGACCTTGGTTCAGTATGGATGGTACTCCTGGATACGCTTTCGTCCACATGTCTCTTGTTATAGTCATCTCCTGTCTTTCTACTGGATCGAGGTGCTTGTGAGGAACAACTCCTCCTACCCGGGAAATGCAGTCTTTCTGATATGATAAGGGAGCCAGCATATGACAGTGCCACACCCACTCATTGTCCAAAGGAGCTGCCAGAACTTCATTTGTGTGTTTGACGCTAGGGGCAGCCAGTAATGATTGTATCGTTCGACTGCCCTTTGGAGTGAAGACCCGTTAATGCTCTTTTGGTTTTGGTTCATCTCTTCCATGAAGGCGAGATGGTTGAGAACAGTCTGCAGTTCTACCCTGATGTCAACATGATGATGTACCTATAATGAGAATGAAGTTTAGTTTCACACCAGTTTATTCTAATTCGCACATATCGCACATAGTCATGCCACGATTTGTTAATCGTAGGTTCGAATCCCAGATTCAGTCTGACTGTGGTCTTGGTTCAGCAGCACCATACCCGGGTAATGTTGTTTCACCACAGTGGTGTAGGATTCAGGCTTAAATCACGGGCTTCCATTCACATTAAACATACAAACTGTGACACAAATGAACTGGCTCGCACTTACCGTATTCGACGTGGTAAGCGCCCCGCTCTAATAAGCGCCCACGGCGATATTTGCTAATATATTGGCAAGTGAACAATCTCAATTAGCACCCCTTCCGATTGATCAATGTACACAAGAATTATTCAATCGTGTATATACGCACTCGTTTGTTATATGCACCCTTAATAATGGGCAATTAAATTCTGGAAAAATATATTTCTCGTATTTAAACATTTCAGGCTGTCAGCATAAACCACGATACTTATCTTTCAACTATGTTTTTTTCACCAACATAATATTCTAATAAGAGCCCTCTAGTTCTAATTTTGAGAGCGCCCTGGGCGCTTATTACACAAAATGTCAGTTAACCCCATTTACTACCACTCGTGTATTTCGTCACATAGTTCATGTTTGGATTATTTACACAAACACGTTGACAGTAGTGGTTCTGTCGTCTTGCGTAGACATGTGCAGAGCGGCGTCACTTTGGCTTGCCAGAAACCTGTGATCGTCGTTTCTAATTCCAGTTTGCTCTGATGATGTAGGTTGTTTTAAGTGGTAGACGTCTTAGACCTGTATCACATCGGACTTTTCTCCTCCATATGGAGGTTTAAAACACCGTTAAATCCATCTCACCCACTTAACACTCGAGTGTGTCCCTTCGTACAGACCCGTGAAGATCCGGGGTAGAATAGGTCTTCAGCAACCCATGCTTGCCGTTAAAGACGACTTTGCTTGTGGTAAGAGGCGACTAACGGGATCGGGTGGTCAGGCTCGCTGACTTGGTTGATGTATGTCTTCGATCCCATATTGCGTGGATCGATGCTCATGATATTAATCGCAGGATTGCCTGGTCTAGATCCGATTATTTACAGACCGCCATCATATAGCTGGAATATTGCCGAGTGCGGCGTTAAACAACAAACAAACAAACAAACAAACCAACCAACCAACCTTTCCTACATCAGGCGTCTGTGATAGATATTAACTGTTGTTTAACCGTTAAGAAAACGACTGTTAAAGTACTAGTCCGTTGTATTATCACAGTCCTAGCTTGTCCTGCAATTGGTGAGTCACTCATACACTCAGTCAGTCTCTTCGGCTATGAATATCAGTGAATGTATTGAATGTCAAAGCTTACAACTGAGGGTGTATATTGTGAAATATTCCGTGGACTATGACTGTTGATACAGAAATCTTATACCCGTCAGCGAGTCATGCATCTTATACACACACCCCTTGGGTAGATGGTCATGTGCCAGCCTGATGGCTCGTTCATACATGCCGTAATAAAACATGTGTACTCTTTTGTTTCTGATGAAAAGACACGCCAATCGAAATAAAACCATGTATCATATGATATATAGAAGTCATCCGTGAAGATCCAGGTTAGAATTGGCCTTCAACAACCCATTGTCGTAAGAGGAAACCAACGTAATCGGGTTATCAGGCTCGCTGACTTAGTTGATGACATGTCACCGTATCCAACCAGCGTAGATCAGCGTAATCGCAGACGACAGCTCCACCCACCCTTGTACTAGCAGACGACAGCTCCACCCACCCTTGTACTTGCAGACGACAGATACGACCACCCTTGTACTTGCAGACGACAGATACGACCACCCTTGTACTAGCAGATGACAGCTCCACCCACCCTTGTACTAGCAGACGACAGATACGACCACCCTTGTACTAGCAGACGACAGATACGACCACGCTTGTACTAGCAGACGACAGCTCCACCCACCCTTGTACTAGCAGACGACAGATACGACCACCCTTGTACTAGCAGACGACAGCTCCACCCACCCTTGTACTAGCAGACGACAGCTCCACCCACCCTTGTACTTGCAGACGACAGATACGACCACCCTTGTACTAGCAGACGACAGCTCCACCCACCCTTGTACTAGCAGACGACAGCTCCACCCACCCTTGTACTTGCAGACGACAGATACGACCACCCTTGTACTTTCGGACGACTGATTCAGCCACAAGCAGACGACAGGCCAACGTCACCTTGTACAAGCAGACGACAGGTCAGCTCACCCTAGTACTCGCGGGCACTCTTGTACCCGAAAGTGCTTGCATTGTAGGACAAAGCATCGTGAATAGCATACCAACTTACCTTTGACCCAGCACGCTCGATCACGCCTTAAATGTTTGATGAGTGACGTTCACCTCAAAGATCTTAGTAGGGTCAGTAAACAGATATACAGGAACATAACCTCCTTTACTTGAATGTGAACTCTGTCACATGTTAATAAATTCAATTCAGCTGGAACGTTGATTGTCAATGCCAGCAATGTTGTCATGGAGGGTTGACAACAACACAGCACGTAGGTAGAAGTAGGTCAGCGAATGTACAGATCCACCTGTCTGCCACATATTGAGAGATGGCAGGTATTGGGTATAAGAACAGCACAGGGGGAGCACGGATTGACTCGTCGCGATCGAGTAAACCATAGAAAATTACTGTGCAGAGTTGCGTCTCTTTGAAACTAATGATCGTGCGTTCGGATGACACAGATTCGCGGTGATTGAGTTCCAAAGTTGTCCACTTCATCACCGCGCTAGCTGGTTTCACCAAAGTGATAAACATCTAGACATCTACGACCTGCACCACTTCCGGTTTTTTCGCCCCAATCCCCGTGTTATCACTACAATACTGTTCAAAGCGGCCTCGACCGCCTCCGTGGTCTAGTGGTAGAGCGTCCGCCCGGAGAGCGGAAGGTCCGGGGTTCGATCCCCGACCACGTCATACCAAAAGACATTAAAAGATGGTACTTGTTGTTACCCTGTCTGGCGCTCGGCATTAAGGGGCTAAAACAAGGACTGGTCGGCTCGGAGTCAGTATACTGTGTCTGAGTGGGGTATTCATGTTAAACTGCGGCATGGTATCTCAGTGATATGATCATATCAACTGAGAGGTATAGTTGTTTTGCTCCTTAGTTTAGAAATGCCATTTTTCAATCAAAATTGATCAAAACATCCGTATTTACAATCATTTATTACACAAATAACGACAGTTAATCATTATTTTGAAAACTGAATTTAGAATAATATTCCTTTCAATTTAATCTTTATTCGGATAATTCAGCGAATGTGTTCGTGCAGTTAATAAAATTAAAATGTCAGATAGTATATAAACATTCAAAAAGGAGTTTAATTATATATTTCTGTATATTTAACTTTAGTTTAACAGTCGATGTACAAAAATACCCACCCACGCAAAGATTACCTCCCTTCACCTGTTCAACTGCACCAGACCTCCTCATTTCAGTATCGCTGTTGACATGACAACCGTCGGCAAGCGGCCAGAAACCATTCACAGCCTCATCTGTATACACCTGATACGTTCGCTGTGAACCACACGGATCGCTGAATCGACGTGACCTAGCTAAATTGCATAAGGCAAATTTGACCTTAACCCATAATGCGCCTGCCTGCGAGGAGTAGCGACGAAGGAAGAAGATCGGAGGCGGTATACCACATTCCCTCGCAGTTACCGACCTGAAACATCTGCACGATCTTCTGTGAAATGACAGCGTTATTTACACGAAACATGTCCCTGAACTAGTGTAACTGCATGGCTCAGAGGTCATCGCGGGGTCAACAAGGAAGTATTTAGGCTATTGGACCGTGCAGGGAGGCGGGTGTTGGAAGACGTGAGTATGCGGTCCTACTGGTATATTCTGTTGAAGTAAGTAGATTAAACTGATATCAACTAGTGCATAGTTACTTAAGACATTTAGAGGTAATGATTGGTACAACCCGTTTATCTGGATTGTCGTATGTTGAGGAACAAGCGAGCATACAGGTGTATTGTTTGTTAAAGTTAACTTGAAAAGATAAACAATAGTAAAACCCCGTTTATCCGGACTGTCTATAGTCTGGAAGCATGACCATGCAGGTAATGTATTCGTTGAAGTTAACCTGAACACATTAAACCGAGGTGTTTTAAATTGTGAGCACGTTTTTCCGGTCTGTATGCTTGCAGTGAAATTGCCCATTTTAAGATTATTTCAACGACATGGGTGCATGTATAATTGAAAAAGAAAGAAAAGCGTTTGTGTTGTAGGCGGCACTCAGCATAGACTTGAACAAGTCTCGAAGGCAATAATTATTAGTTAATAACATAATTCCTAAATTATAAAGATAATAAGAACAAGTTGTCCCTACGAAACACTGGCGTCCTCAAAGTCCGCTTGTTTAAACCTGCCTATTATTAGCGTAGAATTACTATACACCCGTGAACGTATCATTGTGTACAGGGGGCACGGGTGGCCCAGTCGTCTAAGGCGCCGCGATTCGCTGTGCAGAGTTGCGTCCCTTGGGCACGCTAGAAACCTATGATTGTGGGTTCGAATCCCGGTTCGCCCCAATTATGTTTCTAGGTTTGTCAGCACCATACCCGTGCTCGTGGGTTTCACCGAAGTGGTAAACGTCTGAGACCTGCATCACTTTGGGCTTTCCTTCCACATTAAGCTGACACACCGCGATATAACTGGAATACTGTTAAAAGCGGCGTTAAACCCAACTCACTCACTCACTCATTGTGTACAGCCTTGGAGCATGGCTACTCTGAGCTGTATTACAGATATATCTTGACAAAACCTCCATGTTTTGTCGGGCTGTGTACACGCAACTGACCAAGTAACCGACACCTCAACCTATTCACCGGAAATCCGAGCTGTACACAAACATATATTTGATTGATCTAAATCCTTCGAGGCTATTATTATAAGTATATTTTTGCAACAATGAATGTCAGTTCATCTACTCCAAAAGGAACGACCCTAATCTTTCAGGCAACTAAATTGCATCTAATTACTACCCCCTTCTTGTCATCCATGTTTCATGGTATACTCTACATCTGTGCTTTTGTCGTCATTCACTTGATGCTCAGTTAAGGAATTTATTACAGGTATATTTAGTGGTAGTTCCACTCAGATTACCTAACAAGGCATCTTCCCGAGGCAAGAGAGTTAACTGACTATAAAAGTCCAGTTTCCACCCTTGCCGAACTAGGCTGGGATTGTGGAGTTACATATTGGCTGGACTTACGAGTCTATGCATAGTCCAATCAAAATCGCGCAACGAAATCGAAATCCGGTTCGTAAACTGTCATGCAGAGTTCGGTCGATGGCAGGATATTTTCCAAATCTTTTCATGTTTTTACTCAAGGTGCTCACGTGATTTGGTGTACTTGGCGAAGTAAGAACCGTTTTATCACCAAATAGATCTTGATGGTAGATCAGATCGTCCTGACTGGGCGCCACCATTTTTTTTAAAAGAAAATGCAAGTGATACGAGAGGTGGAATCTGATTGGTCAGTATGGGGGAGGCATAGAATGGACATAACTGGTAATAGCCACTGGTGGCGCTACGATCGAGCCCAGGAATTCCAGCCTAGTTCGGCAAGGGTGGAAACTGGACTTCTAAAGTCAGTTAACGCTCTTGCCTCGGAAAGATGCTAACAAAGGTATCAATTTGGCATTTTTCGTGTCTGGGGTAATTATTCAATCTGAGATTGGGTTATACATCCAGGCCTGATGGGGGAATAGAGGTTTTCACATAACTACATATATGCAAAACAACAATTGTCCACACAAATTGTTTCTATTTTTTACTACTCGCTGCTGTTTTCACCTTTCGCGCCAATCCATCTGTCTGTCCGCTAGAGTAACTGCCCTTAATCAAAGAGAAGCTACTCTAACCCTCGTCTATGAGACGTCACGGCCACAATCTGGCGTTGTTGACAGTCGGTCTGCCCTGTTGTAACGTTAGGAGGTGCAGTTAGATGTACACACAGCAACAAAACAAAATAAGGTTACAATTCGGACATATTTTATCCAACTCCAACTGTTTTAATTTGTGGAAAAGGTTCCAAGCCGCAGAGGTCCACAAGCATAGATATGGAAACTGATCCAGCTTGGCAACAATTATTTCGCTATTTATATCTCCAAAGTAACCACAACTTATAAAATGACTTAGCTTCGTCACAGTTAGACACTGATTTTCAGTATATTAGACTATTCTTTTCATAATGATAGCAATTATCCCAGTAGTTTCTCCAGATTCCCGATGGTTAATTCTGACTCGATCGTCGAATGAAAAGTGCGACGCCATGTTTTGTTTATAAACCCTGAAAGCAGTCCCAACTTGACCTTTGATATTTGCATCTCTGTCCGCATATGACCCCAGCGGATATCGTTTTTATCCTTTGGCTTTTTCCTGCCGAGAACCCTACCCATTATATGATAAAATTTATCATATGTTATGTAATATCAAAGTGGCCGTGCAGGAAGAGAAGTATTGTCATTTGAGTTTGAACAAAAAATCGACACAATATTTAACCGACAATACGTTGAAAGTTTTATCATTGTTGTCTAGTGTGTTCGTGGGAAGCAGGTGGAATACATCAGTATCTGGGCGTAAAGCGCCAATGCAAAATCTACATTCTTTAATTGTTCAAAGAGTGAAATTGTATTTCATATTTGTTGATCAATCTGATGATGCGCCCTTATAAAACCAATAAAAGCGACAAATGCGCTTACGTTTGGCGCAGTATAGGTCGCGATTTAGTTGAAAATTAAGGGATTTTATCCTGGTATCCACGGGGAAAAAACAATAACAAAGGCAACATCCTTTCCCAGAGAATTATCTCCTTTAACGGACGTAATATGGGTGGAACTGACACAATCTGGGACCGTATGATTGATGGTGTGTCATTATAACCGTCAGGGCGTAACGAAGTTGACACTATTTATGGATAACAACTTCTTCAAAACTGTAAAGGCGACGTTTCGGTAATGATCCCTATACAGTTGTCAAGTAAGAGTTAGATGGGCGATTTTTATATTTCTATATGATTGCGATTTTGTAGAGATTGAAAGTGTGTCTGGTACCTCTTTGCTTGTCGTAAGTGGCGACTTTGAATAGGGAACCGGTAGGTATTCCCGGTTAAAAATAGTGTCCTACCAACCCGTGCTTGCCATAAGAGGCGACTTTTTTTGTCGTAAGATGCGACTAACGGGATCGGGTGTTTAGGGTAGGTGACTTGGTTGATGTCAGCGTTATCCCGACGTACGCCGATTTGAATATTACTTAGAGTGGCGTCAAGCAACAAACAAACAACACATATATAGAAGCTAAGCTCTTGATTCAAAACAATGATGATGATGATGAGGAGGAGGAGGAGGAGGAGGAGAATGAGGATGATGATGATGATGTAGATGATGATGAAACATACGGACACCTGATTTATCCCCAGATTGTGGAAGGCAGACCAAAAGTCACCTTGAAACGAGAGTGGACCAATAGTAAACATCACTGAACATCTCTGAAAAGTAAGTATTTAGTGCACTGCCTTCAATAATATGTAAGTGTAGTCAACGATCACCCACAAGTTGAAAGAACTCGTCGTGTCGTCGACGCCGCAGTTCACTGGGATTGAAACCTGTGATTGTGATTTCGAATCATATTTGCGCAATAAGCCCACGATTATGTTTCTAGGTTTTTCTTCACCAAACCATGCAATGATCGTGGGTTTCACCAAAGTCATAAACGTCTAATACCTGCAGCAATTTACTACTCCATCACCCACACAATATATCTGAAATAATGTTCAATGCGGCGCTAAAATCTAAGGCACTCGTTGACTTCAAAGTTGAATAATTACGACAGGGCGTAAAGAATCAACAACAAAGCTCGGTTACACTTGATTTCCATTTGGAGCTGGCCGTTTGTGTTCGTTTTGGAAATAAAGAAGTCGGATATGATGCTCCGAACGAGTGAGTAGGGTTTTTAGCCACTTTAGAAATATTCAAGCAATATTATGACAAGGGCTTCACATGTTATTACCATATGGTAATCGAACCTGGGCCTTCTGTGAAACGAAACTTTGCTTCTGTACTACCCTACCGCCTAATGTTTCTCCAAATGCCTCCCTCACTCGTATTAGGCATTAAGAGGCATCCACGATGAATGGCCGATTAATTAGTTCAACTGCCTGAGATCTGGTTCAGGGTTTGTAAGGTACCGATTTGGCCTAAAAGATCTGATTTTCAAGAGATTGGATATATACACAATGAAAATGAAAAATGCAGCTTGATGAAATTGTGTCTTTTGACATTGAACAAAGGTGACATTTTCAGTATCCATATGCATTGTTTCATTATCTTTTGGAAGACATTATTTCTTTTAAATCCTCGGCCCTCCAAAAATTTCACATTGTCAATCAATAACTGATTGTAAGAGGTCCTGCTTTCTTCCCCAGTGGATTCCGTTGCTGACATGGATGTAGATGTTGCTCCAGCGACAGTCCAGAACCATCTCAACTTTCTGGAACAAGTGGACAATCACGGCCATCTTTACGAAGGGCCCGTTCTCCTGAGAGCAATAGGCCGTTATGAACGTTACTGGCTGCCCCTAGCATCCAAACACACAAATGAAGTTCTGACAGCTCCTTTGGACATTGAGTGGGTCTGGCACTGTCATATGTTGTCTCCAATGTCATATCAGAAAGACTGCTTGTCCATGGTCGGTGTGGTGGTTCCCCACAAACTGCTAGACTCTGACGAAAGGCAAAAGTACCTATCTGAGTCCGAGATATTTTGGAATAAGGAGTATCCAGAAACACCTTTTCAAGCAGGAACTGAAGGATCAACGGGTGAACAGGACTTTGTATCCAGTATCAGTTATGATATTGTCTCAGCTTCAGCGAGGCAAAAGCAGTTTTTCTATCAAGTATCCCTACCTCATTACAGGAACAAGACGTACCTGCAAACTGCCATGAGGAGATATAAACAGTTTCTGTTCCTCCTGAAAGGCAACCCAAACTCTTTCCTTGCCCCCACCTTTGACATTGATCTGGTATGGCATACCCATCAGTTGGATCCTGTCGCCTATGTATCTGATACTGAACGACTCCTCGGTAAGATCCTGAGTCATGATGACAGTGTCAACGACAGATCACAAAACTCCAAGCTTACCAATGCCACGAAGCTGACATCATCTCTGTGGAAAAATGTATTTGATGACAGCTTTTCCTTCCCTGGTGCCATGTACAGAGGTGAAAGCCAAAAGGGACAATTGTATCGGCTGACAGAGGGAGAAACAGAGGCTTTATGTGCGACAGGAGTACTTGTAGAACTGACGTACCTTAGAATTGACAGACTTCCAACATGGGCGCGTTCAGCAAAGTTAGAGGTGGTTGTTTTACGAGACGAAGGAACGGTGCTGAGTAAGAGAATACTGAGTTCAAAGAACTGGACTCATAAAGATTCTATGACTTGGGAGAGGGTTCATCTCTATCTAGGAGAGGTGTGGACAAACAAATGCGATTTCATCCGCTTCAAGTTAATTGGAAAATCAGGGTATGCGATCTTCAAAAAGGAGATAGTATTAGGAGAAGCAACCTTTGACTGCCTGTCGTCAATTGAGACATTTGAAAGTTATACATATGCAATTTCTACTGAAAAAACGCTGGAACCATCGCCTATAATCCTGAAATGTAAAGGAAAAATGGTTCGTCCTAAATTAACCTTGGAATTGCAAAATGGGCCGTGGACGACGGATATGAAGGGTATAATGTCGTCGAGAGAGGAAGTATGGGGTCCTGTGCCAATACCACGTCCTGTAGAAGGTGTTTCAGAAAAGTTCTACATGGCAATACACAAGTAAGTGATTCTTGTTAAAGGAATATTAATCCTGCATATTTGACTTGCTCCAATAAATGCCCAATAGAATACCAACAGTGAGATCTACATAAGTTGCTGTAATTAAATAATCGTGTAGTATTGATCATTGTCTTTTAGAATTCCTTGGCTATAAATTCTCTGAAAGCATTTTCCTTCTACAGCATGCATGCAGGTGCTATCATTGTGACACCCAAATTGTTTGGCCAACAAATTGTTTGATTTAAAGGGACACACGTAGTAACGTTTAACCCTGGGAGTTGTTATCGAACCCATCCCAAAACTGAAAAATGAAACATACACAATGTTGAAAATTTAGACCCAACTCTTGTGCCTGGAGGGACTCTTAAATACAAGTTTAATCTCAACAAGAACACAAGACGACCACCAAACTTGTTTCGCTTCATCAAAACTCCAGTTGATTTTTGTTGTAATCCAAAACATTAATGGAGTGTGTTTGGTTCACCGTTTGAACAGTGTCGATGTCAGCTTGAATTGGGAGGAAGTGATATAGAACGAACAGTACTACGTTGTTGACAGACCAAGAATCATAATCAGGGTTTGTCTGGTATTTGAACCCCATGTCATTGGATTCCTCCAGGCTTGGTGGACGCTACTTAGATTCCCCAGGCAACTGACACAGTCGTGATCCCTGTAATTGAAATATATTGTGCTGGTAAATAAATATGAATAAGTACTGGTATCTACCATTACTAATGATACAGTTTGAACTCTATGAGCTTCCTCTTGTACTTGCACGTGGGGCCACGGATGACGCCACATTTCGCTGTGTAGAGTTGCGTCGCTTGAGCACGCCAGAAACGTATAGTCGTGGGTTAGAATCTCAGTTTGCCTCCATGTTTCTAGGTTTGTGAGCAACATGCACGCTTTATACGGAATGTAGACAGTTGTTCCCTCGTTCCAGACTTACGGCGGCTGGTTGCACTGCAGAGTTTGTATGCAGAGTCGTCCACTCCACGGATCTGCTGATGTCAGCAGTTCTTGTGTATCACCAGCAAAGACTGGTCTCCTTTGCTTATCTCATTGGTGCTGACCAACTTCCTTCACCAGAAGCAGTCGATTCATCATCCGTAAGTTAACACTACTCAAGGCCTTAGTGAAGCTTTCAAAACGTTGAGAACATTTTCAAGTTTGACTTATCAGTGACGAAAGCCTGTTTCAATTCACTATTTTGCGGTATATCATATGTTCCTGGGTGTGATTTTTCACGAACTGGTATTATCACTTGTTATCCCCCCGGCATATAATGCGGTGGGATATAGCGATCAGCCAGTCTGTCTGTCCATCCGTCTGTCCGTCTGTCTGTCCGTCTATCCGTCCATAATATATCATTTCCTTTTATGGGGCAGAACGCGAAAATAATTCAGTGTATTTGATCGAAACTTGGCAAATCTATCAGTCACATACTGAAGTTGTGCCTATTGCTATTTAAGGATTTTTGAAATTTATATTTTTTACGTTTCCATGGTAACAAGTTGGGACTTCTATAAGGGTGGTGTTCGTTTCCGGAGCATAACTCAAAAACTGTTAAATACTTTCTTACAAAACTTTGCATGTCTACCAGGCACATACTGAACTGGTGCCTTTTGCTATTTAGGATTTTATTTTAAATTTATTTTTTACGCTTCCATGGCAACCAGTTGGACTTGGGTTCTATAGGGTGAAGTTCGTTTCCGGAGCATAACTCAAAACCCCTTCAAAACTTTCTTACAAAACTTTGCATGTCTCTCAGACTCCTGCTGAACTGGTGCCTTTTGCTATTTAGGAATTTTTATTTTTTACGTTTCCATGGCAACAAGTTGGATTTAAGTTTTGATATAGGGTGGGTTCACTTATGGAGTATAACAAATAAATTGTTAAATATTTCCTTGCCAAACATTGCATGTCCATTTATAAAGTACATACTGAACATGTGCCATTTGATATTAAGGAGTTTTAGAAATGCTTATTTTCGAATTTCCATTGCAGTTATTTTGACATGGTGAAACCCACACCGACCCACAAGGACATATATTCCAGTGTATTCATGATAAATCGTTTCACATGTGTTATATTTTCAGGACCTGCCATCTTTAAATCCAAAGTTAGGGCAACGAGCGATGTTGATAAAGAACAATCAAGGAGACTGGGGTTTGGTTACTGGCAACTGGGTTCGCTCCACAAGATCTGTTCCAATTTCAAGTATGTCACTTCTTCAATATGCATGTGGTGTTCTTGTACTGCAATTGTTTCATTTTTTCCTTAGTTAATGAAGATAACCTATATACTAGGTGGGGTCAAAGAATGTTTTCATGTTATTATAATAAAACAAGTGAAGTGTGTTTGGTTTAAACCCGCATTAAAGAGTATTTCAGTTATATAACGGCATGTCAGCTTGATGTGAGAGGAAGTCATATGTTTACTTTATTAGTCACCGTTCAGGTGAGGTGAGTTGAAATTGTGATAAACGCCGCGTCCAAGATTATTGCACTTATATAGCGATGTGCATGCTACGTGTGTGTGGCTGCTTGTACTACTCCGGACTGATGCCGATTTATTTTAGACCCTTAATACCGAGCGCCAGACAGGGCAACAACAAGTACCATATTTTAACGTCTTTTGGTGTGACGTGTCCGGGTGCCTGTTTAGAGCAAGTATAAATAAATTAGCATGGTTGATCTCCTTAAGCAAGTGATATTTATTTTTAATCTATAGGCTATTCGAGGACTCTGCGAGGGACTCAGGTGCTTTGTGGATATCTTGATATCAACTTTTACAAGTTCTCAACCAAGACCATGATAAAGAAGAGTATGACGCAGTACCTTGACGGAGGGTTCGACTTTAAACTTGACGGAATGGAGTGCAAAAGAACTTGTGTCACTTTCATGGATAAATACCACGAAGCTGCTGAACGTGTTGCCCTGGCCTTCTCCATCAGCATCCTGCATGTTCTATGTCAGCCAAGATCGAAAGCATGGAAAACTGGATTGTCCCCGAACTATGGCAGGAAGCTAGATCGTGGTGTTTCTGCAGCTCCTTGTGAGAATGTCCTGTTCCTATCTGCAGCTGGGGTTCTTCAGGAATGTCCGTCTAACCATTATTTGGTGAACTCCTACAGAGACGACAGGAAGGCAAGGTATGCATTGCTCAAGAATGGACAAAAGAAAAGCAGACAACATGCTGACAGCGAGAGTGGAGAGGATGAAGAAGAGGAGGAGGAGCATGATGGAGGTGAAGAATCAACAAGTAATGTCGACGTGAATCTGTTTGATGCGGGCCATGATGACGACTTTGAAGAACCTTGTATGATGGGGATGGATAGTTTTATTGTCGACTGTAGTGAAAGCTATGATGATGGTGGAGATTCAGGGGCAAATGAATATGGCGGAGGAGGGTGTGACTACGGTGGCGGGAGTGACTATATAGGCAGCTCATCGTGCGGTGGTGGTGGATGCAGCGGTGGTGGAGGTGGTGGATGTGGAGGTGGTGGAGGATGCGGCGGTGGTGGGGGATGTGGAGGAGGAGGTGGATGCGGCGGTGGTGGGGGATGTGGAGGAGGAGGATGTGGAGGCGGAGGGGGATGTGGAGGAGGTGACTGACTGTAGATGGACTTCAACAACAATGACTTCATTATTCTCTATCTCATGAGGTGAAGGTGTTGAGGTTTGGAAAGGTGTATGATAAGGCTTGTGAAGGTCTTCTGCTGCTGTGTATGTCTGGGGATGGTTTTATTGACTACAGATCTAATTCACAAGCCTTATACCCGTTCGAGCTTGGTTAACACCTGGTCACAAACCATTGAACTTGGTCATTTATGAAGACGTCTTGACTCGAAACAACAGTTTTCATGTTTGCTGCAAGATTTAAACATCCACTCATAGGATGTTCTTCGACTGCTGTTGATAAACTGACCAAATATTAACCTTCTAGCCATCACTAATACTATTGATATGATACAACGGAAAAGGACATTTCCAACTACATTTCTCACACCTAATAAATGTATCAGCAACTAATTTCCACTTCAATGCGTAAAATTACCTACTCTTGAGTAGTTTGTTCATAATTTCATAAACAGTAAATCAATCAATATTATATGGACATGCACACAATATCCTAAAGCACTCTTTACCGTACGAGCAATGTTGTTCTGAGAAACATAACCTGTCCATGAAGATAACATTTTTGTTTTGTTTGTTTGTTATTAAACGCCGAACTTACAGCAGACTTTCAATAATTGAGTATGTCCAGTGATTGACACCATGAGCATAGATCCACGCATACGATGACATACATCAACCAACCACCCGATCCCGTTAGTCGCCTCTTAGGACAAGAATGGGTTGCTGAAGACCTATTCTAAACTGGATCATACACACACAGGTGCGTGCACGTCGCTATATTAGTGCAATAATCTTGGACGCGACGTTAAGCCCCATTAAACATAGGTCAGATGTGCGGAGAACGTGTGCAGCCGACGTGAACGAACCAAGAGTGCAAACGGAGGGGCCGACTTCGCGTCCTCATAAGGTAACGTCCTTTAACAAGACCATATATGGAGCTTCTGTATATAAAGGCTCCGCCTCCGCTGTATTTCCGTTTCAGCCTTTGAAACTGATAGACAGGACGAAAGTGCAAATAAACCCGCTTTTCTGTGTTTTGAATACGATATGTGCATTAACGATGTGACGATCTATCCAAATCTGCAAAGTAGTATATATACCCATGAGTCTTGCCCTTTGAGTTGGACTTATTTATACAAGGACTATTTCCATTACACTACGTTTGCAAATTTCAACTCGGATCAGTTTATTTATTCCCAGAACAGTCACCTACGGTGGTACATGAGATACAATTATATACAATATTTTATATTTACAAAATAACAGCATTTAACGCGAATAATTAAAATAGGATACGTTGATATTAATACAATTTACCAATTTTATTATACACATTGAAAAGGAATTTAGATAGGCCTTTTAGATCTCTTACACTGTTAGTGGTCATACGTTTCTTAAGTTGGGACAGGTTTGTAAACTTAAGATATTGTACATTTACGAGTTTATATCGCTGTTAGGGTAAAGCTTCACATCTAAATTAATATTGAAACTCATCTCCTACTTGACACTTGACACTGGCGGTCTCCCCAGGGAATGTTCAGGCCATCGACCAGTTTCAACGGGTCATCTCTGATTAGTAGTTGTGAATTTAAATACAGGGAGAAATATTGATTTTGAGAGAAAACATATTTCTCAAATGAGTGAGTGAGTGAGTGAGTTGGGTTTAACGCCGCTTTTAACAGTATTCCAGTTATATCGCGGCGTGTCAGCTTAATGTGGGAGGAAAGCCCGAAGTGATGCAGGTCTCAGACGTTTACCACTTCGGTGAAACCCACGAGCACGGGTATGGTGCTGACAAACCTAGAAACATAATCGGGGCGAACCGGGATTCGAACCCACAATCATAGGTTTCTGGCGTGCCCAAGGGACGCAACTCTGCACAGCGAATCGCGGCGCCTTAGGCGACTGGGCCACCCGTGCCCCCTTCTCAAATGAAGGTTGATGCTTTACGTACTTGTAGTATGACCCTTTGGAGTTTATTCAGCAGCTGATTTCCAGGTCGGAAGGAATTGAGATGTATATTGTATATATATTTTCAACCACATCGTGAGAAGGGCCGTTGGTTCTGGCCAAATATATCCAATGCTCATGACGTCCAGTGTTCAAATGTCAATAAGTACATGACCTCGCCTTTCAACATCAACAGCGGTGTAACACAGGGATGGCCTATCTCTCCAGCTATGTTCTGCTTGTACATTAATGATCTAGCAGATGACATTAACTCTCTCAGCTCTGGTATAATTGTGGATAATATTTCCCTGTCGCTGCTATATATTTGCAGATGACATTGTTCTTTTAGTACAATGTGAACACATCAATACAAATGACTGCACAGCAATTGACTGGTTGTACAATATGGCAAAAAATAATATGATGGCAGTCAGATCAAATGCATGTTAAAAGCAGCGTTAAACCCAACTCACTCACTCACTCAGATCAAATGCAAAATACATTGGAAATAGCAAAAGACAGTGATAATAATATACATTCAGCGAGCGGCGACAGCTTCCGTGGCGGGTTAGGCAGTGAGTCTAGGGTGATGAGCGATCCTCACATGAAAGCTGGTCTTTACGTGATGAAAATGTGTACGGAGCAGCTTGTCAAAAGTTCAGGAAAAGTGTATCGAGGCAGGGGGAAAGTTTCAGAAGACTTTATGAAGCACTTGTCTAACCTATTCTGCTCTATGGATCAGCTATCTGGGATCTGAGGGAGGGGCGGTCGGGTAGCCTAGTGGGTAAAGCGTTCGCTCGTCACGCCGAAGACCCGGGTTCGATTCCCGAGATGGGTACAATGTGTGAAGCCCATTTGTGGTGGCCCCCGCCGTGATATTGCTGGAATATTGCTAAAAGCGGCGTAAAATCAAACTCACTGACACTGACACTGATCTGAGGGAAGATTGCTGCATCAATGCCATACAAAATAAAGCCTGCGGATTCTTCCTAGAAGTGTCTGAGAGGTGAAATGGGTTTGAAGAGTTTCTCAAAAAAGGGGGTGAAATATTTATATTTTACTCAACATTGTCAACAAAGAATAGATCTCTACTTAACATTGTCTTAGAATGGTCCAAACGAAGAAAAATATCTTGGATTTCCAAAGTTATCTCCCCTGCGTCCAAACTCGATTTGAATGTTGATTTTATGAACGCATCGTTCTGTGACAGCCAGCCAGTTGTGGCTTCAAAAAGTATGCAATGGCAGGAATTTAACACATGGCAATACACTCAGAACTTTCAAGCAAGACAGCATGGCAAAGAAATATTTACAGTGTACTATGTCCGGACACACGAGAAAGATAATTGCAACATTTAGATGTGGTTCATTGCGACAGGCAATAGAAACAGGTCTTATACAATAGTTCATGCGTGCGTGCGTGCGTGCGTGCGTGCGTGCGTGCGTGCGTGCGTGCGTGCATGTACATGTACATGTGGGAGGTGGACGCGTACTTGTGGGAGGTGGACGTGTACTTGTGAGAGGTCGACCTGTACATGTGGGAGGTGGACCTGTACATGTGGGAGGTGGACGTGTACTTGTGGGAGGTGGACATGTACCTGTGTGGAGGTGGACATGTACTTGTGGGAGGTGGACATGTACTTGTGTGGAGGTAGACGTGAACTTGTGGGAGGTGGACATGTACATGTGTGGAGGAGGACATGTACATGTGTGGAGGAGGACATGTACTTGTGTGGAGGAGGACATGTACATGTGTGGAGGTGGACATGTACATGTGTGGAGGAGGACATGTACATGTGTGGAGGAGGACATGTACATGTGTGGAGGAGAACATGTACTTGTGTGGAGGAGGACATGTACATGTGTGGAGGAGGACATGTACATGTGTGGAGGAGGACATGTACTTGTGTGGAGGAGAACATGTACATGTGTGGAGGAGGACATGTACATGTGTGGAGGAGGACATGTACATGTGTGGAGGAGGACATGTACTTGTGTGGAGGAGGACATGTACATGTGTGGAGGAGGACATGTACATGTGTGGAGGAGGACATGTACATGTGTGGAGGTGGACATGTACATGTGTGGAGGAGGACATGTACAAGTGTGGAGGAGGACATGTACTTGTGTGGAGGAGGACATGTACATGTGTGGAGGTGGACATGTACATGTGTGGAGGAGGACATGTACATGTGTGGAGGAGGACATGTACTTGTGTGGAGGAGGACATGTACATGTGTGGAGGTGGACATGTACATGTGTGGAGGAGGACATGTACATGTGTGGAGGAGGACATGTACATGTGTGGAGGAGGACATGTACATGTGTGGAGGTGGACGTGTACTTGTGGGGAGGAGGACATGTACTTGTGGGAAGGTGGACGTGTACTTGTGTGGAGGTGGACATGTACTTGTGTGGAGGTGGACATGTACTTGTGGGAGGTGGACATGTACTTGTGTGGAGGTAGACATGTACATGTGGGAGGTGGACATGTTCTTGCGGGGATGTGGACATGTACTTGTGGGAGGTGGACATGTACATGTGTGGAGGTGGACATGTACATGTGGGAGGTGGACATGTACATGTGGGAGGTGGACATGTACTTGTGGGGAGGTCGACGTGTACTTGTGGGGAGGTGGACGTGTACTTGTGGGAGGTGGACATGTACTTGTGGGAGGTGGACATGTACTTGTGGGGAGGTCGACGAGTTCTTGTGGGGAGGTGGACATGTACTTGTGGGGAGGTCGACGTGTACTTGTGGGGAGGTGGACGTGTACTTGTGGGAGGTGGACATGTACTTGTGGGAGGTGGACGTGTACTTGTGTGGAGGAGGACATGTACATGTGTGGAGGAGGACATGTACATGTGTGGAGGAGGACATGTACATGTGTGGAGGAGAACATGTACTTGTGTGGAGGAGGACATGTACATGTGTGGAGGAGGACATGTACATGTGTGGAGGAGGACATGTACTTGTGTGGAGGAGAACATGTACATGTGTGGAGGAGGACATGTACATGTGTGGAGGAGGACATGTACATGTGTGGAGGAGGACATGTACTTGTGTGGAGGAGGACATGTACATGTGTGGAGGTGGACATGTACATGTGTGGAGGTGGACATGTACATGTGTGGAGGAGGACATGTACATGTGTGGAGGAGGACATGTACATGTGTGGAGGAGGACATGTACATGTGTGGAGGTGGACGTGTACTTGTGGGGAGGAGGACATGTACTTGTGGGAAGGTGGACGTGTACTTGTGTGGAGGTGGACATGTACTTGTGTGGAGGTGGACATGTACTTGTGGGAGGTGGACATGTACTTGTGTGGAGGTAGACATGTACATGTGGGAGGTGGACATGTTCTTGCGGGGATGTGGACATGTACTTGTGGGAGGTGGACATGTACATGTGTGGAGGTGGACATGTACATGTGGGAGGTG